CATTTAGATAAGGCATATTAATGTCAATGATGATAAATTTAATCCAGTTACAACAATACTCTCTATTGTTTTGCCAATTTTAGAGAATTTCTATGCATTCTTAACCACTTTTGGCTTGTAGGTGAATGTATTTCATACGATCTAATTTCCACCCTAAAGTTTATAAATTGAGTGGCTCATCATCAGTGATTATAATTTGAGGACATCTACAATTGGAAGATTATCCTATTATTTAATCTTCAAACTTCTTTTGAATTTGCATATTATTGGAACTAATCTCTTTTCTATTAAGAACTTTGGATTCCAATTAAGTAGAAATTTAATTTTCACTAACATCCTATATTTTAAATAGGAATCTAGATCCTTTATCTACTCCTTTTGAATCAACTTATAATCCTTCATCATTCCCACTTAGTTTTTAGGCCAACACATTGCTAATCATCAATCCTAACCCTACTCCTTAAGTATTCATGTTCTTTGTGTCTTCCAATTTTCCAAATGGTTAGAATAATTTACTTTTATCTTCTGGCTTCAAACCTACTCCTGTGTCTTCAACAGAAATTTCTATTTGTTTTGCCTATAACTATTTAGCTGTCACAGTGATCCCACCTTCTTTTGTAAATTTGGTGGCATTACTAATCAGATTAAAAATTATCTATTATATTCTCTATTAATCAGACTTGATAATTTGGGGAAGTTTTGGATCAAATTCTAATTTTAGATTTAAATTTCTTAATCTTACTGGATAAGACATAACTGATATTGTATCATTCAATAATTATTTGATTGAAAAATCATGATATGATAACGTAAATTTTCCAGCTTTCAGTTAAGCTAGATCCAATAAGTCATTTGCCAATGCTTGAATTGACATTACAGAACTCTACATAGGTTACAGATATCTAATTTTACTTTAGAATTAATTACTTTGATGTCAAGTTTTCGTCTTGTTCAAAGTTAGCCATCAGTTATTTATTGATTTCAATTATAGCTGCTAATGGATTACGTAGTTCATGAGAAACATATGATAACATCCTAGATTTGTTTTTATTTTGCTCTTACAAAACTTTGAATTGATTAAATAATGATACATCCCGTATCAGTAATAAAACACTTCTTTTATTTTCATAAATGTAGGGTTTGATTGTTATTTAAATCAATAAACCTGGATTGCAATCTTCTTAAGACTTGTCTTCTTATAATTCATTTATTTGATCTTCTGCCGATTCTTCTATCATACAGAGCATTTTTTTAACTTCTGGTGAAAATCTTATTTTATCCTTTCCTTTATATGTTTTCTCAGAAGGACCAGACATTTATCTAGCGTAGGGAGACAATTAGAAGGCCTTATCTAATTCTTATTTCAGAGTTTCAGCCTTGCTAAGTTCTGCTTGATAATAGTAATCGGTTAGATTGTCATCAAAATTATTATTAAAGATACTCTCTTTAGAATAATCATCATTTAATTATTGATCAAATTGTTAATCGAAAGGCTAATAATATTCATGTTGATTGTATTTTAGGTTTTTATCCAGTCTTGAGAAAAATTTATCAAATTATGTCTGTTCCTCAAATTGAAATTTGGAGCTGTAGTTCTTTAGCTCATATAAGCGAGATAATAAATAATCTCTGTTTTGACTATGTTTTCTGCCCAAGAAGGTATATACTTAATTATTATGATAATCAATCTTATTTTGATCATTGATAATAATTATACCCTCAGGAAATTGATTAAATAAAATCTCATAAAAGGTTTTCTATTATTCTATTTATTCGAAAACTGATGGATCTCTTGAATAAATAGAAGGGTTTTTAACTATCCCTTAATTTAATGACATAAATTTAATTTAGTTTGAATCTTCATCAAAAATTTATTATTAAGGACTTTCTAATTTCTCTGTAAAACTACGAGAGCTTGGTTTCTTTTGAGGCAATGTTTATGTCTATGTCTTTGCCTTCGTAAATAATTGATAGAACAATAGCAAACCATAGAGGGCTTCTCCAAAAATAATTCCAATCGAGGATGAATCTATCAATAAATAAATTGCTGTCAAATTTGCCGATGCAATAACAACCAACAAATATCCAACTCTGGCTATTTAATTTAGAATTGTAGTGTCTACTTCCAATTATATTGTCAATCCCAACCAAAAGTATTAAAATCTGCTTAATAATCCATCGTTTTTCAATCCAAAATCAACACTGCCCAAACAAAAGAGATTGAGAATTTACCACAAGGATTTACATATCAATTATTATTGCTCAACGCATGTATTGATATATCTATTAAATGGTATAAACAGTATTGTCAAAATCATACTAAAGATAACTTAAAAGTATTCTGCATTATGATTAACTAACTTTATTGTAAGTACCATTATAAAATAGGTTAGTTGAATTACTACTCTAAAATTTACACTATTCATTATAATATAATAATAAAAATAATAACTTTATAATTATACAATTTACTTACAATTTATTATTATGCAAAACTAAAATATCTTATTTAATAATAAACATAGTTTTATTGTAACTTCTGTGCTTCTAATTTTGTTATCATTTATTTCAGATATTTAGAAAGATTTAGGTGAAAAGGAATATATAAATAAAGTGTATTACACCTTTTATAACATTTCAATAATTTTCTAAATAATTACCACTCTCTAATTAAATCTTTATTCTGGATAATTATTCCTTTCTACTTTCTGTTAACCTGTTGGTTTTGGCTAGATTCTTGAGTTCGTCCTCAAATTTTGTAACTTGATTTTCTGTGGCCTTGAATCTACCTTCTAAATGTTGTTTAAGTCTTTTTTAAATTAAGTAAAACTGAGAATATGAGAGGCTATCGTTATTATACTCTTTCATTTTATCTTGAATACTATAATCTCTATTATGTATGCAGTAATATAACTGCCTATTGAATTTATCACTTAATTTATTCTTTTCTTCATATGATTCATTGATTTAAGTTACTAATTGTGGTAAAACCTTGCTATTTCGTACTCTTTCATATCTCTTATACAATTCAACTTCTTTATTTTTATCGTTTTATTTTCTGTCTTCACAGTCAATTATTGATAAATGCATTTTAACATTCTCTGTTTTTCCAAAGGAAGTGCTGCCACTTGTATTCAATTTAACGGTTGGCCTTCTTGCTAATTTAATTGGCGTATTAGAATGATAGGCTGCTTATTTATGTTGATTAATGATAGAATCTGAAAGATCTAATTCTTTTTTAATTTTTTCTAATTTCTCTATGTGATTCTCAACCCTGTTTTTTTCATTTTTAATAGTTGTAAGCAGTTAATGTTTATCTTGTGAATGAAAATACTCTTCAATATTTGGTAGTTGAATTGAATAGTTATAATCTACTGATATTCTCTTAAACTTAAAATTACGTGAAGACTTTGCTTCAAGTACTCTAAATAAACTTATATCTTACTGTTAATTTTATTCACTAATGAGCTGTTTCAAAATTGTTTACGTTCTCTTTTGTTTTATTATTGGACTCCAATCGCTTTTATATTTTTCTCTCTAAGTATAAGGGATATTGTTTTGCTTTTTGTTGTCAAACTTTTCCAATCGAACACTGCCCTTATAAATGATTTTTTTTTATTCGATGAATTAAACTTTATTATCTTTATTTTCTTTGATAAATTTCATTCTAAAAATTATCAAAGAATGTAATTCATTATACTTAAAATGTTATTATATATATACATAAGGATTAAATTTTTAAGAAAAGAGAACAATTTTTATTTCTAAAAGTCTAAAAGATCCACACCAATACAGAATTCAATGGAATTAAATGATGTTGATTATATCTTACTGTAATTCAAATGGTGCATTATAATTATGTGATTCATATTTTAATTTAAATTAAATGGGTAATAATTGTGTTTCAGAGAGTGATTCATTAATTAATGAAGACACATAAGCCAAATTCAATAAAATAGAATCCAGACCAGGAATTTATGCAGTAGAGCATTCATCAAATACTTGTGTAGAGAGCATTTCGATAATGTCTTCGCCAGACTGTGCTTATCCAATCACATTCAAAGAGAACATGGATGTGATTGCTTTTAAAGGTCACAAGTTCGCGATTTTCGAAAGACACAGTGTCTATTATGGTGAGATCAATTAAAAATACTAAAAAAATGGAAAAGGAAAACTCTACTTATAAGATGTGGATAAGAATGGAAACTAAAAGTTAGTTATAAAGAAAGGAATATTTAAAAATAATAAATATTTAGAATCAGGACAAATTTCACCAAAAGGTGAATGTTTAGATGAAACTTTAGACTCTAAAATTACAGAAGCATTAGATTCGTAGAATTCTCTAATGTAGAATGAGTGTTACAAATACAATAAGTGGATAAACGACAAGGATTTAAATTCTATTAGAGATACAAATCAACTTAGATCCAATATCGTTAATGGATATATCCAGTATCTTTAATAACTTGACGAAAAATTGTATTGGGATACTCCTCCTCATAAAAGGGAGAAGTTTGAGAGGACAATCATCTTCTAAAGCAATTGCCCTTTGGATAGCTATGATGAATTTACATAACTAATAAAATAATTTAGATTTGTTAAGTTTTGGTTAATTTACAAAAAGATAGGGTTTGTAATTGAACACAATCCCAATCGTTGGTACTTTGTAGAAGTCTAGATTACAGAAGACGAATTCAAAATCAATATTTATGATTCCATTAAATGCAGTAAGGCATTTTATTAAAAGATAACACATAAACTAATTCAACTCTTTTAAAAACTATTGAATCACAATCTAGAAGCAAAAGTGATAATCAAAGACAATATTCCATAATCATACAATACGTATGATAGTGCAGTCTACACTTGCATTTTTGCTAGGATGCTTAGATGCAATTGCAGAAACAAAGTACTAAATATGAGTCCTTCACAAATGAGATCAGATTTAGAGAGACTATTTCTTAATTGATTATAATTTAATTAATTATTTAATTTATTTACATATGGGCGCAAATGAATCATAAACATAAATGACATAGGAAATCGTCAACAATTCCGAATTTTAGAAATATCTAAAATCGATTTGTTATAAAGTTCCAAAATCTGGTATCAACAAAAACTATTTTGACAATATTCTTGGAAACTTGAATTAATTTAAAATCATTTCGATAGGATCGACACCTCTAGGTGATCGTCTTTTTGATGTATTAAATGCAAAAAATTAAGACAAAGTCACATCAGAAGTTCTATATTAATTTTTAACTTAATTGTACTCTAATAAAGAATCTAGATGCGAATGTATATAACATATATATTCTAGATACATTTTAAGCCTATTGTTTGGAAGGCAAAAGTATTTAAAAGTATGTGGTTGAAAAGAATTTTATTGCCATGGTGACTGACTCATGGGAGAGGGCATTTGCAGCATTAGTTGAAAAATTACCAGACGATAAAAGATAATAGGATGGAGATCTAATAGAAAATTTGGGCAAATCTTAGGAATAGAAGGAATTAGTTAAGAGAGCTGCTTAAGCATGTTTTAAGAATTTAAGCAAGTCTTTGAATAACTATGCTGACTATTAAGTATTTAAAAGTTGGATAGTTTCCGAAATTTGTGATAAAATAGTGGCAAAATATGAAGGGTATACTGTAGTTATACCATTAACATTGTATAAATTTATTAAATGATTATATTCAAACTTTCATTCATATGCTCCTCCATGATAATGATTTAAATGTGCATAAATATCTTGACTTAAGTTAGCTTAATGCAAGCAGACCCAACAGAAATGGTTTCCACAATTAGTGCAATGAAGATGGCGACATCCTTCATTTTTCTAAACTCCCATCTGACATTTAGGGCATCTTTTGATATTCATTTTCAGTAATTCTGATTCATCTAAGTCTTTTCCATCAATAAATAATTTTTTAGCCTCTTCGCAACTGATCTTAGGATGCGCATTTCGTTTACACTATAAACAAAATGATTATAAGCAACTTTAGCAATAATAGAATTATTCTTTGTCTTCGGGTAACTTTTTAAAGAATTCTTCACAATCAGGCGTTATGCATCCTACGTACTCATGAGCATGTTAATCCTTGTATCTTTTAAAGCTTTAATCTAATAATTTAGAAAATTCTATTTCGCACAGGATTTATTAAAGATCGTAAAGACTTATTGAATTATCACAAGATTGCTATGGGCATTTGTAAGGGGAGTTATTTTAGACTTTAATGGATTCATATAGGCAGCTTTTGCAGAAAATGTGATTACATAAAGCAAGTACATATTTTTCAGTTAGTTCACCATAACAAATTTCACATATATTTTATTGTTAAACTTCTGGAGACTTTGACAGAGATTTCAATAAATGATCTTTACATTTCTATGCTTATTCATTGTTTCCATAGATAATTATTTATTTTTTCTAAAGTATAAAGTCTATGCTAACATTGTATTTTTCTTGTAACATAAACATAATGTTGTCTTTGATTGTTAACAATGATTTAAAGGAATAATTTCTTATACTTACAATAAGATTGCTTGAGACCTGCTAGTTGATCATTGAGTTTATTGCATTCTAAATTTCGATTAAAGAATCCTGATTCAAATACACTTTTATTTTACCAAATTACAATAACCCAGTATTAAATTTAAATCCATGCACATCTTGTAATGATAATAGATCTTCAAAAAATTATCTATTCCTTAATATCTACTTAAAAACCTACTTCCTCAAGCTGACTTTTAATTGATATCCATTTAAAACACCATGCAACATCAAAGATGCTTATCTTACTAAATTTGGATTCTTGCCAATAATAATCATATTTTCACCTGATGAGAATATTCTCAATAGATCCTCTGAATATTTAGCTTACAATTGTTATTTAATATTATTTATTTTCTCTTCATTTAGCAGCAATATACTTTTACTGATTATTTTTATTATTTTATATTCAATTTTCATAGTTACTGATGAGCACCCTATTACATTCTCAGCAAAGTTTATTTGTTTTCTCATTTCCTCCAACTTTATTGGATTTGTTGTTGCCATCACCCTCACCAATATCCTATAATTATTTTTATCAGCTCGAATATCCAAATGAAGAGGTTTTTCTCCAGTATACTTTTCAAATACTTTATTGATTTCTTAGTTCCAATCTTTAGTTTCAACCTACTCATTGCTAATTAAATGCAGTGAGTGTGGTTTAGAACAACCCTTTTATTGAGCCAATTCTTTTAAATATTTAAGTAATTCATATTCATTTGCATTGTAAGGTACGTTCGATATTCTTATTTTAGTATTTTTATCTTAACATATTTTCAGATCCTACTGCCATCCCTTAAATTTTACTATGGAAATGGTTTTAATAAGAAAATCTTCTGCTTCTTCTGAATTATTAAATTGGACAAATCCAAATCCTTTATTCAAACAACCATAAAAAATTAATTCCACAGACGATCTGATTACTCTATTTCTTAATTCTCTTGGTTTTATGGTGAACAACTATTATCTTTCATAGTATTACTGTTCATTTTATAATTTCAATCTCTACTCGGCTTTTTCATTTAAGACATAGGTTATTTGATTGGCAGATTCTTAACTATTAGTGAAGATCTATCCACAATATCCAAATTTATTGGCATTTATCTAAAACAGATTATTGTAGTATAAATGTTATTCGTTAAGAATCTATTAGATTTCTCCAATATTAAAAGGAGATGAAAAAAATTGAACTATCGCTAACTCAGATTAAGTACATTATTGAGTATCATGTATCTATGCTCCATGCTTAAAATAAACAAGCATGCCTTATCCATAAAGTCTAAAATAAAGATAGCTTTTCAATTTTTCATAATAATCCTTCTAGTAAAATTCAAGATCTATTGGTTTTAAAGACCACATTTCGAAAATTCCATTGTCTAAATCCTTATTACAATAATATGAGAATCTTTTCTCCTATTCATCGTATGAGTATTAATTAAAAGTGTGCATTAAATGATTTAATAAGGAGGAAGAAACATTTCTCAGCTATTGGTATTGATACTTATCTGGAACAAAGTTCTCAATCTCTTCTATTTGACTAGGTTTTAAGATTTCCTTTAGTTTCTCTATTTTGACTTCTTGGGCCACTCTGCAGAAATCAAAGTAATCTGAAGAATACAGATCTGAACATATAATGTATTTAGGGAAATGATTCAACAAACTTAAAGTGCTGGACCCGTATATTCTTACATTTCTTTTTGACTTCAAAAATGTGTATCCAATGTAGGGATTCCCATTATAAACACACAAGTCAGGATAGAATGCTGTCAAAAAGCAAGTCATCACACATTCGTCTCTTGTAGCATCTGAATTCCAGAGAATTTTATTTTTTAATTCTTAATTATCACACAACTACAAATCAAAATAACTAAACGTCTTCTCCATCTCATCAAAAGCTTTTTCGCAATTTTTTAAAGTCTTGTAATGATATCCTTTTTCGAGACATCTCTATTTTATTTGGGCATTGCTATAATTGGAATCAATGAGTGATTTAAAATCCCAATAAACTCTAGAATAAGTAAAGAAATCACCCATCTCATGTAAACATTCTATTTTATTAGAAATATCAGTATTTTTCAAGTATAATGATTGATTATTGAGCATTACACAAATAATGGAGAGAGCTTCTCTAAATACGTTTTTGTAATAGGCTTCAATTAAGATTCTACTCATTCTTGGTTCTGTTTAGATTTATGACATAAATTTTCCTAAAACTGTAATGTTCCCTTGTTCATCTAGTGCTTTGATATCTATTAAGTATTATTAGCTATCTCTCATAGCTTAATGATTAGGAGATTGTATAAATTCGAACTCAAACGGATCCTTATTAAATGATTTGATTCTCAACACAACTAAATCCAGACAACATCTTTAAATTTCAGGTGTCTTATGCTCTTACATCTAAGTCAAATATTCCATTTCTGAATATAATCTATAGCATTTTCCTTGTCTCGTTCTTCCCGCTCTACCTGCTCTTTGATTAGCCTAAGCTTAAGATATCCAATTAATTTTTGTAATTTGCATTCCTCTTTTTTAATCATATTCAGAGAATCGATCAACTCCAATGTCAATAACAACACTTACATCATTGATTGTAAGAGCTGTTTCAGCTACTCTCGTAGAAAAAATGATTTTGATCTTCCTAGTTTCTTAGAAAACATTGAATTGTTCATCCTATGTCATCTGACCATGCAATCCTAAAAATAGAAATTCATCCATATCGAAATAATCCTAAAATAAATACAGGAGTCTATGAATTTCATCTACTCCTGCCAAAAATACAAGCACATGTCTTTATGTATATGTCTCATTCATTACCTTAGAGATTATCTTATCTTAAATTAATGAGTAAATTTATTCTATGTATCTGTCTGAATATGAATTTTAATACTTGATCTTTACATCGAATAACTTACCTTCAACCTTAAATGCTTAACATTAAAAATATCTACTAAATAATTATTCATCCATCGTAGCACTCATAATTATTATTTTAAGATCCTTTCTTTTATTCATTATATCCTTTAGTAATCCAAGTAAAATATCAGTATTCATATTTCTTTCATGTGCTTCATCTATGATCACAATTTCATAATCATTTAAAAGAGGGTCTTTTTGCAAGATATTTAATATTATTCTATCCTATGTAAAGATAATCTTATTCTCATCATCTAATTAATCATATTCATTTAAATAAGCCACACGCCCTCCAAGTTTGGTATGCATCTCTTCAGCAACTCTCTTAGCCAAACTTCTCGCAGCTATCATTCTTGGCTCTACACACATGATTTTCCCTTTCAACTCAATTTCTTCATATATATATTAGACCAATTATGTAGATTTACCTGATCCTGTAGCCCCTATCAACAGAATCGCTTGGCTTTACTGTATGTTATCAATCAACTCCCTTTTTTTAAAATATATAGGCAATTTCTAAATGACTCTCTACTTTTCTTATAGAACTCTTTTATACAAATTTTTTAAATATATTTTATTTTCTTAAATCGTCTTCAAACCTTAAAAGTTTATAACATCATTTTTGACCTTATTCAACACTCTGTGATACTCTGCATATATTTATTTTGTTTATTCAATTTTATCTGTGATTGCCTTCATTTAATCGTAGATTTCCTCTTATAGAATAAAATCTTCTTCATTATAATAGTTTTATTAATCCGACTTCTATTTCTCAAGAATTTCTTAATCATATATCTCCTGTTCTAATTCAGGAAGAATTTATAATTTTTCTATTAATTCTTTTTTCTGCTTAATCAAATTTTGAGTATTACCTGAAGTAACATTCTTTTTAATCATTTCAAGTCTTTGCTTACTGTCTGCTATTAATTAAGTATATGTCTAAAATAAGGTGATATCATTTTTTATTTATTCGTTCTCAATAATCTTCTGATGATTCAAAAAGAAGAGTCTACTCTAATTCTATATAATCATAATTTTGCATTGACCAAATCTATTATGTGTATTTAAACTCCTAGGTAATATGCCCAGTATGTCCCAATAACTTGATTTATAGATTGAAATAGGGTATTTCAAGTTCTGATTGTAACTAGATTTGAAATCCTATACAATCTACTAGACACACCTACTTAATTCCGTAAATTCTATTTCATCTATGTAGAACATTTGTTCAATCATGGATAATGTTATCTCTTACAAGTATTAGTAAGTGTAAAAATGAGAGATGGCATCTTTAATTTCACTCCACTTTCTTCTCTTTATTTTTTTCTAGAGATTCAATTAATTATCATTAATCTTATATTCAATAACTATTTCGAAATCCTAATTGATGTAGAATCTGATATCTATTAATTCCCTATTATAAGTCTCTATGAGATTCTTCTTTAAATATTTCTTTAATATTTCTATGATGGCTTATTCATCTTAAACCTTGAAAGTATCGAATCTCTCTTTCAACAATTCAGCGCATTCATCTCTTTTGAACTCATCCTCCTGATTTATAAAATCATCTGCAATATTATGTTCTCTACACTCTTTAGATTCAAACTTAATGTTTTTTAATCCCAACTCACGTAACTATTTCCTCAACAAATATTCTTTCATCTTCCCTGGTTCTACAATGAATGGTTCTAAATCTAGTTGAACTTCAAAGTAAGGTAGATTTTATTTAAAAATCAAATGTACATCACAACCTTTTCTTAATAACTCAATCAATTAACCCATTCCTTAAGCTAATTCTTGAAATATAGCTTTATCACTATCAACAAGTCTAATCCTAGTAATTAATTTGTGTTTTTCCTTCAAACAGGAAATCATTCTGATGGCCTTCTAATATACCATTTAAACATCTCTTAATGTATTTTGATTAACAATTGCATTAGAGTTCATTATTTTTATTAATGAGAAACTTTTCAATAAATCTATTAATTATAAAATTATTTGTAATTTGAATTATCCATTTTTGATATATATTTGATGTAAGTGAGCTATTTTAGTTAAATTAATTCGAAGATATATATGTTTGTATGGTGATCAAATTTTTCATTAAATATAAATGCTTAAATTTTAAAAGAAATCTAAACACGAAGCCAAGACCTGCCTTCTAGATGTTGTTAATTCATTAGACTTCTTTGGCTAACCTCCTTTTTTTAGAATCTTGAAAAGACAAAAGTTTAATACACTTTTGGGTCATTTTCTGACTGTCATTCTCATGATTATGTGCGCCCTCTATTTGTATTTCCAATTTTAAGACCTCCTTGATCAAAGAACACCCAACATAATCATATCCGAAACTCAACCCTTTAATACGCCGGTATTTTTTTAACGACTTATTGAATAAGGCTTTTCCATTAAATTCTGAGAACTTTACCTTTGCAATTAGCATCACAGGACCAACTTTATCATCTCTAACCACATACAAGAAACACTTCGATATTACTATGACTGCTTGCAATAGAACCCGTTTTTACAATGAAACAACTAAAGCGACAGATATTTCATTAATGTATAAAAATACATACATTTTTAGATGCAGAAATATCCCTTTAGAAGGTTGTGATCTTGAAGCTCATTTTCCAATGGAGTATCAAAAACAATTTTTTGGAAAATTCAGATTAAACAACATGTTTTGTATTAACAAGAAACTAAGAGAAGAAAATCCACCTGTATTTACTAAAAATAATATAGCAAATTCAAGGATATACCAGTGCAGATACTTATTAATATGTCAACATCTCAATGTCTCCTTGCAAAAACACATCAACATATGATGGGTGCAGTCCCGTTGAAGAAATTTAGGCAGGATTAAAGACAGGGTTCTTTGCCCTATATTTAGGAGACACTCTATTAAAATTGGATAATCCAGGTAGACCTTATGAGGAAATTATCACTGTTTAATTTGCAGCATTTTCATCTAGTCTATCAAAATAAATTTATTCGACCTTCAAAATGATTGAAACCAAAACTGATGTTGGATTAATCTAATAGGACCTAGTCACAGAATTAGGATTGATGCAATCTTCAATCAAGGACTCCTCGGGACCATTCAATTAGAATTCCTATGTAGAAAATATTCTATTCATGGACTAAAGAGCCAATAATTATAGGAGATCCTACATTAAAATTTAAAACATTCTTGGCAATGTCGGAGGTCTTTGGCAATTAGTGGCATTGACTATTACCACTCTGGTGAGTCCTATAATAGCGACATTGATGAATCTGTAGATGGCAAATAGGATTTTCAATTTTGAAAATGGAGGTGAAAAAGTTCGTGAAGTACATTCAGTTTCCAATTCAAATCCAAATATCAATATCAACGGGAAACCTGAGCAGAAAGATCTTATTGTGGAATTAAACAAGCAGGGGAGAATCCCCTAATCATCTAAAAGGGATTTAGAGAAGGTGTAAAATAGGGGTCAATTGAAGTAGTATTTGAAGTAGAGGAAGAGACAGTTGAAAGTAGGTTTATGGGATCTGATGTGTATGAATATAGGACTGAAGAGGAGACATAAGCAATAGATTGATTATGCAATTGAGAAGATTTTGTGTAAGTTGGATGTTGTCAATATATTGACTAAGATTCAGGAGATAGACAAATTAAAATATGTGATGTTGAATAAGGATCAGTTAGAATTGTTTAATTATATTCCGAAACCCTTAATACCTATGGATATGTTCTCATAAGATTTTGAGAAAAAGTTGAATGTTCTGGAGGAGAAGGCGGAATTCCAATTTATTTTGTAGGAAGAGAAGTCAGACATGATTAAGGTGGAGTAGGCATTCAATGCTTACATGAAATTGTAGGAGAAGAAACGATTAAGTGATACTGACAAAAGCATTCTTGAATTGGTTGGGGATGATATGATAGCGATATTCGATAAGATTAATAGGAATCAAGATGAGTTTTTGTTGCAGAGTAATAGATACATTCATTCGAATTTGAATTTGCTGGAGTAGAACTAGATAGAAATCATATCGCCGATTAGTAGCAAGAGTGATAATGATTAATTTAATAAAAGTGTTAACAATTTTGAATGCTTAGGAAATGAGGATAATGAAGATTAGGTTGCACAAATTCCACCCAAAATACCATCTAAAAAATGAAAATATTATAATATTTGTTATTTGAATTAAATTTTCATGGGATCAAAATGTTCAAATTGTGCTTAATGTCAGAAAGATAAATTGGAATAACTCAATGAAGTCACCATAACTAAAAAATCTGAAAGCCATAAAAATGTTATTTCTTCAAATTCTTAATTATCTTAATAAAATAATGGCCATCTCCGTAAAGTTTATACGATCTTAATCATAATAGTAAAAATCAAATTAAAGTCATGATGATACTGATAAGAAAGCTAAGGCATTATTGCATTCTAAAAAGGCTATTGTCATATAAAAGTATTGGAAGGGATATAAATCAAGGATAGCCTATTAACAGGCCAGAATGTATTTAAAAAAGTCTAAAATTGAATAAGCTATAACAGAAAGTAAAAGCAAAAGAAACACCTAGAAATATTTTATATAAGAGGAGTATGCATGTAATGTTATATATAAATAGCAAGCAAAAATAAAGTTTGAATCTCAATAAAGAGAATATCGATCAAAATACGAATTCAAGAGTGGGTCTACTTATGAAGGAGAATGGTTGGGTGATTAACGAGATGGTTAGGGAATTTAAATTTGGGTGGATGGAGCCAAATACATAGGTTAATGGAAGAATAATTAAGCCTGTGGATAAGGAACCTTTTATCATATCGATGGAGCTATTTATGAAGGACAATGGGAGAATGATAGAGCCAATGGATTTGGAATTTACAAACAATCAAATGGAGTTGTTTACTCAGGATAATGGAAAAATGATTATCAACATGGGTAAGGTCAGGAACAATGTATTTTAATTACCTAACATATTTAGGGATTGATAATTCTATGTATTAGGGAGAATATTTTTAAGGCAAGAAATAAGGATAAGGAACTTATAAGTGGCCAGATGGAAGTTACTTCGAAGGAGAGTGGTTTGATAATAAGATAAATGGTTATGTATAAGTACAATTGAAAATAGGGAGTTTATGTTTGGGCTGATGGAAGAAAGTATAAGGGAATATGGAAGGATAATAAGATGCATGGTTATGGTGTATATTAATGGGCGGATGGAAGATCATATCATGGTGAATATTTCAATGACAAAAAACATGGAAAAGGAAAATACTTTTGGCCGGATGGGAAAGTATTTGAAGGAGAATGGCTGGAAGGGAAATAGAATGGCAGAGGGAAGTACCTAATGCCAGATGGAAGAGTTAAATTTGGATGGTGGGAGAAAGGCAAACGAATAAATCTTGATGGAAAATTTGAATGAATTAATTTTGTACCTTATATATTCATTAAGAGAATGTTCTAGTTAAATTATACATATTCTTATTAAATATCAGTAATGTTGTCATTACATGGATTCAGTTAATATGTTATAAATAATAATAATATAAGATTGTAAATATATAAGTGCACGATATTTCATTATTCTAAGCTTTAGTTTTAATGTTAGGGAGTAGGCTCTGAGGCTTGATCACGAGCTTAATTTCCTTTGAAACAATCACAACACTTTTTGACACAACTTTTTTAATTGCCGTATTATTCTGGCATTACTTTATCTATACGAGGAAAGCAGCATTCAGTTATTGTACTTCTATACTTGTATATTAATAGGATTGCAATAAGTAGCATGATAATTGCAATGATCAATCCAACTCTTGCATCTTTATCTAATGCTCGTTAAGGACTCATAGGTTCTATATTAATATTTCTTATTATTACCTTCATATAAGGCATCTTCGTAAAACAAGATTTTGGGTTGCAATTGTGTTTAATACTCTCTTGGCCCTTTATCCACTGTCTCATTGGACGCATTCGTAGCATATAATTCATTGAATCCATAGAGATGTATGATTAATCCAATTTCTAATGAATATCTGCCAAACAATGGTTCTCCTTTGGTAATTTTAATGGGAACCTAAAAGTATTATTATCCCAACATCTCGACGAGTGACAAATTCTAATCTATGTAAGTTGTCTCTGATTCTGATAGGAATGTCCAATTGATAAACCTTACATAAGGAGTCATGCTGAAGAGTAATGAACTGCATAAGGTGTTGGATTCCACTCCAATACATGCATTTTATTAATATTTAAAGTACTCCCTCTCTGCTTCCTCAGTTGCTGTAGCAAATTGAATATATTGTTTTGGATCGTTGGGATCATCAGGAATAGGGGCTGAGTATTTGTATTATTGAGGTAACAATGCACTGATTCCTCTGGTGTAATTACTCCAAATCACAGTGTAATTCTTCTCTGGATGAAAGACACTACTATTCAATTGACTTTGAATATAGTTATAACAGACCGTTCTGACATTCTATGTAAATTAAATATTAATACCTCTGTAAATTCACGACTCTTAAACTAATAACATGGGGGATTACCATCTATCTTTTTGTTGTAATAATCCTCTTCTACAACTAATTTGCAATCCTTAGATGGTTACTCTATTTCACAAACTATTGGGTTCCAATATCTGCAGTAATCTCCATAAAAATCAGGGGGACATAAACATCCATAATGCAATCTATATCGAATGGTACAGTTTGCTGAATTATTGGCTGTAATATCCTCATATTATTGTTAAGTGACTCGTGTCTTATAGCAATAATGTTAAGTCACATTGATTAGAATAGGTTAACCAAGATAACACTTAAGTGGATAAAGTGGCCCTTATCTTAAATATTCATTGATTGTAGTGTTCAAAGTGGCTGGAGGTTGTTGAGTCCCTGCTTCTTCCATGACTCTATTTATTCTGGCATGTTTTAAATTCTTCTCAATCTCTGGCATAGGAAACTAATCCCCCTAATCCTAATCTAGACTTCTTAATCCTAATGTTTATCTCATCATTTCCATCGGCATTCTCGTAACTAACATCTATGCCTTATGTCTCCACTCCTCATATAAGGCATTGGTCTCTTCCAACAGGGATGTTTTTGCAATACATTGTATTACTAATAATAAAAGAAACATTAATTATTATATATTATATTCTTAAGACTTCTTTAAATAATTGTATGGCCGAAAAGATCTTCATTTCGAATACTCAACTTCATTCAATAATCTCATACTAAAGAATACATTAACATTTAATCATAAAAACTCCCACACAAATTTAAGGTATTGCTTTAGTCCTTTAATTAATGAGATTTTCGATGATACATCCAGTCTAATATCTGAAAGATAACTTTCTTTCAACTATTTAGTTTCCTTAAACTTCTGTAATATCCTAATTGCTACTTCTACTATTTGCATTTAGCCTATCAGGATTTCCTTTTCTTCCTTGTTGATGTAAATCTAAATAATCAAAGAATATATATATACTGCAAATCGTTTTTGATATTCAATTTTCTATTCTAACTCCTTAAGATCTTAAACTAAATCTTAAGAGTAAGATCTCATTAGGTTTTGTAATAATGAATAGTAAAATTCCATAACTAAAATTTCGTAATCGATCGACACAGGAATAGTACTCAATAAATCTTTTTCAGTACCATATTAAACTCTTAGGAGCAATCGCAAAAATACAATTGTGTCTATGTTGAGCTTGTTCTTTTTAATCCTGAACTCCTTTGATAATGATGCAACCGGAATTTCGTGACCATTATATAAAATCGTATTTACAAATGATTCACCCTCAGGTATTAGTTTTTTAATAATTATTGTACTCAAGATTTCATCTCTGCTTTTATCTTCATCTTTGAAAATGTCTGTATTTAGCCATAGCTTTATATTGTCAGTTAATTACTCTAAAATTAAATGAACTATAGATATTCTCTGGCAATGCAAATCCATACCAACTAATCAAAAATCTATTTGTCCTCCGCCCATAAGAGACTGTAACCTATTCAAATTTCTTAACTGGCTCAGTAGTTGCAATACAAAAATATGCATCTTAATCATATTCATCCAACCAATCCCATTTTGACTCTTCACTTGTCTCACTTTCATTATCACTGGATTGTGTTGGTTCACTTTGTAGTTTACTAAATCTCCCATTCATACTCTACTATTTTGCTTTAATGGCTTCTATTTAATATTAAGGCAAGCCTCGTATGATTACTTTGTTTTTCTTTTCTATTGGTTATACAATGAATCTTACTTGGATTCAAGGTGACAGTGACTATAGGCTGATTTTTCAATTAAATAGATTGATATTATTTTTCAATTCTCTTTTGTTCTTCCCTTATTTTCCATTCTGCTATTTCCTTAATCTTCAAAATTTCAAATTCTTTACTTTTTGCTAGTTTGATTTCCTCATCAGAATCATTATCTTCACTATCCGAAGAAGAAATAGAATCCAAATCCCAGATATTCATTCTAGGATCTTATATCATTTACTCATAATATATCTAATTAATTATTTCTTTTTTTCCATCTATCGAAAGTGTTTCCAGATTATCAATAGCTTTTAAACCTCTCAAATATTCTTTATTATCTAAAACAAATTTAATTTTCTCATCCTCAACTATCTACATTTCATTACCATTCTCAATGCCCAAAATACTCAAATTGACTTTGTTTCTTTTTGATATATATTGCTATTGAAAATGTGCATGATCCTTTTATTAAAGAGGAATCCCTTTTTCTAACCCTTTATGAACCATATAATGAGTGCACGCTTTATTAGAATGATTAAGAAAATCAGCTATTGGAATTATACAAGTAGATTTTAGACTCCATCCAAAACATCTACTCATGACACATTCAACAGCCCAGTAAAAGTCCTTTTTATCAGTTAATCTAGATATTCCAAATACATCCTCATTATTATCAAGGATTTATTTGGCTTTTCCCCATAATCCTAAGACATCTTATTTGATGTTGGCAAACTCCTCCATTATGATAGGATTTTCAATTTTCTTTAAATCCTCATTAGACCAAGTTAGCAATGTATTATTTGCTTAGACAGCTTAAATGTAGGGGTAATAAAATGACAATTCGCCTTTCTTTTTTTCATTGAACATATAAAAAACTGAGATACATATCAATTTGATACTTAACATATTAAACTCTGCATCATTGGTTTCATCCTTATCAAACATCTCTGGATGACTCTTGTAAACTGAACTAAGATTGGTACCCTTACATTTATCTGGCGAAATTATTAATGTTTAAGGTATGCAAATAATTGCCTAAGAGTTTCTAAATAAATACTTACAGTATTTGATGGTAAGTCTTCAGAGGCAACTACTCCTGTGACATCACCAAAGGAAGCTGGAAAATCTACACCTTTCATCAAGACTCCATTCTCAATACTCCACTCGAAAAGCTTTTTGTATTTTAGATTTTGTTTGATTTCATTTGTTTTGTATTAATCAAATTCCATGAAATAATAATTAAAATATCTGTATGACCAATTTAATTTCAACATTTTAATCAAAGTGGTTAATAAATTATAGTTAAGTTTAATTTTATATTAAATATTTTTATGGTATTTTACTGTTGTTTCAATATTAGGTTTATTTGAACTTTAGATTAAAAATACATCTATATTTTTAAATAACTAGTCTTATTCTTTTAGATTAATAATAGTTAATTATGTTGTTAATCTGTTATTTGATCAATAACCTAAGAGGAAAAAGTAAGATTCTTCAAAATTTTGGATAACTGCCTTTCTCAAATTAATTTATTATGGAAATGTGAACTATTTCTATTCAACTTAATTTTAGACAAAATTTAAAGAAATATCACCCGTTGTCTTGAATAATGAAAGAGAGGATTAAGTATTAATTTTTAAAAACTCCTTTATTTTTTTATAGTACATGTATTTAAGCCAAAAAGAGATACTTCATCAAATTATGAACACAAGTTTGATAGGTTCTCTAACTGCGATTACGAATTACTAGTTGTTTTATAGCCATCATTACACTTTATGAAATTAAATAATGGTAGGATTACGACATTAATAAAAGTGAATGTCTTCATTCACTATAAGTATTTATATTTTCTTCATAATTTCTGATGAATTATAATTTTCATGAATTATTAAACTGCATTAGAATAAATCAAAGGGTATGAACCTCATTTCTAGGATTACAATTATGTTGATCTTCTAAGTATCAAATCTAAACTAAAGATTGCAAACAATTATCTTTATTATGGATAATTATTCAACAATCTCAAACATGGTAGAGGTTGCATATTAAATAATTGTAGGTATTCTCTTATCATCAAATGGACGCAGATATGAGGGTCACTGGAATGAAGATGAGAAAAATGGATATGGATGGGAGTTATTGCCAAATGGTTCATAATATGAGGGCTATTATTTTCATGGAAAACCTCATGGAAAAGGGAAATTTATATGGGCTAATGGAGAATATTATGTAGGAGAATGGAATATGGGAATCAGAGAGGGATAAGGTAAATTTGAATTCTCTATGCAGGGATATGGTGTGGCTTAAATGGTGAGTATTATTCAGGACAATGGAAGAGTAATTAGGCCACAGGTTTTGGGGAATACATTTAAAATGGCAATAAGTATATAGGCAATTTTCTTTAATGGCTGAAAAATGGAGAAGGCTAAGAGTTCTTTAACAATGGAGATAAATATCAAGGAAATTACTTGAATGGATTACCTCATGGATATGGAGAGTATATCTGGAGTAGTGGAGCGTAATTCCAAGGATATTTTAAGGAAGGATTACGTTATGGGAAGGGAATTTGGAGAAGGTCGGAGGAATTACCAACAGATTCTTATTAAGGGCATTATGATGAAGATAAAAAAAATGGATTTGGAGTTTATAAATGGGCAAACGGGAATGTATATAAGGGATAGTTTATGCATGATTATAAACATGGCTATGGGGAAATGATATACTTTGATGGTTAAGTTGTTAAAGGCAATTGGGAACAAGGAAAATTGGTTAATTAAATAAGGACTCAGTCCGTTGAAAAAATAAAAAATGATAATAATTATCAAATTAAGATAGTTGATGAAATAAATTAAGTGGCAATAAATACAAATGAAAATAGAATCGTTCTAAAAATCTCAGAAGTAGCTAAGTAGTCAAATATTTAATACACTTCAAATCATAAAGAGAAAGTCAATTTTCTTTATCCTTCGATATATGAGAATAAGAAATATTCATAAATTAGTAATCCTTCAACATAATAAACTAATAGAACAAAAAAACTAATTAGAATCAAATAGTATACAAAGGAAAGATAATTAAGTAAGAGTTAAGAATGTGCAAAAGCATTTAAGCCAGCTCCACAAATAGAGTTGACAGAAAGATCAAAGATATAATCAAAATTTTGTATAAAAGCAACAGAGAAGCAGAATTTGCAAATAAGAAAAACTAAATTATCCCAATCTTTAATTAACTGATATCTACTGTAAATAAATTTATTGATTTTTATTTATAATAATCATCATAATTCATTAAGTATTTCACTATTTTTGTTACTTAAATTAATTTAGGATAATAAAATGATACTCTCCATAGGAAATATATATTCCTTCTTTACCTTTTGTATAATTAAGAAAAGTAGTTTAATACTGAGAATTTAAAAAATACATTTTATTCATATTTTTCAATATAAGAATATATTAATGATGATTTATTGTAATATATATACTCTTTTTAACATATACTGATTTTTCAACTTAATTCCTTTTCTACTTCAGCCAAATCCTTGGGCATTTCATCAATTTTAGTGTTGTAATACTTTTCAACTTCTAATAAGAGATTAGCTTCTTGTTAAGCAACCATATTGATTGCAACTCCCTTTCTACCATATCTACCAGCTCTTCCAACTCTAAAAAATTGATTAAAATGAATGATACCTGTGAATATATTATTCCTTGAGTCTTGGGAATTCATAATTGATAACCAAAGATAATTATTGAACATCAATACCTCTTCCCATAAGATCTGTAGATACTAAGATTCTTGCAGCTCCCTTTTTGAATTCTTACATAACCTAATAGAATAGAGATGATGAATTTACTTATTCTCTTTCCTTTTATTCCATTTGACTATGGATTTTACTAACTGTAAAACCTTCTGCTGTCAATTTATCATAGAGATCATCGACTGTCTTTTTGGAATTGCAAAATAAGATTGATTATGAAACTGTAAGATTCTTGTATAATTCAACCAAAACTCTGAACTTTTGGTCTTCTTATTAAATGGCAATGTAGAACTATCTAATACCTTCCAAGGTCAATTATTCCTTCTTGACTAAAATCTTTGCTGTTCCATCTCTTAAGAATTATTTACTCAATTCAATAATTTCTTATGGGAATGTTGCACTAAACAATGCTATACAGAATATATGATGAATGTATACCAATTTAGATATCTCCTGGTACCATTTTAAGAATTTCAGCGAAGTTATCACTGAATCCTTGATCCAACATCTAATCAGCTTCATCAACAACTAATAATTTCATGAATGTGGCATCCAAATATTTGTTTTTCATCATATCAATCAATCTTCCTGGAGTGGCAATGATGATGTGCACACCTTATTTGCATTTCTCTCTTGTTTCTTGAGTTGAGGTTCCTCCAATGCAACAAAAGGCTTCAATATTTAAATATTATCCAATTCCTTTGACAACATCATAAATTTGCTTTGCCAATTCTCTAACTGGTGCCAAAATGATGACTTGGGTCTTTCTCTAATTTGGGTCAATTCTTTGTAAAGCACCAATTGTGAATGTACCTGTCTTTCCAGTTCCTATTAAATATTGTAAATTAGAGTGCTTACCTGATTATGCTTGTGCCAATACGTCTTTACCAAGGATGATTGGTTTAATGGCCTTTTATTAGATGGCTGATGGTCTTTCGAAACCGTAAGAAAAGATGCCTCTCAATAAATCTTTGCCCAATGTTAATTCTTCGAATGTTTCGACTTGCTTTTTAATTTACAATAATTATTTACCTCATTCCAATTTTCTTGTAAATCTTATGTAGCTTGATCCATAAATATTCTAATAAAAATATTTTTATTTTCATACTTTCGATAATGTCCTTTTTATTTAAAAAAAGATTTAAATTAGACACTATAATCGAATGAAATTTAATAATTCTCAAAATAACACAAAAAATGACTAAGATGCTTCTTAAAGCCCTTAATCATTCTAACAACCTCAAGACAAAGTGATATTTATATTGGTATTAATATTATAATTTTCATCTTCCAGAGACTATGGCTATCATTCTCTAAACCAATTATAATAAATTAGCATTAAACAATATAGATCTAATGAAATATTGATCAATCCATTACTTTATTTCTCAACCCAATCCAGTGAAGTCTTGCTTAATTGATTAATTCAGAATCCACTTTTATTCTAGATATAACGAACAACAATATAGAGAAATAACGAAAATAAATAAGGAAGTTGAATTGATCTGATACTATTTTCAATGTTTTACACAAGACTTACCAAACAAATTGCATGCAACCACTCTAGTACACAAAAGGTTGCAAATACAAATCTAAAAAATATTATATAATTTAAAGTAGCCTATACTTATCAATATCATTTACCTTTCTTGCAGTACTTCTAAAATATCAATACTATGAGATCAGAAATGCTTTAGAACTTAGTTGGGAGCTGCTAAATTCAAATAATTCTGCTACAAAAGGAACTTTCATATTCTGAAAACTCATGAAAATCAAAAAATTTACTTGTATTCATTCCTATACTTATTCTAATTTATAATTATAAGAGTTATCTGTTGTTTTTGATAAGATGCTGTAATCTTAAAAGTAATATTTCAATAATTTAAAATATAATATTCACTTGAAATTATTATACATATTTCAAAATTTTCATTTTCTTCTAACTAAACATTATAATATTAATAGGATATTAATATTATTTTTCTCAATTATATTAAAAGGGGTGATGGTTCTATAGGAGTAATCTTGGTTAAGATGATAAAGTATTTATTATATATCATAGATAGAAGTCCTTAGATATATATATTATCATCAGAATATATTATATTATTCAAATCGCCAATTCTTTTACATCTATGAATTGACTAATGATCAAATATTATATATATTAATAACATGTTTTATTTTGTAAATCATTATATTTTTTCTTAATAATAAAATATTTCTTATTCAAAAGTAATCCATTTCATTAAGTAATTATTATATTCGTATTATATTATAATCTATTTAAATGAAGCAAATTATAAATATCAAATAATTTATAATAGAAAAAGATATGTTTAATTTTTTTCTATTAACAGAAAGGGTCTATATTTCGAAGTCTATAAGGAGTTAACTTTAACAAATCTCAATAGTCAAAATACTCTGATTAAAGCTTCTTGAAATTGAAAGAATACATTTATAATAAAATTTTACATTGAAATAATATGATTAATTAATATAACAGCATTAATAAAGTCTAAAAAAAAGAACAAACACATAGATAATGATATAAATAGTTTAGGAAGGATAGGGTAAGTAGTGTGCTTAATATTAGAATAATAAGAAAGATAAGAATTTGAAGTTGATGAAAATTAATTTAGGAGATGGGAATAAGGTATTAATGAAATATTAATATAGTTGCTAATCAATATAGATAAGAGATACTAGTAAAAACTTTCAAATTATGATTATTAGTTGTTGGAACAGCAATTGTGGTAGACCAATATTGATAAGGTATTTTAGAAGGGTAAAGGAGTACCTAAGAAATTGTAATAAAAACTGAGGAAGATGAAGATGGGAAAATCAAACAGGTAGTGTAGTATTTGCTGTAATAATTTCTCTAAAGGTAAGAATCTATTAATATCTTAGATGAAACGATAATACAACTACCCTGTAAACATATTTTCCATTAATCTTGCTTATTTTCTTGGCTTGATCATAGTACGAAATGTCCAAATTGTCGAAGTGATGTATTGGAAGATTTGAAGAGTGAAGAGAAATGATTTACATTTCTATGGACAAAAAGTTTATATTAAAAAAAAAAATTCATGACAAAAATGCAAAAGCTAAATTGGATGAAGTAATTTACTCAAATATCCTACATCTTGGAAATTTAATAAAATCATTTCGTTTTCTCTATAAGAAGAAGACTTTTCTAATTTTAAGTTTAAAGAATTCAGTCTTTTTAATTTATTCTAAAATTAGATTGTTCTCAATAATTAATTGATATTATTCAATCATGATTAATACTTTAGTTGTAATATTATTGCGTCTCTTTATTGTATTGTTGCTATCTATTGATAATACTTCTTGAATTAATTCTTTATGCTTTTATTGTTATTACTTAGTTGTTATTTAATGAATGCTAGATTATTAAATGATTTTATTCTATTAATTATAATTGCAAGAACAATATTATTGTTTAGTTTCAACGAGAAAATAAAAATAAATTTATTAATAATATCTGTTATGATGAGTAATAATAATCGGAAACCCTAATCATCGAAGGATCTAAGAAATAAAGGCAATTCTGGATTGAATCGTAAGAATGATATTCCTCAAAAAAGAATATAATCTGCAATTTAATCAGTATTAAATTATATAATTTAGGTTGATAAATCGCTTGACCCAAGTGGAAATCTCGTAGAACAACTCAACAATATAGTTTAGGATTATTTATTAAGATCTAATTGTATTAAAACATTGGAACAATTCAAAATAGAATCATAATTTGCAAATGAACAAAGTAATGAAACCGAACATATTATTTTGGGGCATTTTGATAGAGGAGAAAGAGATAAGTTTTTTGAATCATGGAGTCGCTACATTCCAATATCACAGCGACAAGACCACGATTCATGGAAATTAGAATTCTATATATAGATCTATTTCTTTATCTATCCTATTCATCCAGTTTTCAAAAAGAAAGGCTAAATAGATAAATACTCAATCTATTAACTCAAAAATTATCTAGACAATAAAGGAGAAGACTTATCAAAAACAAACGAAGTTCTTCCCTTCTATGCATTACCATATGTGAAAAATCCAGAAACTCATTAATCCTTCTAGCATCTATTTACACATGAATGGATATCTGATCTAAGAATGAAATTAAAGGAATTCATCCAATCCATCTATGGATCTGATCAACATGGTAGTATTTTGAAAAGATTGGTTCTATCTAAAGAAGGATCTGTAAATAATCGGCAATAAGATAATCAAAAAAGAATTGCAGAAATGAAGTAATTGCAATAAGAAAATACGGAACTCAAAAAGAAGAATAACCAATAGATTTAAGCATTGCAAGAATTAAATCATCTAGCATAGAAAAATTTAACTGAAACCTAATAAAAATGGGTATAATTTACAGGAGAATTGTTGAAAACACAAAAAGAAATGTTGAAATACATAGAGAGCAATAGCAAGATACCAGAATAAATACAAAAATTCAAAAAAAAGATTGCATCTTGTGATAAATTCCTAGGTTAGAATTTTGAGGATTTAGTGATTAGATCAGAAGACATTTCGCTGTTTAATAACCTTACCTAACCAGATCATGATTTATCTGAAATTACAAATTAGCAATGTATGCTGTGGTTATAATACTATTTATAGAAATGAATCCAGTTTAACAATCTATAGAAGAGTATATTCCTTTAAACTATGAAAAAATAATTTTGTTGTTCACAAAGTCGCAAAATTCAGTATTGATTGCCACTGTATTATAAGCATTGAGATGGAGAATCACGAGGGCTAGAAGTGCTTTGGAAAGAAGAGCAGTGGTGGTTGCCTACTAAACTCATGATTTGATAGGAACTCATTAAAGAAATATTATTTTAGCTTAGCATTTAATGTTTAAAGCTGCTCCTGTAATTTAATGTTAAACATTAAAATTAATGAATGCTTTGGCTTCAGATTACAATGGTAGGACTTATTTAACTTCGAATTCTTAACTAATAAAACTATTAATTGAATTAGTAAAAAAAGATTAGACTGATTCAATAAAAAGAAAAAATGCAATTGGAACTTTACAGAAATTGTCATTACGCAAATAAAGCTAGATATGGATGCTTGATAGCGATATCATCTATGTAGCATTAACAATATTACAAAGAGTATTATCAATAACTATATAAACAATAGGAAAAATTTATACTTAGTGAATACACCTATGAATACATAACAGCATTGATAATGAATTTATCATTAAGCACAAGGGGTCGTGATGCATTGTCCATGAATAAAGAGCTCGCATTTGAAGTGCTGTTTGAATTAATAGAATATCCTAATGATCAGATTAGGACCTTTACAAATGGGACATTTTATTCAATGTTCAGTAGAAGAGATCTTAGAGATTATGCATATTAATTAAATATCCCTCAAGAATTACCAAAGTTATTGACTGTCAGTGAAGAGAAGTTCAAGAAATAAATACAATACATGATTGAGTAATTAGAAAGCAATGAGGATGATTATGATGAATCTTAAATGGAAGAGGATAATGATGTAGATGATTTGGAAGATGAGGAAGAATGTCCAGTTGATGATGAAGATGAAGATGATTTGGACAATAATGATATGGTTGTTGGAGAGGAATTATTAAAGAACGAATTTGCTTTAGATAATGAATAAGCAGGATAACAAAGACAATTGATGGAGTCTATTATGCAAAAGGAACTGTAATAGAGAAGCATCTATCAAGAGTAAATGAGGGATTCTCAAATTGAAAAAATGCCAGTGGGATGTAAAGATTATTTCTTATCATTCAATTTAGAGGGTCCATTCATTGTTGATAGTCTAGCATCAGTTAATGTTAATCAAAAGCAAGTGTAATCACAGGCCTAGGCATTCGTATCGAGACCAAAAATACCTAGAACTCCTCCCATCTAGTAATACAATTATTAATATTAACATTGATTTATTGATAAATAATATACTGATTATTGATAAATTAAATGTCTGCAGGATTTAATGAAGAGTTGATTAATTGTCCAGCAGGGTGTGGACGTAAGTTTAATAAGGACAGCTTGATAATTCATTACAAGATATGTAAAGATGTATTCTAACAAAAACGTTGTGTCTTTAATTCCTAATTAAAACGAGTAGGATATGACTATTTTATTGGAAACAAAAAGAATTTACCTTAATTTTCATCACCTAAATCAATTAAAATGAAAACTGAAAACGCTTAAATTAAAACACCTCAGATTACATCAAAATACTTGCAAGTCATCTCCACTAAAAGATTTTGTAAAGGATGCTTGAGAGATTTTGATATTAAGATAGCTGATGATCATATATAGAAATGCACTCAGAAGTTACCAAAAATCAATGGATTATCTAAACTTAATGAAATATATTGAATATAACATTAGATCTTAATTACAATTTTTCGCATCAATTAAACACAAAATTCTATTGATATATTCATTTTGTAAAAATAATCATAATTAATCAGCAAACTGTTTTTAAAGGTTTCGAAGTGTTAGCATACCAATCTGGTATTAATGTAATCATTTATTACTAAGTCATTTTAGACATTTCTTCTGAATTTATTAAATAATAATAATACCATTTGAAAATTCAAAGAGATCAGAAGCACTTAGTTTTATTTTGCTTTAAATAGATTTAAATGAACTTTATTCTCTCAACTCATCAAAATATGGATGAGTCAAAGATTAGAGAGGAGTAAATCGAGTTTTTGGACAATAAGTCAACAGTTTTGAAACTAAATCTATGGCCTTTGGATCTTTGGTTTTCAATACCTACCAAATTAATTAATTATTATACTCTTCTCCAATCTCTTTACTTTATAGTAGCAAATTGATATTACTACATGTCGTAGTTTTTGTTCATACTTAAAATTTAATCCCTAGTAGGAGTCCCAAGCACTTTTACGATTTCAACCATCTAATCAACAGCCGAATCTCCTAAGAATAGTGGTTCCCCATTGATTAATTCAGCAATGACACAACCTACAGACCAAACATCAACTTATGTGTTGTAATCAGTAGCTCCAAATATGAGTTCAGGGGCTCTGTAGCATCTTGAACAAATATAAGCTATGTTTGGTTCCCCTGTTATGAGTCTCTTGGCACTTCCAAAATCACATAACTACAATTTATTGGTTTCTGGATTAACTAAAACATTGTGAGGTTTAATATCTCTATGACATATTCCTAAGATAGAAATATAACTAAAGTATTATTAACAAAAAGTACGCGATAGATCTCAACAATTGATAACTAAAAATCTTAACTAAAAGATCAGGCATCTTCTTAAAATCCTTAATAAATGATTTATTGTAGGAATATAGAGTGTCCTAGAAGTACTCCATAACTACATTTAAATAACTTTCATCCTTGTTCTCTGCTGGTGTGTAGAAAGCATGTTTCATCTTCAGTACATTTTAATGATCTAATTCTTGTAGTATTTATAGTTCTCTATTTTTATATCTCCTATCTTGCAATACCTTTTTGATAGCAACTACTTCTCCAGTCTCATTCACTTTAGCCTGCGATATATATTAATAAATTTTACTTTGTAAACTACACCGAAAGATCCACTGCCTACAACTTTGAGATTTGTGTAAGTAAAATTGCTATAATCATATCTCTCGGTTGATGCTGGCATTAACACTGATTTAGTGCTATTCTTTTCTATTGAAAGAGGTTTTCGAGATTATTTTTTGATTGTCTATTATTGGAATGATTTCAGAGGATTATCAAACTTTCCTACATAAATAGATGTTGTAGGTTCATCCTTATTTTTCTTAAAAGTCTATTTGGCCATTTGATTCATTTTTAAACGAGCTTTAAGGTTTGAAATGTCTTATAATGTTTTAATCTCCTTATCCATTTCTTCGACTTCTGTAACTACTCTTCTATTTTATTCATCAGACTATCATTTTATAAAGATTTCTGTACTTATTTCTTCAATTATTAATTGAGCATCTTCTGAAACATTATTTTTAACGTAATTTTTAATTATATATAAATAATTCAAACAGTCATCTCTATTTTTATTTAGCTTGTATATACTACAAATATTCCTATTTTTATTAATAATTCAATAATACTTCCTTGCTCATCTTGATTGTAAACACTAATTCATCCTATTATGTCTTAGCCTTTACTGAAGAAGTTTTCACTTGCTAAGGTTACTTGCTCGCCTTTTTATTATTTTAAGCGATAGGAGTAGCCTATTTTTGTTTGTTTGTGCTATTATAATTGCTGGAATTTATCATTTTATTTGGAGGTGATTGAGGCCTTTTGGGTTATGCTTAAACGAATTCTGTTACTTTTTAAACATTTGATTAATTATCCTTAACAGGTGGAGGCGTTGTATTCTTGATAGGAGAGGATCTTTTATTTAGATATATTTATTTACTGCTGATTGTAATTTTAGGTTTCTTCGTAAATTAATCTATTAACATCAATGTGTGGACTTATTAATTTTCGTAATCTCAATTTCATTTTCTCAAAATAACCAATTCTGTAGTCAGCATAGTTTCTATCATAAAACTTATCAAAATCATCCATTCTTCCTCTTATCTATTACTATTGTTGTAGGATTTACCCTGGCTTATAACACGATTAAATCCTAGTATGCTTATTTATTTCCTTTTCTAACTTCATCACACAAATCTAATTATTTGATGATAGCAAATACGAATATAATGGGTACAAATCTATTCTACTTCCTAAGCTATGCTAGGTAGCAAATCTAATCGTAAGACTAACCATTACTCTGCACTCATAATTGTTTAATTAATTAAATTTTATAATCATTTCCATTTGATTTTTTCAATAAAATATTTTTCAATTATTATTTTTCCTTCTTTATATTTCTCAGAATCCCTAAATGCTTTTATCTATATATAACAACACTTCTGATTACATATTTCCATCCAATTATTTCGCAGCAACCATTACACATAAGGTCTTGAACTGTGTGTTTACCAGTCAAAAGGTCTTTGTCAACTGGCAATCCCACATGATAATTTATTCTAACTTAATATAAATTATTACCCTTATTCAAATAAATAGGCTTGTCCTGTGCCTCCCTTGAAATTCTGAAATTTTAAACTAAAACAATACTTTTGATATTCTATTTTAAAAATTTGTTAGGTGAATTCTACACTTTTTACACACATAGATCCTATTTCCCTCTAAATATTCTAGAATTAGCCTTCCCATACTTAATTAAATGTTTAAGAAGAAAGATTATATTATAAAATTTTTCATTCAAAAAATGTGTTTTAATTACAATATATTATTAAACAAATACACATAAAAAACATCAATTCAGTCAGTTCCTATTATGTAAGAAATTTCAATAAAATGTTAATTTGTCTTATTATTGTTAATAATAGCCAGATTAACCTTCTTATTCTAATTCAGTTATTATTGCTAAGAAAAGGATTGCTATTACTACTAATTAGACTGCTTCTCATTCTGTTTAACATCAATAAAGGAACTGAATGCCTTATTAGGCACAAAATCATTGATAATCCTCATCTTATAATTTGTAATGTAATGATTGTGCTTTTTCTTTTGAATGCTCAAATAGCTTTGAAATTACGGAGGCAGAGATTCCTATGATACAATTGAGAAATATCTATCTAAAATAATAAGTTTGTTGTTCGATTATTCTCTAATAAGTAATAAGATGCAAAAATCTTAAGCATTATCTGGATTATTTATGATTATTGCCTCTTGAACTTCTTGTTTCATTTTACTTGATTAGAGACTGTTTATTATAACAATTTTATTTTGATTTTCAAGATACCATTATGTGATATTGTAATTTGAATCAAAAGTAATGAAAGAATTGGTATACACCTATCGTATGCAGGGAATGTCTTCCCAGAATCTATTGAGTTTTATTGGTAATAATTTAAGCTTATTATTAAAGAATTGCCAAATGGTAACAGACCTATCATTACTAGCTACAGCAATTAGTTGATCCCCTATAATCTCAATGCTTGTTATGCAATCTTTATGTTATTTGATCATCTAATCTATTTTTATAGTAAAAGTGTTGTCTATACTAATGATATAATTAAATAGTAGCATGGTTCCTTTTTCCATGCCAACAATGAAATAATTGTAGCTACCCATAGTTTAACACTGTTATACAGTATGTATTTCTTATTCCTTTTAGTCTTTAATTGTGTATTGACATTATATTGTGATTTAATTAGTCATAACATCTAATTGAACTATGTAAATATTATTTTAACCACAAATGGCGATAATAGGATTTAACATAACTTTTAGATTTGCAAAGCTCTATTTGCTATTTCGTGATTCACTAATAAATGGATTGTAGAGTAATTCCATGCATTGAATATATTGTTGTTCTTTACTCTACAATACTAATTGTGATTCTAATTTCCATAGATTAGAATCTTTCTTATGGATCCAAACATAGATTGTATTGCTATCTCCTGCTGTCAAAATGATATTTTGATTCTTAATTACTAGAATGCAATGGGGAGTGATGATTGGCGATTATTGTTGATTATCCAAATGATTAGGCTTGATAGTGAATTGTCCTTGAGTCATCAGATTAAATTTGGTATAACCATAAGTTTGGCTTTTTAATTTGATGGAAGTATTGTTATTATTGAATTGTTGACCCATGGCAATGATATTGTCGATTTCATTAAATACAGAATAGGAGTTGGATGATGAGGATCTGCTTATTCTAATGTTTTCAATCATCTCTGATTAGGCAATGCTTTATGCTAATAATATAAGGAATTAAGAAAATACTTTTATTATCATATAAATGGATATTGGATGTCATAGAATAATATTTGCTCCAAAGTAAAGTTAAAGTATTTTCTGAATATTCTATGATTTTATCCTAAAATTCTTTGTAAATATTATGATTGAATGATTCAATAATCTATTGCTCCTTAGTAATTTACAAGCTATTTTCTGCTGCGAGAACTTCCAACTCAGGTTGCATTCTTAGTAAGACATTGTAATATTCTTATAATGAGTTCATATCAATCTATTTGTAATGCTCTTCAATGTGAACACTGCTTTCCTATGCATTCAGAATTGATTTAGTTTTATCATACGATTACTTGTACACATTATAATGTTTATCGATTGTGTTTTAGAATTCTGCTAATTTGTCTATCATGTATTATTTTTGGAAATCTATTTGGCTTATGATTTCAGTCTTAAATGAACTACTTCTATTCTAAATGCTTAATTAAAATGATATTATACTATTCAAGTATTTTTTCAATTGCCTTATCATAATCGTTTATTATCTTTTCTTGGATTGTATTGAAATTACCAATTATTTTGTTCATTTGCTGTTTGCAATAGTCAATTTATTTGGTGTCTAAGTTAGATACCAAGATTAATACCGAAATTAGGCAAAATTAATTTATTGATGAAATGGCTCAAATTGTCAAATTATTACAGATGATAGTTTTTATTGCATTGTTAGATCTCACACTGTGTACAATAAAATGTTAGGAATTGAGGACACAATTGATTTGAACAAAAATGAGTAAGAATTTAATCTGAATGTCTAATGCAAAGTTTATCAAACATATAAAATAATTATTAAAATCTTATGAATATAAAGAAAGGTAAAAATAATGTGTTTATTTTATTTTCTTATGAATATCTCAGATTTTGTTTTATTCTTAAGTTTCTGGTTCCTTCTATTTATTCTCCTCATCGAATTCCAAATTTGGAACATAAGCTCCATTTTCATTTCTCTTAATGCAATGATATCCAACCAATTTGCACCATAAGAATAGATCTGCATCTAATTAGGCAGCACCCAAATATTAGTCATTTTTATTAATGAACAAGTATTTGTGATCGCCAAATCTCTACAAAGCCAATTATAAATAATAAGTGTATCCAGCTCCAACGACTACCAAAATAAGAGTAATGAACAAGTTTGATCTTGTTAACAATCCCAAAAATCCTGAAATAACTGCTGATATAATCAGAACTGTGAAGAATTATTTCTTAACGACCAAAGCAATATCTTAATTTTCACCTAAAAACATAGGATTAATTGATTACTTATTCCCTTCTTAATTTAAAATAATAAAAATAGAATGACGATACCAAATACTAATTGTATCAATTCAAATTTGATTGCTTCGAAATGAAGTGTAAGGTAAACCATCAATAATATTTTACTGGCTGAATGAACAATGCATAATCCAAAATTTTTAGGAACCTATTTGATATATCAAGTAACTACCTTATCAACAGATCCTGGACAGAATTGAACAATTAAGATTGATACTATGTACAATATAATTGTCAATTGTTCTAGGAATGGGATGAAGGTTAGAATTGATCCAAAGAAACCGAGTTGAAGAATCAACATTGATAATAAGCTGCCTGCTAGATACTATGCAGCAGCAACAGTTAAGGATTGTTATTAGGCAACTTAAGCTTAATTTCCAGCAAAGGCGAGTATTTCTTATGCCTTGTGAATTTACTCCTCAGCTTGCTTCTCTATATCTCCAAGTTTTTATCCTCCTTCTCTAAAATATATCTTTAATCATGAATACTCTTTTATCTTTTTTTCCAATTCCTCAGCTTTTTTGGCTCCTTCCAAGGCAGCTGGGATAGCTGCTTACACTAGAGTAGTATCTTCTTCTCTTCTTTCACTCATATATTATAAAATAAAATAAATATCTCAAAAACGAAATATGTAATTTACAGTTCAATCCTATTTCTCTTGTTCATTGTATGTATGATAAATCTTCTCCCACTTAATTATCGTGTTTTCCACATTATCAATAATGTCCTGCAATTGTTTATCCTATAAATGTTGAATTTGCATAAAATTACGTAAAACTCATTTAAACTAGCCCACAACGGTCTAACAATAACTTTGAAAAATCCCATTTCATTTTTTGCCATTATTTCCTATTTGTCCAAGTCCTTCATAAATGGAGTCTAGGTAATGTTACGAGTTCCCTCCTCATCGAACTAGGCTTTAAACTCCATATTGACTTTCTCAGTCCAAGCCTTAGACAATTCAAACACTTTTGCAGCACCACTAAAATCTGAAGTGTGAACTATCATCCCCGTGAACAATTTGACATCTCCATCCAACTTACCAAAAATTTTATCCTGATTCTCCTTACTTTCCTTCACTCTTTACTCAAAATCCTTTATTAATCCAAAATGTTATTTAATATCCGTGAATAGAATGTTTTCAATTAGTGTCTATCTGAATATTGCCAAATCCTCCACACTCAACCCAGACAATATATTGTACTTATCCTAATTCAACAATCTCAATGTCACTGCTGCATGATGATTCTCCAAAGGCTAACTATTAAATCGAATAGATTACGCTCTTGTCCAAGTATCTTGTGGCCAACTTGCTTTTGCTATTGATTTCAAATTGATTCGTTCTTCCCGTATGAGAAATATCATGACATAACCCCGAAATCACAGTTGCAAAATGCACAATCTCACTCATATACTGATGTGCTCTTGGCAAAGAACACAAGAAATGACAACTATGCATTACAGTTATCCCGTGATCGAAATTATGAAAAGGGTTCTTCCTCTTATTATATTTTCGCTCAACTTCCTTAATAAACTTCATCAAAACCTCCTCGCTCATATCATAATTGTCAATCCAATCATTTTTCTTAATTATATGATACACCAACTTTGCCTTCATATTTTCCTAATACTATTCCTCAATAACACTATATATTTACAGAGAAAATATTAAATTCAAATTTATCAATTGTTTTGTCCTCATATAATGTGTCCAAATCATCATCCTCCTCAATCTCCAATGCTGACTCTATCGATTTTATACGCTATTTGGATGGTTAGTAATTGAATGCCTTGATTTGCTTACCCAACATTTGGATACTCAATCTGGGCTTTCTTGTTTTAATTGGCTATAATGAATTATTGGACTATTGTTGTTGGTCTTAGTTATCCAAAGATGACTCCTCGGGAATGAACAAAGAAATGTAAGAGTTTTTAACACTAGGATTCGATTTCTGTAATTGTGATATGAATTTGAAAGTTTAATGTTTATTGTAGGAACGTTGAATGGATTATTTGATCTCATCTTCCAATTGCTCTTCATTTTTCAAATTCTTTATGTAATCCTTCATTCTGGATCCCTCTTGGAGATGAAATATAATCACAAATCCCTTGTAAACTTGATCAACCACCTTCAAGAAGATTTCAAAGTCCTCATGTTGGATGTATTCATTCTTCTTTTTCATCATAAATTCATCCAAATCTATATATCTGAGGATTCTTTCATCCATAAACAACTCTTTGTAATTCGGAGTCCTTTTATCTGGGGAGAATTAAATGTTGTATTTCTATTTGAGAGTCTCCCAAATGTAATGATTCAAGAATAACAGTCTGCCATTTTTATCAAAATCAAATAGGATTGTATCAGAGGATCTCAAAAAGTATTTGTAATATGCAGTCTTCTCATGACACAATCTCAAATGTCTCTAATATTTGGATTTCAAGTTCAATATTCCTGTATAAATAAATTAATGATCCTCTCGATTAAGATAAAACTCTTCCAAAATCAAAGCAATTGGATTTCTGCATTCCATCTCGATTCTCACAGAATTATCCATGTCTATCTTCTGTCTTCCGTCCTCAGAAAAAGCATAATCTTTCTTAATTTTGAAATGAGGATCCAAAGCTCTGAACATTTCATCAATCAAGATATATTGGGATGACTCCACAAAACTTAAGGCGATATCCAGAATTTAATCTGCAAACTAGACGGGATTAAAGTATTGCACTCTAGCTTACATGATTACATCAATCAAGAAATTGGTTAAAGACAAGACTTCATCTTTGAATCCATATTCATTAGCTTCACTTTTATTAAATCAAATATTGTACTTTATAAATCTTCTCAACAATTTATTTCTACCAGGTTTATTCCAATAGAAGAAGAAAAAGGTTTCTTGTTTATTCTGATTGATGAATCTAATAATCGAAAGTTCAGTGAACTAAGAATTCAAATCCAATACTAGTTCTAATTACTTGGTTTGTTTTTCATTATTTTAAAAGTTGTAAACAATGTTAGGTTTGAGATGCGAAAAGTTTAAGAAAAACACTTATTGCTTATATTTCTCAATCTATTTGATCGAATCCTTTTCTGTCGAATAGAAATCCCACTCATCATTTCTTTTAATCAGAAAGTAAATTTCATCAGAATCAGTCAATTCTTTAATAATCGACTTGACGACGTTCACTAAATTATTGTATGATAATTCTTCCTACATTAAGAGGTAATGTGTATGTAAACTTCCCAAAAATAGACTCTAGAATTATTGAATTATATATACTTTTAATTGAACATATGTTTATTTAATTTAACTGATTATTTGAAGATGATATTTACTTTTTAACTGAACACTAGTATCAACTTAATCCGATTTATCATCTTATTGCTCTGAAATAACTCTACCACAAACACTAATATTTCTACATCTTACTGGTGATTCATTATCTAATTCTTATTCATATTGAATCCCCAAATATTTGTTAATCTAATCCCTCAATTGAGTTAACTTCTCGACATCGGTAGGAACAAAGTGTCCTCCATTTGTCATATGTATTGAAAGCATGGTGTCGAGTTATTCAATTAGTTGCAAAATGAAAGGAGATAATGACTAATTTTAACACATGTAATACTTCTTATTTGTTCTCTACTATTGGATCTTCTTGCTAAAACGAAATTTGACGAGCACTCACACTAAATTTGTTACTTTTGTTTTTCTCTAAATGTTTAATATGTGGCACATAAGTGTCCTTTTATCTTTGATTGGCATACTAAACTAATTTTTCGCAAAATTATTATTCCCTATAATGCATACTCTGTTGTTATCTTACATATCTTTGTTTCCATATTTGCTAACAATCTCCATTATGTTCTTATCCTTTCTTAAAATACTTTATTCTAATTCAGTTTTTTATTTTTTATCAATTACCTTCTCATTCACTAGATTATTGATCACTATAAAAAATTAAGTATATTGAGGAAGCCTGGGTTCCATAAATATCTAAACAATATAATTATAAATATATATATATAAATATTATCAAAATCAATACTAATTCATTATCCTATAGTCAATTGTGTGCTTCTTCTCACCACTATGCTACTTTTAGAAGCAGGTACTAGTACTGGCACCGATACAATTTTCCCTAATGTAGGGTTAAAAACATCCAGACTCGGTTTTTTATCCGGTGTTACTAAATTTAATGAGAATGCCCTATTACATGTTTGTATATTAATAGAGAATCGTTGCTTTGCGAGGTTATGATTAGGTGGTTTCTGTAAAGAGCAACCCATCGAATTTTACTATTTTAAATTTAATTATATATAGCTAAATATGCTCTTAACTCTTTAAGATTAAAAATTTAATAACTACGCATCTTTGTCAGTATTAAATTCAGTATTTTATTTGTGACATTAATTGAAACAATTCCTTCCTTTGCTCCATCTCTTATATGCATCCTTGATTAAGTAAATACTTTGATTTCCAATGTAAATTCTGTTGGAAATAGAATTAGAGTTACTAAGGATTCCAAATAAAAGAGTCTTAAAAGTGGAATACTACAGCAAATCTAAAATTGTAATTATAAGGACAATAAATCGAATAATTATTTTAATCCAAATATCTGAAGATATACACATAGAATATAACTATGATCTTTAATAATAATAATAATATGTTATTTCGTTTGTTTAATTTAATGGAATAGGGTGCGAGGGTTTCCCCTCACTAGCAGAAATTGAGCGATAAAGCCTTTCCAAACGGAAAGTTTTGGGGCCTCACTGACGCCGGTTGTGCGATGGCCAGCTTAACCCCACACTACTGATCTACATGATCATCAGCAGTGCTCGCCAGGTAAGTGAAATCAGGATTTAAAAAAATTGTCTTATATAATTTTATATAAAATAAAATATTATGGGTTTATTAAGATGAATTGATTTTGCTTAATTTCAATAATTAGAATTATGTAATAAAATAAATTTGATTATTCTTTATCATTATTTAATTGTCAAATTAAGAAAAAGAAACTCATTGGCTTGTTTAATCGATACATTTACTTATTTGAAGACAAATTGATAATTAACAAAGATTCAAAAAAAGGATACCCAATGAAAATCTACTCTTGGACTTAAATTAAGAAGGTTATATGGAAATATAAAAAATCAAAGAAAACTCCAAACACCACAACACTCAGAAACATCATTATTGTCACAGAAAAAGAACAAAAGAAATATTATGGAGAGTCTGAAACCTTATTGGCTTTAAAAAGAATCCTCGCAAAATTTGTGTATCAAGAGAGTATCCAAGATGAATTCGAGCGTTTACAGACCCTCGGATAAGGCAGCTATTCACTTGTTGTTCAATTAAGACATTTACATTCAAATTTATAATTTGCTGCCAAATGCATTGATAAAAAACAATTATCCAATATTGAAAATGGAATAAAGGCAGTTCAAAATGAAATTTACATCATGAGAATACTGAGTCCACACACCCAAATTGTTAATCTCCATGAAGTCTATGATGGTGATAACAACATATATTTGATTATGGATTTCTGTTAAGGTGGAAGCCTTTTAACTGAAATCAAGAAGAGACAGTGCAAATTTGATGATTACGAGATCCAACAAGTATCACAATATTCTTAATCTAGATTATGGAAAATATTCTATCAGCCATTGAATATATTCATAGTAAAGATGTAATGCATAGAGATTTAAAACCAGAGAATATTTTATTTTCTAATCCTAATGATTTTTCGACTCTCAAAATTGCCGATTTCGGCTTAGCTGCCATCAGTAAACTCACTCCCTACTTATTTCCTAAATGTGGCACACCTGGATTTGTAGCGCCTGAAAGTATAAAATAATAATAGAACAAGTTGCTAATATGAATGATAAATCTAGGGGATATAGTAAAAAATGTGATATTTTTAGTTGCGGAGCTATATTTCATCTACTTCTATTGGGAAAGGAAGTATTTCAGGGTAAAGGTAACGCTGAAATGCTTAAATTGAATAAAGAATGCAATATCAATCCTTCTGATGATTTATATAGCGCCTTACCTCCTTTAACCAAGGATCTATTGTAAATACTTTATTTTATTTTCCAAGATTTAAAATGTTGGAAGTCAATCCTGAAAACAGACTTGATGCCTATGAACTTTTGCACCATCAATACTTTAAAATTTATTAATTTAACAAATTAAGTGACTTAAATGAACAGGAAATTATGAAATAGTGATTTAAGAACATAATAAAAATAATATCTTAAATTTATGTTAATATCTATGTATTTATCCATCATCCTACTCCAATAATTTATGGTTACTTTTGTAAAAATTGAGGTTACATCAAAGGTTGGGCCATCTACTGAGCCAACTAAAAATATAATGATATCAAATTACCAACTACTCCAATTGGGGGACATTCTACTGCTATTATGGTTATTGTAAAAATCCACTTTATTATTATTGTTAAATCTACTACTACTATTGCTACTAAGGAATTTATTAATAAGGTTATTATTGTTGAATCGATTAATAAGGTTATTATTAGATATTTTATTATTGAACTTGCTGAGGAATTTATTATTAGAAACCTTAGATCTATTGTTATGGAATCTATTATTATTAAAATTACGGGATTTGCTAAGGAATCTATTATTATTAAAATTACGGGATTTGCTAAGGAATCTAAGATTAAACTTGCTATTATGGCTAGGATTATGGTATTTACTATTAATTCAATAACTACTGTGGTTGCTGTAGAAGTTACTATTAAGTTAATTATTGAGGAATTTATTATTATTGTAGTAATTATTATTAGAGCAATAATTGTTATTGGTTCAAAATGGGCTAAGTAACAGTCTAAGTATAAACAAGTGGCTATTGTAATGGGATTTAGTATTATTGTTATGTTTAAATATTATCATTCTTTACTATGGTTGGACTTGATTAGAAGGATAATGGATTCAGCATTTACTATTAAAGTAGCTGTTATTGAATTTATTGTTATTACTATTACAGCTACAACATATAAAGCATTTGAGCTTGTTATTAAGGTGTTAGATAATTAGTATCTACGACTTAGGGAAAAAGCGATGGTACAAATACACCCTAGCTCTGTTGTAACAGAGATAATTGTTGAGTCAGTTAATTTTATTTTTCCATGAACTGCTTTATCAATAATTCCTGAGCCTGTAATCTTAAGTCATATTAAGATAATTAATCGGCTTGTTAAGGTTGAGGTATATATTAATTTAAATTACTTTAAGTTCCTACTTATAGGAAACTGAAGTCTTTCCCATGAGCTTTGGTCTTTTTAACAATGAATTCAACTTCCTCTCCTTCTCCTTCTCCACCTTCCTGGTCTCCACCTCCCTCTGCTTCGCATGCTCCCCCTCCTTCTGCTTCCTCGCCTCCTCCTTCTCCTCCTTCTTCCTCTTCTTAAGCAGCTTCTGCAGGCGAAAAACTACATTTACAAACCAAGTTCTCAAAGAATTCTGGGCCTTAAACCTACACAAATTGCATTGGATGCTATGTGTTGATCCCTCTTTATTTGATTTTAATTTGCTATTAGACAAATGAATAAAATTCTTAAGTTCTTTCTTCTTCTTAAACACGTAATCTCACATTCAACGATGGATGCCACGGCTTATATCCTTTGGGCTACGTTTTTAACAGATCAGATAAGGCATCATCGACTGTGATATAACTAGAAAGCTCTAATAATTTTTAGTCATAAATACTAAGTGCTTTGTGATAGTGATCCTACCAAGAAAAACAAAATAAGCATTTAATAAAATTAATAAAACGGATTTATAATTAAATTTGAATTTAAGTACTGAAAACTCACTTATTTGGAGGAAAGGAATTAATTGGAATCATAAATATCTGCAACCAGAATTGCTAATAATAATATATGGATGTATTTTAATATTATATTATTTGTTATGAAATTATTCTTCATGATTTATGTGTTATTTTATACATTGACGGTATATATCTTTAAAGAAGGGCCTGGAAAAAAAATCCAAGAAAAGATGTTACTATGACAACTGATAAAACAACCCAATTAAATCCTTTGAAACTGATATTAAAATAATTATGAATATTTACGTGTCTTCTTTAATATCAATTACATCGCACCAACTAGCCCTTTGAGGGAATATGAATGATACTATTGCAACAACAAAACCAAGAGTTGTCCATAATGTTAGTAAGATGTTTTTATAGTATTTGACTTTAAAAGGATTTGATACGTATATTGATACTCCAAAAGACATGAAGTAGTACATCAAACTTAAAAACATGATTGAATTCAAGTATCCCTCTCTTTAAAACTTTTCAATAGGTTTAGAATATTCAAAGAATCTATCTGTTGTAGTAAGAATACCGTAATTGATACATAACCTATAATGATATTAAATTATAAACATACCCTAAAACAGCGAAGAAAATATTAGTATAGATTTGAATTTGATTTTAATAGGAGAATTGATCATCTAAAGGTATATATTCTGCTAGTTCTGTGGTTGGGGAAGAAATACATAAGAAAATTAATAAGGGAATATTGGAAATGAATCCAACATAGACAGTTTAAAATTCAGCTAAAATAATAGTAATTTAGGATTACAAAAATTCTAAACTTCTAAAAACATAATGGTAACAGCAGCAAATTTAATTCCATTAACACTAAGTTGATATTAAAACACCTCAATTATAGTCATTATGGCTGCCTTTCCTTATGCTAAGACTTAGACACAACATTTTAATGAAGTTGATTTTGAACTAAATGGTGCAGTATAAGAAGCATCAGATTCACTGAATGAAATACCTACTTATGCCTATGCTATAGCTGACTAAATTATATAATTTTAAAAACTTACACAATCATTGGCTCCATCTCCAGTCATCATGACTTATCTTCCCATTTCTTGGAGTAATGCAACAATTTATTTCTTTTGTTCTGGCTTTTATCTGGCGAAAACTCTAGTCTTTGAAATTAATTTCTTAGTAAGTTCTTTCATTTTGGTATCATCAAATTCAATTGCATTATTATCAGAGAAAATTTGATTTGATGAATTGTTTTATGTCATACTGATACTGGTTTCTCTATTAGGATTGGCAATTGTTAAAAATTTAGATATAAATTCTAAGAATTTCCCAGTCAATGCAGTCATTTTAGGATTTTGAATAATTTATTCGATTAAATTTTGGTTTTCTATGGCATTTTCATCATAATTAGCTTGATTATCATTATCAAAGATGACTATTTATCTTTTGGACGAATTATAATCTAGAATCACAACTTCAGAGTTGAAATCAATGATTCCAGATATTTTAGCACAATAGATAGTAGTTAAAGGGCTATCCCCTGAAATCACTTTGATATCCAATCCACTGTTTCTTAAAGTTTATATCACTTAAGGAGTATCATCTTTGAGTGGATTTTCTAAAACAAACATACCAACAATATTCAACTGTGTTTCCAATTCTTCTCTTTGTAGATCTAATTGGTTGTTATTTAATTTACGATAACCCAAACCCAACACTCTGAATCCATTTGATGCATATTTTTTGACTTCATCTAAAACAACTTACTTTTTGTCTTGAGATTACTGATTAATCATTTCAGGAGATCCTTTAGAAAATAAATAGAAATTGGTTCCATCTGTTGCTATGACACTCATCATTTACCTTGCTGAACTAAAGTCAAAGATCTTTATGATTTCAAATTCTTATGAATCCTTTTTAACTGAAAAGAAGGATTTGCCTTCAAAGTTAATCTTCCAACCAATGAAGTTTAGCATCTCTATTTCCAAAGGATCACCTTGCAATTCTCCATTAATCAATAAAAGATGATGACAACATGCTAAAATGTAATTAGCAATTTATTCCTATTAAATATAAATACACTAAAATTACTAATGATTGATCATGAGTCCAAACTTTGATTGCTTTCAAACCTAGAGTTGTAAGAGTGCCTGTTTTATCAAAACAACAAGTATCAATACGACCAGCAGATTCAATCTTATCAGCATTACTGCCATTAATGCCGATCGAACTCAGTCGAACTAAACTAGCAGTTTTACAAATGTTAAAGAAGATAGGCATCGAAGGAGGTATTGACCAAACAATATTATCAAGGAATCTTAATACTAAGAGACTTGTTTTGAATTCCATCGGGATGTATTTTATTAGCATAAAACCATAGACTATAGCTATTATTGTGGCAAAAGTTAATATAAATTTAGCTGCTTGGACATAAAATCTTTAGGAGGGAGGTGCAGGGAATAAAACATTTCTAAAATATTATCCTCTTAAAGAACTAAATCCAGTTCTTAGGACTATTGCCACATTCTCAGTTGTTGTATTCACTTTCACTATACTAGTTCCTTCAAATAGACAATGTTGATTTAGTGACTCGAAATTGAATTTAACTGAATGATCAGGCAAGGCTGTTTTTGGTATTGGTACATTTTCTCCTGTCAATGTTGCTTCATTTACCATGACATCTCCTTAAAGAATAGCACAATCACAATTCAATTGTTATCCTTCCTATAATATTATGTAATCTCCTGGGAGTAATTCAGATCCATTCACAGTTCTTAACGTATCACTCTTCAATATTACATTCTGATGGATGTTAGCTAATTTCTGTAAGAGACTCCTTGATCTTCTGTACAAGATATAGTTGACTATAACTGCAATTGCTGTGAATGCCAAGATGAGGATCGGGAATGTGATTGAATTTTGAGCAAACCATACAGCTACGGCAAAATATTGGAGGATATTGAATGGGCCGGTTAGGTGCTCGAATAAAAATTCGGCCAGGGGTTGGATGGGTATTTGGAGTTGACATTTCCCATAGTATTATATTTTCAAATTTTGAGTTAATACATTACGATTAGCTATTATATCTTTGATTATCTTGCCGTCAGTTTCAAATTCAATTGGTTAATAACACTGTGTTTTTGGATCAAATGCATATTTAAGAAGTCTAAATTTAACAGTCTTACTACCTGAATGTAAAATAGTATATGCCATTCATCTACTGCTTTTCTAATGTAAATTATTGACCATTCTATGTATCTACCCTATAATGTGTTCCTGTCTCTTCAACATTGCAAGGAGTAAATAGAAACCAGTTATACAATTTTTTACTCCATCTCAAGGCCAATGCGAACATACAGCCTGTCATTATGGAAATGATGATCTAAATTCATTTTAAACAATTACAATCAAAATAAGTCTGATCCTAAGGAATCTGACAGGAGTAACTTTTAGAAGTGGATGTTGTCCCTCAATTTCTGCATTGTTAACACGATAAGACATAGTAAATATTTGAAAAGTTAATATATATATATTAATAATCCTAACTTAAAAAATTTATATTCAAAAGATTTTATCTGTCACATAATATTTAATCATATCATTACTCCAATGAATAAATCTTTAATTGATTTTCATACGTGATTATTGATAATTTTTACTCATTGATTTAGCATATCCCCTTGGCGGCTGTAATCTTTTGTTTCTTTACTATTAGATCTTGAGAATCAATACTCCAAATTACTGTTGTATCATAGGCGCAGCTAATCAAATGATTGCTCTCCTCGATCAACATCAGGTTCACAATCGGACCATAGTGAGTTGCTGTTAAGAAAATCTATGCATAATGCTAATTCGTATTCTATCTGTCCCAGACCTTTATAGCTGAATCCCAAGAAGCACTCGCAAATCTTGTCTGATTGATAAAACATATGGCATTCACTGATCTATTATGAGCCTTATCTATCCTCTAACCTCTCCATTTCTCATTCACCACACTCCAAACGTAAATTGAGTGATCAATACAGCCAGTAACCATTAAATTAGACTACCTGTTGAAATTAATGCACAGCGTTATTCTAGGAGAATCTACTATTGTTTGTGCCTTTTGCCATATGTTTTATACATTTAAATACCAAACAATAATAAGGGTATCCGAACTTCCACTGGCCAATATGTTCTCAGCTCTGTTTAAACAAATGCATATGATTGAATCTTGATGCCCTTCCAAAGTTTACTCACAACAAAGACCTTCTTGAACTATTTTCCATACCTTTACAGTATTGTCCTCGCTCCCTGTAATGCAGAAATTAGATAGTAATGATGATTTTATGCAGTTGATTGTTCTTTGATGACTTGTATACTCCTCCTTAAGAAATACATTAAAATGCTTATCAAATCTAATAATGGCCAATTCATTCTAATCCATTTTGAATTTATAACAACCAAAGATAAGCGTTTAAAGTTATCTGTGATAGTCTACGCACTTTATGTTTTCCAGATTATCCAATTACTACTTCACTATAAATTAACCATCCAATTTAACAAATAAATTATTTGGTGTAATTACCTCCCTTTCTTGGTTGTATTTCACATAAGGAATGATTTTACTGATGTTCAAAGAAATTTCTCTTAATATATTGATATTTTTTTGTAATTGCTTGGCAAACTAAATTTAAGAGTTTTTTTCATTTTGTTTTTGTATAAGATTTTCTCCTTTCTTTTCTAATTAAGCACTCAACAACTCACCTAATTGTTGGTAATCTTCCAAAAGTAAAGTGGTTTATTTCCCCAAATAATATTGAAATACACTATCATTAATAGCAGTCTTTTATGTATTCATTTCTTTTTCAATCTCCATTTCAATTTAAGCAAATGCTTACTTTAAATTTTCAACAACTTTGTTTTTCATTACTAGATATTCTTCTTTGCATTTTTCAAGAGTTGTTTCCTTTTTGAAAGGTTAATTTTATTGTTAACAGAGGTAGTCCAATGCTTAATGAATGGATAAGGGATTGTTCAAGTAGCATTCATCACACAAAGTTCTTTAAATTTTGGGAACATTCTCCTGTATATCTATGAATCTTATTGGATTTTAGTGTTTAGGACAGAGAGGATATTCAGATTAAATCATATTATTTCTTCAATTAATAAATTGTATTTTGTGCTTGCAAAGTAATTTATATTATTATAAATAATTAGCGGTTAAACTATCTGTCATGTATAGAATACCCCTTGATGATTATAATTCAAACTTAGATGTTAAATTCAACACTTGTTCAAGTACTAGAAATTGCAACCAACCCAAATTCAATTTTCCTACTGACAGAGCATCAAGAGCGATGTATTGATTCAATTAATACCGATTTTAGGTCTGGCAGAAGTTCCAATGTTAAGAATTAGTTTGATGTAATGTGCTTTTTAATGGGAGTTGAACTTGAAAGATTGAATTAAGAGAATGAAAAATTGAAGTATCAAAACCTAGAAATCAAAGAAAATACTTATGATAACAAAAATTATGAATTTTAGCTAAAAGACTTATCAGAAAGATTGGTGAAGAAGGAACTTAAATGCTAGGATCTAGAGAATCAATTAACTGATGCAAACAAGATGATAGCCCAAAAGGAAATATTAGTGCAAAACTTATATTAATAAATAAATCAGCAGTTATAAGTCATTTAGTAATTATAATATACAATCAAATAATTGGAATGTAAATTAGGATTTTTGGTTTGCGAGAATGAAAATTTAAGCTCTAAGAGAAACGAAGAATCAATAAATATATAACTAGTAGCTAAGACACAGAAGGACTATGAAGAGTTGTAAAAAGTTTATAGTTCGTTGTTGGATAATTATAATCTGTAGAATGAAAAGTTGAGTAGAATTGATGCTTAACATAAAGAATTAGAATATAATTATTAATAAGTGATAGAAAAGAAACAATAATAAGAGATGGAAAACAAAAGCAAAATGATTTAATATGTTGATTGTAAATAGAAATTAACCTTCTTAACTGTTGAGTTAGATCGTATGAATGAGGTCATCCAATAGTAGAAATAAGAGTTAGATTAAAAATCAAAGAAGTTCGATAGCAAATAATAGATAATGATGATGCGAATAATTCTGCATTGTGCTGAGATTGATAGACTGATTGATGTGCAAAGTAAATTAATGAATGAAAATAAATGGTATCGAAATCAAGTAGAATTATATGCAATGATGATCGGAGATAATAATAATACTAATAATAATAATAAAGTAGTTAAATTAGATTTTTGATTTATTTATTTATGTTGTTGATAAATTCGACAGAATAAGATATGATGATAAATTATTTAATATGAGTTCATTCTGGGTTTTCATTTGAAGCATGCAATAATAATTAACACAATGTGAGCAAATAGATAGACGATATCTATGTATATGAACATCGCTCCTATGATGTAGTCATCAATCGATAATTTATGAGTCTACATCAATAAAATTGCTTACACTTCCTCCTATGATTAATTGGGTATCATATATTAGGTAGATTCCAAAGAGTAAGCTCGAAATCAATGAATAGAGTAAACTCATGGCTTGATCATAGTAGACTCCAGACAATATCGCAAAAAGAAATAAAGAAGTACTTGCCATAAATAAAAAGGCCCCTTAGATAATAATTTGAAATTCTTGTACCTTTGGTAGTGAAATCTTTTTTGGTTTTACATGCGTAAAGAGTGAGTCCAATTACTGCAGCTAGAGTAAGGGCAGCAGCCATTAAAACGATAAATCCTAATTAAGAATTCAGTATACCTCCTTCTTCGCTATATTTGTTGAAAACATAACTACAAAGTTGCGAAATAGTGTAACTTTCAGCAATAGTGAAAACAAGGAGAAACAAATAGTTATGTGGTACTCGCCACGAATATTTTGGTATCCACAATAAAATGATCTCAATAATGATTGCTATTGCAATTGCCAAGTAAACCCAACCTGAATACTCATTCTAGAAATCGCGATAGGGAATCCAGAAATATGAAAGACAACAAGCAGCAACTGTCAGCAGTAATTGCAATATCATTATGCTATAAACCTTGATCATTAATTATGAATTAATACCTTCCTAATAAAACCAGGTCTTTGATCTGCTGTTAATGGCTTATAATTTTCATTTTTAGCATACCATCTTTCATCAATTTAAACTATTTATTCTTCAGATTCAACTTATTATGCTGAGTTAGGGTATTTCTGAGATGGTTAAACATCATAAATTGGTATATGAACAAAATTAGGTTTTTTCTTTTCATCTCCACAATCTAAGACAGGAGATTATTATAATTCCACACCCATATTTTGCATGATCTTAATTTTAAATATATATATAATAACATTCTCATGAAGTTAATGCTTTAGAATTAAATAATTAAAATTTTCCTAATAAATTATTGACCTCCATAAATTAAGTAAAATTACTAAACCTATCAATTGTTTTAAAGTCTTGTCTCACATTATCAGATCAGTAGTGAGTTTGAGATTAAACTAAAAGATTAGTAATTTCAAAAATCAACAAAAAGAAATATATATTCACTTTTCTATATTCATTAATAAATACAGATTAAAATAATATACTAAAGCATTTTCTAAGTTTTTTATTTCATTTTTTATAAATAATGTAATAAAAATATTAGATCATGCTAAATAACTAAACTTATCCATACAGAATGTTGAGATGGATGATAAATACAATTTATATACTTTTTATGTAAATTATTTATTCATAATTCTTAATCTCTAAATCCAAGCATTTCAATGTCAAATTATAAATCTGAGTTTGGTGGAATAACTCTTCCTGCTCCTCTACTTCCATATGCTGTGGCAGATGGACAAATAACGGTGACTTTATCGCCAAGTGTTAAATTTAATACTACATCATCCCAACATTTAATGACTTGTCCAATTCCCACTCTGAATTCAAATGGTTAGTTTCTGTCCTTACTGCTATCGAATTTAGTGCCATCAAGTAATTTACCCTTGTGTATTTATATTATTTTACTGTATAATGTACTTTCACTTAATCTCCTTTCTCTGGGTAACTTTGTCTGTTGCCTCTCTCATGGATTTTAATGGAATATTTCTAAATGAGATCTTAATCATCCAGAGAAGCCAAAGAAATTGAAATTATCAAAGAGAGCAACAAAAACTTATTCATAATATTAAATAATAATATTCGCACAATTATGGCTTAGTAATTGTATTTTATGATTATGTCATTAATTATTAATTATTTTAGACTTTTAGTTTATCGAATAGAGGATATTCTTGTAAAAGAAGGCGTGTATCAAAATCTCTTGAATTGGTAGATTATTCAAAGAGAAGTTCCTCAAATGAAGGAATTCACACGATCTTCTAAGTAAATGCAGTCCCGTTTAAATTTAATTATAATATTTTTTTGATTAATGAAACAGGCTCGTTTACCTCTTCAACATCAATCTCCAAGAGAAATTGGCTTTCATAGACATTGCCAAAGATTTCAACCTAAGGAAAGGTCTCCGTAACCTAATGAGGAGGATGCCATTGTGTATGTTCGTCTTCGCAAAAAGGGATTAGTTAAAGACAAAGCATTAAAATATTGTTTAGCTGATCATTGCAAAATTGACGCATCATTATCCAAACATGGGCCTCCCAATTATAAAATATTCTCAACTTCTTTGGATAGGCAAAAAGTTATACAGGGTTGGTAAATGGTAGGAAAACTTAAAGAAATGAGTCATGAAAAATATATAAATGCTAAAGGAGGTGATGGACTAACTGAATTTGAAAACAGGGATGAGTAAATTAAATTTGAAAGATTAAAAGATTATTTTATGGGGTTAAGTAATTCTAGTAAATAAGTTGAACTTCCTAAATTTTAAATGGGAAATGGAAAAGAACATTATTTTGAATTAGCAGATTATTATTAGCAATTTAAACCTTTATCCAAGACTTTGATTACTGATACCGAATCCTTTGATGATATTATTCCTAAATACAAGAAGGATCATTTCAGAATTGAACCAAAAGTTGATAGACAAACCATAAAAAGGACAGAAGAAGAAAAAGGAGTCAAGTAACGATTGAAGGCTCTAAATGAATTAATTAAAACATACAAGGAAGCAAAAAGAGCAGATGATCCTTGCATTGAAATTGTATTTTTGAGATCTTATTAAGGTTTTAGATCAACATCATTCCAAAAAGAAAGAAGAAAGAGCACCCCAAGAAATGGAAAGTTTGGCCATGATTAAAGAAAATTTCAATTATGATGAAGGAACTGTCAGTGCCAGAAAAAGATGTAGTATACTCAGCCACAGGTACTCAAAAGTTGTGCATAATGACGAAGTGATCAAAAATTAAGTATTCCAAGAGAAACTAGACAAATTTGTTACCAAGGTCTTAGGAAGAATTAATTGTCAATTTGATGGGACTCTATTTGGTAGAAGTTTTAGAAACTCTTGATTCTGTATTTACATGAATTTATTGATTTTTATTCTAATTTTAATATTGATTGCTCTTATTTAGATACATAAAATCTAATTACATAATAATTTATTATAGATCTTTAAAAATAAAGTGCATTCAGAATTTTAATTGATTATTAATTCAATTATATTTTAAATAGAGATTAATACTCTTTGATACTAGTTTTATCTAATATTAGAAGAACATATTCATACTATAATCAGTATGTATTGAACTAATAATGGATTAATTTTAGATAAGTAATTTTCATTCATTCAAGTGCATTTGGAAATTCTAACTTTTAGAATAGGTGCATTAGAGAAGTATTCAATAGCGAACCATTTAAATTTACTTAATATTTGTGCTTATTCAAGGGCTAAATAATCTTTTACACAATATCTTCATAGTCAAAATTAGTTCAATTCTTTCACTAAAATAAAAATCAAAAAGCACATATCCATTAATGATAGACTTGAATATCAACTTTTTAAATAGAAATGTTTCCCATTATAGATTTCTTTTGCTATTTAATGTTAATAATGATTAATAGTTATAGATGGTGAGATCTTTAAATTAAACTAATTTTCACAATTCACTATGTTGCTAAAGAATATTCAGTGTTATTTTTGAAGAAAAACACCATATTTTCAGAGCCCCAAATTTAATGTTCTAGTTAGCCTCATAGGGTTAATAAAATATTTTAACTAAAGATGTATGAACATATCATCCATTAATATATATGGCGCTCAATTAAATTCATATTCAAAAGGTTAAATATAAAATATTTATAGAAACTGCAAATACAATAAGGATTACGTTTAATTGCTATTCTTTTAAAAAATTTCTTTTATAAAATTATGTTTATAAATCATTAATATTATATGAATTATTATTGACTCAAGTTTTACACGAAATGTTATGGTTATTATTATTATTGATAATTTAAGTTTTCATTATAATAAACAGAAGGTTGTAGTGGTTAAACTTGATTCAAATCTAAGAAATTGTTAGCTTTTTATTTGTCTTTAACAAATTCTTAAAAGTGATTTTAATTTTCTACTTATTCTTGGTTCTCATAAACTCCAAAAGTCATTCTTTATTTCATGTCTGTCATAGTTGTATGTTATTTTGCTTTTGATTTCTTTTTTAAGACTTCTTGTATTTTATTGACCATAATTTAAGTGGATTAGGGATCTAATGACACTGACATCCAGTTTTTAAAATTTTGATCGCCAACCAATTAATGTAAATACATACAAATTTAAAATGCGTATGTTTATATTTCGCCTCCTTGAGAATTTAAAAATGCGCTTAAGGCTTGCAATAGTAATGTTAGTGTATTGACACTAAAGGACTATAAAAATGAGCCAATTGTTTAGATTTATTTTGCCATAACTTAGAGACAAAATTTTTGAAGTGGAACTGTGGATTTCTTTTATCCAGTCAATTAAATTACTGCGAATAAGCCTGCCTCATATTATGAACAATTAAGTATGTAATTGCTGACAGCAACCTCTAATAGTGATTAAAAATGTACCAGACATTCTTCCTTAATTTATTTGTGTTCAGAGTTCTGCGATTTTAAAATCAACTTTGGTACAAAAACTTAGAATATTTATGGGCATATTTGTACACTTCTACCCAATGAAAATACTTCATTGACAAATGTCACAACATTCCTTTAAATTTTGGGCTGCTTATTTAATAAATTCTTACTTTAGAGTCATCTATTGCAATCATGACCTACTATCCAAACATCTCAAATAACTGGTTGACATACTATGGTACATATTTGTTGATGCATCTGAGATTTGTGATTGCCTAAAATAACTATAGCCAAGCTTTTGTGCCATAAGCAAATAGTTATTAAGTCTCAGCTGCCAATTAGGTTATTTGATTTGGATCAATTTATGGTAATTCGTTGAAACCTATGACTTAAATTGTTTGGGGATCCATTAATTCCGAAGTGCAATTTGAATTTTAATTTATTTCAAAATTACGACTGTTAATTTTCAATTAAAATCTAGCTTAATAATTATCATTTCTAATAATTCATATATTTTTACCTAATGTCACTTCATAATCATTTCTAATCCATTTAAACCTCTTTTTCTTAGCGAACTATCATTCGTTTACTTTACCAGCACTTCTTCTATTCATTCACTTCGTTACAGAGGATAAGGAATACCTTGATTTTCGATGACATACTTTCAAGAATTATATATATTTCATAATAAATTATAAAATGTAAATTTGTAATAATAATATAATAGGCTTTCCTCAAATATTCTGGCTCTAAAATTAGAATGAGCTCAGAAATTCTCTGAACGATGAAAAGATAATTATTTTATACAATTTATTCCATAATTTATGGTTTCCATTCTATATAGTAAAATAATGAAGTAAGAATACTAATCTAAAGTTCATTAATTAATTAAATGGGAGGAGTATAACCACTCAATCGTAACTGTAAAAAATCTCTACTCTCTTGCTTATAATTGCTTGTTGAAGATGTTGAGTTCTATGTTGATGCCCAATTCCTCGCACAAATTAAGAATGTTTAGATTTCCTTTCCCAACAACTTTGAAAAAAATCGGTAACATTTATATATTCAATATTTACAGGAAAAAAAAAATAGATCTGCTAAAATAGTCCTTACCTCCACAAATCAGTTTCCACGAGGATGTCTTACTTAATTATATAAGTTCAGCGTTCTAGTGTTCTTTAATTAGAAGCAACAACTCTAAACTCAAGAATAGTAAGGACATCAGCATGGATAAAGAATTCGTTAAGACTTTCAGGCTGATGAACTTTTCAGGTTTGTAATAAGAATATGATAATTGTTATTAAAATAATTTAGTCCACTTATATTAGGGCTTAAATTGCTATTGCAATCTAGCCAACTAAATCATCAAAGAACTTAATTAAAACCTTGATGTTTAATGCAAAGTATATGTTTTGATTTGGGAGCACTTTTAAAATCATTTATGTAAATTATCTACCTCAGATGCCTATGACCTATAACCACTCAATTAATTTTTTAATGAAAATTACGCCATCATTTCGCCAAATCTAAAAATAGAAGCCATAGGCGGAAAACTTTGGGGTACAATGGTTCAATAGTTAAACCTCGACTATATTAAGCAATAATTTTAGATTGCTAGAAGAGATCATACCCAATAAACAATATGTTTCTTTCAGGTATTTAATGCTGTGATTGACATGAATATTGATGCTGCCAATCTCTAATGGATAGGCATTAGCGATTTCAAATTTACAGGGTCTCTCAAACTTTTGATTGATTTCATTGTTGAAGATACCAATCATTTTTTGAATTACTTAAATGAAAAATCACAAGGAAATCTATTCCTATTATTAGATTTATGGGAGTAAGATGATAACTTTATGAAATCAGTCTTGCCAACTTGGATTTGTGAAAATATACTAAATAATTAGTTTTTCAGTTTTTTTGAATAAAGAATTAGAGAGAAGATTAAATTGATGTAAACCAGCTAACAAAAAAATCTAATTGTAAGGCATTCCAAGCAAAAGGTGGAGACTGATTTCTAAAGTTAATTAGAATAAGCAAAGATGAGCTTGGACTCTGTCTTTTTTTAGGTTGACTTTTTCCATTAGTAAAACATTGACTCAACCTTATAAATTATGATTAAATAATTGAGATCTGAAAAAGAATTTAGTAGCATTATCTTAGCTAGTGAAAATACGTAGTAAGGACCTAGTGATTTATTGCTTCAACAAAATTCAAATATCTTTTCAGATGTTGAAGTTCATCATATCCAATCTAATGTTCTAGAACCACAAGATTCAGGTATATTGTGTTCAAAAGAATGCGATTCAAATCTATTGAGTCCAGAGGATGAAATTGCTGAAATATGTTAAAAGTATGATCAAAAGAAGAATAGAATATATCCGAATATTTAATAAAGAGATGAAAAGATAAAATTGAGAAATAGAAATTTACAACCAATATCTAATGAATTATCAAAGATATTTAGTTTTGTTCATTCTATTTCAAAAGAACAAGTCGATGTTTTAGTGAATCTTTTAATTGAGCAAAAGCACAAAGAAGTTAACTTGATGAATAACCTATTCGTGAATTAAGAATATTTCAAAGGATCTATTGCCGCTGAGTTGTTATTTTTAATGTAAAAGTGAGAAAATAAAATTAATTATTGATATTTATTGACCTTTCTTAGTATAAAAACTATATTTTAATTTTTTAATCTAAATTTATTAGATTTCTTCTAAGTATTTCTCTTTATTTCTTATTGAATTAAACATACATAAATATAGATATCATTTAATTGAACAATTAATTCTCCATCAATTAATTTATGATCTCAGTAATCAATTTATATATATTCTGATGTTATTGAGACTATAGAAAAATTGCAATGAGTAGAACTATCTAAAATACTATTTGACAAATATATCTATATAAATTTTAAGAATATCTATTAAATATCAAAAGAAAAATTTAGCATAGGAGTTCTTAGATCTTAAAGAAGTTAATTCAAATAATCTTTAAAAGTTATCACTTTTTATTTTTTCATCTGACATAGATCCTTTATAGGTGGTTTATTCAAATTTTTTGCTTTCTTTATATTGTTCTAGTTCTCTTTGAATCCATTGTTGTAATTTTAAGTTTGATAATTTTGCTATTTTAGGAGGAGACCTTTTAGTTTGATTTTAATTTTATAATTCTTATTTTACTTTTGAAGATAATGGTTCAACTTATTCGACACTATTACTCTTCATTTTCTTTAATTGCATTCTAAATGAGGATTGTTTGCTCATATCAACAATGGATTTTTAGTTTATATAACTTTCATTACAATTATAATATCCTAATGGTGGTGGTTGTACTTTAATCAATTAATAGGGTAAAGGTTTCTTTTGACGAGAACTATCCTTTGATTTGGCAGGATGCTTAGCTGAAACGACAAAAAATTTATCAAGTTTATCTTGATGCTTTATTTACTTAGGATGTTTTTGAGAAGGGTTTTTCTTGATTTCAGGGAATTGTATGGGTACATTAATCAAGACTCCTTTTTCAAAATCATATTAAGAAGATATTCCTAAGATTGAATTGACATTCTGATTAATATTGGATACACTGGGTTGATGGGATAAAGAATAGCGACTTTTCATGTATTAATTTTATAATAATAATAGATCAGACAACAAAAATCTTTTTTTTTGTATTTAATACTTTGTGATCGTTCTTTTGAGCATTGTTTAAGAAATTATGACTAGCAATAATTTGTTTATGTTATTTTGGATGTCCAAGATCATCTTCTTCATAAGATTTATCAGATGATTCTGATTCGATGAGATCTTCATTTTATTTTTTGTAGAATTTGCATTTCATCTATAGAATTTCATTGTCATCACATAACATTTATGGACTTATAGATTAAAATTTAAGAGAGTTTTGATAATATTTGATCTTCATGGCTCTTTGAGATTCTCCAAATTAGTATTTGATATCATGAACAAATTTATATTTCTTAGATTCGGTATGTGGTCTAGTCTAAACTTGAGTTTAAATGAATCTATAATTTCTTTGATATTTTTATAAGAATGTTGAATGACTAGTAGAGGGTTTCATTTGTGGTAATTCTTAGATACGCTTTTAATGAGCATTTTTATTAATTTGTTTCTTTTTGGAATCAATTCCATCCTCTTTGGCTATGTCTTTGTTGTCATTGAATGCAAGGATCAATCTCTAAACTAGCCCATGTTAGGATTGAGGTCTTTTGGGTTCTTCCTATACTTCAGGTAATTCTAGTTTCTTCTTTTTCAATTGATCATCCTTCATTTTTTGTGTCAATTCTTTGTATGGTTCAGCAATCGATTTCAAAGCTATGTTCATTGGCTAAGACTATGATTAAATGAGACGTCTAACTTTTATTAATAGATATTTACTTTTTCTCCCTCTGAACTATCACCTATTCAGGTTAAGCATAATTTCTTTGCATTTCTTCCAGTGTTGCTTCATTAAAATACTTATTAACCAGAAATCTGACCTTCACTCTTTCCTTTTCGTATGGAGATAGGTTCTCTTTTTCAATCAATTTTAGAGCATCAAATACCAATTCAATGTCCTTTAATTTTTAGCCTACCCAATCAAAAGGGAACTTCCAATAATTGGATCCATCATATTTAGCCAAACTTATATCAGACCATAAATCTCCTTTCATCGACCATATCTTAAAGTGTTTATCCATCGATGAACTGATGAATGAGACTAACTCTCGAACTTTATTGATTTTGACAATGGCAGAACTATGAGCCACCCATTATCTAATAAGCAAAGCAGAGATATTGCAAGTAAGAACAGGGTTCGATTGTTTCTCCTCTTATACTAAGAATGTTTCAATACTCTTGGATACATCTATCAAGTCTTTCCTCTTTAATTAATAAGAATGACCCTTCTTTAATTTTTCCATCTCAGTAATTCCTTTTCTCTATAAAAACTCTGTTAGTGATAGAATATGCATATATCCCTTCTAATCTCCCATGTAGAGTAAGGCCCTCCTTTTATTTTGATGTTATTCAGTATCATATTGTTAAATGTCCTTCATTAACCCCTCTTGTTCTTCTTATAAATTTAACTTGGATTTTTTATCCTGAGCAGTTTTATCGACCAAAGGACCTGAAAATTCAGGTAACAATTCCTATCTTGAAGGTCCACTTGATATGTCTGAGAAGATGGCTACAGATAACATGGGATGCTAGGGATTGGTATGGATTCTTAACAGACATTTATTAGTTTTAATATTCCAGATGCTTATGAGTATTCCTTACAAACTCACTAAGACAGGATATGGATCTGCAAATTCTAGAGCAGTAACCTCTGCCAATGGTTATGGAGTATTAAGGACTCCACATAATTTACTTGTTTCAAAATCCCATAGAGAAATCAAACCATTTGCACTTCCAGTAGCTAGCATTGTGAAATTAGGACTGAATGCCATAGATAGGATTTCAGAATTTTAATGTCCACCACAAAATACCTTTAGTAGGATTGATTCTTCAGGATCAGTTTCATCATATATTCTAATAGTGGAATCTTGACTTGCAGATATCAACAGTTTCTCTTCTTGCAAGAATATGATTGAACTGATATCCAATGTGTCTCTTTTTTTGATATTAGCCAATTTATTAGCAAACTCCGAATTCTCAATTTCATTATGCATATTAACTTTTTTAAGAAACTCTCCTGTTTTCATGTTATATTATCTGATCAATCCAGCATTGTCAGCTATGAACAGTTTTCTCTGCCTTCCTCCTAAGCAAAATGTTGATAAATCCAATTGTATTTTGTCATCAAATACTTCATTCATCACTTTCTTCAGTTTACCACCCATTGCATCATATATTCTCAAATCAAATTTAGTTAGAACAATGAATTAATTGAAATACATATTGAATTCAACATTTATTGGATACACTTCCTCATTAGGTCCTTTCTATTTCTAATTACTACTCATTTAAGCAGCATTGTAGAAATAATTCAATCTCTTTCCTGAATAAACAAATCTATCAGTCCTTGTTATTATACACAAATCAGTTACTAAGGATTATTAATCATTTGGTATCACTTACACACTACTCATCTATCTAATATCCCATATTCTAATATTTGTATGATCATCGATGCTAACACAATTAGGAGATTGGGGAATGAATTTGCAAGTCACCACTAATGAAGAATGTCCCTCCAATCTTCCAATATATGCTCTAGTTATTGACACTTCTGGACAATAAACATTGATATAAGTTTCAAATCCATAACTAATTAGATTTGATCCATAATCTTGATTGTAACTTAATCCTTTAACCCCTCTTTTTGACGGAGCTGGTGTTTTCAATTCTGTTATAAATTTCTAATCCTGCATATCCCACAACTTAATTTTACCATCTTAACTTGCTGATGCCAGTAGTTTAGGACTAATCAATTCAACAATATCTGTTATTTGTTTTGTATGAGCATTCAAGAATTTAATTACTTATCCTTTAGAATCCTTTTCATTCCAAGGTATACTCCATCCTCTAATATTGTAATCAGATCCAGCTGTTACCCATAATTCATGATAAGGGAAGTACCAGATGCCAGTCTATAACACTTCTTACTTGAATTATTTAATGACTTTAAATGTTGTTGCATCCCAAAATATCAATTGTCTATCACTTGTAACTGCTGCAATGTAGTTATCAACAGTATGGAAGTGTAAGATGAATATTTTCCCTTATTCGGATTCAGGTGCCAAGGTAAACTTCTTATCCTGACACTCAGGAGTGTAGAATCTCAAATGTTACGAGTTTTATTCCAAGCAAATAACACTATCTAATTATGCGCAGTAGGCAATCTAAGATTTTGATAATTAGATTTACGTTCTTGATTGGGTTCTTGTGATTAGAATCATCTACTTATGCCATAGGGATGTAGCGTTTAGATTTTCTTGAATAGGCCCTGTCAAGTACTTCAATTTCTGTCAGTTCCCTCTCCTTCTCGAATCTGGTATCGTAAAGTTAAGCATCCTTCGAACCAATAACTGCATCAATGATATATTAAGTGAACTCAGCCCATTCCATATGGCCATCCCCATTTATATCTATATCCTGAAACAACTTTATCAATCCATTAACTAATTCATATTTATCCTCAGGAGCATGCGAGATTGCACATTTCATTAACCATATGAAATTTGGTAACTCAATACCATTCGGATGTTCATGAAACTCCTTGTCCAAAGCATCCAGTTTCTCGTTATCCAACATCATCATCAATCTATCTGCCTAATACGGGTTGCGTTCAATTAAGATCATGTCTTAATGTTCTTGGAGATACCTATTTCATATTCCCTTATATTACTTGATCACATCTGTTAAGGATGGTTCGAATCGTTTAAGTAAATTGTTCATTAATTATTAAAAAATTTAAATCTTACAGCATGGGTGAGATAGTGCCAAATCAATTGTTTGTTGCTGGATACAGTCGTAATAAAATACCAGATGAGAAGGGCATCAAAGATATTTTCAAGAAATATGGAAGCATCAAGGATGTTGCCTATAAAGGCTCCTATTCATTTGTAGTACGAATTTCACCCTCTATAGCTAGACTTTCTCTGCCGAATCAGAAGCCCAGAATGCCATTTCAGCTTTGAATGGACAACAAATTAATGGATAAAAGCTTAAAGTAGATATTGTGGACAATCACAAAGGCAGACGCAGTGGTCCTTAACAAAATGACGAGTGTTTCAAGTGTGGATAAGGTGGTCATTGGTATTGCTTTGTTTTATTATGTTAGGGCTAGAGAATGTCCCAATAGAACATCACCAAATAGAAGAAGAAGATATTCGAATTCAAGATCAAGGTATTAACACATTCACTATTTTGAGACACCGAAGATCAAAAAGATCTAATTCGAGATCTCGCTCATATTCCTCTTATTCCTCTTCTCACTCTAGAAGGAGAAGAGATGCAAAGAAGAGAAGCAAGTACAGCAGAAGAAGTAGAAGTCCAAAAAGAGACAACAAGAGAAAGAAAAGCACCAGCTGCAGAAGATCACAAAGCAATTCAAGGTCCAGATCTTCAGTCAGCAATAAATAACGCTAGTCAAATAAATCATCTTCATCTAAATGAGAAAGGATCAAATTAAGAAAAAAAAAAGAAATTAGAAATTAAATCAATCCCTTTCTTCCCTTTTTCGTTTTCTGCATCTGTTTCTGGACTAAATTGTGTCAATTGTATAAAAGCACACTCAAGTTAAAGTTCTTAAGCAATAATTAAAATAAGCTAATCTACTTTAAATGAATTTTACTAATAAATAATCCTTAAAATCTATCACTCTCATTTTATACCATTATTACATACCATTTAATACATCGCTATAATTATGTATTATTTTCATATTTACTCAAATTATTTTAATATATTATTAATTAATTCTTAAATAATATTTTAACATAAAAAGTAATAATACTTTGATATAAAATAATATTATTACTAAATGAATTTCCCTATTTTTCTAATTATTTATGCAAAATGATTCTCAAACCTTCTTTAATATACTATAATAATATTGAAAGCAATCAATACAAAATATAAATCAACATTGCTTCTAGAACACTTATTAATACTATTTAATGTCCAGCAATCGTAAATAAGATATCTTAATTTTTTCACCAATTAATTGGCTAATATTTTATCTTCAAATATTTTCATTTACTTTATATATTTTTTATATTACATTATTTTCCATATGATGTATATTATATTTTGATCATAAATACCAGTATAGAAGTCAGTTTGGCCGAGTGGTCAAGGCGGTGGACTTGAAATCCACTGGGTTTACCCGCGCAGGTTCGAATCCTGCAGCTGACGATTTTTTTTATTATTAATTTTATAATGCTAAAAATAATCTAAATGCTTGATTTCATAAAATATAATTATGTGAAAAATGAACACTCTATTACTAATTAAACTAATGAGATCGATTATTTGATTATTTTTATTAAATATTGTTTAAGAATTTAAAACATCTACATATGAAATTAAGTAATTATTAAATTTCTTATTTTTTTAATAGGTTTTCTAATAATTGATCACTAAAATTATAATAATAATCATACATCATACGGCCTCCTTTGCCATGTCTTCTATACGTTAAATACTCGAGACAAAATCTTATAGACAGTATAGTTAATATTTTAGATTACCGTTTTTCACTGAGATTACTTCTTTAGCTGGTTTGATGTTCTCCTCACCTTATCTTGATTCTCGAGCTTTTAATACTATTTTATCAATTATGTAATATTGAAAAATGATTAATAATATTATATCATAAATTAATACGTATTATTATCTCAATAATCAAATAATATTATCAATTGTGTACCTTATAAGGGATCATGATGAATAAGTGATTACATAATTAAATTTATGATTCGCCACATACTTTCTCTAAGCAAGCGTAACTAATCTTTTGGGTCAACCAAAAACATTTTGGATTTCTCTGAATTTTTAGAGCGCAATGTTTTATCATCCGCTCCTAAACAAATATCCCTTGCTACAATAAGAAACACGAAAGAAAGGGAGCACTATTCAAAATGCTTTGATAGAACAGGAAAATGCTAAGGGTGTGAAAAAAATAAAAACTGGAAAAAAGATGAAAGTCGTCTTACAATAGGCGAAGCAATCAGAGAAGCTTAAAGATGTCTAAAATGCACCGATGCACCCTGTTAAAAAGGATGCAGTACATCCATCGACATTAAAAGTTTCATTTACAACATAGAGAAAAAGAATTGGTATAAAACGGTTTAACAATCTATTATAGGTATGGAGCAGCAAAAGTCATATTAACTGACAATCCTCTGGGCTTGAGTTGTGGATAATTATGCCCAATAAGTGAATTGTGTGCCAGAAATTGTAATGTAGCATCTAGTGAAAAAGGTGCTATTAAAATCAATAAGCTCTAAGAGTTCGCAGTCTCAATGTTTAAGGTAAATACCCTTAGTAACCTATTAGGAAATGGGTGTTAAACAGATTCGAGATCCTAAATTGCCGAAAAATGACCATATAGTATTCGATTCATCCATAGCCTTAATTGGAGCTGGCGCTGCCTCGTTATCCTGTGCTACCTTTTTAGGAAGATTGGGATACAAAAATGTTACTATTTTCGAGAAATAGTAACATGCTGGAGGATTAGTAGTATCAGAAATCCCTATGAATCGTTCCCCAGTAGATGACATTAATTGGGAAATCGAATAGGTGAAACAACTGGGAATAAAATTTGTTTTTGGAAAGGAATTAGGGAAGGATTTCACAATAGAGTCATTAAGGAAGGAGGGATATGAGTGTGTGTTCCTTGGATGTGGGCTTAATGAGCCAAAAAAGGGACTAGGACATATATACTAATAAAGTCACATTTTAAATTCGAAGTCCTTTTTGCCCAAAGTGAATAAGGCTGTGAAGCAAGATAAGGACGTAGAGGCCACTCCAAAACTCTCAGGACATGTTATAGTATTAGGAATTGGAGATACAGCATTAGATTGTGCTAGATCAGCTTACAGGTGTGGAGCACAAAGAGTAAGCGTCATATTTAGAAGGGGATGGTAGGACATTCGAGCAAATGACGAGATTCTGATTCCCTCTAAGAATGAGGGCATCAATTTCATACCTTATGAATAGCCACTTAAATTAATAGAAGTCGATGGCTAATATAAATAAATTGAATTAGAGTAAAATCTCCCAGTTAATAACGATGCTTTCAACTTGAAGTACCAACTCACAGGAGACAAAGTAACAATGAGTTTTGACTATTTGATCACAGCCTTTGGTTCAGAAATATAAAATAAAGAATTGGACTAGTTTTTAAATTAAAAGAATGGCTTTGTTTAGATAAACGATTCACACCAGGTCAAAGGTTACGATTGGCTCTATGCAGGTGGAGATGCTGTTGGAGTGGCTAATTTGGTGGATGCAGTCAATGATGGCAAAACATCCTCTTGGCATATTCATAACTTTTTATAGAAAAAATACTCAATTTCATAATTAACACCTGATCATCTACCATCTTACACCACAGAAATTGACAACATAGATCTTAGTATTAATATCCTTGGAGTTAACTTCCCTAATCCTTTTGGTTTGGCTTCAGCACCACCTACCACTTCATATCCTATGATAAAAAGAGCATTTTAGGAAGGATGGGGCTTTGCAGTTGTGAAGACTTTTGTTTTGGATAAAGATGCTATCACCAATGTGTCTCCAAGAATATACAAAAGCACTACTGATCCACTTAAATAGGACCCAGGATATGCTAACATTGAATTAATCAGTGAGAAATCAGCCAAATATTGGTTAGAAGGCAGCAAAGCTATTAAAAAGGAATTCCCCAATCATGTACTCATCGGCAGTATTATGTGTTAACACATTGAATAGGATTGGAGAGAATTAACCAGAAAATGCAAGAATGAGGGTTAATTTGATATGCTTGAATTGAACTTATCATGTCCTCATGGAATGACTGAATTAGGAATGGGTAGAGCTTGTGGAGAAAACCCATAAATAGTTAAAGATATATGTCAGTGGGTTACCTCTGAAATTGATATTCCAGTTATTGTTAAAATTACTCCCAACTATCCAGATTCTGCTGTTATTGCCTAGGCTGCCAAAGAAGGAGGCGCAAAAGCAGTTACATTGACTAACACCTTCCCAACTTTAATGGATCCAGATCCTCTTGGTACCCCTTGGCCAGCTGTTGGTGAAGAAAACAATGTCACTTATGGTGGAGGATGCGGATCAATGTTGAGACCTATAGCCCTGAGAAAAACATCAGAAGTGGCCAAAGCTATCCCAGATCTTGCCATCTTTGGAAGTGGTGGTATTATCTAAGGAGATCATGCTCTCTCATTTCTTAGATATGGGGCATCTGCTTTTCAGATTTGTTCAGCTGTTTAAGATCAAGATTTCGCAACAGTCCTTTATGATCTCAAAACTAGCTTTTAGGCTCACCTTTATGCTTCATATAACTTAAATTAAAAATAATGGAAAGGATAATTCCCATCTTCTTAAAAACAAAAGTCCGCTTTTGCATTCAGTTCTAGTAATAAGCTCAAGAATCTTGTTGGAACTGGATTACACCACATCAAAGATATTGCTGAAATGAAAAGAGAAGACTTTTTGGTCCCGAAAATCAATGAGGATTCATGTTTAAAATGTGGAAGATGTTATTTGACTTGTTTGGATTCTGGCTATTAAGCTATTAAATTTGACAATTTCAATTCTTTCCCAACTATTATTGAAGAATTATGCACCGGTTGTGCATTATGCCATGCTGTATGCCCTGTAGAAGGTTCAATCTCTATGGAAATTCGAGCGACAGACATTGTTGTTAATCGTGGAATTCCATTAGAAAAAGAACCAGAAGGTCTCATCAATCATATTCCAAGTAGAAAAAAGTGACCATTTATATTATTTAATTACCCAAACCATTCATTTTTACATAATCTTCTTCCTTGCAACATAACTAGTAATTTTAATAAATTCTCTGTTTTTTGTTAAAGTATGCGGTTTTAAACTTTTTAAACCCCTACAGAGTAAAGATATTTTATTTGTAAAATTTAAATCTGTATTTCTATTAAGGAATATTCAATGATAAAGGCAGACCTTATGATATATTTATTTTGATTAATTGATTCTTTTCGATTTTCTAATATTAAATCATCTTTAAGGGTTTGGTTTATACCAATTCTATCTGCTTGATTTCTTTCAACTTGTATTGCATCTAAATGATTTCATTTTTTAATTAAAGATTTATAAACTGTTTTTCATTTATCAACTTCCCTTAAAAGATTTCCCAATTTTGAGAATAATGAACAATGACTTCCTCTAATTCTTCTTTAGATTTTCTTATTTCATTAGAATCAGAATAATTAACTTAATGATTTATTTAACATAATATTAATTATATACTAAATAATCATTATTTTTTTGAACTGTCTTAATTAGTATGCTTATTTTGAACTTATTTTTTTTATAAATGTTTAGTTTGTGGTCTATTGTAATTTTATGTTTAATAAAATCCTGCATTATTATTTGATACTTTCTATTATTATTATTATTATTATTATTATTATTATTATTATTATTATTATTATTGTTGTTATTATTACTATTATTATTGTGTATAAGTTTATGTCTAAGAATTCCAAAATGTAGGTTATGCTAGGGTTATCAATTATAGATATACCTACACCACACCAAGGGCTTTAATAATAATACTGGCATTATTATAAGTACTAATTTTAATATTATTATTGTTTTCTTCTTTAGTAAGAAGTAACAGAGAAAGAGAAAGGCATTTATTCAAAAACGGAGATATATTCTGAAAATGAAATATCAAAGTTAGGGTTTGTATCTCTATCATTTCTTTTTCTTTTCTTAAATCAATTAACAAAATGTAATACTTCAGAATTATCTAATTCCTTGAAGCTGCTTAGCAAACAACTTTTTTGAGGTTGTTGTTAAAATGCATTGTAAATTTATTCTGCATTTTCAATTTGAGTACAATCTATGAGTTCATGAATACACTTTCCACATGATTAGGAGATCGTACTAAGTTCCTTATATGGTAAGTCTCTGACAAAAACCTTTTATGTCTTTGATTAATACCCATTCAATTTGAAAAGATCCAAACCATTTATTTTCTTCAGCCCAATACTTGAAATGCTTATTATCCCTAAATTCAGATACAATTTTGGCTAATCCAATAAAATGAGAAGTTTGTGTAACATTGAATAAGAGATACACAGGACGAGGAGCATCATTCAATTTTTTATTATTTCGACTCGAACTACCTTCATATAAATATATACCTAGTCCAGATCCCATACTTGATTGCTCGATGAACATTATCTTTCGTTGGAGCACGTATCAAAAAAAATGTCGCCTCAGGTTCAAGTGGTTAATGGATATTTTAAAGACATTTAAAAGTAGCTTTAACTTCTTCGAAATTGTCATAATTATCTAAATATTGTGCTTCAGGCTAAGGGCATATTGGATTAGCTTGCATATTATATATTATATTAATTATATTATTCATGTAATTTTATATATTTTTATTTTTAGAGATCGATTTTTTTCGGTTACATCCTTCCTTTCTATAATTAAGAAAATATACTCAAATTGATGATTTTCAAAGATACTATGATTTTAATTTTTAAGCAAAATAAATTTTGGCAATTTATATAATATTTATTACTTAAAATAACATTATTCTATCCAATTCATGAGTAGATTCATCTTAAAATTTTCATTGCTAGAGACCAATAGTGGGACATTGTACCAGATTGAAGAAGAATCAGATTAAAAAATGGAAACTTTTTATGCTTTTGATTTCTCATCAGACTTTAAAAATTAAGTGCTTTAAGAGGAGGAAGAAAAACTAAGTGGTTGCGCTTCTGCCAGGCATTTTGTCAAATAAATTACACTTTAAAATAAAAAATATCATCTGTTTAAATATGCAGGGGGGCAAACATTAGATAGAGAAATTTAATATTTTAGAGGAAAAAAATAATCTATTAAGCTTGATACAATCAAACTTTATTTAACATAAATTCTTGACACATTATACTAGCTTCATTAGAAATAAATCTTAGGTAGAGTATTTTCCACTAAAAATATTATTTTATATGATGGTTAAATGATATTCATGGACTTTGGATTTGGTCCAAAAATGATAACAGCAAATGTAGATCTAATTGCACCACCTGAAATTATTTAGAAATTTTTAGAAAATAGTAACTATTTTTTAATATAATATAGAATCAGTTGAATGCAATTACAATATGGAAGTTGATTCTTGGCTTTTGGGAGCAGTGCTGTTTCATTTAGTTAAATTGAGACCTATTTCACATTTAATAGAGGATAATACAGTCAAAAGCATGGTTTATAATGATATAAAGGAATATTGGGAGTATTTAAAAACTCAGATGAAGGTTTAGAATTGGATTAATGCAAAAACTGATAGATATCCTGAAGAATTCTGCCTATTTATTCAAGGACTTTTAACCTACGATCCTTAGAACAGATTCACTTTTCAATAAATTTATGAACACCCCTTTATTAAAAACTTGAACCTCCCTAAGTACAAGGAATACCTTTCATTTTATACACTAGGCAAAATAGACTGGGTTAGTTAAAAAATAAGATGTCACTCAAATAACTATATAGAAACAGGAGAACTCGAAATTCGATAATCTATTTTAGGATCATAAAATTTTGGATAAGTAGTCCCATCTATTACTCAAACACCAAGCCATTCAACCCAGTAAGAAAATTATAAGATTTATTATTTTAGTATTCCTTACTTAGATATCAAAAGCAATTTTACAAGTTAAACAATTCAAATTCCAGGAACTAGTTCAAGATTAAATTGGCCAGCTGAAGAAAATAATTCAGATAACATCGAAAATTAATTGATATATTAAATATAAGATCTTAATGTAAGCATATATTCTATTAATAGCAATCTAGATTCTATGAAATCTGGTGTAACATAAGATTGGAATTATTTAGATACACTTTTTTGGAGAAATGTGCTGAAGAATTTGTAGTTGAATTGGGAAAAAAAAAAAAATATCAATTAGAGCATCTTTTAGCTTATTTCTTAAGAAAAATGGGCTATCTCATTTTAGTTGAATTGTAAAAGAAACTAAAGGAAGATGTCTGTCCTTGGAGATGCACTCATGAAAATTTACAAAGATGGAAGGATTTTTAAAAGGAGAGTTAAATAACAATTTTAGAAAACTCTATTATACCAAAAATTAAAGAATTGGCATCTATTCTATAATAATAATTTTAGGATTAATGTCAAAAATTTAAAAATGAAGAAAATATTGAGGAAGAAATTCGAAAACAACTACAAGAAGATAATAGCTGTTTTTAAAGTTTTAAAAATGATGGTTCTTCTATATATCAATGTTGTTCTGACGAATTCTTGAGAAGTGGATTTAGAAAGTTGTTATAGTTAACAATCAAATTTTTATAAACAGAAAAGAAATTTAATTTGTAGCCTTAAATAAATTATAATACTTTAATTTTAAAAATTCTTCTATGCCATTTGATCAATCGAATATTCAATCTCAGTATTGCTGAAACCACTTTTAAGGAACTGTTGAAAAATAGGAGGAGTGAAGCTTTAATATCTCCAAATGAAATATACGCATATATTTGTCGAAATGATGAACAAGGAAAAGAGGAGGACATTAAATATATTTCCAGCAATAGTTTTACAGAAAAATGACATTATTCAAATATGTCTTATATATCCAAATCATAATTATTATTATTTCATCTAAAAAATTTCAGTCAAAACTATTATCTCTGTGAAAATGAAATATATAATACTATATATAATTTAGATCAAGATATATATATATAATAGAATAAATTAAACATGATATTTTAGTTTAAATATTAAAAAATTCAAAGATTTAAATAATCAATTTTGTCTTTCATAACATAATACATATGCATGTTCAGTAATGATATCTTACAATTGAATTTCTGTGACTTGAGAATCATCATAACAATACCATTTCTAATCCTCTAAATTCTTAATGAATGTATTATAATGGCCTTCATAAAGTTCTCCATAATGGTTAATTACTCCAAATAGTTTATATTTCAATTCATTTGTGTTATTTCCATTTAAATAGTCGTTTGGTAGCTAGACTTTATTATAACAACAATACCTTTAAATTTGTAACATATTTAGACATATTAAGAACATGTGGAAACTTTACAAATACATTGTTTTTTATTTTCTAAGTCATGTCAACTGAAGATTTAAATCTTTTGAGTTAAATGATCAAAATTTGAGGTGTAGAATATAATAATAGTTATTTGATTCCTTTGACATGTTAATTGCATTAATTGCAGTACCATGAATTATTTTCATCTAATTATTATTGTTGCTAATAAAAGTATAAACAATCATAAATTGTTAATAATGATTTATTAATTGATAATTAATCATTTTTATCTTACAGCATTAAAATTTGAGACTCTGTATTAAACATGGTTGGAATTCCTTAACCATACCATTTGACAATGAGATTCAATTAAAAATTAGGTTGAGAGATGCAATTATTGTAATATTTTAAACTGTGTTAACATTTCTTCAATTCACAGAATTTGCAATATTATTTATGACAAAAATAGCATTGCTATTCTGAATCTTAAGAATTTGATTCTAAGAATAAGTCAAATTAGCATTGAAATTATTGAGCAAAATTTTTTTCAATAAAATCATAAATCTCAAAGATCTTTGTTCTGAAATCAAAAATGATTGTTATTATTTCAGTCAATATTTAAAATTCAGGGTTCGTGTGCGTTACAAGTGTATAGCATCTATAATTCTACGGGATTTAGATTTCTTAAAAATGCATACGTCGAACAAGTAATTTCGAATTTTAAAGCTATTGTTTTAAATATTGAATATCATCTTCAGGTTGAACTAATTAAATATAAACATGTAATTACTTTCAAAATTTCTTACTTAGTTTGATAAATTGAAAACTAAATCTTAAGTTCTTAATTATATTCTAATTTCATTTTAAATCCACTCAAAATTATAATTTTTATAGACACTTAGAGTCATTTGCTATTATCTATATTTATCATCCAATAAATAATAGAAAATGCCTTTTTCACATTTCTTATTGCCCAACGGTAGCTAGATCATCATATATGGATCAAAACTAATTAGGAATATAAACTTACGTTATGGACATATTTTTACAATTAGGACATTCAATTTTGCTTTTAAACTATGCTTAGAATAGTTAAGTAACAATTGATTAGTTTCTTTGACTATGAACATCCCAAGATTCAATTGCAACAACCAAGTCTTCTCTTCCTTTGCTTGATGGTACGATCAAATAAGGTTTTTTTTTAATTTAATTTACATCCTCGTTTATTGCATCAAGTAACTACAATAGAAATTCTGCTGAGTCGTGTTAATCATTCCCATAATACTAATATTAATGATATATTCTTTTACAATATTATAAAATTTGGAGAATGTTTTTTTAAATGAATTTGGAATGATGTATGGTTATTTTCTGCTTTTTAATTCTTTGATAAGAGCTGCAAAACTTTAAATAATCTCACCACTACTTCCTAATGGGTTTATTAAGTTTATATCAAATTAATAAATATCATTTAAAATGTAATCCGCAAATCCAGGCGTATTGCATAAGATTTGAATGGCACTGTTCATATAACACGTGTTACCCAAGTTTCCTAATCCTGTTTATTGACTATATGATATCATTTTTTAATTATTTTTTATAATCCAAATTCCTAATGAAAAATCTGATATAATTAGAAATGTAATAAATATTATAATCAGAATTATAAAAAATAGAAATGTTATAATTAGAAATGTAAAATCATTCATATCTAAATTTAGTATAATTTTATTGTATTAATAACGGGAGAGATTACAGTTTATATCCTTTCGGAGGATGTGACAATTTTAAACTAAATACCTTTGGTTTTAGATAGGCACCATTCATCCCTTATGCGTTACCCTACGAATATATTTATTGAGATGGTATGATTTAATTTTTTGAGGAGTTCTCCTATTGTTTATCATGTTCACTCTCATTCATCTATTTCGAAGAGGATTTAACATTCTTATTATTTTTCCTTATAGCAAACTGCTTCACATTCTTAATTGCTATACCCTATAACACCCCCTTAATTGATGAGAGTGGAGATAAAATGCTTTAAACATTTTATTACTAAATATGAGAATTATTGAGCCTATTATCAGCCTTTCTATATTAAATCAAATCCAAAATCTATAATTCCCTTCCTCGTTTCTCTGTATAAGAACATAAGTCTTTTATTGATTCTAATGACTGTTGTTAATAATCTTCATAAGGAAAGAAATTATCATTATCCGCTTCAGGTATAGTATCTATTTAATTTGGAGGTTATTCTTCCCCTTCCTAAATGATTTCATCTCCTTTATTCTACTCATTTTTGCTAGTTGGAAATAAATTTGTATTGATTCTACTCTGAACATGTTTATATAAAGTGCTCTTCCTTTCAAGAATAATCTTTTTAGGTTGGGATTAAGATTTAATCTGAGGTTCTTGACTTAATTAAACGGATTCTTTTTTTTGGTTTCTTCTGATATCTAGGATATTTAATGATAATTTACTTGCTCCAGTCCATTCTTCATAGAGTTTTAAAGAATGTTATAAATACTCTTCATAAGTTTTGGAACATGGATAAATCAAATCATAATTTCCTTTATTCTGTGATTCATATTCATCTCTTTATCTTTAACATTATAATTTGATTTATTTTTTTTCTTCATTAGATAATTTTGTCTTCTTGCCTGTCAATACTCTCCTCTGCATTTCATCCTTTTTCTATAAGATAACCTCATTTTTTGTTTTTAGATTGATATTCATTAATGTAATAGTGTCAGCTATTAAATTCTTTTTTATATATTAATCTAATGGCGTGTCAGTAGTAAAACTAGGAGTATGATTGACTTCTAGCAAATATGGCTTCAAGGAACTGTCTATAAGAATATCAAAGCCAAGAATCTCGAAACACATATTATTAGCATAATTATCAACTTAAGTATAATGTTATTGTAAAATTGGCTAAACTGAACAGAAAGTTTTGATTATTAAATCTTTTATATCTTCAAGTAATTAATCGACATTTTAATTCTAATTATAATTCAATAAATACTTAATCTCTCAAAAGTTGAAAAACACTAGACATACTTCTTTTATGTCCCACATCCATTTTTTTTTCATCAGAATTGAAAATGAAATTTGGGTTGTCCTTATTTATAGCATAATTAGTTAAATGCATGCACACATCATCCAAATTATTAGTATTAGGAACAATGTATGCCTAAGTGGCAAATCTTGCTAAACCTTCCTTATACAAATAAATTCTTAATGGATCACAACCACAAATTAATACGTACATTCTCAAATCAAATTTTAATCCATCAATAAGAAGTGGTTTATGAATATATCTTTACGCAACATAATGTTCAGTGGGATTAACTGACTCTATAGAGCGAGTTAAGAAGATTCCTTTTATATGAGCTGAAATTATACCTTTGCCTTAACAAGATGCTTCAGGTTTCAATATAAATGTTTTAGCCTTGCCAAATTATTGTTTGAAATCGTTATATTCGCTTGGTAACATCCAAGTTCTTGGATAAAAGTCATAATCATCTGGAAATTGTTTTTACATTTTGTTCAAATTTTTACCGAGATGGTTTTTGCGAGCCAATGAATACATACCTGGAAAATGATTAATCTTTTAATGTGCTATGATAATTAATATTTAAGGCATCTTACATTGCATTTTAGCCAAAGTTTCAGGAAGAACAGCATTATCTGTCCAACAAAAATCCCAATTATTAACTTCCTAGTAGGGAACATATTGCAATTTAAACTTGTATATCATTTTTCCTACAAATTTCACAACAGGATACTAAGTATCTATTTAATAATGGAAGTATTACCTGAGACATTCATTATTAAATTTTTATTGGTGTTTTATAGCGATTTCTTTTTCTTTTTTTTATTTAACTCCTCATCACTCTCTTAATCCTATGATTAATCGTCATCTTCTTCTTCGCTATCTTCGAATTCTCCATTAAATATTAGCTCTTTTTCTTATTTCATATTTTATATACAGTTATTAATATAATGATTAATAAATGATGAAAATAATGCTATAAATATGTATTATAGAAATATAAAATAAAATAATATAATTAATAAAGAATTCAGGAATGGCTTCTAATTAAAATGAGCCTTTTATTGTTTATAAAAATTATAGATAAAAATAAAAGGAAGCAAAAAAAGAAGGTCTCAAGGAGAAAATAGTTCCAAATGAAGTAAAAAAAAAAATTGAAAAGACAAAGAAAAATGCAAACCCATAACCAACTTAAAAAAAGATTGATTAAAATTTACTATTTAGAGTTATTCAGTAGCACCATCAACAATAACAAATACTTTAATAATTCATTCTTGATTAACGAATGAGTCATGCAAATGTGTAAGATGATGATATTGATGAATTCTCTCCAATTTATAAATTTGGTATTCCAACTACACCTTAGAATGTTGCATTGCAAAGAAGAATGAGCAGAGATGACGACGATTTCAAAATTTGATCATTTATTTTGCAATAACATTCATTTCTATACTATTTTAAAATATTATAAGTCTACATCTTCAGTTCAAGTATTCGATACCTAATTTTGTGTAAAGATATTTAATACAACTTAATAAAATAAGAAAATTGATTAATTTATGATTTATTATTAATTGATTGAATTTAGTAAACCATTACACATTGATTAATTTTATGTCATAACATAATTTATTAGATTAAATTTAATATATATGCAATTTATTTTAATTTGTGATAATTGCAATTGGTTAAATCAACTTGGAAGGTTTTTTCCAATACCTATTCTTATCCTAGTATACCAGACCAGAAAATAACATTATAATTATATTCTCACTTCAAAATATCATTTTATAATACTATAAACTGCTCGATTAGAATAGAATTTGTAAATGCTTAATTAATTTTCATCGTTAATTGTGAATCAGTTTATGAGTTCAAAAATAATGAGATAAGATTTAATATACTAGAATAAGCATTATAAAAATCACTAATACTCCACTCATCAACCTACTACAAATTATCAATTTCGTGGTAATGATATAGTAATTTTGATAATGCCTAAACGTTCTAATAATTTGGCTCAAATTTTCGATAGCCATTCTAAACATCTTTATTTCTTATCTAATGTAAATTATTGCTATTACCTTCTGTAAATTACTTCTCTAAATAAATTTAATAAAGTATGTTAAAATCTAATTCTTTTTAGTGTTGTTCTTTTAATATTGTTTCTTCGCTAAAAGTGTTTTACGAAAATGGTGAATATTCAGAATCATCATTGCTAGATTTATTTTAATCATTTTGGATTTTTCTATTTGAAAAGATATCAAAGTTGAGTGTGAGAGAATTCGAAAGACGCTCAACTTCTAATTCTGCTAATTTTATTTATTATTTTGTAGTCTCTTTTTAGATTAAGTGAGGATGAGGTTATTAATTATATTGTTTGTAAATTTTTCGAAATTGTTTTAAAATTGGTATTTCTTTTTTCAAGGCAAATCGTTTTGAGGTCTATTTATGAGGAGATTCGGAAGGCTAATGAAGCATGTTTAAGTATATTAAATAAAATATAACTCATAATAGATCAAAAAACTGATTATGAATGTGTATAAATTAGAATTATATTCAATACTCACTGGATTTTATCCATTTATACTATAATTATAATATATTTATATGTAAATATGAAATTTCTTAAATATAATGTAGTTATTAAGAAATCTTTCTTTTCATTTTATAAATTCCCAATTTCTACCTTTCTCACCCAATATTTTTTTATCAATCGCCATAAAACGTTAATTTCCTCAAATCTCTAATTTTTAGAATTTCAAATTAATTTTACAGTATGTTATCAAATATTGACACTAAATTTAATCATTTTCTTTCAACTCTGAAGTAACATAATGGACTATTAATTTTATTTTGATATAATACAGTTATATATAAATTATGATATGAAACAATTTTTCAAATTGTATTTTTAAGAAAAATAAAATACATTTTTATATATGTTTTGATATGAAATTTCCTCTTTTGCATTTTTTTTAAATAAAAGGAAAATATATAATTAAATTTTTATCTAAATATCTAATATAATTACGACTTGCTAATGATCTTCATTTATTTAATATAATTTTCAAAGAACAATTGGCTAAATAGTCCATTTACACTTGTCAAATCGACTCAAATTATAAGTATTATAATAAAATAGTAAGAAATAAAATGAGAATTATATAGTTATGATTTTAGCAAGATAATTAAAAAAAACTAAATTACCTCCTGAAATATATAGATATTAGCTCCTCTATGAATTATATAAAGTTGAAATTAATTACAAGATTTTCAAAATTAATTGAGAATTATTTATCCATCTTTTGACAAGGCAATTTTTAGTGAATTAATTTTAAATTACCCTTGATTTAATACCTATATATTATGTTCAAATTTTTCCACTTATTCAGAAATCAGGATATTATACTTTTAATATTTGTTGAAAAATTATTTGAGTTTCTTAAAACAAACAATAAATATTAAGCCTTAGATTCCTATTTTGAAATTATTTACTCTAAACTATGTCTTAGATAATAAGTAATAGCTTAAAATATGTATAAATAGTAAATGTAGTAAATTATTATCATAAATCATTGATATTTGAAGGAAAATTAATGATTACTAGAAAATAATAAAACAGATTCAAAATTTTAAAAGAACCATTTATCTACTCATAAGACTTAGTAAATAATTCAATTAAATTCTTAAATAACAATCCAATAAGAAGTGATTTATTTTTTTTTCAATATAATGAATTTTATGGCTTTCGAAAACAAATTGATATTAGTGTCATTTTGTTAATAGTACTGTATGAATAAAGCTTTTATTGAATTTTATAAACATTGTTTGATCTGGAACACTTGAATTTGGTATAATATTTTATTCTTGTTTCGATGATATTATTACCCTATATGTAATCAAAAATTATATTATTTCGATAAAAACATTTGAAAGTTAAGAAATAAATAATACATTTTAGTTTCAATAATTAAAACTACAAAACTGCAAGAAACTTTGCACGGCTCTAAAATCAAATATTTATAATGAAGATCTTAATGCAATATCAGAATCAGGAAAAAACTATGTGGGCCTTCGATTTGTGAATTACTTTTCAGTTTGTAATAATTATATTTTATATTTATATATAGTTTTATATTTGGTTGTTACGATTAATTTAATTAAATTACGATTTTGAAAGAGTCTGAGACTGTGAGCAAATAGGAAGTGTTTCTTATCAGTTTATTATATGGCAGTAAAGAAATACAATATTAAAGTTCAGAAATAAAAGAAACAAGGGATTAATTATACTAATTAAATATTATTCATCTAATTTTCTTTTTTATGTATTCATTCTTTATGAATACTCACAGAAATACATTAAATTGTAATACATTACATTTAATCCTTAATTATTGTATTATGTATGGTATTTTAGTAATAATTTGAATATTTGTTAAATGGGATTGGTTTTAACGTGATGCCAAAGCATAATGGATTGAGAGTTTTAGTAATACATGTTTTTAGTATATCTTAATAATAGTTTATATTTATTTAATTATATTAATTAAAAATTGAATTATGAGTAGAAAACAAACATCTTCCATGTATCATTAAAAATTTAACTTGTTATAGATCACCTCAGATTGCTAAAGCTATTCATAAGCAGAGTAAGGACTCTGATTCAAGTTCTTCTGAGAGGAGATATGGCAAATTTTGGAAACCTAATGAGGATTCTTTATTAATGGAATTGCACATTAGGCATAACGGAAACTGGAAATTAATTGCTGAGGGCATTCCAGGACGAAATCTTAGCTAGTGTTAATAAAGATGGAAGAGAATTAATCCAAATAAAGTATTTTTGCATCTATTTTTTGACTAAACTTCGAAAATAGTGGTCAGATTTTGAAGACCAAGAAGTTTTAAGGCTAGTTAATGAGCATGGTCGCAATTGGAAACTGATTGAAGGGCTTATGGAAGGGCGTTCAAGTAAATAGATAAGAGAAAGGTTCTTAAATAATTTGGATCCTGAAATAAATAGAGAAAAATTCACTTTATAGGAAGATCAAATCATTTTAGAACAATATCGAATATACGGTCCTAAGTGGAGCGAGATCGCAAAGATGTTAAATCGAAGACCAGTACAGTGAGGACCTATCATTAGGAAAACTAAGTGAAGAATCGATTTTACTCTTATATAAAAAGAGTACATATGTTAGATGAAAGATCAGATGATGATGACAATGATCGATCAATGGAATCAGAACCAGAGCAACCACAAAAAATAGTTCCAAATTCGACACTGAATATTTCTTAGCCTATTTACCAACCCTTAGAAACTATTTAGAGTCTAAAAGAGGAGCATGACAATACAAAAAACGATTCATTGTTGATAAATTAAACACCATCACATCGTATACAACCTTCCATTAATTTGATTTAAGGTCGTCTTTTATCATTTATATCTAGATTCATTTGATTCTAAGCAATTCGGAGGGATGGAGGAATAAGATAATTCCCCATTTTATTAACATAGAAAAATATTAGACTATAGTCCCATTAATTTTTAGTATTACCAACATTAACCCAACTTTGATATGATATAGGAAGATATGAAGGAGTTAAAATGCTAAATAGAAAGTATAAATATAGAACATCCCAATTGAAATTTTATTTTATTTATTTATTTATTTTCAGCAGTTTCTTACTAAGTCTTTAATTGTAAAGTTCAATACTCAATTATAATCAAAGTCTAATTAAACTAAATATAGAAATAAATTACATACCATTTGAGTTGAAAAATGAACTAAGAGGAGTATTTCTAAAAAATTCAAGTTTTGTTATAATAAGTAATTAATTTTTGAATAAATATACTTAATAAAATGAATAATAATTAATCCATTATTTCTTGTGTTTATTAATTAATTAATTTCTAGATGATCTGATTATGAATCTTGCACTTGTAATGATCCTAAAGTATTTCTCTTTCTTCAGTAATTCTAAAAAAATTATATAAAATTTAAAATCTAAAATGGGATAATGTAATAACTGTTAATCATGTTAAAAGCCAGACGGAAGAGAGCTAACAGTTGAGCAATAAGTATATTAATGATTTTAAGTATTTAGGCCTATAGAACTAGCCAATAATAAAGTCAAGTATAATATTTATCAGCTATCATAGACCAGCAAATAAAGAGTATCAAATGTAAGTGCCGATCATGGAAGTAAAAATAAGAGGGTTAAAGCGGCTATTTTAATTTAAGCCAATTGGAGAGGTTATGTTGTTAGGAAAAAAATATAAAAAAAGTCAATTGGTACAAATGATATGGCAAGTGCTCCTCCAACAGCGAATAAGTATTTTAGCAGCGATAAAGATTATGCTCAATAACATAGTAATTCAAAAACTAGAGAACAAAGACCTCCTTTTAAGTATAAGAGTGGAGCAATATATGAAGGAGAGTGGATTGGAAATTCTAGGGATGGACAAGGTACATAATTATGGAATGATGGGGCCAAATTTGTTGGATAATGGAAAAATAATATGGCTCATGGCAAAGGAAAATTTTTTCATGTAGATGGAGATATATTTGAAGGAACCTGGGTGGAAGATAAAGCTTGCGGTTTTGGCATATACACACATGCTAATGGAGCAAAGTATGAAGGGGAATGGCTCAATGATTTGCAACATGGATTTGGAGTAGAAACTTGTAATTTATAATTAGATTATGATTATAGGGGCAGATGGTTCTAAATACGAAGGGTAGTACTATCAAGGAAAGAAGCATGGCAAAGGAAAGTATATTTGGAATGATGGCAGTTTCTATGATGGAGATTGGGATAACAATCAGATCAGTGGAAAGGGAATATATTAATGGAGTGATGGAAGAAGATATGAAGGAGAATGGCTAAATAATAATATGCATGGATAAGGACATTACACTTGGCAAGATGGGAGATCTTATAAAGGAGGGTACATCAACGATAAAAAACATGGTTATGGAGTTTATACTTGGGCTGATGGCAGAAAATATGAAGGAGACTGGGTAAGTGGAAAACAGCATGGTAGAGGGCAATATATTTTATTAGATGGATCAGTAAAAAAAGGAGAATGGATTGAGGGAAAGAAGATTAAAAACATCTAAAATTGACTATTTATTAATTTTAAATGTGTATAATTATTCTCACTTGTAAATCAAATTTAATTATCCTTGATCAAAGTTCAAAATTAAATATAAGAAACTTCTCACTAGCCAATCTTTAAAAACCAATTCTTTATTGATATACTCTCATCAAATAATTTTTAAAATATATAACGACTTTTTTTATCAAATATTGAACAGTATATAATATCTTATAAATATTTTTATTTTTCAAGCCTTTCTTAGAGATTGATGAGAATAAAATGTAATAGTAAAAGAATATGTATGATAAGATATTAAGTATAACTATACATAAATGATGACCCAATCCCAATTTACTCTAATAATAAATATTATTTCAGTTATCAAAATAAAAAAGCAATAACTAGTTTTGTAAATTTAGACAATGTTTTTTGGATCCAACTATTTTTTCCTTTTTTTTGATATCAAAAATAATTGTAATTACCTGAAAAATTCTAAATTTAATATTCCTATTCTTATCCAACTACTATTAGTTTTCTAAATCTTTAAAAACGTAACTAGCAAAATCTTTTTAGTTAATTTTTGTTTAGGAATCCTATAAATCTTTGATTAATTATTCAAACATTTTATTATTTACTTAAAAGTCCTTTCTTAGTAATTGCACTTTTTTTTCTTTAATTTTTGATTATAAAATATTTCCAAATTTAAGATTTCTAAAGTGGATAATCAATTCAAAAATTAAAAATATAAATAAAATAATACTCATATACTCAAACTTGCTAAAGATTTTTGTACTAATTGAATGGTTATTAATTTCAGAAGATAATTAAATTATAAAAAAATTATGCTACTTTTAGATCCAAATATATATTATGTTTCAACTATAGGGAAACTATTGATTTGCTGGGGGTGGCATTGGAGCATAATTTGGTTATGAAGAAGCCTAAGGTGGTTATGGTGGATATCCAGGTTATTGGTTAGGAACATTATATTATTAGATATTTGATGAAGGATAGCCAGGAGATGGTTACTGGGGAGGATAATTGGTTTACTATTAAGGATAACTCTGGTATGGCTAATTGGTTGGATTATATGGTTATTAATAAGGTGCTTGTTGTCCTTATTAATACGATTAAGCTCCATAGCCTGTAGGTTATTAATTAGGAGGAGGATATTGGTTCTAAGCAGGATATTGACCTGGTGGAGGATATTGGTTTTAAGCAGGATATTGACCTGGTGGAGGGTATTGGCCTTAAGCAGGGTATTGACTTGGTGGGTATTATCCTGGAGGAGGGTATTGACCTGATTGAGGATATTATCCAGAAGGAGGGTATTATCCAGGTGAAGGCAAGGGATTGTTGTATGTTTAAGGATATGTATTGACACTTTATCCATATGATGGAGGAAATGATTGGTTTTGCAATTGGGTTGTTGGATATATATTGCTATAGCCTCCAGGGGGAGGTAGGGCATAATCCTCATCTGGTATATAAAAGTCATAGGTCTTATAAACATCTGTAAAATAATGTCCATTGTTTTAAACTGTGATTGCCATCAATCCGTAATTCTTACAAAAATAGCTTAGATAAACGTTTTTCAAAAGTTATAGGTCTGTGCATAATTCCACCATTTGTGAACAGACTTCAAATTAATCAACGTTCATTCCAAAATATTCTCGAAACATTTTTCCCAAAGAGTGTAACTCTGGAAAATGATGAATATGGTGGCCAGCATATTAGATTGTTCCAATTTACTTGGTCAGTTTTTTATTCATCTAGAATGGATCATGAGAATAGTTGAGAATGACGTGCAAATGTTTTTCTACATGTTTCACAATACTTATATGTAAATTTTTATTACTTCTATAAATAGATGTATATCTATAAATGTCTGTAATCCTATAGAAGTTGATCTATGAGGTGAAGTTCTTTTGAGTGATTGTGATGATGACTATTAGATAACATTAAGAGCAAATGCTGTTCATCTCTTAACAGATTTTGTCTGTTCACTCCTTCCTTATAGTAGCATTAGCTAATAACCAACTCACACTAAGCCTTGAATTGATGATGAGTATACATTTATTTAAAATAATAATCAATATCAAAATTTATTTTTGCATACTTCAAATATTATCAAATCTTTTTATTGACTTTAGAATTGAGTCTAAAGCTTATTTAATGTATTATTCTTATAACTTTATTTATGTTTACATCCAAAGCTTTTGATAAATTTCATCAGCATCTAGTTTTAGATCCCTTTTAGCTAAATCAGGAAACTTATTTTTTATTAGTATAACAAATTCGTTTTCAAGATAGATGTTCAAGTTCTTTTATGATTCTAGATAAAGTTCCTCAATTTCTAAGTTATATTCAGGCCTTTGTCTGAATTAACTTTAATAAAATTAGTTAAATAAATTCGTCTCCTAAATTAATTTATTTTATAATCTTGATTAAGTTTCTCGATAGATTTAAATGGTCATGTCCATACAATTAAATATTGAATACTATAATTATTCTTAGCTTTTTTATAAGAGAGAGTGATAATAATATTATTACCATAGTAACACTTCTATAAAAGAAGATTAATTTATTTCTTTTAGTTTTTGCTTGAATAGTTGAGTAACTTAATTATAATATTCCACTTTAAATGGATTAATCAAATACGAAAGCTTGATTTTTTTAGAACTAGGTTTTTTATTTATTTATTCTAGTATGTCTTCTAAAAGTCCTTTCTAATTTCCAAATTGCTTATTTTAAAATTAGGTTTTGATTTTATCATTTAGTTCCATTAATTTTAGACTTATTTAATTTATTTAAGATTTATCATTTGAATTTTTGGAGAAAGAATCTTAAAAATTAAAAAATTTTAATTAAATCTAACCTAGAGTCATATTTAAAAAAGAAGGGGAATCTGATTGAAAAATTAAAATATTCTCTAGGCTTATCTAATTATGCTATAATTATTTTTGGTTTAATTGTTGGTGTTCTTTATTCATCAAATTGATTATGTAATTGATGAAATAACAAATATAATCTTATTGTTTATATGATTAATCAGTATTAATTAAATCAATAAATTATCTTAAATTAATTGAATTGAAAGGATTAAAAATTTAATAGGAAAAATAGGGTGCTTCTAAATTTGATAAAATAATCTGCTTTTCTTCTTCTAAATAATTCAAAATATTTTTAAGCCTTTCTTAATTTTCTACTTATTTAGATTACTTTGCTAACATTTCTTGTTTATTATTTTTAATTAATATATTTTTTATTTAATAGAAATGCATAAAAACCCCACTTTTATGGCTGCTACATTTATATATATAAATCATTTTTTAATTTTTTTCGACGCAAAATCAAGTTTCTTTGATATTGATTTCTTTTTTTATTTCATGTATGCATCCAGCTTTCCTGTAGCTTCAAGTTAATCAAACTTTTATTTCAATAATTCTTATTTGATTACACCTAAATTATAAATAGATGATTTACTTTATTTAGGATGATAATTCTTTTTCTTTAATTTAGAAAATGTTTATTATTTTTTCAAAAATTACTCCTATTTGATTAGCTCGTCTTTCTATTTACCAATTATTTATTTTATTTTTGATTTTGATTCTTTGTCAAGTTTTTCAGATTACTTTTTTAAGACTTGCATCTCATTTGATTTCATTTTTCCAATAAAATCATAAGATTTATAAAATTTTGTTAAACTTAAGTCACCAGATGTTTTATCGAATCTTGGATCTCGTTGTTCTTATTTTTTCTATGGCTAATTTTTGATCTTTGGCAATGGTTTTCTTGCATCTCTAACTTCAGGACTTCATTTTAATAATACAACTAATACATACCCTCCTTTGATTTTCTTTGGCAATTCTTAATCTTTAATTTGGGTTTTAGCTTATTATTGAGATTTCATTTACTTCTCAAAACCCAATAAAGTATGGAATGGAACTTATGTCAATTACTCTTTAATCTAAGTTAATCAACAGAAAAATTACCTGTAATTCTTCATCCATTATTAATTAATTTCTTTTAATTATAAAAATATTAAATTATTTTGAAGAAATGTCAAAGCTCACATAACAATTTGAATGTATTTAAAAATAAACAAACTGGTCACCGTTTTGAGTTTGGCTGAATTCTCATCAGGAAAAAAATATTAATTTATCTTTCATACCTTTATTATGATTTTACAAGTAATTATAGTTACTAACAATAACTTTGTATTTTAGTTTTCGAGAAAGGTTTATCTGTTTGAATTTCAAGCTTTTTATTCTCTTTAATGAGATTTAATTTAATAATTCAAGTATGTTTTATATCAATAATTATTAATCATTTCTATTAAATAATTTTGAATTAACAGCTTGATTTAACCTAATGAGCAATTCATGATTAATGGAATAATATTATAGTTCATGATTCCCAATAATTCTATCTATTTCTTCATAATTCTGGTGATTTATAAACTAATTTTACATATTTATTTGTGCATTCATAAAAATTTAAATATTTTAAACTATTGGTAAATATTTGCCCTATGAAAACAAAAGCTACTATGAAAATGCTTCTCCTTTTGTAAGTATATCATATATAATAAGTAATAAATTGAATATATATAATATTTTGGTAAATTTCCTCACAACTAAATCAATTATTCTACCCTTTCATTATGTCTCAATTCGAATGAACAGATCTTTAAATTCCTTAGTATTCGAATAGTTAAAAGTACTTCATTGGACTTTTGAACTTTAACATCAAAATATAAAGAATCATCTCACATTCGTCCGACATTTAATCATGTCAAAAAATGAAAATTTTTCTTTAAGAAATTTGACATCAATCTAAAAAGAGGATATTTGATCAGCTAGATAGTTATATTACTTAAGGCCATAATCTACCTTCCAAATTTTAATGTTAAAATTCATAGTGTTCATAAAATTTTGAATCATCAAATCACAATATGAATTAATTATAGATTAAAATTTATTTAAATTATTAAATTTATAATTAGAAATAGGTGAATAGATTAATAAATTTAATATTATGAATAGGAATGAATATCCAAAATTATAATCTATATAAATTTAGGTTGGGATTTGAATTGAATAGTTTAATAGAAATACTTTTTCAAGAAAATTATTCAATAAATATCATTTATATTATGATTCTCTCTCCTGTAATATTAATAAAGGCTATTTTATAATTTTGATACTAAAATATATAAAAATTATAAAATCACTAAAAGTTTTATCAACCTTATTTATATATTTTTATGTTAGAATGTAAATTTAGAAAAACTGAATTTCATTTTACAAAAGTAAAAAAGATCTCTAAAATAATTCTGTTGTTGTTCAACAAGGAAATTCCAGCAAACGATAAATTAATCATAATAATAATTAAATTAATCTACAAGTAATAAATAATATTAAGGAATATTTCATATTATCAAATTTAATCCAGCAAATCTGATTATTTTATTATTGAAAAAGAAATTGCTTAAAACTCAGTGTTTTTATAGTAACAAATTTCTTACATTTTTTGATTATTTATTATCTATATCTTTTTTACTATGAGCAATATTTTTTATTTTACGACCTCACTCTTGAAAAAGCAAAACAATGAGAAAGAACAGAGATTCGCATATTTGATGGAAAATTATCTCATAATAAATAAGGTATGCATTTAATTATATATTTGTTAGAGAGAAGGTCTGAATTTGATTGATAGGAAATTCGATTTGACTTCAATGGACTGCCAAATCAAATGGCATTATGAGTATCATGCTATTATTATTTAGGAATAACATTCTCACAGAAATGATGATGTATGACACAAAATAAAACCAAAGAATTGTGTATTACCAAAAGCCAGAGATTTTGCAAGACTTACAAAACAAACTTAATGGAAAAGCATACTATAGAAATTTTAAATAGTTTTACCAGAAATTAGAGGTTATTAAATCTCATAAAAATGTCGAAGTAATTTCCCTCATCTTATTCTAGATTATGATATGTAAAAATATACTAACAGAGGAGATTGTTGTCGCTAAACAAGTTAAGTTTCCCAAAAATAAGCATGTTGATTCTGACCATAATGTAATTATTCAAACAAATTTAGTCTTTTGTAATGAGCGAGGCTAAGATTTATATGAAATTATCTTACAATCCTCATTAATATCTTTTAGGAGCCCACCAAATTTTCATATGTGATCAATCGCTTATTTACATTATGCCACATTGTAAAGGTGGAACACTCTATGAATATCTAATTGAGAATGATTTAAATTTGCCAGAATTAGTTACATAAGAAATGATGAGAAAATTACTAATTGGACTGAACCATCTACATAGCATAGGCATTATGCATAGAGATATAAAATTAGACAATATTATGTTACTGAGAAAAAATGATCCAAACTCAATTCGAATTATGGACTTTGGGTACTCAACATTAATCAATGATGAGATGTTTTCCTATTAAAGATGTGGAACTCCTGGCTATATAGCACCAGAAATATTAAACATGAGTTAATACAATGAATTATGTGACATTTACAGCTTGGGTTGTGTATTTCATGCTTTGTTGACTGGAAAAAAACTATACCAGACACCTAAGTCCACTAAAGCATCAGAATTATTGTAATTGAATAGAAATAGCATTATTTCGTTATCATAAATCTGCAATCTCAATGCTCTGGAATTATTGTAATCCATGATAGCAGTTGCTAAATACAGACCCAGTGCTTCAACCTGTTTACAACATTCGTATTTTGAAGAAGAATAATTTTAGATAGAAGATCTATGTACACAGTAATTTATTATTAATATTGTAGATTGAAACAACTTGATTTTCCATAACTCAGAAATCCATTTAGATCTTGATTGAAAAATGTGAACACTTTTTCTTTGTTTATCCATTTATTTTTAAACTTATTTAGTCAAATAATAATCATCATATTATAAAATATCATAACAACCTCCAATTATAATAATTTTAATTAATGAAATTTTTCTTCATGAATAATTAATTTTAGTTAGCAAATTTTAAATGCTCCTTTGCATAGATAACACTCGTGTGTGAAATATGATATTTAAGCAAAAAAATATTCAGTTTTAAGATAAATTTATCATAAATTGTTTCTAGATCTTTGTGATCATATTTAATAAGTTTTTTCCTATAATAATGGTTTAAATCAGATTTTTCTCACTAAATGCATCCAGGTTTCTTTAAATTATAAATAAATCTTCATTTGTTGTCAAATTATTTATCCTTTATTTTTTATAGAATATTTACCAAAATTATTTGAAGCCATACAATCAATAATACGATTAACTTTATAATTGCAATGAGCTCGAATGTGTTATTGTTTTCTTAAAAAAAGAAAAAACATTGTAAATAATAAATTAAATTAAATTCAGTATTTTGTATAAGGCAATTAGACTCTAATAAATTTAATTTATTTCTTTTTCGGTATAGAACAAAAGTTGAGGGATATATTATTGAAATTATGAAAGTTTTAAAGGCCACAACAAAATACTTAATATCAAATTATATTGAAAAAACATGAACTTAAATATTAAGAGGTTTTAGAGTGCACATTGATTTCAAGTGTGAATTTTGTTGGCAAGAGATAATTTTGAGGCTTAGAACAAAAAGAAAAGTGCAAAAATTAATCCTTAATTTAAAGTATAAGATTTAAATTAATTTATATTATTTAATATTTATTAAGTATTATAAGGGACTTAATAATTATTAAATTTTTTTTATTAAAATTTTAATAAGTTTCTTTAGATATTACTTAGCATCATTTGATATATATAATATAATGATTTTATATACTTTATAAAAACAACTTCTTATTAATAAGGAAGGTAAATATGACTCAACAAGGTTAAATACTGACAATAATTGATTCTTCTAATTCTAACTTCCAAGCAATATTCTAAACACATATTGTAATAAATAGAGTCATTAAATTGATAATTAAATAAAGTCATTTTCTTTTCGATTTAAGAGTATTTGATAATTTAGTTTGTTAACCGGGAATCCAGAAAGAACTAAATTCCATATCTAAAGAAGGGTGGAGGAATTTAATAATTTCATTTCTTGTCATACAGGATTAAGGGGATTGAAAATTTTGTTACTCTTATTCAGTTTATTCTAATTTCAAGTTTCTCAACTTTTTACTCAATGGTATTCTCTTAGTCATTTAAGGAGATTAATGAAAACTGTGAGTTGAAATGAAATTTTATGAAGTAAATATTTATTAAGATTTTTTTACAGCAAAACCACTATGTTTGAAAGATTATTATTATGAATGCTCGGGGGAATTTGGAGCTGATCGATAGAGCAACTCAATTTTTAGATTTCTTTTTGCTTTGAATTTGTTTTTACCTATATAAACCCCCTTTGATTATTCTTAAATCTTAGCTCCTCCTTTTATCTTATCTACTGTAGTTTTAATGAAATTGGCAATAATCTAAGTAGTTGCCTCATAATTTAGTGAAATATCAAATAAGGTGGCTATAATATAGGAGCCATATTCGATTATGATAGGACCTCTATCAGATTCTGCTAAAATTGTAAATGCTCTTTCAATAGAAGGAAATGAAAATGAATGAACATCCCACTTCGAAGATGTAGTAGCAACAAAAGACTAACTTTTTACACCTTCAAATATATAATGATTCACATGGGAGGATTTTATATGCACGATTATTTCATTAGTTTTACTGGCATATACTTCTATATTTTTAAAGGGACGATAAATAGGAGCTTTCAGTATGTACTTTCCCAAAGTCTGAAACTCTTAGGCTGCTTTGTTATTGTGTAATCCTGCATTGCTTTTAGGTTGCCATGTTTTCGTATCAGGATGATATACAAAAATATCGCCAGTGCTTTTCTCTATAAAGTACTTTTAAGGATGTAATTCATCATTGGTAAAATAAACAGTTCTATCAAAGTTAGATGCCGATAGAAATACTAATCCCATCATTCCACAGCCACAGGCAAATAAATATTTATTAATTTTGATACACATTCTTTGGAGAACCAAAATCTTTTCCATCTATTATGACCATGGCAAAGTAGTTCCACTTCCAGCTACAAAAATTATATCAAATGCATTAAATGCTCTTATTATGATTATACTATTACTGAACAGCATTTTGATTGACATAAGAGCTTTGAATTTCATACAAGAAATCAGAGATAGATGAAAAATCCCTCACTATATATTCCATTTCCTAATCTGGAACTTCAGACTATTCATATCACTAATAATACATAATTAATAAAGGCTTTTTAAACGATATAGCGGAAATCTAAAAACTATTTTTACCCTTTTGGTGTTGGAGCATATGCATTAACTAATAATATTTTCATAATAAAAATTATAATGCAATTTTATCCAAAACAAAACTTTATCAAAGATCAATACATTTATATATATATAACACCTCAATGCTTCTTCTTGTGATGGTGCTTCTTCTTCTTTTTATTTCTGCTTCTACTTCTAGAACTGGAACTAGAGCTGGAACTAGAACTCGAACTTGAACTCGAATGTAAGCGAGCCAATTTCATTTCTTCTTGTTTCTTTTTGAACTCTTAAATCTTATAATGCGTTGTTTCATTTAGACTAGGTCTTCCCATTTGCAAATTAAAATCAGAACCTTGACTGACCTAACATTAGACCTTCTAGATCTCTAGACTGCAAGGCAATTTTAAGTCAATTACTGATTATTCACTTTACATCATTATGCAATACTTTTATTCACTATTTGATATTATTATAAATAAATAATTACCTAATTTAATGAAATAATACTCCACCTATTGTATTCATGTGAGCATAGACTTATGACAGATTCACTTTGCCACTTAATACAACTTGATAAGGCTTCAATACCTCATTAAATGGATCTGTTCGCTTCTTCTTTTATATGCACAACAAGGAGATGTTCTTTAGTACTAGAGGCAACTTCTTCAGAATCTATTGGCAAGGAATCCTTTCCACTTACAATTCCAAATATTCATATGTTATGTCTCCTACCTTCTCTGATCTAAAAATTCCCTCAGGTTTAACCACTAGATCGTAGGTCTGTTTAATCTCGGATATACAATCTTCTATAGTAAATTCTTTAGGAATTCCAAAGATGTATAGCTATTCCTTAGATATGTTATCTAAATTGGTGATATTTATACAATTATAAGTTGGAATGTATTATTGTGGCTTCTCCTTTTCACGTGGCGATTCTTTCTGCTGGGACTTACGAAAATCACTCTATTATTCTTTCACCATATGCCCTTGTTCTTTTAACACTTCTGTGTAGACTTTGGATAAGATTGGTGTCAGTTTGTCCTTTGTTTTAACGGAGACCTTCCCCTAATATACTTTGAGTGCATCATCATCATATTTGAATCCCACTGCAACATCAATTGTTTGTGTTTCCTTATTAATTGAACTAATTTGTAACAAATCGCATGGACCCTCTTTTAGAAAGAGAGATTCTTACAGCCTTTTATATGCGTCCATGTAAATAAAACAAAAATTCATCTTCTCGTAGTCCCCCTATGTACAAATCCTTAAAGTAGAAATGTATCCGAATTTCAGACTATCTCTCTTCCTTATACTTGTCACATTGGTTAACAAAGATCTTTTTCTCCGGAGACGAAGATGAAGACGAGGATGATGATGAAGAGGAGCTATTCTTTCTTCTCTTTGACATAATTTTAAATAAATTATATAAACTTTTTATTATTTTATCCAATAATGAATTTATTATGAAGCAGAAAATAACTCAAACACAAATATATATTGAGGTTATTCTTAAAATTTCTATTTAAGTACATATCTAATTTCTAAACTTCTATGCGAAGCTAAAGCTTTGATTAAAATAGACTTGTATTTTAATATATAATTCTATTAAACGCTATTCTCAAGCAATTTCATCAATTATTTTACTCAAGAAGAATTTTATAATCTAAATACTATATTTTAGTCAACAATATATGATTTATTGAAGCATTTATTAATTCAATAGAAATTTGTTATTTATTTTGTAAACAATTTTAATTCCTTTGATCTAATGATTACAATTATTAAAATGATCATAGATGTGTTTTTTTATAAATTCTATTTTTTTTAAATATCATTATAAAAAGTTAAGAATGGATTGTCTAGTATTTACAGAGCAATTTTTGAACATCTAATTTAATATTTAATCAATATAGTTATTGTTTGCTATATGGAGATATATCTATTAATTTAATTATTTTACTAAATAAAAAATTAATTGAAACTTCAAAAATATTAGAGCATAAATTTATTTTGAAAAACAACTAATGATGGATGATGTATTAATAATTATTTCTAATTAAGTCTTTTAAGCAAGAGCTATAAAGGATGATTAAGTTCTAATTTATGTTATAGTATGGTATACGACAAAGTAAAAATATTAATATTTAAAACAAAAGATGGTGTATTGAAAAGAGCTTAATAAATAGAAATATTGTATTTCAATTTTAACATTAATATTAGAGCAAATCAGTGATATTTTGAGAGTAGTATATATTTTTACATAAAACATGGATCGAAAAATAGAGTGTATAATAAATGAAAATGTTCTTTATTTAAAATAATATATAAAATCTACTTAAAGAAGAATTAAAGGTAAATGGATTGTCATAATGATAATAATCAAGATTATATTAGGATTTATAATAAAATAAGTAGGATATAATCCCAAAATTAGAATGATTATCAAATAATTAATTTATTTATTTTAATGAGTTCCTCTTCTAGTTCCTCATCTTCAAGGTCTTCATCAAGATCATCATCCTCAAGTTCATCATCTTCATCAAGATACTCTCACAAAAAATAGAGAAGAAAAAACAAAAAGAAAGAGGATTAAGATGCTGGCCATTTTGAATATCAAATAGGCATGAAAATAAAAGCAGGATAATTTATGATCACACGATTTTTAGGAGATGGCACCTTTGGTCGTGTTTTAGAAGTTAAAACCTGCAATACTANTCTTTTTCTCCGGAGACGAAGATGAAGACGAGGATGATGATGAAGAGGAGCTATTCTTTCTTCTCTTTGACATAATTTTAAATAAATTATATAAACTTTTTATTATTTTATCCAATAATGAATTTATTATGAAGCAGAAAATAACTCAAACACAAATATATATTGAGGTTATTCTTAAAATTTCTATTTAAGTACATATCTAATTTCTAAACTTCTATGCGAAGCTAAAGCTTTGATTAAAATAGACTTGTATTTTAATATATAATTCTATTAAACGCTATTCTCAAGCAATTTCATCAATTATTTTACTCAAGAAGAATTTTATAATCTAAATACTATATTTTAGTCAACAATATATGATTTATTGAAGCATTTATTAATTCAATAGAAATTTGTTATTTATTTTGTAAACAATTTTAATTCCTTTGATCTAATGATTACAATTATTAAAATGATCATAGATGTGTTTTTTTATAAATTCTATTTTTTTTAAATATCATTATAAAAAGTTAAGAATGGATTGTCTAGTATTTACAGAGCAATTTTTGAACATCTAATTTAATATTTAATCAATATAGTTATTGTTTGCTATATGGAGATATATCTATTAATTTAATTATTTTACTAAATAAAAAATTAATTGAAACTTCAAAAATATTAGAGCATAAATTTATTTTGAAAAACAACTAATGATGGATGATGTATTAATAATTATTTCTAATTAAGTCTTTTAAGCAAGAGCTATAAAGGATGATTAAGTTCTAATTTATGTTATAGTATGGTATACGACAAAGTAAAAATATTAATATTTAAAACAAAAGATGGTGTATTGAAAAGAGCTTAATAAATAGAAATATTGTATTTCAATTTTAACATTAATATTAGAGCAAATCAGTGATATTTTGAGAGTAGTATATATTTTTACATAAAACATGGATCGAAAAATAGAGTGTATAATAAATGAAAATGTTCTTTATTTAAAATAATATATAAAATCTACTTAAAGAAGAATTAAAGGTAAATGGATTGTCATAATGATAATAATCAAGATTATATTAGGATTTATAATAAAATAAGTAGGATATAATCCCAAAATTAGAATGATTATCAAATAATTAATTTATTTATTTTAATGAGTTCCTCTTCTAGTTCCTCATCTTCAAGGTCTTCATCAAGATCATCATCCTCAAGTTCATCATCTTCATCAAGATACTCTCACAAAAAATAGAGAAGAAAAAACAAAAAGAAAGAGGATTAAGATGCTGGCCATTTTGAATATCAAATAGGCATGAAAATAAAAGCAGGATAATTTATGATCACACGATTTTTAGGAGATGGCACCTTTGGTCGTGTTTTAGAAGTTAAAACCTGCAATACTACTAATAATAATTATTATGCCATGAAAGTAATATTAATTGGATTTAAAAGTGCATAAGGGCTGTAGAAAGGTACATAGAATCAGCCAAAATTGAAACCAAAATTTTGTGGTATATTTAGGATAAGGATAAGAGTGGGGCATTTAATATTGTGAGGCTGTTTACATCGTTTGAAAGATATAACAATTATTTCATGGTTTTCGAGAGGGTATTTCTAAAATAATCATTAAGTTAGGGAAATCATTATATGACTTAATAAAACAGAACAATTACATCGGTTTTCCTATGAAATATGTGTAATCATTTGCTAAATAGATCATCATCTCAGTGGCTTTCCTTCATCAAAATTAGATAACTCACACAGATCTCAAACCAGAGAATATTTTAACTACCAATTGTGAATATAAGTTGGTCCCCTTCAAAGGAAGACAGTATCTATTTATATTCCATTTTATTTAGAATTTGGGTTCCTGAGCGAGAAATCCTTAAAATCATAGATCTTGGTGGTGCCACCTTTGAACATGAATATCACAGTACTGTCATTAACACAAGACAATATCGTGCTCCTGAAGTGATTATGGGCTATCCAAAATGGAATGAGAGGAGTGATATTTGGTGCTTAGCTTGTGTGTTATTAGAATTGTATACCGGTATTAATTAATCTCAATTATTCTATAGGCGAATTGTATTTCTAAAATAAAGATGATTTAGAACACATAGCCATGATCGAAAAAGCTATTGGACCTATGGATTACCGTCACTTCAAGAACTCCAAATATAAAACATTCTTCAATTATGATTAAAAGTACACTTATTGAAATTAGAGGTACTTTGATTAGCATCGATCATATTTCAAATGGAATTCTGTGGCACCAAGCGATTCTGCAATAGAAAGAGTTAAAAAATTGAAAACTTTTGAAGAATTAATACCAGCTAAACATGCCATATTTATTGATCTGATTAGAAAAATGCTTAGAATAGATCCTGAAGAAAGAATCCCATTGAGAAAACTAGTTCATCATCCCTTTTTTCAATAGGTATTTTAAGATTGATTATTATCTAAATAAATTGTTCAGCTTATATTCATTGTCACTTATTTATATTCAGTTTAAACTTCACTTATTATTGATACGTAGTTACTTCTATCTTCTGTATTATCAAAAATACTGTAAGAAGTTATAAAAATAAGAAAAATAGTCAAAATTAAGGAACAGGATTTTTTAAATTTCAGATGTAGATAATGATTTTGAAAATCTAAGCAGATTTAGGAAATTAACGTAATGATTAATAATCTAACTATTAAATTAGTTTCTTTTATTAAAAAATCAAAGCCAAGTTTCTTACATTTGAGTATTGATTTGTTGCCATATTTGTAATACTGTCTGCATCATCTTATTAAAATGTTTATTATATTGATCTGTAAAGGTTTCGTATTCTTTTTTAAAGCTTTCCACAAACTTACTCATGTTTTTTTAATGATCATTTAATTAAGTCTAGATCAAGGCTTATTGTTCAGGCTTTTCAATTAAAAATATATTATACAGTATATTTGGCACTTGTTAAAGCAGCAGCATGATCAGTTATTAATTATTATAAATCTGCTCTGTATTTCACGCTATTCAAAACTACTTCCATGTCTAATAAGTATTACTAGCCTAATTTTCAATATATTATTACATCAATCGTGTAGATTATTGGCATAACATTGGCAAATGAATCTCTCAATGCAATTGAAATGGTTTCACATTTTGAATTAAAATGCTCCTTGTATCCGATATCATTCTAAATTTCATCGTAGAGAGTGGACAATTTCATAAATTATTTGCTCTATTCGTATTTATTGAGGAAAGTCTTTTCCAATTGATCCCTTATATTCTTGATCTTAACTTTCTATATATTGATTTCTTACACAGCAATTTAGCAATATTTTTCCATCTCGTTGTCATTGTTTTATGCATCTGAGAATAGATAATGAATAATAAATACTAAAAAAGATGTTTCCAATTTTTCCAAATGCATTCACAACCATATTTTTACTGACATTTATCAATAATTTCTATTATTTTTATGCTTAATAGTTCTACACAAGTTTTTTGAAGTCTTAATCCTATAAGGTCATGAATTTTTCAATAATTTCACAATCTTTTAGCTGAACATGACTTAAGGCTTTTCTTAAAAATTCTTCAAGCCCTTTTTATCTTTATGATCGAATGGAACTTGTATAGCTTGTGATATTGAATTTAGCGAGCACATTCTTTTAGGGAATGGAAGGTATAATGATACCTGGAAAGTTCTCGACAAGCTCTTCGAAAAGCCATTCAAAATCAGAATATTATCTTGTAACAAGTGCTTTATCATTTTCGTCAATATAACTTTCAATTTCATAAAAAACTGTCTCATATTTTAACAACTATTAATTGATTTCCACATTTTTAAAACAAAATTTTCTTTCATTAGCTTTGTTTATCTTTTTCGATAAAGGAGGTAACTAATTAAAATTTAAACAGCATACTTAGACGGGCTGAATCTTTGGTTTAACAATTTATGTACTTTCGTAGGGCTTAGTATCTATTGAAACTGAGTCTTATTCTTTAGGTGGAATAACAAATTCATCCAATCCTGAATGGTAAATATTCTGCTAACTGTATTGAGTCTCGTTCTTTTCCATTTAAAATTCATCACTTGAATCTAAGACCTCGACATCATCCATTTTTTTAACTGTATGTAGTTGATTCAGGAACTTCTGATAATCACATTGGGGTTGTTCTTCGTCTGACATCCTATAAATTAAATTAATTATATAACATAAATAACAAAATGAATATTTAAAATACAAATATATAGTAATCTCCAAGATTATTGATTAGAAAAACTATGTACTTTCTCAGTCTCGAAAGATTCAGCCAAATCACAAATATCTTTATGTCTAAACACATAATTATTCCACATAATGTAATATCAATTAGTAGGACATAAGAGAATAAAAGAATGTTATGATTATAGATAATGAATTGAAAAGAATGACAATATTTTTTCATTTGATTTAAGAATAAATTTAATTCACTTACATTAATTGGCAGCTCTAATAATTTAAATAATACTAACAACATTAAAATTATTAAACATCAAAAATGAAATTTGAATTTAACTGTTTAGAAATGGATTCAATCTTTCGTGTTAACATACAAATTAATTTCTTTATAAATCATGCAATAAACATTCAATCAACAAAATGGACAATATTTTTTGGACTGTGTTTTCAATTACTTCCCATGATATTTTAGTTTTTACAATTTAAAATCATTTATCCAAAAAAAATCACATTATGGATTTCTACATTTTTCAATAGATATTGAATTTGAGATCTCCTTTAATTATTTTGAATAAATTGAATTAACCAAGTCCTCAATTCCTTTAATATTGATTGTTTTTATCTATTCTGGAATTAGTTTCTTTCCACAGACACATACAAAATTAAGTTGATTATTTAAATATGATTCCTTTAAATGCTAAAGGATACATCTCTCGTGTAGATGATGTTAAGTTTTAGTACATTGCAACACAGCACCATTTTAAAATATGAACTTTTTGCATTTAATGCATTCTTATTCCAAAGGATTTCCAATACTATAGCTTCTTTCGAATTTGGAATCATATTTTGTAAGCGGTGGAGGTTTCAAATTTGTATTTTTCTTTTTTGGAGAAAGTGACTCATTGCTTCTATTTTCAAGTGCTTTTACTTAGAAATCTAACTATTTCAATATTTTTCCTTAGATGTAGGGTGGAAGAACATTTTTATTTTTAATAACATCTTTAATAAGTTAGATTTTCTCGGATCTCCAGTTTTAATGAATAATCATTAATAATTAAAGAAATACAAATCATTTTGATTAATTCAAAGGTTTATTATGTCATTGATTAACATACAAATATATTTCAATAATAACCAATATTTTAATCACTTGCTCGTTATATTAACTTTGATACTAGGTAATATTTTTTATTGTCCATTTGAGTCTAACTCTTAATTTATGGATCTGCAAATACTTTTAATTTCTATTTGCTCATGTTCATTTTCTTCTAATCGATACCTTTTCGTTTTTGAAACATCAAGCTATTTGATAGAAAACTGTAGATCCTCAACCTGCCGTATTAGTTTTAAAGGATTAAATGCGATTTCTGCAATATCCAAGAGTTTGTCGATAATCCGATTTTATTCATGAAAATACTATCTCTTATTTTTCAGAAATACAACTTATAAGAAATCTAGATTTTCAATGTCCATCAAGTTTGTAAGAGATCTGTTTCCTTTTTTAATGTCTAAATAACGATTGATCAAGTATAATCTATATTGACACCATTAGATTGGGTGCAAAATTATTGAAACACAGATTTTAAGAATTGTAAAAAATCCCCCTAATTTCGCAGCAACATCCATCAAAGTTTGATAAGTGACATGACTTATGAATTTTTTAACTCCTAAATGTAATTCTACTTAAGCTAGTTGAGCGTCATCATCAGAAATTACAACTGTATCGATTATTGATTAATCATACTCTATGGACTGGCATTCAGTAGTTTAAGGAAAGAAGTAAAAAGGATTGTACTCTAAGTAAGCAGTGCTATAAGAGTATAAAACTTTAATATATTTTTTTAGTTTTGGGTACAAAGTTGTAACATCAAAATTTTGCATAGTTTCAAAGGGATAACTATTTAGATCCTTTCTGAACTAATAATTTGTATAGGAGTAATAGAAATTTGAGTTAGTGACCAATTAGTCAATTTGTTCTTGGGGGGCACAATCTAAATTAAGAATAGAAATTACCATTTTTTTCTGTGCTATTCACACATTTATTAAGTAATACTCCAAATAATGTAAAATTGTCCATTCTTTGAGAACTTTATAATCGGACTGTTGAAAAGTTCTCAGCCTTCTGTTAGTCAAGACAGTAACTAATGTACTAATAATCTTTTGGTACACCCATTTTCTAAAACGGATTAAACTGAATTTACCTAAGATAATTCAGTGATAATGTCACCACAAATAGTACTGGAAAAATAGGTGCATTGAGTGTCTGACAAAGATTTATTACAAAAATAGAACGTGACTGAATAGATACTATTATTCTGATTCATAATTGGTTACCCTGCTCCATCCAAAAGGCCAGTGATAAAAATGAAATCCTTTGCATCAAAGGTGTACCCCTTATATTTGAATTTATGTATTACTTCATTATTTTACAGGAGTGCCTCTTGTCTATTGAGAATTGCATTTTTGCCTTCGTTCATCTATAAGATAAACGAGTAGAAGGAATAGAGGAGGACAGATAAAATAAAGATTGAGGCAGCTGCTCCTGAATATGTTTTATGTGTGTTTGATCTTTGGCTAAGGAGATGCACATCCATTCCAAAAATATCGAGGGTTCTTATGTTTTCAGCAGCAGATTGAATAATGTACATAGAAAATCAATTAATATTTCGTAAGCAAACTTATTTCGAATTGATATATGTGAAATTTAATAGGATTTAAATTTAAGCAATATCAACACATGTATTGATAATTTAATAATTTAATAATTATTTTTATATTACTGTCAATCGTCCAATTGTGTAAGTAGGGCTACACCTCTTTTAACCCAGAATCTCTCTGGTTTGGAAGTATATAGTCTGACGTACATCACAAAATTAGTAGAGTGACCAGTTGTAGACAACACTCCTCTTCTGGCACTAGTTTTGTAGAGGGGACAATTATAAGTAGGAGGAGGATCAATCTTAGAAATATGCATAGGACATAATTAAATGGTAGGACATTTTGTGAATAAAACCTAAATTCTATAATAAATAGTACTTTTGGATCTGATTCATCGAGTTCCATGGTATGGAAATTCCATTTGGCACCCTCTAAATATAAACCCCAAACATAGGCTCCATCTTCTGGTCTGGATTAAATATGTTCATCGATTGATTAATCCATAATCTAAAAATAATGACAGTAGAAGTACCTTGTATTCGAATTTAATTTCATCGATGGGAATTACATATTTTCTTGCAAAATTTTATAAGACACCAGTAAGATAACTTTGGGTAAAGAAGAATCCAGATAACCAATAATTGTAAGGAATTCCTTCATCCAACCATTTCTAGAAGAAGGTCAATCTAGCCTTAAGATCAATTACGTAACTTCCTAGTGGTTTTAATGAGGGATAAGATTTTTCCATCCAAAGATCAGGGACTTTACCATCAAATAATTGTCTGCTGGCTCTTTCGAGTTGTGGACTCATTAAGATCTTACCCATAAGAGCAAGTTTGAGATCATCCATGCTTTTTCTAATGATGTTGATCAACTTATTAAATCTAGTTAATTCTTATGTAAGCACTGTATTCATGGATTCTTTAGGATTGAATGGATATTTTTCAGTGGCTTGTTCGTAATTGAATTCTTCAGGGAAATCCGTCATAATTGTTTTGACCAATTATTCAAGCACTTATTCAAATGATTGTCCACTTGAACTACCACCTTAAGCTGAACACAATAATAAAGAGTCTAGAATAAGATTTGTTTCGTTCATATCTTTGGTGATATCAGCATTTGGATGGAAACCAAATATTTGAGGTGGAGTCAAAAGTGGGAGTTATTTGATATGATCCAAATATTCTTCCCTTGTTTCATAATGAGGTGCATTGTATTCTTCATAACCAAAATTGTATTTCTCATTTTCATCAATTACTTATGGACAATAGTAATCCTCAAGTAGAATTTTGATAAGGTTTCTGTCCTTGTCATCTGTGACTCTTCCACCATAATTGCATTCTGCAGTCAAATATCTTAATGCCTCAAAAGGTACCTAATCATTTTCATCCAAGAACATTCTTAATTATCTGACACAGATACGTAGATCTGACTCGTTAAATTCATAAGGGATGTTCCATCCAAGAGGTCCATACTTCCTTCGTTCTTGAATAACTGCATGGAAGAAACACAAACCAAATAGCAATCTCTTAAACCATTCGGGCTTATTACAACCAGAAAAGAATTCGTCATTTGAGATTGGATCGGTCAAATAGGATCCTTGTAAATTAGCCTTTAATCCCTTTGGAGGTTCATTAGTCATCTTAATACCAGCTTATAAGATGGCAGTGGGGAATTGAGGACTTGGATAACTGGTGAGCCACAATCTAAATTCAGGATGAGTTTGTTTAGGATCTGGTGATAATTCTTCGCAGATCTTCTCTAGAGTGTTCATCCAAGAAACTGCCAAGTGACAATTTTGTAACACTACCCAACTTCCATTGATTACACCTTCTGATATCAATTTTTGTGCTAATGGTCCTTAGCCTTATCCCAATGAAATTTGAGCAAAGGATTTGTTCTTAGCATTGGCAAATACACTCAATGAAGCAAATGGATCTGATCCTGGAGATAAGACAAAGATGAGAGGAGTTACTGAAGAACTGTCTTCATAGATCTCAGCCAAGTTGAAAGCAGGTGGGAAGATGAATTCCTCTCCCAAATACCCATGAACAAATATCTAAATGGCAGGAATCAATTTATCTGGTCTGATGCATCTTAATACACACAACTTTATCAATGGGTTTGTGTATTTATCTTTAAGTTCTCCTGGTAAATCTTCAGATTGTGGTTATAAGGAATCATAAATTCTCTTGAATCCATTCAAGTAGTCATCCTTGTAGAAGTATTCATGGAATCCTTAGGTTGTTGGTAGCAAACTCAATCGAGTGATTTCTCCCCAATTCTTCGGTAATACCCAGTCTGTTTTAGGTTGATCGGGCATCTTTTCTTATAAGGACAACCCTCCAGTCATCAAAAATCTGAATGCCTCTTAATCTAATTGTTTACGGAATTCCATCACTCTCGTTGCCAGAAGGAAGGAGAATAACAATTTATCCTTCTCAAATAATGATCTACAAATGTTTCTATACAAGGAGAGCAGGAAATAGTTTTTGAGATTCTCCAGTCTGATGCCAATATTGTCTGATTTATCTGATTTTACAATTGATTGAGTGAAGAGATCAATAAAATAGACAAGTGAATATTAATACATGGGATCAATATTGTTGAGATCAGAAATGACAAAGAATAAGCAAGAAGCTTATTATGCAACAGAGACGTACTCTTGTCTGGCAGCATCAATATTTTTCTCTGTCTATTCAGCAATAATTTATTTCTCACTAATTTCATTTGATTTTAATTTAGATGCTGTTAAAATCTCAATTGCAGTTTCATCTGTTAAAATATTCTTATTTCCAGATAAGACTTCCAAAATCTTTTATTCAATTTCTGCCAATTACTTTTTATTACTAGCACCTTCCATAATGAGTCTTTCCTTTTCTCTCTCCAGATCAGGTCTCTCTTTCTTAACCAAAATACCTAATAGTTGATCACTCAATCCTTCATATGTGATCATAAAGTTCAGCAAAGTCACCTTGGTTGATATTTCAGGTAAATAGTGGGGATTTCTGAGTTTAGTTGTAATGTAGAATTGGAATTGATTTGAATATTCAATTGTGCTCTCTCCCAATTTGATATAGGATGTGTTTCCTTTAGTGAATACTTACTTTAAGAGAATGGGAGTGAGTGAAGCATCCAATTCCTCCAGAACATTCTCCAACAATACTGGTTTTCCGAATTGGATGGCATTTTCCAATTATCTCAAGAAATCAGAGTCTGATAATTTGATGATAGCAATTTTTCTTGAGTGTTCCATCTTCTTGATCCATTTGTTTGCTTGTCCTTATGGGTCGATACAAAGTGGCCATCTTCTGGCTTTGAACAGAATGATACTGTTTTCAATAGAGAATTGATCTGAAGGCAAACCATCAATGTTCCAAGCTCTGATTTTTACAGGTTCTCCTAAGACTGTTAGCAATGAGAATATCTAAGAAGAAGGAATACTTTTTTCAACACATTTAGCTACCCATTCTTTGACAATCTCAATTCTAAATGCTTGAGTAAAGGCACCTGAATATGCAATCATACCTGCTGATGTCAATACATCTCCTGTCAATGTGATATAGTTGGCTTCTAGTTGCTCAGCAAATGCTCCCCATCTACCTTTTTCTCCTCCTAATGATTCAATAAGCTTCTTGGCTCTTTCTAATTATTTGGAGCATTCTTCATATTCATTTTCTAATCTATTTTTATTGTCAATAGTTTGTTGTAATTCTTTATTTAATTTGCTAACTTTCTCATTGGCATCATTCAATTCCTTTTGCTTTACAGCTAACTTGGCATTCAAACCATCCACTTGAGCCTAGGACTCTGCCAAGGCAATCTTCTTGGGTTTAACCTTTTTGTTAACAAAATAGAAGTTATACACACCATTGATCCACATCATAATAACTTTACAAGCAGGGGATGCATTTTCAGCTGCAGACAATTCTAAGGACTCCTTGTATTCAGGATCCTGTAAATATTTACCCAAATTAACAATGACCTTTTCTTCCACAGTATCAGTATTGAATGAAACCATCTCATCTAGAAGACCTGATCTTCCCAAGACCTTCAATGAAGCTGACCACCAATCTGTGACCAATCTAATACCATCCTTGTCCTTGGTCTTCTCAGTTGGGTTTGGATACAAAAGGAGACACAAAGCTCTTAAGATATTCCTGATTGTCATAGAAGGAGCTTTCATTTGCTTCAAGAATTCAATTTGCTTCTTATCCAAGACATTCAAGGCATCTTAAGCAGCTTTGAGTGCTGGCATGGCTTCAGACAACTCAGCCTCACATTCCTCCTTGATGGCATTAGCCTTATCGACTGCCTCTTGCACCACAGCCTCTTCTGATTGAATAACTGTCTTGAGTGAATCTGCTTGTACTTTCTCTTTTTGTACTTCATCCATTTTGATCTTGGTTTTTTCAGCAGCATCCTTCAATTGAGGTTGTAATTGAATCAAATTGGTTTTCATGCCTTCCACATTGTTTTCAGTGGTTGTGATCTTACTTAGACCATTTCTATATTTATTGATCTGAGCGGTGACTTCATTTCTCTTTTCATACAACAGGGATTTGAATGTTACGATCAATTCCAAGTAACTGGTTGGAGTCACATAATATTTGCGTTTGAGATCATCATAGAACTTCTTAGCCCAATGCATAGTACTTTGATGGAAGAATTACACCATGTCTATGCATTCCTATTTGATTCTGTCATCCATTTCTACTGGCTTAAGGAACCTTGTAGCCACACTCACCAAGGCATCTTGAGGCCATTCATTAAACCAATCTATGGTACAACAATTGACTAAGGAAGGGAACATCCTCACTCTTGTTCTGAAGGCGTCTCCAATAGGCGACATGCATAATACGATATGGAGGTTCTTTTTGACTCTTTCCAAGAAGAAAGCATACAGTTGATTCAAAGTAGCTTCTCCCTCCTTATTTATAGATTGATAGGCTGGTCTGACCATTTCAGTGACTTCAGTTTTCTCTTCTGTTGGGAAGATGTTGGGAACTTCAGAAGTATTTAATAAATTATTCACATCCTCAACGAAGGATTCCAATTTGATTTAGTTGTCAGTGAACAGAAATGTAGATGCTTCATTCTTACCTCCACATTACTTCAACAATTTCTTGATGTCTTCATGCCATTCTAATTTTCCATATGACTTAGATATCTCTATCTAAACTACTTTGAAATCACCAATAGAAGATGCTAATCTTGCCAATGATTATCTACCAGAACCACCGACACCAACAAGCAACGCATTACCACCAGGTTGTTTCATGATACGTGTGATTACTAACAAGTGCTCGATGGCAAATTAGAACAACACCAAATCCATGGGTTTGTCACTCAAATCATTATAGTTTTGCAATTGCTATTCAACAGCATTGGCTAATTTTGCTTGGTCAATTACTTCTTCGTAGAATCTCTTGGGAGCACCCATCGGTGTCATTACATCAGTAAATATTAGACCTCTGATCTCATCCAATTAATCAATCTTGTTGTCTTTCTTACCCTCAGCATCAGGCTTGTCTAGATGTTCAAATATGGTATCAAAGTTCAATCCAAATGACTTTCTCATAATCTCCCTTACTGATCTCAACATCAATAGACGATCATCATCATTGATCAGTCTGTCTGCAAATACTCTCCAAACTTCGTGAGTCCAAAGTCTAGCCATCACATCAGTTGTATTGATCTTGTCCTTATCTGCTAGACAGATGCCCAATATCACCTTTGCAAAGTCTCTCAAGTTAAACAAATAATGACTCTTGGTTGGAGTGGGCAACAATTCCCTCATTGCCAATTTGTATATTTCTAATGTTCCATTAACTATCTTGGATTCCATCTTCAAAATATCCTATGGGAAATTCTGATTAGTAAAGAACCACTTCAAAATGGATCCAAAGATACGATTCAATGTCTCATCATCAAAAGCAGCCAAGGAGATCAAACTCAAATGTCTCAAAATTCTGGGAGTAACAAATGTTCTTCCTCCTCCTGGTGGACCCATTGCTGTAACAAACACGCAATTTATGATGCTCTTGAACATCTTCTCTTTATCACCATTGTCATACCAACCACCTTAATCTAAGAATTATCTCAAGATTTCAATTGGAGGTTGAGCACCCCACTTCTCCTTTGCTGGCATATTTAAGTCATCAACAAATATCACATAATTGCCTATTCTTGGTCCATAGTATCCCTTCCTGATTCTCTCTAATTTCTAATCAATAATGAATTGAGTTTATGTCGAAGTAGTCTAAGCAGAGAATCCTAGTTCAATTGCAGAATATTGTCCCTTAGGTAACTCAGCAAGTACATTCTTGATATACACACTCTTGCCAGTACCAGTAGGACCACAGAACAAAGTGGCTGTGCCTGAGAATATGTTCTTCAATAACCAATACGAATAACGTACTGTATCAGTAGTTTTCACTAGAATTTCGTGTGGTTACAACTTTGGAGAGATCTACTCATTCTTATCTATCAATTGAGTCCATAAAATCCATTCGCCATCACTCTTGTTCTATTTCAAGTCGAAAATGTAATCAAAAAGACTGCCTCTATCTGGGATGGCGACTTTCTTTTTTGGGGCATCATTTTTTGTGTGAATATCACCTCCACACAATCTCTTCATAAATTGATCAAAGGGTTTTCTGAAGTCAGTACTAACACTAGCTCCGAATGACCAAATCAAAGCGAATACAAATTACTATTGCAACAATCCTTGTCTTATTTTTGCATCAAGGCCCTTCAATTATTCATCTTCGAAGACTTGGAGCAAAGATTTAAATAACTTAGTGTGACTTACAAGCAAGTTAGCATTCTGACAAGGAGATATTTCGTACTTTTCTGATGCCATTCTCTAGTGGGAGTGGAATTCCATTAGAGGTTCCATCATGGCATCATAGAGTTCTTAAATTTCCTCTAAATCTTCTTTCAGTAGTACTTTTGGTAATGTATTCATCCATGACTTTTGCAATGGTTTCCAACCAACAATTTATGGTTCCATATAAATCATACCGCATCTGGATACAGTGGCTGGAGATGCTGCTTGTAAATCCATTGGTTCAAACACCATGTTCATAGCTTTGCTCATGGCAATGATTTCTCCTGAATTCAAACATAATTTCTTATTATCATCCAACACTGTGTTCATATTTTCAATCCAAACCGCATCAATAGGTCCATCAAATATCAACCATTTTCTATCCTCATCTTCAGCCTTAGCAAATTATCTAAATTTAACAGCCAACACTCCATCATACCATTCATGAGAGACTTCATCAAATTTACCGTATAATTCCTTCATAGTGATAGATTTGGGATTCAATGTGATTATCTACACTTTCTTCTCATTCATTTGACCTCTTTCATTTAGTAAGGTTAATGCTCCTGCCAATACTTTGATTGCACTAGTTTTACCACCAAAAGGCAATCCCACAACCATCAAACCATGTCTTACTAGAATCATTTCATATAACTAAATAACTTTAACAATGAAGTCTGGCACCTTCTACAAATTCAACTTCTCAATCTCTACATTGATACACTCATACATATTTTTGTAATCTATTTCTGGCAACTTAATTCCAGGGAACAAGTCATTGGTAATACCTTAGAACAAGGGTAGATCAAAGGATAAAAACTTGGCCAAGTTTACATCATTGATAGCTCGAAGCATCAGAATGAATTCATCCTCACTTTAGAACTTTCTCTTTAAATTACCTGCAGCTGTCAACACTGATTTCACAGCTCTCATACCATAATCATAATGGTCTTAAGATGACAATTATTCTGAACACAATTAATATGTTGTAACAATCTTTCGGGCTAAATCTCTTGCTTAACTGAATCCATAAGAATACAATGAAATTTCTGCGATCATTTCATAATTGGGAACCATCATAGCCACTGATCTGAACAAAGCTTTCAAATTGTCAGGCAATTCTGATCTTCCTGCATAACCAGGATTCATTGTAATAAAACAATTACATGTTTGAATCAATCTAATGTCAGATCCTTCGAAAGTGAAGCTGGATTTATTCGATGCTCTAGCCATTTGAATGGTTAGAATTTATTGAGCAACGACTGACAACACTTCCAAATCAATACGATTGAACTCATCAAAACATGACCAAGCTCCAGAACTTGCAAGTCCCTTAAAGAACTTACCCATAGCCTTGTAATCTAAACCATCGGAACAATTGAAGACAACACATTGTCTAGCCAAAGCCTTAGCCAAATCCTTGACAGTTTCAGTTTTACCAGTTCCTGCAGGTCCCTCTGGTGCACCACCATAATTCAAATGGATTGCACCACACAATGTTCTATAACATCTGTCTGTTAATGGTGTAATAACCAATCTTGCAGAATTTCCCAAATATTCATAATTGTATTCACAAACAGCATTGATAATTTTGACAGTAGTATTGTTATCAATCCAATAATAACGCAATTAAGCCTACCAAGAGAACTCATTCACTTTCTCCACCTTCTCCTTATACAATTGATTCAACACATCTCTATTATGGACATCCAACACAATCATGGCTTCTAATGTGCATCTATCTAAAACTGAAATTTCAGTACGAACCAAAGCAACAATTTCCTGTAATTAGTGTGTGCAAGTGGCTGCATATTATCCAACACCTTCATTTCCTTTCTCCAACATGTTGCGCTCAGTTTCACTTGTCCAAAATGTCATATCCATATTCAACACAGCCATACCACATCTATTAATAACCCAATTCCTTCTATTGGTATCACTGTACTCTTTAAATGCCTTTTCTGTTTGATAATGAATGCTCTCAATCATCTTCTTCTCAACCTCCACCAACCATTCATCCACATTTCCTCTTGCTGCATTTGTGTCAACAATATTCTAAAATTACACATACTCCTATTCTGAAGAATACATTCCATGAATCTTTTTCTCACCGTCAATCTTCAACTTTTAAATACCTTCAAAACATTTCTTCAAATGAGGTTGCACTCTTTGAGGATCCTTTGTTTCTGATAGAATTTCCAATAATTCATCATTTGAAAGGAAATAAAATCTGGGGAAATTTGTTCTCTTACCTTCCAAATAGGAATTCAAACCCTTCTAACACACTTCTAAGGATGTGTGGCACTCTTTTAATATGTCCAACATTTTCCTATTCTTTGTGTATTCAATCACTTTGGGATTCGAATTTACTTTGTTCATAATTGACTTCCAACTGGCATCGACCTCCTTGAATCTTGTACCTTCCATAGCAAGATGTTTCAAAATATCTGGACTTGTAAACACTGGCTCCAAATACATCCAAACTCCTTGGACCTTCAGCCAATAATCAAACAGAGATTAGGTGTAGTATAGAAATGCCTCCCATTCAGCAATTCTGCTCTCAAAATTTCTTGCATAAGGAGAACCCTTCATTGTGATGGTCTTTACAATTTGATCATCCAACAAAGTTTAGACTTCATCATTGGATGCTCCTGAAACTATAAAGGTACCAGTATCTTTCCATGGTTTAAGTTCTGTAATTACATTATCCCAGTCTTCTTACATTTTGTTTAAGATCTTTTCTAAATTGTATTCTTTGGTAGCAGAATCAGAAATCTCTTCGAATTTAGAAAAATGCTATTTCAAATCCAATTCAATTAATTTAGAGAGTTATTATTCTTTGTCTGGTCTGACTGGGAATCCCATAATTTATGAGATCTCCTCCCAATGTCTTTCCTTCATACCTGGATTGGAGAACACTCTAATCAAAGGCAATTAAACTTAGAAGTCATTTATTTTGTCTGACAAGAATTTGATCAATTATTGTGTGCCTTAAGGAGTGGTATTCTTTGGGAATTAATAGGTCAGTTTTTTGGCTTGAGTTAACATGGTTTTGACATCTTTTTCAATAGATTCTGCATCCAATCTGAAGATAAACTTAGCCTTAGTCCAATTCATTGAATTCTATTCCCAATCTCTCAATTGATGCCACAATTCTTCATATGGCTTGATACTATTCTAAGCTTCTTAGAGTTTGACAAACTCAGTAGGTTACCATCCCAATTGTTCTTCTCTCATTTAGATATCCTACATTTCAGCTACATATTCTTATAATTTCTTAACATGATTGTCAACAATGTCATTGGCTTCCTTAACCTAATAGGCAGAAGTGTAAGAGGTTTTCAATCTGTTGATACTTTGAGTAATTTCATCAAGGTTATTCTAAAACTTCTCTCTTCTTTCTCTAATAAATTATTCCAATTGATCTCTGTCCTTTTAAATACGAATTTCTTCCTAATCCACCTTGAGCATCAAAGAGTGAACTAGTCTGGATGTGTTAGATATCTAAATTAAATCATCCTCATTAATTTAATAATTAGTAGTGTACAACTAATACAACCACTTCTGTAAATCTATGAAATCGTTTTGTACTTTCTTATTTTCTGTCTTTCTAATCTTCTCCAAGGCTGCTTCCAACTCAACCAACCTTTCAGTAGTGTCTGCTCTGCCTTAGATGTTATCTTAGAGTGCTTAGATTTCCTTGCTGATTCTCTGATTAGTAGTCATTATGTAATCATGAATGTTTCTTTCCAACAATTAAATGATCTCTTAGATGATGTCCAAGTACTTCTTCTTTACTTCACAACCATCAACCAAAATCATATTCACTCTTACAAAGAATGGAATCGCCTCATTGACTTATTCATACAATTATGAATAGTTATTGAATGCTTGAATAAATTCATTTCTTGTTCTTGCAACACTTGTCCATTACGTAGCCTTTTCGGTTTCTCTTAATAAGAATGAATACTTTTCATAAATTTCTAGGGTGCTTTCAACATTCTTTAAATTGATGTCCAAAATTTCATTTATTGTCTTATAGGTTGAAACAAAGGTATCATCATCCTCTGGTATTTTCCAGAGAGAGGTTTTCTCACTTCTTGATATAGTATTTTCAGGTCTCTGGAAATTCTCAGAACACTTGTAGATATCATCAATTAATTTCAAAATTCCATTTTTGATGCTCATCTGAAGATGATCAGCAAATTCAATCTTATTTCCATCGTGTTTTAGTTTAACAGTTAAAAACACATCTTCAATAGGTTTATCGAAATCATCCTCCTCGGCAATCACCTATTAAGGAGTTCTCAACATTTTCTTGTCGAATCTCTTGAAGAAGTTTCTATATGAGATCAAACTCTCATTAATTTGAGTCCTCAACAAATTACTCATCAATGTAGCAGTACTCTCAAAGAATAACATAGCATGTCTTTTATTTCTATTGGCTACATGCAATTCCTTCTAATAGAGATCAGCTACTTCCTTGTGCCATTCATTCTATAAGTGATTCTTCACCTCTTAAATTCTATCCTATTGAACCTTGGTAAAATAGTTAATGTTCATTGGTTAATCCTTAGCAGATGATAACACCAAGAAATTCATCTTTGAATATTTAGCATACCAACTCTTCAACAATTAGAGAGTGGTCTAACTATTGATCACCAGATTCTGCACCATTGCATCTCTAGCTTCATTGACCTTCTTCTTCCATTCTTCACTAGGTTCGATCCCTTTATAGACAGCTGATCCATATTCTGGGATCTCATCAATGATCTCTACAATTCCTACTCTCAACCTCTCCTCTTCATCCTTAAGTACGTAATCCAAAATGGCCTTCTTCATACTCTAATTGTAATCATGTGTTATCTCATTCATCATCTCCTCTACATACTTTTGACTCAATTGATCTCCCAATTTCTTCAAATCTCTGGGCAACAATTCTATGATATCTTGCACCCATTGTTATTTGATTTCTGCTATGAATTCCTATGGTATTTCATTATTAATATAAGCCTAGTATCTTGCATAGCAATTATTCTTGGCTTCTAATTTCTCCTTCAACTCCTTGGTTCTTAGTTTACCTGTGACATACAACAACTCTTCCTCCAGAGATGCAGGTTTTTACAATAACTCAGGATTTGCAGTGAAATTCACCTTGGATTCGAAAGCCTTCAATATTCTGACTCCCTTGGACTCACTATCAAAGTAGAATCTTTTGGCTCCAGGATTGTAATTAGATGCGATTCTACCTACTACACTACTGTTATATTTCATTCCTGAAATGGGGGCTGCCAATGTTCTAGCAAACTTATCCAATATTGGTGGAAAACGAATCTTTGCATTCTAGGGCTTGATAAATTATTGAGTCATCAAAGCAGATGGATTTTCAACCAATTTCGAAAAATCTTGGTTCTTAGCCAAAGGATCAGTACCAGCTCCCAACATCTCAGGCATTATTGGAATACTAATGTATATATTGTGACAATGAATTACTGTTCTAATTTTCCTATCCTTCTAGTTGGAGTTTGCATCATCTTTTATTGAGAGTTTTCACTAAATATTTCAAAGGCTGCCTTTTTGGATTGCATCAATTGACTCTACTCTATTGACTGTTACATAACTATCAATTAATTCTGGATTTCTTACTTTCCTATTGTTATTATTAGATTTGATTCTTAATCATTTGGAAATTGGTTATTTGTCCTCTTGTTTATAAGGCTATGGCATGCTTTGATTATTCAATCAAATTTCTAACAGTCTTTTTGGTTTGGGATCCTTATTTGATTTGAGATTAGACTTTAGATTTCAAAAGGGGTTCAAATGTAAATGTGGAATCAAATCTTAAAAACTTTCCAAAATATCCCAAATCGACTTCCACTTGTGTTTTTGTTTTGATTTTTTAAATTAAAGATTAGAATACTCCCTCCACAATTGCTTAAATCAAGGACCTGTCCACTCCCATCTATTTGGTAGAGACAAGTGATTTATCATTTACTTTTTGAGTCTGTTATACTTGAGTCTCAATACCACCACATAATTTGGCAATCTGGTGATAACTGATTTTGATTGTTGGAGTTGGTGTCTCGATTTCTCCCTATTTAAATTAAATTTCAATATGTACTCTATAGCGTAGATTTGCACTATTCAAAAAATTCTCGTTTGGGTAGAAAAGAACACTCTTCTCCTTATCTAACGCAATTTCTTCTCCTTGCACATGAGGCAATCTGAAAGCAAAGTTCCCTAGTGGACATATTAAACATCTTTTACCTAAATGAGGTATGTTGATCGTCCTCTCGACATCGAAGTTCATTTTGCTCCATTTTATGAATGCATTCCAAATTTCAGCCACTTTGTCCAAAGGCTCGCCATTCAACCTTTTGTAGTTTAAAGAAAATAATACTCCAATTCGGTCAAAAGACGCTCTATGTTGTAATGCTCGATTTGCAATTCTGTCATTAAAACAGTTTTGCTTTTTTTAATAAAATTAATTAGGAATTGGGGGAAATGAAATTCTTTATATATTAAACCACCATAGTTTTAAATATCATTATAGTAGCGATGAGCTTTGGATAATCCAAAATCAAATCCAGTTTTACATACTTTATTAAATAATAAACTTTTGATTAATATTAATGAGTAAACCTGGATTAGGACTCAATACGTTTCATTTGGTTTTCATTGAAAAATCATATGGCGATACTGATGATCATCGAATGCATTCTAAATCCTCCATGAAAGACTAAGTCAGATTTAATGAAGAAATCATGATTTGCTTTTTTCATCAGAAAGAAAAGGTTACTTAAATTGTAGACAATAAAAAGAAAACCATAAAGGATTACTTAAAATGACTGAAATCTAAATGATGACATTATTTTATGCTTTATATTCTGTTTCTTACTTTTTACACACCATCCTTAACAAAAACATATGTAAAAATTAATTACATTTTAAACTTTAAAAATAATCACAATTACAAAATCTTGGTCTTCTATTCCTCACTCATCTATAACCATTGCCAAGCCTTGATTCTAATGCTCTTCAATTCGTATTTTTTCGTGGCTCCCTCCAAAATCCATTCATTGATATAATGGAATCCCGTGTATTATTACTAGATAACAATCATTTCATTACCATATCATTAGTCACATACAGAGAGTTGTCCACTGAAATAATCATCCTTCTTGTTTCAATGTAAAAATCTACATATTGCGAGTCAAAATAATGATGCATCTTGTACTCTATCTTATTCTTATCAAGAAATTTCATCAACGAACGGAATTGCTAAGTGGATTTCTGGTTTGGAATGATGTTCTCCTTCACTTGGGTCTTCCCGTTCTCAACTATCAATCTGGCCTACTCTTATTATAACTGATTCAATTCTTCAAAATAAATGCAAATAAAATTACAAATATTTAAATGCCCACTGAACTCTACAAGGTTGTAAATATCCATAAATTGACGAAAAATTATGGGCACCTTTTAAATCTTCTCCAAATAAACAAACTAGGACACACTACATTGCTTAGGTTAAATTCTTACTTCTACATTAGATGCACTATGATTCCCTCATATCTCGAGAACAAGTTCTGATTCAACTCCTTCATGAAATAATAGAAACTCGTTAATATACTCCAAAGGGTTTGAACACTAATAACGCCGTTGTTGAGTTGCTTCAATTCCTATTGAGTATTCTCCAAGATGTTGATAACTAATTCCTAATTGAAGTAACCCAGTTTGGCAAAGGCATTCATGACATCTAGCAACTCGATTCTTGAATATTGTTTGGAATGGCTTATGATTAAGTTGCTGAGATTGTCATAGAATGGCTTTGCATAGATTTTCAACTCGGCAAATTTCTAAATAATTTAAACTATTTAAGTAGATTTTAGATTGTTTTCCTACTCCTAGATTTGGTTTATTAGAAAGTTGAATATATCCTTATTGGATAATTTTAATTTCTTTGCAAACTCTATGTAATCTAAACAGGCTTAAATGTGTGGGATTTCTTAATTTCTCACTTGCTTACATTTTGAAAACATTTGCTAAAACAAATTATCGTATCTTTAGATAAATAGATACTTATTCTCGCATTAATTGATAATCCTTATTACAGTTCTTAAACCTGGTCTCATGCTCTTCATATTTAATGACTCATTAAGGTTTTAAAAATGCAACTTGATAAAATCAGACAACCCATCATTTTCGACTTTCTATATTCCAATTCTCCAGGCATCATAATCCAGTAATGTCATCAATCCATCATAATAATGTTCTTTGGTATTTTATGTAAAATTGAATTGTATCAATTCCATCTTTAGTTGATTTATCATCTCCTCTAAAGAACTAATTTAAACTGCACAATTCAACTTTTCTTTATATTTTACTTAATAAAGTAATATTTTAGTTCTGATTTAAATAAAAATAAATTTGTCCATTTTTAATCTTAAAATCTAAATCAAAAAGGCATTAATAATTTGCAAATTCATAAATGAATTTGGATTCAAATCAGTTACAATGGCAGCAATTTAAAGTTTTTCTAAATCTTCAAAATTATCCATTTATTCACATAAATTCTGACATATGTTAAATATTAAATTAGTTTTGACATCTAAGTTGAGGAAAGACTTATAAAATTTAAGAAATAAATACAAATCCACTTCCAAGTTACCCTAATGTTATGAAATTTAGGTGGAACTAAAGTTTAATAATTCTCTTATGGATTACATAACTGTACCTCTTGATGTGTGTAAAGTATATAATGGAGTGTATAGCACAATTTTAAAGATTAAGTTTAGCAGTAAATGTATATTAAATGTTCCATCAATAATACTTTTATTTGCAATATCGACAAGCCATTTAGATATTTATTTAACCAACTTATCATTTAAATAATCAATATTTGAAATATTATTTATTATACTTTATAATTAATCAAGTGAAGGTGCCATCATTTCACTTTTTGTTTTTAATTCATGATTAAAATGATTCTAACTATTTAACCTTAAAAGAAAGTGAATATAATCTTTTTCAGGTAATTCGTCTAATTTTATTTCCGAATTAATAAACTCATAAAAAGGATCTCCAGGATATGGTTCTAAACTTAATATATAATGGCTTATGGACAATTTGCTCTTGCTTTCAAGTTGCTGCAATCTTTCCATCAACTATTGAGTAGATGCTTGAATGTTATCCTACTATTCCTAAGATGGTAAACTCTTAACATATCTATGACAATAATAGGCTTAATCGATTAATCTAGGGAGATGATCATTGGTGATTTTTATTTGATCCAAGTATTTTGAAACTTTATTTTATTTGATAATGACTCTGAGAAACTCTATTTTTTGTTTTGAATTTAAATTCTACGCACTATTCAATCTAACTATAATAGAGTCAATGATGGATGAATTTTATCTGCCGAATTCGATATCAAGTAACTTCAAAAGGAGATTGTTTTCAGTAACTTCATCGAATTTAATTTTATTGAACAAATGTTGCATCTTGTCATCTTTAAGTCTATTGAAGGGTTTCTGTTCTTTTAGATTGAGATAAAGTCTCAACTTATTTTGACTATTCAAGGAATCTATTTCGATTGATTTAAATAGGACTTCAAAAAGTGTGTTTGGAAAGTTGTTGATTACAAACTAATAGGATTCCATTAATTTTAATTTGGAATGCAAATTAATCTTTCCTAAATTTTAAATGAAGAGTTCAGCCAATTTGTAAAGTAATAAAGGGAATTATTTATTGGAAGTGCTCTAGTGCAATTTCATTTTGGCCAATTAATTGAATACAGCTATTTATTAATGTGCAGTCATGTCATCAATCTTTGTAATTAAACTCTTACTAGCTTTCAATGCCAAATCTGAATGAATGATTGACTTTAATTGAGTTGATTCAATGTAACATGCTCTGATGATTGAACAGAGTCCAACGATATTAAATTCAGATGTTCTTAATTGTTACTTTAGGATTTTGGCAATGTGAAACATCTTCCATCCTTGTTTTGAATAAAAATAAAATATGTGTGGCAATTATTTGGAATTATAACTTTGTAAATTCTACTCTATGTGTTTCTTGATTTGCGCATTATATGATTTGTTTTACAATTTTTGCAACAATACTATTACAGTGATGCTTTATGATGGTTTCAATATTTCGAAACTGGGCAGGACATTTTCTGTGATGAATTGATGGAGCAGTTCATTTTTGGTTTCTGGGTTCCTATTTAGAAGGGCACAGATTTGAAACACAGGGAAATGAATCTTTTAAGGTGTTAGATTGTTTTCTTGGTAAACTTTGATGACTTCTTCTATTGTCTAAGCATTGGCAAAATTTTAGAAATCTGCTTCATTAACAAAAGCAGCTGTGAATTCGTAATCAGCTTCGTCGTCGCTGATGAATTGGTATTCTTTTTAAATGAAGGGTTATGAAAAGCAGGCTATACTTTTATTTAAAAACCTGGATGAGAGTTTGCTTAAGTGCAGAATTTTAAGCATAATTAAAAAATTTATAAAATTTGATAATTTCAAACAGTGAAGTCTTTTACAGAATAACATTTTTCAATTGAATTTGAATGTTTGATATATTAAGTTTTATGCAAATTTGATTGATATAAAATATTATAAAAAATGAATAACTAATCTGTTAATGTGCAGTACAATGATCAGATAAAAATGAAGGTCTCAGAAGTGTTTCAAACCCATTATATTAATACCCAGCCCTCGAAACAAGAATAGACTATTGTAATTTGCTTAATAATTTTTGGGAACATAATTTGGAACTGGATGGCAAACTTTTAAAATAGTGGATCCACCCATTATAGTTATGAACTAACAGTTAAAATTATCGAGACCTTGTGGATTGTCTTTCATCATCTGAAGAAAAAGTAAACATTTCTTAAATTTTAGAACTACTTAAACTCCCGAATCTCTTCTGAATTTAGGTCTAGTAATTCAGCTCGTTAATGCCCTAATCACAACTTTAACTATAACTGAGTATAATCTATCTTATATTCTGTAGCGTAGAATCAAGATCAGAATAAGTACTAGACCAATTTACCTTCTTCATTCTCATCCATCAATATATCTACAATCGATTCTCATTGAAATTGCATTACTTACATTAAGTGATTGGAATCGGCAGCGTTTTGGCATTTCAAATCTGTTGGGGAGTCCATTTTATTAGTACAATCAAAATGATAACAGTATAATCTGTTTTTATTTTGTCAAAATAATTACGATAACAGAGATTGTTGAATGAGACACAAAACAAAATCAAACAGTTCAATTAAGAGCTGGATCAGATGAAGTAGCAGTAACAATAATAGATAAACAAATATCAAGAGGAGATTGATTCAAAATCACAGATGCAATTATAATCTAGGGCCAATGACTTAGTCAATAAATTAAAATTAATCAAATTCAAGTAACAATGTGCAATCAAAAACCAACTCTTAAAAAATGCTAGTTAATAATAAGAGAAATTGTAATCGATGGTCTCAATAACAGAAGTATTTGGCAAAGACGAAGTGGATGAAGACACAAATCAAAATTATCAAACCACCTCTCCAAAAATTGAGAATTTTAGAAGGAGAGCTAGTAGAACCCTATCCTAAAATTCAGATATTAAAGGTAAAAATCTACAATTCGACCAACAGCAATCTCACTCTGATCAAACTATTATTCAAGGAGATGATTTTATTACCATTGATGAAATAGATGACCTTCTGAATTTATTGACAGGTAAAAAAGACAATATTTGGTTACCAAAGTTTTTAAGAAGTCATCGTCAATTGGATTGTCAAAATAGTAATTGCAGTATTCAACAAACCTCAAAAGAAGATTAATTTAGTTAAGATGCCAAAAAGTAAATTCTATGCTCATTATTTTTAGATTCATACTTTCACATTTCACCTAAAGAGAAGCCTCTTTTCAATATATAGATGACATTTCAGATGACATAGATGATATTGCCTAAAAAACTCTAATTGATTTCAACACCAATTACTTACAACCAGATTACACTTTAAATAATTTAGATCAATCACAGAGAATGATGTTTTTAGAAGGCTCTATCAATTTGTTTAAAATATTCAAAGTTATTCAAACACTGAAGATTACTAATCTAGAAACCCTCGGAGAATTCAGTGTCAAAATTGAATCTCTCTATCAAAACAATTTCTATCATAATTCCATGCATGCAATCGATGTTGCAAATTCAACAGCATTTTTCCTATAAAATGGATTATCCACTCTAATCGATGATTTCCAAGCTACTTGTTTGTTAATTTCTTCATTGGCACATGATATTGGGCATCCAGGCTTAAATAATGGATTTATGACTGCAAACAGATGTAGATTAGCCTTATTATTTAATGATCAAAGTGTTTTAGAGAATTATCATTCATTCCTTTTGTTTTAGGTACTCACTTAAAGTAAATGCAACATCATTGAAAACTTGAGTTCTAATGAAATCAAAGGATTTAGGAAGTATTGTTTAAATCTAATTCTTGACACTGATCTCACCCGACACTTTTAATTGATGAACAAATTCTAAAATTATTTGAATGTCAATGAATCTCCTGCTATTGATTAACAATTAATCATGTCAATTGGAATTAAATGTGCAGGTAATTACTGATCATACTATTTTAGATGTTGGACATGGAGCAAAAGAATTAAAATTACACAAAATCTGGAGTAGAAGAATCATTGAAGAATTCTTTTTATAAGGGGATTTAGAGCATCACCTTAAAGTACCTATATCACCTATGTGTGATAGGAAATAGAATGTTTCTAAATCTTAAGAAGGCTTTTTAAAGGCCATAGTTTTACCAATGTTCGAGGCCTTCTCAACAATATTAAAGAAGTAATTAATTGTTTGATTAATAGTGAAAATATCTAAAAAACCTGTGTGGACTAAGTAAAATAAAATATAGAATATTGGTAAAAGCAGAAGACTGATGAAGAATTCATGGAAGAAACAACTTTTGATACCAATGCCGGACTTGAAATTCTTCAAAAGTTTCTTCATGAACCTCTTCATATTGAGATTTGATTTTATATGTAATAGATAATATATAATAATTATGGCTATCCTTAAAGAATATCCATTATATTTTTTGATCAAAATAACTATGTAGACTTACTCTATTTTAATTTACATATTCATATAGAGTTTAAAGATATAAGGCTCTTTGAATTTTCATAACAGTTTTAATATTAATAAACTCTAAAATTCTAAAATATCATTAGATTTTACTAAATCTTCATATTATGATTTAATTTGAGAAGACAATATAATATTTGCATAATGAAATTTAATTTATCAAATTAGTTATATTATACAATTTTGAAAATCAACTTAAAAAGAACTCAACAAAATGAATTTGAAATAAAAGTTAGATTTCATACAAAATCAACTCGCCTATATAACTTTTAAAGAAGTTATATAGTTACTATGCAATAAGATAGAGGCTTAGATAACTATAAATAGCCTAACAAATTAAGACTAAGTAATACGATAATCTATGTTCTTAAGCTATCATTCGTAATGAATAAACAATAAGTTTGAATTTGATATCAGTTGGTTTATTGAATGAAGTTTGGACAAAGTATAAACAATCAATAATAATTAATTCTTCTATTCCCTAGTAATTTGCCTAAAAGAATTTATGTGGATTAATTACAAATTAAAGAAGGTTCTCTAAGTTAACAAAGGAATTTAGTTATTTATTGGCTTAGGATTGCACTTAATTAGATATGAAGGTTAATTTACATTTATATTGTATCACCTTACATTAGATATTACCTGATACTTATTGCTTCTAGATTTACCCATTGGAATGGCTCTGAGTTTGAATGGAAGGAAAATTTTATAAAAATAATTTACAAATTGGCGAATGTAGCTAGAGTCATAGCGGGTAGAGAATAACTGATTTATGTTGATGATTATAATTTATGTTATTTTAGAATTTCGAAATAAAAATTTAAATTAATGAAAATAGACATAACAATTCTTCTGATTCTAATTTCTATAACTGTAAATAATGAATGTAAAAAGATAGAATGAGCAACCGTAAGAGTACCCCACAGGTTGTTAGGAGAAGGAATGTAAAAATTTATGTGAAGAGGGTTACTAATTATGTGCTGACAAGAACAATATACAATGTGAATATGGCTATTTTAAATTAAATATTAAGAACGAGAATTATTGTGTCAAATGGTATTGTATTTGATTTTTAATGAATTAGTCCACTATCATTTAAGGACTAAATGATGTACCTTTGCATGGATTGCAGGGAAAATGCAGAGACTTGGTAATCTTCTAGATTATGCACTTACAATTATGCCATCACAGATGGAGATCAATATGGAGCATTTAGAAAGCTGTAAATAAATGATATACAAATATATAATATATTTGAAGTGGCTTCCTTAACTGAAGGAGGAAAGAGAAGTTTTGAAACAGAATTATGTGTGGGATGCTTTGGATTTTGCGATGAAGGCGATGAAGGAGATGAAGGAGATGAGTGTAACATCCTCTCAAATCAAAATGATGCCACTCATGTTGGAGTAGTATGTGGAGATGGTTATTACTTTGACAATGATCTATGTACGTAATGTCCTTTTGATAAATGCAAGTCTTGTGATAGCTGGAGTTGTTACGAATGTTTCGATGGCTATGCACTCGATTTCAGTTCCTAATGTATTCCCTGTTTTTCAGGATGTGCTAAGTGCGAATATTATTATGATATTATATGCTTGGAGTGTGTTTAAGATAAAGACAATTATTTGGTGTTGATGAATGATGGACTGACATGTGCTTATTGTGATTATGCTTGTTAAAGGTGTTAAGTCGAGTATGTGGATGGGGTAGAGTAACAGAGATGTACTCAATGTTAGCCTGGCTATATTGTATATAATGAAGGGCCATGGTGTGAATATCTAGAGAAAAGTGATTGTGAAATAGGATACTACGAATATTCACTAGAAGGAGTGATAAAATATACATACTCTTTAGGCTTTGATATGGGGGTGGATTATTCATCAGAATAAAAATGTTATAAATGCAAATCAGGGAATGAACTGGATACTGGATCTTGTAATACTTATACTGAAACTGATAATTGTATTTCCTATGATAAAGATAAAGATTTATGTTTAGAATGCAAAAATAGCTATCTGCTTAAATATGACACTCCTACTAAAAATTCTTGTGTTGCAGCTTAAGATTGCAGTAAGAAGATTAAATATTGTTTAAAATGCATTTCATATCCTGTGGAATAGTTTTAATGTGTGAAATGTCAAAAAGGATATTATCCTGATATTTTCTCTAATCTATGTTTGCAATGTCAATCTAGATGTGATGAATGTTGGCAATATACTAATAGCTATAATATTACAGCCTATCTCCAATTGTAATTGGCTGCCAGGGACTATGTGCAATATCAAAAGGATATAGAAACGATCAAAAAGGAGAAATTAAATGATCCTCTCTGTTCAACTTGCCAAGAGGGATTCAATCTATACAATAATTAATGCAAAGGTTGTACAGATAGCTGTGTCCCTGGTGATTTTTCAGTGAAGGACTCTGAATGTTTGTATTTAGATGATACTGCCTATTGTGCAAAGTGTCCTATTCCTAAGTAATAATAATCACTGTCTGCTGACAATAGTGAATGCAACGAGTGTCCCAATAATTGTATTGCTTGCAGAGAAAGAACTTAGAATGAAATAAATTAGGTTAATCCCTTTTTTAACCCAGATTTTGATTAATTAAACAAATACAGTAACTTTTGTTACAAGGCTGCGGATCCTAAGCCAAATCAAAAGATTTACATAGACTCTTTTTTGGGAGTTCCTATTACTTGCAAATCAGATGCAAGTTCAAAAAAAGGATGTGAAAAGAAACTAGATACTGATGTGTTTATAAATTGTGGAGAGACTGCAGGGCCTAATGAAATCAAGTTGAAAGATGTATACAAAAAACAGAAAACCAAAATCGTTACATTATTCCTTCAGGGAATAGAAAATGCATAAAAATATAACGAATACAATTTGTTAACTGTCACAGAAATAAATATCAATATTTACTTCAGACCTGACAATAATGGAATTTGTATCTTTGATAAACCGTTATAAATTAAATCAGGATTCTAAAGAAATGTCTTTACTTTGTAAAAACTATCTATTGTCATTCACGGTGAAGACGTAATCTTTAAGCAAACAGGAAGAATGATACTATAGGATTATTCTTCAGTGGTGATTCAAGATGTCCACTTCAAAGAAAAATCATCCGGTGAATTTGGTTTAGAAATACTGGGTTAAGAGACTATGCTCACTATGACCAACTGTAAAATAGTTAAAGAAAATGTAGCCAGTGCATTCAATATAGTATTACAAAATACTATTTACCTCAAATTACAGTAAGTTGAATTTGAAAAACTCAAAAACGAAAACTTCCTAAATCAAACTTCAACTAAGACACTTACAGATCAAGGTTATTATATATTTGATGATGTTCATGTAAAAAATAGTGAAATAAATGATGTTCTCATTACTGTTAATTAAATAGGAATAAATAATGTCTTGTAAGTGAATTCCTTAAAGTTCACAAATGTTAACATTACTAATACAGCTGTCTTTTCAGATTTGCAAACAACTTCAAGTTACAGTGTTATAGTAGATGATCTTAAATTGATTAAATGCACAGTTACAAACGGAAGCATCTTTAATTTTGGCACAGTCAAATCTTTCCAAGCTTCAAATTTAGAGAGTGTTTTGACTTTATTCTAACTAGGATCTAATTTCGTAGTGAGTACTGCTTTCACAATAGAAAAGATGTTTTGTTATCGGTCTTTGTTTGCTAATAATTCTGAACTCATATTGTCTAATAATCAAATTTATCTCGCAGATTAGAAACCTAGTATTTTATTATTTACATTCAAAACAATTACATTCAGAAACAACATTTGTTAAAATATTAATTGCCTGATGATCATGTCCACTCCACTTAATAGTTTTGGAATTAATACGAACATTTAAATTGAAAATTTGATCGTAGAGAATTTGTAAATCCAAACCTTAAGTTAGATGGATATTGATTCTGTTTCATCAGCCTTGGTCTCCTTACAAAACGTTGGGAATGTCACTATGAATGAAATAACACTCAAGAATACTCAAGGAATATCGAGCTTTTTTATTGGACAATCATAATCCATTCAAATTACCAATGCCTACTATTTTCTGGAAATGGATAATACTATGATTTATGAGTATGATGAATACATAACTGATGATTTTGAAATAGATCCCAATCTAAACAATTATATAGCTGTCACAAATCCATTCAATAACCTATTACCTAATTCTCTTGATTGTGCAGCCAGGAAACAAACCGCATATTAATTTAACTCTTACATGATTTATATTGAAGGATTCCAAGGATCCATCTTAATGCAAAACATTGAAGTTTTTAACACTCTATTCATAGATAGATCTGCTATTGTGATTAAATCTTACCAAAACTTATAATTTATGTAGACTGAAACAATTCTGCTCTAGAACATGTTTTTCGATAATAATAGACTTGCTTCAACACTAAATGGAAAGGAGATGAGTTTAATAACAATCGATTCCCAACAAAATTAAAACATCACCATAGTCAATGCCTAATATAATCAGAATCATTTGCATCAAATAACTGATTCCCAGACCAGTCAAACTCCAGCCCTGCTATTAATTATCTCTCCGAATTCTTTACTTAATCTAGTTAACTCTTATTTCAATTACAATCGAATCTCAAAGTCGACAAATGGCTTGATGTGGTTAAAGGTAGATTCCTTCATTCTAAGCAATTGTCAATTCTAAAAAACCAATATTCTAGATCTTCAATGGCTAGAATACCTGGAAGAATAGCAATTAACAACAAGTGATCCAGATACAACAGCCTCAAATCTAAGTAATATACTGTTTATTATTTTTAGAACAATTCTTCAAGATCCTTTCAAAGGGATCGAACTTCTATTTAATTGGTAAATTCATATACATAGACAGTTTGTCAATTAAAGAGTCCTTTGGATTGTCTGCTGCTGGAATTTTCCTTGAACTATTAGATGGTATTGTCACTATAAAACAATCATAATTTTTGAATGTCCAAAGTAGTTTACAGTTAGTGGATAATACGGAAGGAGGGTGTGTGACAATAAACTCAGATAGTTCTCAGATGCAATTGGAATTGTATTCAGTAACTATGTCAAATTGCACTGCCAGAGTCAGAGGAGGATGCATCCATTTATACCCAACGAAATTCAAATAGAGCATTCTATTTCAGGACTCACAATTCTACTTCTGTTAATCGTTGGGCTACTCCTTTTTAAGTAATCCATTCTTAGAATCAACTGATGAGCCCCTTATTGAGTTTTAGAACATTGTTGTGGGGGATAACAACTACAACAATTTTATCCAAAATGTACCAGATATCTCCTTACTAGATTAATTGCAATTAACTGAAAATTCTGGAATCTATTATTAACATACAGGAAAATTGATAATTCGAAACTCTATCTTTACTAATTTTCAATATGTAAGTGTCATTAAAGCAGTGGCCATGACTGATATATTCATATCTCAAAGTAAGTTTGCCTAAAATACGCTTTTCTTAATGCCCCTCTTAGATCTATCAATGACGCCTACCGCTACTAATCAAATTCAAATTGTATCATCTCAATTTGTAGACAATGAATCCACTGATATCAAATCAATAGTAAATAAATGTGACGGATTCATCAAAAAAGGGTTAAGTTAGTCATTACCTCAATAGACTTGTGACTAAATTATGTACTTAATAGACTTCCAGAATTACTTAAACTCAGACTAAGCTCTTTGGAATAGTGATATTTATCTGGAAAGTTATAATTATTTCAATGAGTACGATAAGTATGGTTCTGTCTATTCGACTAATTTTTATTTTGATGATGCTATTCAAATTGTGCAAAGATTCAATTAAACAGTGAACAATTCTTTGATAAATTGTGTCCTTTAGAATATGTTAAAGTATTAAATTATAATATCTATTTAGTTTGACTCTGTAAGTTGGACAAGCCTTAACAACCTCTATTATTAACATCAAAAGCTTATACAGCAATTCCTACTTGACTTTTGAAAAACTGACTATTGCATCCAACAAGTGTTAGAGATGCTATGGAGGTCTAGTGCAAATATTGGGAGTAAACGTCGACAATTAAAAGAACACTCATCTAACCCTAACTAATGTCAATTGCAAAGACAATACAATTGGCTATTATGGATGCCTATTAATTTAGCAATCATAAGATATAAGTGACTTTGTCCCAAATTAAAATTTGGCGGATTTGAAAGACTCTTAATTTTCCAACAGATTATTGCAATTACGTGAACACAATACAGTGTCTATTTAAAATTCAATGTTTTTATCAAACAAAGCTAGCGTTGGAGCTAGTGTTAGTATATTAGGTTTGAATGCGTTAGTAAAAGATAGTGTTTTTTCTGATAATTTCGCAAGTCTGGCTGGAGCAGGTGTTTACTATAAGAATTTAGGCGGGGATTAGGATACTTCCTTGTATGTCTACAATCTATCATTCCAAAACAATAAAGCTTAAGTTGGAGCTGCATTTTACTTAATCAATAAGGAATTAGCAGATGTAGATTCGCTATTAATAAAATTTGAATACAATAATGCTACCTTGCAAGCTAGTAATATCCAAGAGAATTCAAGAAGATAGACTATTTCAATGAATGATGGTTCCTATTGTAAAGTTGAGACCTATCAAAATCTAAGTGGGGATTAGAACTTTGATGGCAACATTGACAGTGTTAATGAAAGAATAAGAGAAAACATAACTCTGGATTACCATACCATTGGCAACTATCCAGAAAAGACCAACTTGCTTATTTTACCTTCAGGATAATCCATTAATACATACGAATACTTTTTGGAAGAAACCTAAGAATACATTCCATTTGAGTGGATATTTAGAGTTATTAATTTGAATAGATTTAATGAGCCCATAGTAAATGATTAAGATGGCGATAAGTGCTACATCTTTGGTAGGATATAAAAATTCTAAAATTATTCTGATAGCTTTTCCTTTACAAATAATTTCACAATTCCTAATGAGATGTTATTTAGCAAGAATTTAAGAGGTTATGTTTTGGATGATATGCAATTAACATTCGATCCTTATTTTGATAAGAACTATTATCTGGAATTGAAAAGTAATATTATTTAATAACTTAGTTAAATGTGATAAAATGGCAATTCCTGTATATGCTAGTCCTCCAGATTCTAGTCTTGTGGGGTACAATATGGGTTACGAATTGATGTTGAATGTTAGAACATTCCCTTGTTAAAAGGGAGAAGTCTATTAACTTGGTCGTTGTATACCATGCAGTCCAAAATTAAATCAATATTCTGTTATTATTGGAGCTGTTTTATGCGCCTAATTCAATTCTGATTATATGGTAGCTATTAAAAAGTCATCAATACGGTTGAAACCTGGCTATTGGAGACCTGATTACAATAATGATGAAACTTAGTTTTGTGAAAATTTAGATGCTAATTGCAATGGTGGTTGGGTTCCTGGCAATCCTTCTTGTTATACTGGACATATAGGAGCATTGTGTGAATCATGTGATCTCTATCAGATATTTAATGATGAAAGATACACTTAGACTCAAGCATATAAATGTGCCAGATGTGCACCAACTATGTAACTAAACTATATAGTTTTGGTGGCTACATCCATCACATCCTTTATTTCAATGGTCTTAGCAGTAAAAGGTAGTTACTTTTCATCAATGTAATTTATCATCGAAGACACTCTCGATAAGTGGGGAGTATTGTTAAAGAGTTCGGAGAGTGATTTGGCAGTTTTGATGAAAGTCCTTACAAATTACTTTTAGATTATTTAGTTCATTGCTTCATTTCAGATATCCATCCCTAGTTCTGTCAAACAGACAGCCAAAACAGGAGGTAATCCTACTGAAAGTACTACCACAGCTATGGATTGTCTTTATGTAATAATGTCAGATTTAGATGTATTATACTTTAGAATGGTCTGGGCATTCATCTAACCAGCAATATATTTAGTTGGTTTCTATATTGTCTATTTTGCTGGAATTGCAATCAAAATGGTCCCATACAAAATAAATATTATAACAACAGCCCTAATTTATTAGTTCCTCTATTTGTAGCCATCTTACGTTGAAGGTTTTATTGTTCTGGCCTCGTCTAGAACTGTAAGTGGCTATCCATATGTACAGAGAGATGTTGCTTATAGATATGATAGCGATATGCATTAATATTATCTCCTAAGGTTTATCATGCCTATGCTCATCGTCTGGGTCCTAATTCTACCTTTGCTATTTATGTTTTTAGTGTACAAGAACAGAGCCACGATCAATACCAAGTAAACTAAATTGATTTATGGGTTCTTCTATTTGGAATACTAATTGAATAGTTACCTATGGGAATTTGTTAAACTATTCTAAAAAGAATTCATGGTCATTATTTTAGCTTATTTTGAAGATTAAGTTACAGTTAAAGGTCTGTTACTTGTGGTAGTAATGTTTCTCTATGGATTCTATTAAATTCAAGTGTCTCCTTACAGTAATAGGAGACTCAATATGTTGGATAGATATTCAACTGTTATTTTATCAATTTCATTAGCCATGGGAGTTTTATTGAAATCATGCTAAGATCAAGAATTTGGGTATTTATTTATTATTGTGGCTGTAATCTTAATCTTAATTAATGTTCCCTTCCTTTTGTCCATAATATTTTGTATTTTTGAAGGGTACATAATTAAATTGTCCCCCGTTCTTGATAAAATAAGGGATGTCCTTAATGAAAAATACCCAGATTTAGGTCAGCAGCATCCATGGCTAAGACCTTATTTGTACAATAAAGCCAAGATGGCAATCAAAGTCAAGGTTTATTGGGCGATCTTAAGAGATGCTGTCAAAGATACCAATTAAATTTGCAAATAGCATGATGTTCAATTTAAAAAGATTTTCCCTCCTTATGCAAAATCTAATGAAGATGGCATTGATAACATTGATTATGTCTCATTTAGAGGAAAAGAAAAATTGAATGAAGACAAATTACCGTTAATTTAAGATTCATTTAGCCCTATCAATAACGAAAATCAGCAAATATAACAACCAAGTACTATAAGAGTTGAAAGTATGCATACCAATGGTGTAGTGCAAATAGGTTAATTTTTCACCTCATCATTCATCTCAAACTAAGCTCAAGAACCTGTAGCCATTACTGGTTAAGGAATTGAATAATGGCCCGATTAAACCTAATATTAAGGATTAATTGTTAATGGTAAAAAATAAGGGTAAGGATTGTTGACTTGGCCATAAAAAGAAAATTAAAAGCAACAAGAATTTTACAAAGGTGAATTCGATAATAATCTTTTTGATGGCTATGGAATTTATCAATGGAGTGATGGAAAAATTTATGAAGGAAGATGGAAACAAGGTAAGAGACATGGATATGGAAAATATTAAGGAATTAATCAATAGTACGAAGGAAATTTTGAAAATGATTTGTATTAAGGATAGGGAACATTAACCATTGGGGATAAGATAATCTCAGGAACATTTGCTAATGGTAAAATGAATGGAGAAATGGAAGTCTTGATTGGCAAAAAGAAAAGAAAAGGAATTTGGAAGGATGGAACATTTTAAAAATGGATTAATTGATATTTTATAATTTTAAATAAACAAATAAATCTATTTATTGGAATAATATATATCAATATTAATCTATTAATCAAAATAAAATGAAATTTATATAGATTTAACTTAATCATAAACCTTAATCGATCTTTCTTAATCTGGCTTCCAAATCATCTATAGCTTAATCATTATTATTTCTCTTTTGCTCAACAGGCTATTAAGGTTAAATTCCTGGTGTTGTCTAAGGAAATTATTGTTATTAAGGAGGTTAATATGTCTAAGGAACCTTCATGCTTTAACTTGCCATTATTTGTGGACCTAAACATATTAAACAATAAAGATACCTTAATTGAGACAGGCATAAGGATTTGGGGATCCATTAGTTTAACCGAATCCGCCATTAGATGGGTTACCATATTAATTAGGTGGTTAATTATATAATCCTGGTTACGGACCTAAATTTCCAAATCCATTTTAACTTGTTTAATTACCGCCTTATGCAGTTCCAAATCCACCTTAATTTTAAGCACCAAAGTTTCCTTGTGTTCCAAAACCTCCTTAAGGTTGGCTACCAAAACCTCCTTAAGGTTGATTACCAAACCCACCTTAAGGGGCGGTTGCAAAACCTTAATAAGGTTGATTACCAAAACCTCCTTGAGGAGGATTACCAAAGCCTCCTTAAGTTTAATTGCCTAAACCTCCTTAATTCGAGTTACCAAAACCTCCTTAGGGTTAATTGCCAAAACCTCCTTATGTTTGGTTACCAAATCCTCCTTAAGGTTAGGTGCCAAAACCTCCACCCATTCCGAAATCACCATATCCTGCTGGCTGTGGGAATGGTTCTGGATGAGATCCAAAAGGTACTCCAAAACCTTAGTTGGAAGGTGGCATAAATTATTATTATCCAAAAGGTTATTATTCTATTAAAATACCTCCTTGAGCTGGCCTTTAAAATTTGGAGCTAAATTAATGCCCTGAAGAATTTAGTTATTCTTCACTGAATCCATATTTTTCTGCAAACTTTATTGCAAACTCATTAACTTCATATGCGTCAGGCAGAGGAGTTCTATAGAGTTATTTGATTTTTTGATCAACATTTAATAATCTATTAGTGTCATTGAAACCAGGTCCAAAATAGAATATCATCAAATCTTTAAATTCCATTACTTGCTCTAAGTTCAAATTATCAGCGGCAAAGACGATAGTTTCTATGTATGGCATGATGTCAGCTATTTTAGATGGATCTCCTCCACATTTAAAGATTCGGATTGATTAATCCTTAACAATATCACAGTATCTAAAATAATATGAGATTAGTATACCTTACGACAGTGTTACAAGTCTCCAAAAATCTAACATCCAGAACCAATTATTGGAACTTCTGATACTCTTCTGCCATGATTCTAGTAGGACTACGCAACATCTCATTTAAAGCCTTTTCTTTCATTAGTGCTTAATTGGTTCGTCTATCTCGGTTTAATTCCACATAGCCTTTAACCTGAAATTAAAGAAAAACATACTTTTAGGCAGGCAATTTCAATTTAGAATTGAGTTATCTATTTAGTTTGAGGTGCTTTTTATTATTGAGTTCCCATTAATATAGATTTCTTTTAATTTGTTTAAAATATAAAATATTATCATTTAATAATTCAATTATTTAATTAAAACAGTATATTTGCCATAATATTAAAATGTATAATAATATATAACAGTTAGGAAGTTCCTCACTGACAAAGAAAAGTAATTATAGCTTTGATTTTAGTGGTAAATAGAAAAATAAAAAGGTTTTGAATCAAAAATAAGAGTTTGAAAAAAATCGAGAGGAAATTACATATCATGTATATATATTTTCCACTGAAATATAGAATCTCTATTTTCCTTATAATAAGGTCCATTGTGATAATTGTGAGAAGGATATTACGAGATAAGCAAGAATACTTTGTAGTGGGTGTCCTAATTCAATTGATATATGTATGAATTGCTTTTTAAATTTACATGAATTTGGTACAAATAATTAAATAAATTTAAAGCATCACATAATATTGGGCACTCCTATTCTATTATCAATAAATTAAATTTCCCAATATTTGTAGATGATTGGACTGCAGAAGAAGAACTATTGTTATTAGAAGGACTAGAAAAGAAAGGATTTGGTAATTGGCAAGATATAGCTGAAATGTTGGGCAATGAAAAATCATAAGAAGAAATAGCCTAACATTACGATGATATTATTTTAAGTGAAAAATTCAGAAATGTGTGTTTTATATAACCAAATATTATTAGATGACTCTCTTATCAAAAAGGAATTAAGATACATTAGAGCTAATAAAACCAAAAAGGTATTCGCACGCACCTAAAAGAATGAAAGAAGAATAAAGTATTATGAAGGGAGGGAGATTGACACCGAATATGGCATCGCAAAGTGGATAGGAAATTGTGGGGTTTATGCCAAAAAGAGGGGATTTTGATATTGAATTTGATAATGATGCGGAATTACTTTTGGCAGAGATGGAATTCAACGATGACGATTAGCCTTATGAAATTGAGATGAAGCTCAAAGTTCTTGATATTTACAATATTAGATTGGATGAACGTTTAAAAAGGAAAACTTTTGTAATTGATAGGGATTTGCTAAATATAAAAAAATAGAATAATTATGACAAGCAAAGAAGCAAGGAGGAGAAGGAGTTACATAACTTAATGAAACCGTTTTCAAGATTCAATAAGCCTGAGGATCACGAAAGATTTGTGTAAAATTTGATTAGGGAAAAATAATTAAGAGCCAAAATAGAGGAGCTTAGATTTTATAGGAAATTAGGGATTAAGACATTTGAGGAAGTGGAGGAGTACTTATCAAACAAGAGAAAGAAGGATGAGCAGTATCAAAAGAGGCAAAAATAAAATGAAGCTTTTGTTTATGATTCTCAAAAATAAAGATTTTTACAAAGGAGAACTAGATTTGTGCCTGTTATGGATGGGAAGGATAAGAACAAATAAGGACCTTCGTTTTGTGAAGAAGAATAATAATTATGTTAGAAGTTGGGATTGAGTGAATAGGAATATCTGATACTTAAAGAGGTGCTTATAAGAGAATCGGTGAAAAATGGGATGATCAAGAAGGATTTAGCTCTTTAAAACTTCAAGTTGGACAAAGAACGTATAACAGGTGTGTTTGATTATTTGATTGTTAAGGGATTAATTCATGATTAGGAATGAATAAATATTATTAATTTATATTACAAGTATTTTGAGTAAAGAATTTAATCAGATTTTATATATTGATAAATAAAAAAATGAGCATTTATTAAAAGATAAGGTCTGCCTCAAACGAATTCTTAAGAGATCTAAAAATAAATGATAATCAATAGTCCTTTATTATCGGGATGATATGTGGATATTTTTTGTAACATAATTCAGAATGTTCAATGACAGCATTAAAGGATTAAATTAAAGCTGTTCAAGAAATGATAACAAATGGCTTAGTTAAAGGAAAGTATTTTGATGATTTGGCCTCATCTCTAATAAGTAATCTTGAGAAACCTAGAAATTTCGATTTCTAATAAGGTGGAAATGGCACACCAATATTGAACGAGGATTATGATCAAAAATAAAATTTGTAATTCGAAGATCCAAATGAAGAAGCCACAATGGCATTAATAAAGAAATTGCAGGAAGAAGATTAGAAGTTCGCTTAGAAAAAATAGATTGAGGTTGAATAAGTGGATTGTCCTATTTGTTTCTCAAACTTAATGGAGGAAGATGTGATGCCATTGGAGTCTTGTGTTCATATTTTCCATATAAATTGTCTCAAAGAGTTGTTATTGCAGAGTATAAATGATAAGAGGAAATAATTAACATGTCCGGAATAGAAATGTGGGAAGGAAATAGCATTAAACGATATTTCACATATTGTGGGAAAAGAGAAGAAGGATGAATTTCTGAACTACACACTCAATAAGTTTGTTGATGATCATGCAGCTGACATGTCTTGGTGTCCAACTCCAGATTGTCAATATGCCTTTGTATTAGGAGACGACGATGATAATAATCAATTCGCATGTCCTTTATGTAAGAAACAATATTGTTTGAATTGCAGAGTCATTTTTCATAAAGGATAAACTTGCAAAGAGTATTAGATCACAAACACTAGAGATTAGAATGATGTGAAATTTGAAAAGTTTGTTAAAGGCCATAAATTCAAGATGTGCACAAAATGCAAGTTCTGGGTTGAAAAGAATTAAGGATGCAATCATATGACATGCAGATGTGGATATGAATTTTGCTATGTTTGTGGAGGAAAATATTTACAATGCGAATGTGTTGAAAAATAAAAATAATAATAATAGGAATTCTTAAGATAATAGCAACTGCGTATCTAGTAACAGAGGGAATTAAAGAAACAACAAAAAAAATCAGGTAAAGGCAGAAGATGATTAAATCAATATACAATTATAAAAACAATTTAATCATTAATATATAACTTTAAATCTCATTGACAAATAATTAAATTAAATTCATGAATAGTCTGAACAGTGTTCATATTGACAATATCAACACTACTGGATAACAGGACACTTCTATGTGTAAAAACCCTCAGGTAAATCAAGATTGCGATTCTTCTTCCATTATTCTGCTCAAAAAAATTGAAGCTCCAAGTCCAGATATCCCAGGTTTAGGGCAATCAGTTTTTAAGCCTTTTCAAAAATTAATCATTTACTATCACATTGGATTTTTCGTTAAAAAACTTCTAAAATTTATCAAACCTGATTAATAATTCAAACCAAAGCACTACACGTTAATTGATGATAAAAGTGCAGGCAACATCAAAGATTTTATAAACTATGCTGGAAAATCGAAAGCTTAAGTAATGCAATATCCAAGTCTAGAGGAAGTAAACTTTTTTGTCAGAATGAGGTACAGATATAGATAATGTATAACTAATTTCAAACAGAAAATCTTTTACTTGTTTGAATAAATCCCTTTGATAGACCCTTCATTTAAAATCAAAATCATATGGGATCTTCTATTGAATTGTTTCAGAATATACTTAATTTATATCATACCAATAATAATCACTTTTGAACAATTAATCGAAAATTATGATTTAATAATAATAATATCTCAAACAGTCTTTGCTATTGATTTCCTATTAAGAAACATTACAATCTACTATGACTAAGGCTTACCCGTAATAGATAGATATCAAATAGTCAAAAACCAATACCATATCACTAACCTCATTGAACTGCTTGAAATATTGTCTCTATTGGGAATGGCTTACTTTAAATTTGATTTCAATAGTCAATTTATTCTATTTGATGGTTGGCCCAAATTTTGGATGCTACTGTATTTTATACAATTAAAAAATCTATTAAATTTCATCGGGTCATGGCAATAATAATTTATAATGGGATAGTTGGCCTCTTCCTTAATAGAACTCTCTAAACTGATAGGCTTATTACTAATAATCTAACACATATTCAGTTGTATTTGGCTCATGATTGGAAGATATAACCAAATATCAGGCATTACAAATTGGATATCTGCATTTAATTTAGATAACGTGCCTTGGAGTGAATTGTATATCGAATCAATGTATTTCACTAGTGTTACCATGTACACAGTTGGCTACGGAGACATACATCCAATAAGTAATATTTTAAATAATAATTTTAGATATATCCGAGAAAATTTTCGCATTTTTATTTGTATTCGTTTGCACATTTCAATTATCATTCAGCTTAAATACAATTGGGGAGATCTTGACAAGAATGAAAAATAATAATGACATCATTAATAAGAAACTGATTTTCATCAATCAATACATGCATACGAAGAAAATCAGTCACTAATTATAATTTTAAGTCAGAGAATACCTTAATTACTATTGGTATTAAGAATAGACCCAATAGACCAAAGAATAAACTGATATATTAAGCTAACTATCTGATGATTTAAGAATGCAAATAGCAGTTGAATCTAATAGTGTAGTTCTGAAAAATTGTGAATTCTTTTATAAAAACTTTTCGAATGAGTTTTTGAATGATTTATTGAAGAACCTCTAATTTTAATCATTTTAACCATCCTCAACCATAAATATATTTAATGAAGTTGACTATTACATTTATATCATTGAATCTGGACAAGTTGATGTATATGCTAAAAACTAAGATAGGAGGGTTTTGATTGGAAATTTTACAGCAGGTGAATATTTTGGATTAAATGAATTCCTCACTAATTAGAAAACGTTCCAATATGAATACAAAAGTTCAGGTTTTGTAAGTACTCTTGTGATTCCAAAATCAAAATTCTATCAATTAATATAAAAATACTAGGTTGATTTTGAGACCTATTGGAATTTAAAAACCAATAATCATGTAGATATAAAATGTGCAATTTGTGATTCTCGAAGACATCCCCCAGAGTAATGCAAATAAGTTCATTTTATACCAGATAAAGAGAAGGTCATTAAATAATATAATTATTATCAATCCCAAGATAGAATTACATTCTCAAGAAATTCTAGAAGAATTAGATAATTATATCATGCTTAAACGGATCAGGAAATCTTAAGAGAGGCTGCTCAAATGGTAAAGGTTAAGAATGATAGTTAATTCTTTTAAAAGTACTAATATATTTAGGATGATACCACACGATTTGAAAGTCAAGGTAACACATATTTCCAATAATAGACATACTCACTAAGAAAGACATTGAATCGGTTGGTGTGCTCATAAAGGATCTTGAAAGTAAGTCATATTTCGATTTCTGTCAAAAATCTCAACTTAAGTCAGAAAAAGAAATTGCTGATGGGAAATTGAATTTGTCGTCGGAATTTTTAACTTTGAAAGCTCTTAAAGAGAAATTGAATCATAAAGACCTTTATACAGAGAGGGAATTGCAATAGATAGAGTATTTAATCTAATTGCTGGAATTAAAACTAAATCTAGAAGATAAAATAGAATTAGATAAGAAACATGAATATTAAACTTTTAATCAAAAATCAAATATCAACTTTGTATTAAAGAAACTAATACACCCTGTTCGGTATATCATGGCTTCAACTTCTAAGAGTTTAGATCAATATACTTTAATAAGTGGGAATAATTGGATGAAATATTTATTTTACCCTTATGATTTTATAAATTAGTATCGATTCAATATAACTCGATTGGGAATGCCTAGAAAATCTTTGGTAGTTCGATAGCAAGAGCATCGATTATCTAATGCATTATTACGAAAAAAACAACAAAATCGTTCCATTAAAAGATAAATTTAGGTATTTCCTATAAAATGAATAAAAATAGTACAAAAAAAGAATTATTATGTTATTTTGTTACTATTAAATAAATCTAATTATAGAAGTCATATTCTTTCAATAGAAAATGCAAATATCATTATTTAATTAAATTTAAATTAATTTATTTATTAACTTATAACATATGAAACAACAAGTCTCTTTTTTGGCTAAAAATACTTTTTCCAGATAAATCAATTAAGATGATCAAAATGAAATCCAGGATCGATCAGGTTATGACATTTTCAATATGGATGGTTAGAATAGAAAAAAAGAAAAGCTATCACCGATAGTTCGATCCAATTCTGGTCATCATGAATCCTTGATTTTACAATATACTAATCCTCAATAACTCATCACTCCTAAAAATGAGAATTATACTTAAAGACTTTAAATAGTGGCTTAGACTGATTCAAACAAGCAAACAAAATCATTTCGTAAATTGATTGTCTATTTCCATCAAAAAGACTTCATTAAAATGCTATTAGCTCCACAAAAATTAACATCATCCTTTACACTCAAACATTTCAATTTGATCAATGATTTAGGAGCATCCTTTAAATATTAAATTGGTAGATATAATGAAAACTAAAAAAGCTTGATTCATTAATATATATCACTTATTGATATAAGGATTTAATTAAGATTAAAATTTAGAACCTTAAAAACCTAATGCAAACATCATTTGTAATACATCCTTAATCAGATTCCACTAATTGAACCGATGAGCAATCTTAAATTTTTTTGGGATTTGATATGTTTTGCCATTAGAATATATTTAATTGTCATTATTCCAATACTAATGGCATTCCACCATTAAAATTTAATTGACAAACAATAATTTCCACTAATTTTCTTTTCGATTGCTTTAATTTTCGATATCATTATAAGGGCATTTACCGTAACTTATGACTAAGGATTACCTGTAAGAGATCGATATTTATTATATAAAAAATAACTAAATTTCTCAACATTATTGGAATTATTTAGTTTTATTTATACTATAATAATAAGTTTACAGTCTGATAACATTATAGAAAGAAATATAATTGGGGATGGTTGGCCAAAATTTATATTAGTTTTGTAGTACATATAAGTGGCCAATATATTAAAGTTTATAGACATATCTTAATACTCTTTCAAGCTAAGCCGAATGTCCACCTCAATAGTAGAGTTGATCAAATTAATAACCTTAATACTGTTGGTTTAGCATATTTTCAGTTGCGTGTGGATTGTATTTGGTATTTAAGGTTAAAATACATAATAACAATCGTGGTTAGACAAATTTGAACATGACTAGTGGTCATATTAGTTTCTATAATCTTTCTATTTTATTTGTGTCACTACATTTACTGTTGGTTATGGTGATTTGACGCCAAAAAGTAATAACAATCTAATAGCCTAGATCCTCCTGAGTAAATTTTTACCATCATTTATATGTTTTTATGTATGTTGTTGTTTTCATACACAGTAAACACTATAGGAAGTATACTAACACAAATTAAAGAAAGCAGCGACAAAATCAAGACAAAACTTACAGCCATAAATTAGTATATGCACAATAAGTAGATTAGTCCTACATTATAATTCAAGTATTAAACTCATATATTTAATAGAGTTCGAGAATAATTGTACTTCTATCTTAAATAAGAAGTTGTTCAATAGGTGAACGAATAATCTGAAATAATATCTATGTTACCAGAAGAATTATAACACAGCCTTAGAACAGAAGCAGCAAAATCCTTAATTAATAAATGTACCTTCTTTAGTGAGAACTTTTCAAATGAGATATTGAATTAACTGTTGGAAGATGTCAATTTTTAAATCTTTTAGCCAGGAGCCACAATTCAATCAAAAGATGAATTCTTCATTCACATAATTGAATAGGGACAGGTTGAAGTTTTGTATAAGAAAGTATTATTACTAGATTATCAATTAGAAATCTATATAAACTCTGGAAAGGTTTGATTATTTTGGACTTGAAGAATTTATCACTTAGCAATATAACCCAAACTTTGTTTTCAAAAGTAATGCATTCACTAGTGTACTATCTATTCCTTACTCTCATTTTCATAAAATTCTATCTTAGAATGATCTTGAAAACTAAAAGTTTCACAATCTATTATCTTCCTAATCAAGTATCTAAAACTATTGTTTCATCTGTAAAACCAAGAGACATACAACTTAATTCTGCTCTTAGGTTCATTTTATTCCAAATAGAGAAGTTGTTTTGAAAAGGTATCTCTTTAGAAAAAAATAGAAAAAACGAGTTTGGTAGGAAAGAAGAATTAGGTAATTGCAAATGAATGATGTCAATATAATAAATGGATAAAATTAACTTAAATAAATCTAATTTAAAAATGCATGCTAGAATTAAAAGATTGTAGAGTTCTTAGTCAATAAATTTTAAGTTGAAAATTAAATTGCTTTAGAAACCTTATTTCCAACAATTGAATAACCTATTAGTGTAGATAGTCAATCTGAATCTGAAAATGAAGATCCTGATGAAGTTAAAGATCAGAGTTTTTCATAATAATAATAATAGAATTCAAGGAGAGGAAGCAAATAAATTCCTCCTATTTCATCCAATGATTTGTGTTAATATTAAATTTTAGATAAATTAAAGAAAGAAAAGTAAAATAGATTAATACTACATTAATAACCCTAGTTATTGATGTCTTAATATGGATAAATTAATACAAACGCTAATATTAATATTATTATGAAATAGTAACTTAGAAAACTATTATTATGTAAACCTGGCTAGTTTGAATACTAAGAATAGAAAGCATAAATTTAAGAATTAAACTTTTTTAATGATTTAAAATAAAAAATGACTCATTTACATTTATTTCCTAAAATCGAATAGGAATAAATAGAATTTTGGTATAAAAAGATTGTAAATCTCAAAGAAGACTTAGTTGAAATGTAAGATTTTGAAACATTGAAAAATTACGAAATCTTTAATAGACAATGGAATGCTGATTTAGTTGTTAAGAAGTTAGGAATCAAGCAAAAGAAATTTAGAGGATTTAAGAAGCTTAAGAGATATTTGTTATTCCCATATCTTTATGTTAATAAATACTTAGATAAAAAGGATTCCAATGATCAAAATAAACCAGTAGAAAAATCAAAAAAGAAAAGTATTTATCAAATTTAAAAATTAGGACCTTCAAGACCCAAGGTTATCAAAAAGACGAGGGTGAGTCCTAAAATCTGATAATAATTTGTATATCAATCTATTTCATATTATTAATAATAAAAATGGGATAATGCAAATGTTTAGAGGCACAAAAATAATTAACAATTGAAGGGATACCTATTTACGATTCTGTAGACCAAGAATAGGATTACCAAATTTAAAGGATATTACAGCCTCTTAAATTATATGAAACTTTACCATTACCCTCTTATTATTCCTCCGTAGCAGAATCTTATGAGGACTTTTCTCCTGAAAAAAATATTCCTGAAGATTCTATGTGCACAGATTTTGTGGTTCCAAACATCGAGATCACTCACATCCCTGAAACTACCTTCTGCAAAAATTACCCTTTATCTGAAAAGGCATATTAACTTTAGGGTTTCGTTTATAAGGGTTAATGGAAAAAATTTGAACCATATGGTTTTGGAGTTTTTGTTTATAATGATGGCACTATTTATATTGGCTATAGTGTAAATTTTAGCCCTCACATTTATGGGAAGAAATTATATCCAGATGGTTCAGAATATGAAGGAGAGTATTTATATGGCTCTCATCATGGATAAGGTATTCTGAAAAATAAAGAGCTGACATTCTAGGGGATATGGTGCTCAAATGTGCCAGCGAAAGGGGAGGAATTATGGAAGGATGGCACCATTTTTTAAGGAGAGTACAAAGAAGGTAAAAAAAGTGGGTTTGGTTTTATGAAGTGGAAAAATGGCAATTAATATGAGGGTATGTTTTAGAATGATCAATTCGATGGTTATGGTGTGTATATATTTGCAGATGGGTTCATTTATGAAGGAGAGTGGAGGAATTCATAAATGAATGGAAGGGGAAAGTTAATATACCCTAATTCAAGTTATTTTGAGGGAGAATTCGCTAATGATAAATAAATTAATGGTTTTCAATATTCATTAAATGGACTTGAATAAACGGTAGCATAACTAAGTTTTAATTCTACAATAAGTGAAAGAAGTTACCTTAAAATTGATAGACCGAGTATTAAAGCATCATATATTGAATTTAAGAGTGTATGTGGTTGAGATTACTATATTTAATATTTTTTGTGTTAAAGAAAGTTGAGTGAATCATGAATAGCTCTTTAGAATAATTAGGTTGTTCTATGACTTATTGTATAGATGAAAATGTTGACTTAGTGAAATTTCCCTATTTAAGGTATTCGTCTCCATCAAAATTTTATTTATTATTATTAAATATTATAAGATCTAAATGGTGAATTGAGGTGCTTACAAGTTTGACTTACAGAAGTTCTAAAAATTTTACTGGAAGTCTTGTGTCCCCTCTATAAACTAATAATTTGATTCTATTAATAAATGCTTATATTTCAAAGTACAGTTAGCAAATTAAATTTAATAATTTATTACAGTAGTAAAAATTAATTGAAAAAGATTTAAACATTGCAAATATTTAGTGTTTTCAATATGTTACTTATGGAATATCAACTCCCTCTTGTCAGCTTTTGATTTCAATAGATTATAAATTGAAATTATCAAAAAATTAGAAAGAATCGAATCTAAAAAGTATAAAGAATTAATTCTTAAATATTTCACATTAGAATCACTAATTAGAATTAGTAGATTTAATTATTAAATAATGTAAGAAATCACTATTGTTTAGTTAATTCTTGTGTTTTTGTTTTTGTTTTTGTTTTTGATTTTGGTTGTTTATGTACAAATATAACATAAATCAAAATCATGTTAGCATTCCTAAGAATTATAGAACTGACTCATTCCGAAGAGTCTGTTTAAATTGTTAACGATTAGGATCTTTTCCTTTTTTCTTAATTAAAATCCATTAAATCTCTGAAGCTTGAATTTGATATAGAGTCTCCTACAATGATGTTTTCCAACCCATTCAAGCCTTCTATATCATATTCTTCTTTGAGTTAAGCTACAAATTCCTCATCTTCCATTATCAACTTTTTTAACTCTGATTTTTGATCTTCAGTAATTTTATTTTCAAAACATAAATGAGATATTAGTTTTAGGACTTCCTTATAGAATTCTGCCAATTCATCAGCCATAATTTTTAATTTAAATATTTATATTATATTTGCAAATTAGTTTAATGTTGCATCATAATATTATAAATAATTTGCATTTTATGGATAGTATGTAACAAATAATTTGAATGCTTTGTAAAAGCCAACGATCCAATAGAATCATTATATTGAGAAATAAATTTTATTTGAAAACTTGGATATTAAATAAATAAAAACAAATTTAACAAAACACTATGCCAATTCATCCAACTGCTCCTTTAACCACCTCTGTTCCTGCTAACTTAAACTATTCAACACCTGTTACATATGCCCAACCTCTAACATATGCTTAACCTGTTTAATACATTCCTCAACCTGTCCAATATGTTCCATAACCTGTTTTGACTTAATCAGTTGTAGCTCAACCTGTAGTTGCATAACCTGTCATTGCTGCTCCACAATAGCCAGCAATCAAAGGAGAATCAAGAGTAGAATATAGAGAATTCTAAAGACCTGTGGTCGAAATGGAAACAGAAACCATTTAAGTTCAAGTGCCAAAAACTAAATACGTGACTGATTATTATCCAGTCGAATATTAAACAGAGTATATTCCCAGAACTGTCTATGAATAATAAACTGAATATATCCCAGTCACTAAAACAGTCCCCAGAGTTGAATATGATGCAGTTGAGAGAGAAGTTCAAAGAGTGGTAATCTGATATTTATGACCATTCCCTAGTAATATTAACCCGTTTAAACAGTGCCAGTATAGACAGTGGCTGTCTAACCAGTCGTATAATCTGTAGTTCAACCTGTTTAACCATTGACTTATTCTATTGCCAGACCAGTTGCTTAGGCCCCTGTTTATGCTTAACCAGTTATCGCACCAGCTCTAACATATTCAGGTGTTAGACATGCATATGCTCCAGTAAAGAATTTATATGAGGTTATTTTAGAGTTACAATAGTGTTCCAACCTATGGTCAATTACCACAAACAGTCAGATCATAAAGATAACCAAATCCATCAAATAAACCATAATGAATATGAAGTATCATAATTTAAACAAAAATTTAATTTCATTTGCCTAAAATTAATCTAAATAAGCAAAAAAGATGTTCTATTGTCTAAATGACTATCTAAAATGATAAAGGATTTTTTTTTTGAAAGTTTTATTTTTATATCAACTCAATTAACTCTGAGATATAGCTAAATTCTCAAGACAATTGAATTTTATTTTTATTTATTTATTAATTTAACTATTCTATTAAAAATCAAATGATAGTATTCATTATAAATAAAATTCATCAATTATTGAAAATGATATTTTGTAATTTTCATTATTCATTTAGTTTAATTCTCTAAATTTGTAATCTACTACTCTTAGTAGTTATTTAGTAAATTCATTTACATTATTGCTTAAAAGTTATTTAATTTTTATTTTTGTTATAATTATTATATGCTTAATTATAATATTGTCTATATAAACCAACCTCTAATAAATATTCATTCAAAATTAATTAGATATGATTGACATTCCTCATCTTAATATATCCATTATTTAAATGTGTATTTTAGGTTCTAGAATGTAAAAAAGAAAGTATCAAATTAGAGTAAAAGTAATATTATGAGTTTATAAAAGATAATCGTTTAAAGAAATTGATTTCAATTTAATTGTCACACTGAAATATTTATAACTATCTTATGTAATTAATTAACATTTTATTAATCTCTAAACTTTGAGAATGAGTTTAAATAGTCCAAAAATATTTGGTAATAGATTCATATTCAAGAAAAAATTATCCCAGGGCTCATTTGGAATTGTATATTTGGTGCTTGATAGAGCAACAAATACCGAATGTGCTTTGAAGGCAGAAAAAGAAGAGTATGAAGAGTCTAAGACCTTAGAAAAAGAAATAGCCATGCTAATATAGTTGGATAATGTTATTGGTATCCCAAAGTTGATATGGCACGGTATTGATGGATAAATATAATTAATGGCGATAGAATTATTGGGCAAGGACTTGGCTTATTATTTTAAATAATATCGGAAATTTTCATTGAAATGTTGTTTGCAAGTTTGTTGTGATTGTTTGGAAATTTTGAAAAATATTCACAAAAAATTTATAATACATAGAGATTTGAAACCAGAGAATATTATGATGTCTAAAGAATTAGATTAAATATACATAGTCGACTTTGGCATAAGTAAGATATATTTTGAAGCTGATCATATGTAAATATTGTTCTTAACTAAGTTCCTTAAAGACCTTTCAGAGAAGACAAAGACTTTATTGGCACAACAAGATATGCATCAATTGCTGCTCATAAAGGATATGAATTAGGTAGAAAAGATGATTTAGAGTCTCTTATTTATGTGATAATCTATTTTTTAAGAGGCAATCTTCCATGGTAAAATATGCCTGTGGAAGATTCCGAGAGAAACCGTCTAGTGGGAGAAATGAAACAAACAATTCCATTATAAGAGTTAATTGGAAATAAATTACCAGAATTAATTAAAGCCTTGTCATATATTAGAAAATTAAAATTTGAGGAACAACCTGATTATGAATATATCAAAAATTTAATTGAAGAAGCAGCTGAAAATAATAATATTAAATTAGATGGCTATTATGATTGGAATGAAGGTGTCAAACTTAGTAAAAAGTTATCAGAATCAAAATTATCATAGGATAAAAAGGAATAAAATTCACCAAAATAATTAGCTAATTGCACATCCAAAATATCAAATCAAGTTATTTGGTCACTCTTTGATAACTCCATGTAATTTCCTTATTAGAAAATAGTCCTTAATCTCAAAAGAATTTATTAGCTCCCCCAGATACCAAATTAAATAGAGGAGAAGTCCGTCATTTAACTAGTTCTTCTAATAATTCTTTTTTTATGGGTTCGCACAGTTCACTGAGATTGAAGTACTTACCATCTTAAATGAATAAGAAATCTAATTCTGTTTTAAAGAGAATGGTTTCTATAGAGTTTATATCCAATTAAGAATCAATATTTAATGAATAAATGGATGAAAATTTTGAAGATTACCCATTGCAATTAAAAATCATGTAAGCAAATTCAATGCAGAATATGTAAACATTTATTTGAATCTTAGAACATTCAAAAAACTTAACAAATTTAATCGTTCTTCAAATTAATCAGATTGATTAGTATATACTTTAAAAATAATATATATTTTTTATATTAACTACAATTCCTGTAGAAATGCTGAGTAGAAAAAAAATTTATTTATTTGATTAAATATGTCATAATGCTCGTCTCAAACAAGATTCAGCAAAACGTTAATATATTCGTAAAATGTAATCATAAAATTGCTTTCCATATACATTCATAATCAATTAGGAAGAATATCATTTCTAATTTATCTTATCTAAAGCAATTTTAATTAACAGTTTAATGATAATTGCAGTATTTTTATCAATAGCTACTTTGTTAATTTTTCTTCTAGCAAAATGTTATTTAGTCCAGCACAAATAATACCTAAGAAATTTATAACTTTTCTGTGAATGAACTATATTAAACTATTTGATTGAGCTTAACTAAATTCTCACTATCTGTTTCAGACAATTATTTGTTTTGATTGATTTATACTACAAAGCTAATTAATTCTATTAAATGATGAAGTTTATTTTGTATGCATTTCTAAAAAATTTAATTCTACTAATCTTTTTTCAACTTAATTAGCTCATTTGATTAGAGGAAATTAATTTTAAGTTTGCCTTTACTATCAACTTAAAAAACATTTTCATTGAAATAATTCTGGTTGAGAACAGAATGTTCTTAAAGACAATAAATTATGCAGACACTCTCGATTAATTTCTTTTACTTTTTAATAGAAAGATTCTAAAATTCCTCTCCTTAAATCTTCTTATTTAAATCCTCTGTTTTTTAATCAAATTAATAGCAAATTTTCTTTTTAATATCAAATCCCAATTGAATAAATATTTTCTTCAATATTTTTTATTATTTAGGCGATAATTAAAAAAGAAATCCGTTAATTTATTGTTATAATTGACTAAAAGAGTGCATTGATTCTTAATTCAATTCAAATGTAAATTTCTTATTGTATTTCCTCTTATATAAATTATTCTCATAGAAAATTTAAAATAGAATTTAATTATCCTACTCCTCCTTTAATACATTAATAAATATAAAGGGCTAGCATTATTTGTATTTTTGGTCCAAAGCATTGAAATTCCTAAACATCATCGGACTTTAAAATTCCATTTTATGTAATTCATTTTTTATCCAATCTTAATCCCTATTTAATTTCGCTTCTCCTTAGAATAGTCTATACTTTATTTTTTGAAGGTCAATTCTAGAAATAAATGCTCGTATTTCTTTTTAAAATTCGTTAGAATAAATATAATTTTCAGATACTCCCCATTTTATTTATTTGTATTAAATATACAAATTATCATTTCTTAAGAAAAATTAAGTATTTTAATCTTCATTGTTTAATAGATAATTTCTCAATTATTTGAATTATTTTCTAATTCTATTACTTAATTTAAACTGAGTTGTCATAACATAATTACTACGATTTTGTGTAATATGAATCTGTACATAATATCTAGAACTATTATCCAAAATCTCTGATTATATAGAATCAGAATAGTTAATAATTAGTATCTCCTTACTATTAAATCTTAATTGTTTCTAACAGCCACGAATCAATTTATCTTTCTCATCAAATAGTTGTGTAGTTTTATCTAGCTTTTATTCCTTCGGGATTTCTTCATAGATGTTCTTCAATTAATGAGTTTAAGCCATTTTTTATTTTTTTATTTTTAATTATTATTCTTTAAGAATTAATTACTGTACAAAAGCCATTCTCAAACAATCTCAATCTTGACAATAACAAGGATATTTTGTGTTGATATTATTTAGGATTTGACAAAAGATAGCTATTTAGAAAGATCATAAGCGAACTAAAAAAAATATTAGGATATGTTCACTTATTCTTCTTTATATTTTGGGTTAAAATTTCAAGTGTCTTTTAAGGTCATATGGAGGCTAGGATATTCTAATCACCATCGTAAAGCATCTGGATAGCACAGAATTTTTTATATCTAACCTTTTAAGTGAGTTATTTTTTGTCAAATTAGATATATATTAATTAATTTTTTTATATGAAGACATAGCACCTTCTCATTTAATTGTTAATATTTACAACTGTCTAAGCAATAAGTATATAGCTGTTATTTGATCCTTGGTCTTAAGAAAGATTTGAAAGAATGTCAAGAGAAAATGCAAGATTGTTTAATCCATTATTATAAGTATTGAATAGAATTGATTTCATAAGAGAAGCTATCTCAATTTTAGGGATTTTGAGTTCGTTAATGTATTTATTCGGGTATCGTATATGTACTATATGAAGATCAAAGTTCTTTGGGCAATTGACTATTTTGTGGTTGGTTTGTTATTGGGTGATATTCTTTAATTTCAATATCTTGAGAAGTGAAAGATTTTTTGCTTATGTATTACCTGGGACATTTGGAATATGTGCATTTTCAAATACACTCTTAAAAACATTGTGATCAATTAATATATAACGTTAAAATAATTAGAAATATTTTAAATTTATGATCCCTCGCAAGTCATCCATGTCTAAGAAAACTATTGGGCAACCTAAATTCATCTTAAAAGAAGATAATATTTTAGATTCATCATATTTGGAGATGTATTAATAAAATAAAAGTCACAATCCTGGTTAGAGACTACAATAAATACTACAAAAATAAATAAATTAGTCATAAAAGAATAAATCAGTAGAAGATGATAGATTAACTAGATAATAATTTATTAATAGAAGCTAATAAGTGGTACGTTAAGATTTAGGATCATATACTCCTTAAAATATATCATATGATGATGTAGATTAAAGAGAAGAGAATAAATAGTTAAAATGTACTCTAATATTAATATATTATAGAGTAGATAAGAAAATTACAATTAGAATTACAGTAGAGTAAACATTAAAATCAATTACTAATTCAAGATTTCGAATAATTGAGAGATTAATTAGAAAAACAATCTGAAGAATTCAATTAAGCCTTCGAATTGATAAATGAGGAAAAATAGTTAATCCAATAGGAAATTGATTAGAAAGACTAGATAATTGCTTCGTTAAGATAATAATTGGCTCCTCCCAGTAAAACTTAAATGCAGATAGATGAAATCAAAAACAGAATATTAGCTCGTAAATCTGTACATAGAAGTTCTAGAGAAAACATCACTCCATCGATGAATGAGATGGACCAATCAGCCAGATAAGATTTTAAAGAAAACTTCATGGATTTCAATAATCGAATAACCCTCTAGAAATCTATTAAATGAATTCATTAATTAATATAAAACCCCTATGATATATTTCATTTTAAAATATTATAAAAACAATCAACTTTTTAAAGAATTTAAAGGATTTTCAGGCTTTGTCTCTGAGTAGAATTCCCATTACTTGTTTTTCACTCATTTACAAGACTAGTTAATAGTGATGAATTTCGCCATAAAGTTTGATAGCTAGAGTTTTTGGACTAGGAATTTCATTAAAGATGGTAGGCTAATTCATATCGATATAACCGATGCATTGTTACTGATCATTTTAAAGGGAAAACAATTTCCATTCTTTATTTATTTCCTTATTCATCCATGGATTTAAGTCAGACAATCTAAATGTGAAATGAGTAATTAATGGTAAGACTTAAACATCTAAATTTTATTACTTCAATTTTGATAAAAATTATGGTGATTGATTATCATCGAATTCAGGAATAGTGAATTCTAAATAGGTTTCTTCCATTCGCATCATTAATATTTTTTAATCCTAATTAATAAGATTTTCCTTTATAATGCCCTCTAATCTCTCTAGCTCTTTTGACCAAAATAAGTAATTAGTCAAATTAAATCTACCATTGATGTGAAATTTTAACAAGGAGATTTTCCCACTGCAATAATGCAAATCCTAGAGTCCCAAAGTTTTTCTTAAGTTTTTGGTATTTTATGGAATGTCTGCAAAGTTTCCATCTTCATCAAGTATACAATCTTATTGAATAATTGTCTTGATATTCTTTTTATTTAATGCTTCTTTTAAGACACAAAATAGTCCATAATCATTTACATACTTACCAGCACATAGAGCATTTTATATTAACAATTCATTAGATTACTACAATTCTTAAAAATCCAAAGGCTCCATAGTTTTTAAATAGAAACTCAAGTCCTTATGATGCTTTTAACCTAAAAATAAAATTCCTTTTTTATTGAGTTTTATTTTATTTGAAGATGGAACTATAGGAGTCTTCAGATTTTCATCATTCTATTTATCTAAGGGGGCCAAATCTTTCAAAAGATGATTGGTGATGATCCTCTCTTTTTGAGATTGGGATGCTTCAATATTTTTAGGTAGCTCCATAGTAAATCTTCTGCTCTATTATTCTAATAAAGGATATTGGGAATAATAAACTTTTTGATTCTTCCAAAAGCTTGGACTGATGCACAGAAATGCTCATCTTTCGTTTGCTTATCTCCAATGAATTTAATATTTGTTGGAATTAATCATTCTCATCACTTTATGACATTATTATTATATAATCATTTTTATAATGGTATACCTTATATTAAAAATTGTCTTCTTCTAGGAGTAATAAAGAAATTAATTCCCGTAGTGGCATTACTTGATTTAGGAGAGTACAAAGAAGACACCTATTAATTTTGACTTAAACTCCTGGAAGATTTAATCTTTTGGAGTTTGGAAGAATGAACAATGGATCGATACTCTTATAACAATTTGGATACTGAGGACATAATCTAATTCTACTCTTGTTATTCCTTCTTTTTTTTTTGGCTTGATTTCCTTTATTAATTTATTTCCAAATATTCCACACTTTGATTAGGGGAGATTTTATTGAATTTGATTAATATTTGTCTGTTCTATTGTTATTTCTACTCAAAATCTAAGTTGTCTACATAATTCGATATCCTTCTGATAGAACTAGTTTAAACAGAGACAGTTTTAGATTCTTTGATCGTATTAAGTAATTATTAAGTATCATTTTGAGCGCAATTGGACTTTTTTGAATTTAATTCCTTTTATTGTCTAAGCTATTCCATTTTTATTAATTATTCCAATCTTTTGGTTCTCCAAATCCGTTTTTAAATTGATTATTCTTCATAGAAATGTTTAAGTTCTATTCTTTGCTCCAAGAATCTATAAATAATTTCTACAATTAAATAATTGACTACATTTTTAAATAGCATAAACCTCCAATTTGGGAGATCCACATTTTACTGTGCTTTAATTAATTTGCAAATCATCTCCAAATGCTTAGCCATAATCAATTCTAGATATCAGATACTGTTGCCCATTTTTAATCATCATTAATTCAGCAAATCCAGATGAAACCACATAAATTGAAACATTCTCAGATCCTTATGAAAATATGATTTGATTATGATGAAATGTTTTAAAGTGAAATTCAAAACTTAAAGCCCTGAGTTCACTGTCTGTCCAAACTTCAAAGAGAGAGCATTGTTTAAGCAATTTTATTTTGTCAAGCAAAGAAATGTGTTTCCCAACAAATTTCCAAAAATGCTATTTGTCCATACAAGCAAATTCGCAATCAGTCTTACAAATAATAGTTGATGACACCATTCCTTCGTCAATCAGAGCGAGATCTCCAAAGTGATCACCCACATGGAGTTCTTTGAATACGTAACTTTAAAATAAAGTTGAGTCTTCGTAATTAGGAGTGCAATCCTATTGTTGATTATAAGGTCTTACTTTTTCGTCTTGGAGGAGTCTCAATGCCTTTTTATTCTTGGGGTTGTAATAGATGAGTGAAACAGTTCCCTTGAGAATCAAATAAAACTTTTAGCCCAAGTCTCCTTTTCTTAGGATGATATCTCCTGGTTTTCTGATGGTTAGATAGAGGAATTCACAAAACTTTTGAAATTTTTAGAATCCCTCTTTTTGAATCATATCTCGACAATAGTTATATTTTTATAAGCTTTAAGCAATTTATGTTTCATCTTTTTGAGTTCTGTTTTTGAAACTTATTATAGTAATAGGATTACGATTTGAGAAGTGGAAATTTCGGTATTTCTCTCTTTCGTATGATTATTAAAAGGAACTTAACAAATTTGTATAATTTATGAATGGAATTTTTATTCATTTATATTAATTAATGCTGCCATTTTGGTACATGCTCGTTTTCAAAACAACAGAAGTTTTAACGATATGAATTTAAATATATACTAATTTCATCAGAAATTGTTGCTTTTATCAAATGTTTGATTGCCTGAATCCCTTCTTCGAAGTATTGGCGATTTGGTGGAAGCAACAGAACTCATGTATGATTGAACTATGCCTTTTCTCACTTGTGAATGATCTAGTTAATATTCTATGGAGGCCTTATCGTTTTTCTTAACAGTGGACTGATATTACTAATAAGGATTGATTTATTTGGGTGAATTGAGTTTTGAACAGCTAGATTTTTGAGATTTACTATTAACCTTAATAGGTTTTATGTATTCTAGAAACCAGGGGTGCAAGAGAATCTAAGTATAGAATATAAATTTACTTCAGCTGCTGAAATACGATCTTCAGGATCGAACTGTAGCATTTAATACAACAGATCTTGCAGATAGACATCAGTGATGGAATTGAAATTGATGTTACATTGCATAATCAATTGGAATAATTCTTTATCGTTTTAGCCTTTGAATGGGAAGTAGCCTTGAGTTAAGTAGAAGATGACAATCCCAAAGGCCCAAATATCAGCAGGAGGACCTTTGTAATATTGCTTAGTAACAATTTCTGGGGCCATATAACTAGGAGTGCCGCAATAGATCTTCTTTTTGGTTGAGTTGGAAAACAGAGTAGAGAAGCCAAAATCAATCAATTTGACTTGGCCATCGGAGTACAGAATGTTCTCGATTTTGACATCTCTATGAGTAATGTGTCGAGCGTGCAAATAATTGAGTGCTGATGCTATTTAATATAATGCTTATTTTAAATTATATCCTTTTAAAGTGTTTAATTATTTTCCATCTATATACTCCAGGAGTAAATTGATATGATTGTTTGTTTCGATTACATTGTAAATATTAATGATATTTGGATGTTTGATCATTTGCAGTATGCGAATTTCACGAAGAATGGACTTTTAACGACTAGAAGAGATGGCAGATTTATTGTAAATTTTAAGAGCATAAGATTTGAGGGTTAATTTGTCTGCACATAATCTGACACTGGCGTAGGAGCCAGATCCAATTTATTTACCAACCATATATATTTCTTTAAATGCTGCTGTTCTGTCGATTATAGATTCTTTGAATAGTTTTAAAGTTAAATCTTATGAATTGCATTTCCATAGAGTCTCGTCAAAAAGGGGATCAGGTGCTTTCAACTTTGGTTATTTTGGTATTTGGTAATTTTCAATGATGGTGAGTTAGGACGAGTTGTCATGGTATCGATTTGAAATTTTGCTATCTCTCCTTCTAGTTATAACCTCTTTGATAACAAAATATGTACAACCTGTTAATTTAAGTTCTCCTTATTCTATGGTGAAATAGATCTCCTTGAGAATTATTTCCAAAGCATACTTTCTGTTAAAATGATTAAATAATTTATATAATGCAATATATATATATATAAATCATCTCAAGTATTATGATTGAAAAGCAAAATAAATTTATTAGTGGTGCTAATTTTAATGCTAAGAACACTAAGACAGTTTAGTTCTATTTTTCACAAAGTTCCTGTAAGATTGTTTTCAGGTGCAGTAGAAGTTACTCCCAAAGATGTACTAATATTAATTGATTGTTCTAGGATGTATTAAAAATCTTGCATTCAGAGTCAAGAGACATTTTCAGAAATGTGGCCATCATAGCCCATGTTGACCATGGAAAAACAGTAAATGATTGATTCTATTTGAAAAGACTCTTGTTGATGCTTTATTACGAGCTAGTGGTTGTGCAAATGAATATGATTCAATGGACAGCAATGCATTGGAAAAAGAAAAGGGAATTACCATTCTATCTAAGGTAACTGGAGTTACTTTTGGAGGGAACAAAATAAATATAGTGGATACGCCAGGACATTAAGATTTTGGAGGAGAAGTAGAGAGAATTATGTCAATGGTTGATGGTGTATGTTTATTAGTTTGTGCAACTGAAGGACCTATGGCTCAAACTAGATTTGTCTTATAAAAGGCCTTGCAATCAAATCTGAAACCAATTGTCATCATCAACAAAGTAGATAGGCCATCAGCCAGACCAGTAGAAGTCGAGCATGAAATTTTCAATTTGTTTTGTGATTTGGAAGCGCCAAGTGAATCACTTGACTACCCCTTGTATTTTTGTTCAGGCAAAGAAGGTTGGGTCAGAAAAGGGTCCATGGAAGCAGAAAAGCAAGGATTAGAAGATGTATTGGAAACCATTGTAGAAACTATTCCACCTCCCTAAATTGGAACTGAAAGCAATTTCAAAATGTTGGTTTCATAATAAGAAAGTCATCCTTACTATGGCAAAATAGTAATCGGTAAAATTCATCAAGGAGAAATCAAACTCAATGATAAAGTCTTGGCAGTTGACTAATAAGGAAAATTGGTTGAAACTGCTAAGGTGTTGAAAATTCTAAGAAGATATGGAATGTAACAATTAGAAATGGCAAGAGCTGTTGCTGGAGATATTGTCTAAGTAGCAGGATTTACTAATGCAATTGTTACCAACACTTTAAATGAAATGGGAAAAAATGAAGTTATTCCATCCATTCCCATTGATCCTCCTATGATTTCAATATCTATTGGAGTGAATACTGGACCTTTAGCAGGTAAAGAAGGATCCAAACTCAACGCTTAATAAATTAAGGAGAGACTCATGAGAGAAGGATAAAGTGATGTTGCATTATAAGTGATGGTGAAAGATAAATCAGATGACAGTGCTTGTGTGTAATTGCTAGGAAGAGGAGATCTTCATTTGGCCATATTACTTGAAAATATGAGAAGAGAGGGATTTGAAATGCAAGTTTCACCACCTTAAATTGTTACTAAGAAATGTCCAGATACTGGCAAAACCTTGGAACCAATGGAAAAAGTGACCATCGAAATTGATTAACAATACATGACTGGGTTAATTGATAAAATGTCATAAAGAAAGGCTCTTTATGAAGATTGCATTAATATTGATAAAACCAGAGTTAAATTAATATTCTCAGCACCAACTAGAGGTTTAGTCGGTCTGAGAGCAGAGCTAATTAATGATACCAGAGGAACTGCTATCATGTAACAACAATTTTTAGGCTACTAAGAATATAGAGGAACCTTGAAAAAGAATTTAAAGGGAGCTATTATCTCGATGGCTGCAGGAGTTTGTCAAGGTTATGCTCTTGAAGATATTCAAAAATTCGGACCATTGTTTGTCAAACCTGGATCCAAAGTTTACGTTGGCTAAGTTATCGGAGAACACAAATTAGAATAAGATATCGAAGTCAATCCAATCAGAGAAAAGAAATTAACTAATGTTAGAACAGTGTTAGCTGATGAAAAGATCAGTTTGTTTCCTCCTAAGATTTTCACTCTAGAAGACATCATTGCTTATATTAGAGACGATGAATTAGTCGAAGTCACTCCAAAGGATCTCAGAATTAGAAAAAGAGAACTAGATTCTACCCTTAGAAAAACATAGCGTAAAAGCCAATAAAAATGATTAATAATGCGTATTATAAATTAATTTTTTACAAAATGGGAATATGTGCATCGAAGAAACAGAAGGATGATTTGGCCTTAAAACCAAAGCATTGGCCAAGCAGTCCAGGCCGTAGGCATACTGGTAACAGTTTTAAATATGGAACTGATCTTTACATCAATTTAAAAAATGGGTAGATTGACAATTACTACATTTTGGGTGATGTTCTTGGAGTGGGAGCCTTTGGATAAGTAATTAAAGCGACCCACAAGCAGAGTGGACAAATTAGAGCGTTAAAAACTTTGGCTAAAAAAAAGATAATAAATGAAGAGAAGGATAAAATGTTTGCAGAAGTTAACATACTTCGAAAATTAGACCATCCAAACATCGTTAAACTTTTTGAACTATTTGAGGATACCTAAAACTATTATTTAATCACTGAGTATAAGCTATATCATTAATTTTAGACTTATCCAAGGGGGCGAACTTATTAAAAAAATACAGGCACAAAATACCTTTTCAGAAGCCGAAGCCGCATTCTATATGAGATAACTTCTATCAGCCCTGCAATACTGCCATAAATCTAAGATAGTTCATCGAGATTTAAAATTAGAAAATCTTATGCTGAATACAGATTCAGAAAAACCGGTTTTGAAAGTTATTGATTTTGGAACCTCCAGGAAAATCATCCAAGAGAAATACCTTACATCTAAATTAGGAACTGTAATTAAATAAGTTTTACATTTATAGCCCCATTACACTGCCCCAGAAGTCTTTAAATAATAATACACTGAAAAATGCGACATATGGTCTTGCGGAGTGATTCTGTATACATTACTGTGCGGGTATCTCCCCTTTAATGGAAATGATGCAAGGATTACACAGATGATGATTGAAGCTAATAGGTGGAGTTTCGATAAGAATGATTGGGCTAATATATCCCCAGAAGCCAAGTCATTTGTCAAAAAACTTATGACTTACAATCCAGAGAAGAGAATCTCAGCAGAGTAAGCATATACGGATCCTTGGCTTCAAGGACATATCACTAACACAATAGATTCAAGAGCTTTAACTCGGTTATAACAATTTTATGTAATTAATTTAAAATCTATTTTTAGTAATCTCATATTATATAAGAATTAATTCGTCAATTTATAACCTTTTAAGTTCTAACCCCTGAAGACAAGGCGAAGATCTTAGAAAATTTTCAATCTTTGGATAAGGATGGAGATGGTAAAATAAATAGAGAAGATTTGATCTTTGGGTTAAAACAATCAAAGTTAGATGAGACTGAGATTGAGAAATAAGTAGATAGAATCATGGAGCAATGTGATTTCAATAAAACTGGATCTATAGAATACAATGCCTTTCTGAGTATAATGATCAGATAGGAATTATCGGAGAAAACTCACAAATTGGAGGAAGCCTTTAATTAATTTGATATAGATAATGATGGTCTTATCAAAAAGTAGAATTTAGAGGATGTTTTGGGTGGAATAATAATTGATGAAACCCATTGGGAAGAAGTACTAAAAAAATGTGATTCTGATTAGTAAGGAATGATTAACAAAGAAAACTTTGTTAAACTAATGTAATAATTATGAACATTAAATAATATTCATTTATAACCTATTTGAATTTTAACGATAATCGATTATTTTTAATTCAAATGTTTATACTTTTCATCACATTGCTGTCAATCTTTGGCAAAAGGATAAATAAGGAGGAAATACACATTGAGGAACCTGCTGTTATGAAACATGATGATTAAAAAGGATTCACAATAAAGATTCCTGGAGCAGGAACAGTAAATTTGGTTCCATCAATAGGAACTGTGAGTTTTGCCATTGAGGTTATGGATGAAAATGCAAGTTCTGCCCTTGAGAAAGCAAATCAATTAGTTACATAGGCAATTTAATCAATTAAGTACGACTTGTATTCTACAAAATACGAAATACAAACTGGAATCTTTTAACTTTAAATTCGATATGACTATTCAAATAGTTAATAGAAGTTGATTGGATACACAGTCACTAATTAGTTATACATAACAACAAAGGACATGCAATTGATTGGTAAAATAATCACAGTTGGAGTGAATGCAGGATTGAATAGAATAGACGGAGTCACTTATTAAAATAATCAAGAGGAAATATAAAAAGCAAACGACCAAGCATTGAAATTGGCAATTGAGGATGCGAAGAGAAAAGCACTTTAAGTAGCAAATACTTTGAACATGAAATTTGTTTAAATTTTGAAATTCAAATATTTGGATTCTTATGGTAGTTCAGTTACTAATGGTTATGAACCATAAGCAGGAGCTGTTGAGAAGGTGAGCAAAAGTACACCGACTCCAATTTATGCATCAGAAAGCCATGTGAGAGTGGACATCGAGTTGAAAGTGAAATTAGAATGACTTTAAATTATAATAATAAATTGTGATATTATCAAATTAATTATGTTCGTATTATAATTTATGTTATTATTAGCAATATTGATATCAATAAGTTTGAGTCTAGAATTGCCAGAAAAGAAATGTAACATCACAGCCACAGGTATAAGTTCAAAGTAAGCTTCGTAATTTGAACAATTATTGAATCGCATTCGAAATGAAGTGGCCACTGGCCGAAGAGCTAATCATAAAGGTTAAATCCAAGCGGCAGCAGATATGCATATGATCACTTGGTCTAAAGATATGGGCAAGAAGGCTTAAGAATGCTGTGATACCTGTCCTGAATATCCGATATTCTGTAGAAATGTAAAGTTTGGTCTTCCATATCAAGTTGAAAGGCTTGACTTCATTTATGATCCACAAAACTATAGTTCATACATAAAAATGGGAATGGGACCCAGAATTCGTATTAAATGAATGGATGGAAGCTTTAAGCTCAGCATAATAATTACTCTAATCAATGTTATTTCAAGTAGGATGTGGCAGAGCCTTGACTCCTGTCAAAGACAAATTCTTAATGTATACAGTTTGCTTTTTCGATTATGTAATAAACTTATCATGAGTAAGTGCAGCCAAACAGGCCAGATCCATACAGGCCAGCTCCTTCAATCAATATAGCTAGTTCCTGTAGATTGGGAAGATCGTCTAGCCATCTTGGACTTTGTACTTCACCTTATTCGAAGGATAACCAACTCATTTGGATCAAATAAGAAAGCAGATTAATAGAATCTGAGTGATTAATATATACATTAAGTAAATTATGTTTATTTTCGTTATTTAAATTTGAATGAAGCAACCATTACAAAGTCGACTAATAATTCAGGATGCCAGAAGAAAGAATTTAAGTGCCATTGCCCTTCTGGATCCATCGCCAAAGTAAGTCACCATAAGAAAGGCATCGATAGGAGCATTCAAGAATAAAGAAAATATTAATATTAATGAAACATAGAAGTAGAAAACTCCTCAAAATGCTACTACCGAAGACATCAGAAAATAAATAAGCTAGCTCATTAAAAGAACAACTCAATAACAGAGAACTAAATTAAAAAAAATAGACATTGTTTGTGAAGAATAAATAGAAGTCAATGATAACTAAGATAGCATTTTCGATGAATTCACCCTCAGACTATTATACTAAAAGGAATTAGAGTATAAAATACATCCATCTTTTTTTGATCATCAGACAAGCATTACACCCATTATGAGATCAATCTTATTCGACTGGATTAGTGAAGTTTGCAAAGAATTTACTTTAAAAAGAGAAACTTTTCATCTTTGTGTACACAATCTAGATAGATATATGTCCAAAATTTAAATCTCCAAATAAGAACTTCAATTATTAGGTTTAGCAAGTCTATCTATTGCATGCAAAATAGAAGTATCTTATCAATCTATAATAGGAAATCTATCCCCCCAAAATTAATGATTTCTCTTAAGCCAGTAATTATAGCTTCACTGAATAACAAATCATAGAGAAAGAATAGCATATGCTCACCTAATTAAAATGGTTGATTAATCCTCCAACTCTTTATCTTTGGAGCACTTGGTATCTGTCTCAATGGGACATCTATTATCCACAACCCAAACTTTAAATCAAATAACCTACCTAGGCTTCCTACACTTTATTTAGACATTATATGGCCTTACTTGACTGTGCCATCCTAGATATCAAATTATATTAATTCTCAAACAGAGAGATTGTTGCATCTCTTCTTTATTTGGTTCTGCTTAAGCAATTTAGTGGAAGCACTTATTAACGAATAGTTGAAAATAAACTCTAAGAAAGAGAACTTTTAGATTTTCAACATATTTATAAACCATTTATTGAACTAGTTTTTGGATTCTAATTCACCTAATTGGCTAAATGTATTAAATACCTAACCAAATTTCTGACTCTGGATATCATCATTGATTAGCATGGATAATTCAAGGTTACTGCAGAAAAGGAATTGGAAGAAGCTTACGAGTATTTTCTGTCAATTTAAACGCACAATCCAGCTAATCTTTAATTCATAAGAAAATGATTGATTTAAAATACTTTTCATAATTGTTTAATTATTGTTTGGTAATTATAATCAAATTACTATATATATACTCATAAAAATTAATAAAAATATCCCAAAAATTAAATGCAGTACAAATTCTTGTTATTATTTTGGTTTGCTTTATTCGATTTCGACATGAGGTTTCTTAATAAGAGAAAGGAAGGTTTTTAGATCTGGAGTGGGCTTACAAGGTCTGCTATCTAAAATCTTTTTAATAAGAATTTCCTGCTCTTTCACTTTATTTTAAGCTAAAATTAAACTCAAGAAAATTACATAAATAACCGAAATGACAAACTTCTTTCTATCTTTTGAACAAGTCCAAAAATTCCTCATTAAATTTTAATTAATCAAGGCTACTTAATGTGCGAACCTAAACTTACTCCTTAATGCCGTTTTATTTGGTTTGTAAAGTTTATGCTACGACTGTTTTCTGTGCTTTCTCACATCTATTACTATTTTTATACGTTGATTCAAGTTCTTCTTGCCTTTTTGTAGATATTTCTTCTTCGCTTTTAGAATCAGATTATACAACATGGGAATGATATCGTAAATGTGAAAATATTTTGTTTGTGAACAAAAGACTTGGCTATTGAGATCTGGATTTTTTCATGTTTAAACTTTCTTCCTAAAGGTTCAATAAAGGTTAATGACATCTTTTAATTATGATTTTCTGAAGTTTATTGATTGCTAAACTCCAGTGGTATCTCAAAACCATTAACTTAAATTAGGTGGATGGTTTTTATTTATGTTTAATGTTTAATTGAGAACAATTCATTTTATCTAATAGTAATCTGGCTTGCGATTTCATTAATACTTTAATATTATAAATGGATTAAATAAATTAAGCATTTCAAGAGTTATACTATTAATGTGAGTGTTATGAAAATGTGAAAGAGAAAGTAGATCAATGTTCTTACGATGAATTCAATGGTCTGATGGAACTGTATGTTCAAGATTATTTAGATGTAAGTAATTTGTTAACAATTAGACAGTACAAAAGAATTTGTGTAATTATGGTTATAATGATTACGATTCTGCAAAATTTTATTTGGAACAAGTGAACAGCCATTGGATGAGAATTCAAAATATTGCATTAGAACTCGGAAAATATTAACAAATGAGCTTTAGTTTTAAAGTATTGATTAACATTGATTTATTAGATTCAAGAATACCATCGTCAAAAATTTTAGGATAGGATCTTCTAAGACAATAAGATAAATTTGGCATTAAGGGAAATATGCAGAATCTACAAATTCAATCAAACAATTGAACCTCACTTTTGTTCTCAAATATTTCAATACTTTAAACCAAAAATCACAACTCACCAAGATTTGATGACTAATTGGCTTACTTATAGTTAATGTGAATAAGGAGTTGACGAAATTAAAGATTTTGAAAAGCGATTAGAATGCGCAATGACAAATCTCCCTGATAATGAAAAATAATTACCAAAATTGCCTCCAAATTGGGAAAAAAACATGGCAAATTTAATGAAGAAAAAGAAGAAAAAATTATGATTTCTTTATTCATTCATTTAAATTTAATCAATAAATTTGTGATTAATGTTCTCATATAAAAGTTTTCTTTAAGGATAATATTTATAAAACAAAAAAAAGTCTATTAATAATTTCAAATTAAATTCATCTCTTAATTTTTATTAATAAACCTCCTAACTTAGTTATTTTGGATGACAAATTCTGTAAGTCATCCTCCTCTAAAAATAGATTAGAATCATCTTCACTTTCAGAAGATGACACTCCACTCATGCTTTCCCCTGAAGAATCTCCATTTGAATCATCTGAGTTTTGACTTCCTTTTTGATTCTCTGTGTAAAATGAACCAGCGATCTGTAAATTCAAAACCAAATAATACTTATTTAACGCTCTCTTGAACTATCAATCTCTCATTATCTTCCTCTTCTCCATTCTATTATTCAGCTATTTATGGCAAAATTTATTATTTTTATTTTTCAGTAATAATTGCTTATTTTAATAAAATGTATTGCCGCATAGACTTTCTCTTAGCCCTGGATAAGTTGATCTGTTATGGTAATATACTGGAACCTAAATAACTCAATCTAATCTATTTATTCTATTTAAAAGAATACATCTAAATTAGGTTTAATTGGAGTTCCAATCTCATTAAGTTAGAATTAGTTCTTTAGAAAAGAGGAATCTAAACAATCCTATGCAGAGGGACGTTAGTCTTCCTCTAAAGATAACACTTTACGTAAGAAGAATTAAGCATCTTTACTTAGATTAATGAAGGAGGGCTTGTCAAAATCGATTTTTCCAGCAGTATTTTAATTCAAAATAGCACTAATAGTAGATCCTGTAAATACTGGTTTTTATGTTAATAATATATAAGCAACTACACCAGCACTAAATATGTCCACTTTTTCGTTGTAGACCTTCAAATTCAATACTTCAGGAGCTATATAGCCTGGAGTACCATATTTTTTAAATTCAAATTTAGGCAGCTTCTTTGCCGCTAAACCAAAATCAGCAATTACTATTGAACTTTAATCTTTTATCAATATATTTTCCAATTTTATATCTCTATGCATGATATTTAAGGAATGAATATAGCTCAATCCCAAAAAAATCTGTCTCATAATGTTACTAACTTATTGTTCAGTAAAACGAGACTTTTTGGCTTTTATTTATTAAAATTCTTAAAATAATTCTCCCATTGCCCATTCGTAAATCAAATAGATATTTTTGGAATCTTCATGAATTTCAAAAAGTTTGATGACATTTGGATGGTTTACTTGCCTCAAGAGTAAGATTTCACCGATCACAGAATCTTTGAGTTTAATCACCATCTGCAAATCTGCTTTCTAAAAAGACTTACATACAAATTGTCGTTGTTTGTCATCCTCTATTAGATATCCCTTTAATTAATAATAAATTTGATTATACTTTCGAATAGTTTCCATTACTAATTTAATTTATGAATTTAAATCTGGTATAGACTTCTCCCCTAATTATACAAAACCTGGTTAGATACTCAATCCATAGGCGAGTTAGCTTTTCATTGGGCCCTTGATATTCTTTAGACTTATCCTGAGATCTAATGGTGAAATACTTGTTCGTATATGTAATTATATAAAGATTATTCAATAAGTTGCAATATTTAGTGTTGTTGATTCCGAATTTGATTAAATAGCCATTATTAGTCAAAGCAAACTCAAAATTCTTATTTTTGGGTAGATTGAGTAATTATGATTTGATTAAATGAGTACTTTGTATGTTTCCAATAGTCCAGAAGGTAGTTGTTTTTAGTAATTATTATAAATTCTTACTAGTTGGAATATATAAGTAATCAATTTATTGTGATTATTATAACATTATATTATTATTATATTTATTAAAATTATAATGGGGATATGCACATCAAAAAAAAAAGTGGATGAGAACATTTAAATAGTACCCTACAAGTATGTTAATGAATCATTTATTTGTTAGAGTTTGCTTAACTGCATTCATTTGGAATAAAGAAAGTCATAATTTATTCGATTTTGAGAGCAATTAGGCTGCTAAAAAGGAAATAGAATTAGATTTTTCAGGTAAGTATTAGTCAAAATAATTAGCAACTCTTTCAATGGTGGACAACTAAATTATCGCATTGACAGATAATGTATAAAATTCTCACTATTATAAAACAGGAATATGTAAATAAATAAATACAATTGCTCAGAGTTGATTGCGAATAAAATTACATGATGTTGTCTGGCATGAGTCAAAAATCAGATCAAAGAGTATGGGCTATATTATGTAATCGACCCGATTTTGAATCATTGAATGTAATCATCAACTTAAATAATAAGGAATGGGAACTCTAAAAGGGAGATATGATTAAATTAGGAAGAATGAAATTGCAGCTCCTGGAAATCAATTATGATATTGATGCTCTACAGTAATAAAAAGAATAAGCAGAAGAGGATGATGAATAATAATCTAAAGATTTAGAACTTGAAGCAAGCCAATGCAGAATTTGTTTCAGTAAGAGTGGTTCCTTCTCTAATCCTCTCTTTAGTCCTTGCAAATGTAATATTCACTATTATTTAGATCAGGTACCGGCTCTATGAAATATGTCCATCTTAATTGTCTATAAATTTGGATTCAGTAATCAATTAAAATTAAAAATCAGCATTCGTCAATTCAATACATTTGGAAGAAAATGGAATGCGAAATTTGTAAGATGCAGCTTTAAAGCACTTACACATACTAGGGTCAAATATTTTGCATTATGTAAATACAAAAACCAGTTGTTCCTTATGTTGTCTGGAAAATAACATCAGATGGTAGATCTAAAGAAGGCATTATCCAAGTCATGGAATTGCTAGATAAATAAGAAATAAAAATTGGTAGAGTACCTGATTGTGATATCAAATTGAAGGATATTTCTGTTTCGAGAAGTCACGCTATCATTAAAGTTATGAAATCAGAGGATAATAGATATAAATTACTCCTGTAGGATAATAACTCAAAATTTGGAACTTTATTACATGCTTAATCAGAGAGACTTCTACGATATGAATTGTAATACCCATAAAAAGTTCTCTATCAAATTGGCAGAGTACTTCTTTATGTTTAATTAAAAGAAAAAGGCAAATCTTATAATAAATAGTACTCCTAATCTTTTATCTTAGATTTACTTGTTATAGGCATCCAAATTAAATTGAAGTTTTACCCAAAAAAAACATTAATGAATAAGCTACTATTGTTCCCAATCTTGAAAAAGATAAAGACAATTAACTATCATTCTAAACATATAATGAATTAAATCAGGATGACATAGTTATTAATGTCAAATAAATATGATCACCTGTTGACTATTATTATTTTTATAATTAAAATATTTGTCTGTTAATGATCCAACAATTAAACAAATGGGATTGCATCCTAGAACCAATTCTCAAAAATAATGTATACATGTAAAATGCTTCATTAAATTCTAAGTGCAGGCTTATATTTAGCTGACATTGATTGTGCATTGAGCTTAGATCTTTTACAATCTTTGTAAATTGGAGCTTTATTAAGCGTCATTGATGAACCAAAAGTAGATGCCTCAGCTTATATTATACATGAAGTAATTAATATTCCAGATTGCACTTAATAAAATATTTAAGATTATTTTCCTTAAACAAATCAATTTATTGAGTAACATAGATAACATACTAATGTTATGGTGCATTGTTTTGCTGGCATCTCTAGAAGTGCATCTGTGATTATAGCCTATTTAATGTTTAAGTTCTAATGGGGATTTTAAACAGCATTAAATTATGTCGTTTCAAAAAGACCTTAAGTTAAACCTAACTTTGGTTTTATCTAGTAATTGATCTAATATGATAAACAAAATAAAATTAGATAGTCCTCACAGCAGCATCAACATAATGGGTCTAATCCCAATAAAACTGAAAAACACTTATCTCAATCTGATAGCAAAAGCAACAGATAATAAGTAAACTCAAAACTAGATTTGAATTAATTAGATGCTGAAATAGCACAAAGATAGTAGGAATTATTAATTCTTAAACTTCAATATTAATAATTGAATGAGAAAATCATTAGTAGAAATACAAACAATAAATAATCTTAAGAGTGATATATTTATCACTTTGATTTATTCATTTCTAAAAATATCTATTTTTATATCTAGTATTTAATAATGAGGATATGATTATAACATTATGATATTAGTATGAGTTAAGTAGATCACCAATAAAATTAGTTATATTTATATTCACTTTTATCAAAAATTCATTATGCGTTAATTAAAAATGAATATAATCCAAGAGTTTAATTTTAGTGATCTTATTTTATCTGGTTTGTCTCAAATCTTATATATTTTCGCTTTCATAATATGTAAATCGATCATCGAGACTTTGTATTTATTATGATAATTAATTTTAATCTATCTATTAATAACATTCTGTCATCATCCTGAAAATTGGATATTTTATATAGGTTTATTTTTTTTCTCTGTTGACGATAAATAATTATTTAACTCTAAATTTCATTTGAATTTCATCCAAATTTTCCTCATTTCTTTATTAATTTAGTTATATCAATAATAGCACTTCCATTAGATATGGCAATAGTTTCAAAGCAAATTATTTTGTGGATCCTCACTTACTCAAGCTAATTTTATAAAGATATTTTGTTTTGGATTAACCTAACCATACCTTATCTCTCATTATTCAAGATTACAGTTTGTAATTATCATTTTTTTTACAAATTAAATTAGATATTTATAAATCTAAGTATCTCTTTATTTATTTCAGCATATTATTAGATAATTGGCAATTGTTTATTTAAAGTAATCGAAAACTCTTTTGAAAATTTTTCCTTGATTATATTATCTTGGTTGTTATAGTAAAAATAATTAATTAATTGATTAGAATTACATTATGCTTTATTGAATATTATTTCATTAGTGTATAATCTGATAAATCTTCTATATTGACTTGAATCTAATTAAGCTTTAAGGACTGGTATTCGTCTAGCAAATTTTATCGAAGAATAAGATTTTACCCAATTAAAAAATTTTGCTTCCATATTGGAATTATCGCCTTATTTAATGAATTTTTAGCAATATATTTTAGGATTTTAGAGCTTTGATTTATTATTCTTTGATCTGCAACTTGTTTCCTAATTCTTTGTTTTATATTCATTAATCTTTTAAAGTTATCTTCAAATCAAGAATAATTACTTTTAATTCTTAGTGTAAAATCCGATTACCTTCATATTTTACCTTTCTTAAAATGCTCGCCTTAGAATGAGCAAAGGAATCTCCTAAATTCAAATTAAAGAACAACTACGCCTGCTGTTTTCTCTAGAAGAATCATCTCGATTTGAAGAAAGAATTGGTTTACTCCTAATCATTAATCTTGGTTGATCTTACCCTTCTAATATAATATTGTACAGATACTGAGGACTTGGTTCATATACATAAATTAAACAATCTGTTATGTTGTTATTATATTGATCTATAAATTTTTTACATTTCGGTTATCCATTATTTAAATTCAAATTATAATAAATCAGGTTAATTTTTTTTTCTTAATTTCTTACGAATCAGTCATTTTCAAATCTAGATCGCGATTTTGGATATCCTACAATGTGTCCTTTTCCTATTCTAGTTATTGTTATTCACCATCTTAGAATTCTTGCTATTCTATTCCTTCTGTCTCTCTATTTTTCAATTCATTTTTTTTTTGATTATTTATACTCTCTGTTTGATCATTATCCTTTATAAAATTGACTATTTCTTATTATGGTTTATCGTGGACTTCATTAATTTGACTGGTTGGTCCAACATTATTGAAATTTATTTGATGTTGCTCCTCTGAATTTTCTTCTTCATTCTAATTGACATCAAAAGGAGAATAAATTTATTAGAGAAGGATCCTTTGTTGTCGATTTTATTTAGAAATGAGAGCATAAAAATGATCAATTTCTAGCTTACTTAACGCAATTTCAACTTATTACAAGACATCTAAATAAATCTAAAATATTCTAATAATTTTACATCAATATTAATATACCCATTTGTATATGTTTCTGGATATTTCTTTATTAATATATCTGAAATTTCATTTTTCTTTTTCATAATTTACTAATTTATGTTATTTAATTGTTATTGTGTTAATATTTAGTAGTTTTCCATGAGTGTTTTAAAAATACTTCTTACTCTAGCACTAGTAGTAGTTTCAGTTTCATTATCAACATCAGCTAAATAGATGGCCGCCATTTCAATTTATTCAAGTGATTAGAGACCAAAGATTCTATTCGATAAATTTTATTTGAGTTCATGTTAGGTTAAAATTTCATGAGTTAAGAGGTATTGTTCAACTTATTATAAGGAGATTTTTAATCCAATAAGATTCAATTTTACTTATCTAGCTATAGTTATGATGTCATTTTTGTCAACATTGATAATTTTCTTCTTCTGCAATTCATTTTCCTCTTGTTACTAAACTTATTCTTCTGGCTATTAGGGTCCATTATTTTTTATGAGTATAGTTCTTTTAGATTAATACTTTTATGATTTCTCTAAGTCATATTCTTTTTACAGGGCATCATTTTGTCTCTTTTGGTCTGATAATTTCTTTTCGAGATTTTCAATTTATTCTTGATTTTCAGCTTGAATCTTCTACATCATATTTTCTAAGTATTTGTTTTTCTATCTTTCATTTCTTAGATCAACAAGAGCTTGGTCAAAATCCAACTGCAATTGTTCTTCTACTTTTTTATTATCCTTTTATTACGGTCTTTCGAGATATAAAGTATCCTTTTTTTTTAATTCTGCTATCTCCAAAAGTAATTATGCATTAAGGTTTTTCAATTATCTATACTTATTTAATATTGCATTATATTTGACATTCATTTTATTGTATTAAACCTAAATTTAATTTATTTTTATACTTAGGCTTGATCTGCTGATTATTAATGCTATTAAATCAATTGATTTAGCTTCATATTATCCTCACTTAGAGTCATGCATAGATTTTCAACATTGCTTTTATTAAAGGGATTTTATAGTTATTAAATATATTATTGCTATTCCTCTAACTATTATTATAATCTAATATTGTCATCCTAAAATGAGATAGTTTTATCATACTTCAAGTCGAGTGATTTTTTCCAAGTAGCCTTGTTTTAACTTTGAAAAACTTTTTGGAGGTGAGTCTTCATCTTTCGAGATCGATTGCAATTCTCTCTTAAAATATTAAATTTATGATTAGAACTATTTCAATGTTAATTTCAACTGGTTGTTCTCTTATTTCAAATTCTAAATTTCTTCTTATAAACTTTCCTTATCATGCATAACATATTTGACTCTCAATTTATTTGCATCAACATTGTCAAGTGTTAAGTTTCTGGAATACAAGTTTTTTCTATGTAAATGCTTTTGCGAATGCACTTACAAGGATTTTTAGGTATGAGAAATGGATAGCATCTTTTTTATAATTAATAATAAAATGCAAACATTATTATAAACTTTTCAACAGAAATTATCCTCGTCTTTTTCAGTTGTTAAAGAATCTACTCCCCAAATTTTGTTTGGCATAAGTCTACTATCTTGTTTATACCTATTAAATTAATAATAAAAAGAAGAAAAACTTGTGGAACCTGAAAAGACAGAAAAAAAATAAAAAAAAAAAGCATCTAGCCAAAAAAATCTGGATGATAATAAGCCTCAACAAAATGATGTGATACAAGATCTGGTATGAATAGTTTAATTTAAAAGAAAAAAAGCTAAAAGAAATTAAACAAAAAAATGAACAAGCAATTTGATGATTCAATTGACTACACAGAAGAAAACATGCCTAGATCACCTGATTACAGTGTGATTTCAGAAATAGATCAGAAATATTTCTTAGAGATGTTTCAAAATTAAAAAAAATCGAAAAGGGCCTACTAAACGGATTGCGAATCAACACCTATTATATCATTAAGAGGGTATGTTTTATAAAAGAGATTTTAGATTTAGAAGAAATTAATAATTAACAGGAGAAGACGATAAAAAAGGAGAAGATAGGTTGTTTTATATTCTGAAATAGCGTGTCATTGAATAAGAGGAGAAGGAAAACGAAATTGATGAAGATGATTATTGATATAATTAATCAATCATTATGATTAAAATAAAATTATTAAAATACATTCACTTTCTCAGGGAATTCTCCACCCGATTACATGTCTCATTTAATAATCTTATCATAGTCCTTTCAGTCTCATCTCTTTATAACTGTTCCTCAGCCAATTACAAGTTTAGAATATTATTAATCTCCTAAATCATCACCTCCATTTGGTTCTAAGAATCTGATCGTTGCTTCTTCTCTTAATTCAATGTTTCAGATACTGAAAATACTTGCTCCCCCATTCTTCTTACGAACTCTTAATAAATCATTTCTCTAACAAATTTTAATATAATCATACCTCTCTCTCTTCTCATTCCTTACATCCTAACTTAGATTTTGAATTTTATGCTCTATTTCAATTTAGTATTGCTCTTCTGTCTCTTTCCTATACTATTGTTATCTAGCCAATTCTAATCTCATTTTATAAGATTGTTCGTCCAACAATTTCGTTAATCTCATTTCAAATGTCTTACGATTAAGCTTATCTTTCTAAATACTTTATTGCACATTCTTCTCTTGCTCCTTTAGAGCATTTTAATGAAAGTTTTTAGAATTAGTCTATTAATAAATTTTATTTTATTTACATTTCTGATAATTTAATCATTTCTTAACGTTTCTTCCATTTTAGTTAATTGCTCTTATAATGATTGTAGTCTACTGAGATCGTTTTAATGGGCTTTTTGAACCTTTTAATTTATTGAATTCAATTTTTCTTGATAAGTTTCCTTTTTTAATGTTCTATCCTCATCAATCGATAATTATGATAGTTTCTCACTTAATTGGATGACTCGAGATTTGTTAGGAGACACTAACTATAAGTTTTTAATATACCTGAAGTTCCATAAATCAACGACATCATCATAGATGAACTCCTTTGTTTTTAAGTATTAGGGGATGAATATATTGAGCTATTTAACATATAATTAATAAAATATAAAAAATAAAATGAATAGAACTCCTCATATGGATTAATTGATTTCCAAAATCTATAGATAACGTAAAAATGTAAGTCTAATATGTTAACAAAAAGTAAACTCCAAATGATTATTCTAGAGAGATGTACTCTCATCCCAATAGCCATCAAACATCTAACAAAGATCTTTTGAATTTGACTAGCAAATAAAAATTAAATAAATCATGCAACTACAATTCAAATTTACATCAACGACTCCAATCCAAAGCAGGAGGAGATATAAAATAAAAATTATTAGATGAAAGTAAATGTATGTAATTACTTTCACAGTTTTAAGAGGATCACATTCTAACATCTCTACTAGTTATTTAATTAGTACTCTAAAAGAAAAAGTTAGCGAAAAGGTCAATTAAAAAGTTTAAAAATACAACACTTGTTAAGGGGCTTCATCATTCACACTCCCTGATAAAGAGCTATCCCCAAAACCTATGTTTAAAATTTTAGAAAACTCTCTCTTTGCTGAATGCTAAAACCTCAAAAACCAAGTTTCACTTCATTCCTTTCAAGAACTACTTGATAAAATGGAAATAAAAGAGCAATCCCTGAAAATCTCAATTTTTGCAGATTTAAAAAAGCTTTTCATTATTTTAGCTCAATCTATTCGAAATGATATTCAAACATAAAAGAAGGAAATTGAATCTCTAGTTCGATAAAATAATTCTTTGAAATCACAAATCTAAGAAATGAATTCTTAATTGGATAAATTCAAATCTGTTATTGAAGACTAACAGAAATAAATCAAAATAAAAAATGAAGAAAACTTTATTTCAATCATGAATACACTTCGATCTCATGGAGTTGATCCTAGAAAAATGTTAAAAAAATGTTAAGATAATGTTGAAACTTGTAAACTAAAATAAGATCAATCTGAATTCATTGATGAATCTTAAAAGTATAGCTCAGATGATTCTATTCCATTTGGTAATTGTCATTAAATATGTTAGTTGATCCTCAAACTATAATAAAAAACGAAAAAAAAGTAGTGGGACTAGCTTTAAATTTGAATCCATTAAAAGATCCTAAAAAAGCTCCGATTGGTTATTAAGATGAATTTATGGCCAATATTAATGAATTCAGCGAAAGTTGGAGGTAATAGGCATTAGCTGAAAAAAGATTTTGACTTTTTAATTTAATAATTATTTATATTGATTATGTAGAGTAATTTTATTATATTAAAAATCTCTAATAATAAGGTAAATAATTCATTATAAATTAAATTAAAAGTGAATATTTCTGATTATATTAAATTTCTTCACAAAATACATAATATAAATGCGACAATGATTATCCATATAAAATTCAATATAATTAAAATCAAATTGTTTCAAAAAGAAATTTCATGCTGCAAAACAAACCCTCACAAGATGTATTTGATGAAGTTCAAGGATCATTTTAGATGGATGATCAATTTAATGTATAGGAAGGATATCGAAATTCAATTGATGAAATTCCTGCTAATTAACTTAGGTTGTTATTTATTGATAATTTATAGTGGTGATGAAGCTTTAGAAAAGAGTTTTATGTAATCTACAGGCCAATCATCAATCTGGTAAAAAAGGGGATAGAAAACATCAATCCCAATGACATCAGTAATTATAATGAAGAGTATGGTGGGAGTAGGAATTTTAGGAATAGTATTATTTTGAAAATAACCTAGCCTTATGTAGCATCGAACTTCGGAGCTATTTTAACAATCTTAATTTTGATGGTAATATTCATTAATGGAATCCTCTCATCAAATTTATTATTAAAATCTAAGAATTTATCCAGAAGAAGTAACTTTTCAACAATTGGATTTTATATTTTCAAGCATAAATGGATTATCATTTTAGTGAATGTGATGATTATTTTATCAAATTTGGGAGTATGTTTAAGTGAACTAATGTAAATTAAATTATATATTTAGTATTTTTGGAGATACAGTGGGCAACCTTATGAATTATTTTACTGATAGAACTACAGAAGAATAACCTTTCTATTTAACAAGACCGATTTTTTTAATAGTGCTAAGCATATTCTTACTTCCTTTTTTGCTTGTTAAGTCAATAGAGAAGTTGAGATTTGTTAGTTTATTTGCTATTTTATCAATCAGTTCTTTTTCATGTCTTGTCATCTATAATTTTTTTACAATTGATAAAACCAATAGTCAATTTTCATGGTGGATTCCAGATAATTTTGAAATAAAAAGAGCCTTAGCATCTATGCCAACATTAATATTAGCATTTAATTGGCAATTTAATTTATTTCCTATATATAAAGGAATGGCATAGCCAAGTGATTCAAATTTACTCACCTCTACAATTTTAGGATTTTGCTAGGGATCTATTTTATATTTAATAGTTGGATTGTTAGGATATGCAACTTATGGGAAAAATGTAACAAAAATTAATATTATAAAATTTTAGATTGAACCAAATTTTTTATTAAGTATTAAAGAATAAGATGTTGGTGCTGTTTTATTTGTTATTTTGAATTTATCCTTCGTATTTTCTACAACTCTTACATTACCAGTCATATTTTTTGGAGGAAGAAATAATTTTATANAATATTTCTGATTATATTAAATTTCTTCACAAAATACATAATATAAATGCGACAATGATTATCCATATAAAATTCAATATAATTAAAATCAAATTGTTTCAAAAAGAAATTTCATGCTGCAAAACAAACCCTCACAAGATGTATTTGATGAAGTTCAAGGATCATTTTAGATGGATGATCAATTTAATGTATAGGAAGGATATCGAAATTCAATTGATGAAATTCCTGCTAATTAACTTAGGTTGTTATTTATTGATAATTTATAGTGGTGATGAAGCTTTAGAAAAGAGTTTTATGTAATCTACAGGCCAATCATCAATCTGGTAAAAAAGGGGATAGAAAACATCAATCCCAATGACATCAGTAATTATAATGAAGAGTATGGTGGGAGTAGGAATTTTAGGAATAGTATTATTTTGAAAATAACCTAGCCTTATGTAGCATCGAACTTCGGAGCTATTTTAACAATCTTAATTTTGATGGTAATATTCATTAATGGAATCCTCTCATCAAATTTATTATTAAAATCTAAGAATTTATCCAGAAGAAGTAACTTTTCAACAATTGGATTTTATATTTTCAAGCATAAATGGATTATCATTTTAGTGAATGTGATGATTATTTTATCAAATTTGGGAGTATGTTTAAGTGAACTAATGTAAATTAAATTATATATTTAGTATTTTTGGAGATACAGTGGGCAACCTTATGAATTATTTTACTGATAGAACTACAGAAGAATAACCTTTCTATTTAACAAGACCGATTTTTTTAATAGTGCTAAGCATATTCTTACTTCCTTTTTTGCTTGTTAAGTCAATAGAGAAGTTGAGATTTGTTAGTTTATTTGCTATTTTATCAATCAGTTCTTTTTCATGTCTTGTCATCTATAATTTTTTTACAATTGATAAAACCAATAGTCAATTTTCATGGTGGATTCCAGATAATTTTGAAATAAAAAGAGCCTTAGCATCTATGCCAACATTAATATTAGCATTTAATTGGCAATTTAATTTATTTCCTATATATAAAGGAATGGCATAGCCAAGTGATTCAAATTTACTCACCTCTACAATTTTAGGATTTTGCTAGGGATCTATTTTATATTTAATAGTTGGATTGTTAGGATATGCAACTTATGGGAAAAATGTAACAAAAATTAATATTATAAAATTTTAGATTGAACCAAATTTTTTATTAAGTATTAAAGAATAAGATGTTGGTGCTGTTTTATTTGTTATTTTGAATTTATCCTTCGTATTTTCTACAACTCTTACATTACCAGTCATATTTTTTGGAGGAAGAAATAATTTTATATAAATGATTAAATAATTCACTGTAATGACTAATATTAATTATAGGAAAATAAAAAAGTTAATATTTTGGCCAAAAAGAAATTACTAGATTCGTAATAAAATGAGTAGTATTACAAAGAACTTTTGTAATTTCGAAAAAAATCTTAAGCCATAAGATTCTATGGAATCAGCATTTTGTTATTCATATTATTAGCAATTGGAGCAGTTTTTATTCAAAATTTAGGAACTGTCTATAATTTATTAGGAGCAATTGCTTGTAATGCAATTTAATTGGGATTACCTACTTTGTTTTATGTATTCTTAGTTAAGCAAGTGAAAAAAATGAAATTCAGAAATAATTTAAATAGATTATTTTATTTTGTCGTATGTGGTTTATTATGTGTAAGCATAATTCTGACATTCTTATGTGTAACCTGTGAATTTATTCAACCAGAAATGGCTTGAATTTATTGATAATCGATATTTTTGTAACTATTTTATAAATCATCAATAATTATTATTTGAATAATATATAAAATAAATTATGGATTAATAAAATTCAGCCAATCGAGAAGAGAATTCAGTTTAGGCAAGAAATAGAAGGAGAAGAAATGATTCCAATAATCGAGATTATACTTGCGGTTGTGGTAAAAGCTATCTAAGTTATGCTGCTTTATATACTCATTTGAAGTATGAAACTATATATAACTGAAAGATAGAAGCATGATTCAGTCGCTCCGGATGGAACTCATTTGCCAAATAATGCAAATTAACGACCTGGTAGAGGAAGACCAAGAAGAGTAAATTTATCATAATATACTATGAGCAAGAAGATTAAGATAGAAAAAGTGCTAAATCTGATGATGGATAATCTGAAAGTGGCAATGAGCCAGACGAGACTCTTGAAGAACTTCTAACATTCTTAGATAGTCTAGGGAATTTTAGATAAACTGAAAAATTTTCAAATGATGTAGAAGTTTAGGTGTTCCTGCTTTAAAATTTTCCTTGTAATGTCTTTTCAAATTGTTCTGAATATTAGGGAATCTATGATTTATTAAAAGATCTAACAAATGAGAAAGTACATAATATTTTCTAATCTAAGATTAAACTTTCAGATACTGATCTTCTTGCTAATGAACCATTTGATAAAGATAAATCCTTACGTAAAACCAACGTAACTAAAATTTTGGCATATTTTTTAACATAAATAGGTCCAAAACTAAGTGTAGAAGCATATAGAGAAGTAATTTGAATTCAATAAATAAATAGATGGCTATATTCACTATTTTCTATTAAAAATGTTTGAATGCTTTGGGATATGAGGCGAAATAGAACTGTCTTTAAGAATAAAAAAATGGAGATCATAAACAATTGGATATCAAAGAAGGTTGTAATTCTAAAATATTTATTAGAGGTTACTCAAAATTAAGAGTTTTGTGATGTTTAAAATGGCGAGCATATGTTATTGATTGCTAACGAATTTATATTATCATTTTTACCTTAATCATATTTGGGATTAGAGACAATTGAAAAGAATTTCAAAATATTTGGTAGTAGTGCTGAAAAATTAAAAAACGCTGTGTATGTAACTTAGCATTTCTCGTATTGGTTATATTCTTTAAAGTTTACAAACTCTAGATTAGATTTTTATACTGAGGATGATTGATCATTTTTAATTATAAATGTGTGTTGAAATATATAGACATAAATTATTAATTAAATATTAAAATGAGTGAGTTGGAATATGTGAATCTTGAAAAACAATCAAAAGGAAATAAAAACAGAAATAATAATTAATTCAATAGAAGAGGAAGAAGGGGAGATAGAAATTAATCAAACAGAAGAACTAGACCTGTTTGGAAATAAAGATAAATACAATCAAGATAATAATAATAGCAAGTACATCTTTTTGAAAACATTACAGGGATAATAAAGATCAAATAGATTCAGAAGAATTCCAACTGGATAAGCTAGAAGATAAAGAATAAATCGAATCTAAAATAGGCCTAGATAATAGTAAAGGGAAAGAGAAAGAGGAAGAGATAGAGTGAGAGATAGAGAAAGAGATAGAGATGGAGAGAGAGATAGAGTTAGAAATAGAGAAGAATAGAGATATAATGATAGAGATAGAGACGAAGATAGAGAGAGAGATAGAGAAATTAACTCTAAAGGACCTAGACCCAATGTAATTGTTAGAGGTTTAGATCCACATCAAACGGAGACGGGACTTAGAGTAAATCTCTTAATTCGATTATTTTAGGAATTTTGTTCTTAATATGGACCTATGGAGATGTGCAAACTGGAGAGAGACAATTTTGGAAATGTCAAGGTACATTATCTAATTATTTTAAAATAGCCTGAAGGAATTGGTTTGATTAGATTTTTTAAATAAGATAATGCTGAATTATTTGTTTCAAAAGTTGATGGTGAGGTAGTCAATGTCAATGGAGATGATAAAAGCGTAAGCATTTAATATAATTGGTAGTTGAGAAGACTGTCTGCTAAATTAGTTGGGCAGAACAATAAAAATAATACTGATAGATAAACTAGTGGAATTCTTAAGATAAGCAGAGGTCCTATTCAAAAGTAATTATGTTCTAACATTATTAGATCATGGAGAAGATGAAAAGGTGATATATGAATTAATAATATTTAAAACAAATCCTAAATATTTAGCATTAACTTTGGTAAATAGCTTTATGGATTAGTCTCTTATAAGGATGTATTGTATTAAGATAATAATAAACATACTCTTTAGACTTTATCTATAAACTACTATCTTCACATATATTATCTATAATTATACACAGTTACGATACGAATAATATGAATACAATCATTTAATTTATTGCATTACTTTTAGGACATCTACCTTTGATTTAGGTTCTCTGATTTTCTTTGGTTCTTGCAAACAATATTTGATCATAAAATATTTTAATGGATCAATCACTATTAAATCTAATAGTAAACTAGGTAGATATTCAATAAACCATTATAAATTATCACAACTTAGAAATATAATGAGCCAAATTATTATTCCTATGCTAGATATCCAAAAAACTATTTAAACATATTTTAACTTTTGATGATGACGAACAATACCTTTGATTGCATGATAATCAGTTATTTTCAATATCAAACAAGAGCTTGTTGTTATTGCAATAATGATCCAAAAATTGAGATTTGGAAGATAACGTAAAAGCACTCCTGACACATCCAAACAAATTAATTATCGAAAATATATTGTAAAGAGCATAAATATTCGTGAAATCCCCTCTTTATGCGAATAAAATATTTTACTAAATTAATGACATTTCTATTTTTATTTCAATTTATACATAAATATCATTTTCTGGTTTTGGTATAATATAATTTGGATCTTATTAGATCGGTTCAAGCTTTCCAAGAATACTAAACTGGGAAATTCTTGGTTAATTTTATAATTATTTTTGATTTGTTGATCTGGGAGTAGAATCACCCACACTACTTCGATCATTTTGAACTTATGATAATCCTCTTCGAGAAGTCCTTAAACTTTTCCTATTCGTAGTCTATATAGTATCTATTCCCTCATATGTACCAATTGTTGGTTTTCTCAAAATAGTTCTTCTTAACGTATTCGATCTTTGGGGTGTTCTATTCGTTCTGGGAGATTACATCTGTTTAGATTCTACTGTTAAACGAACTGGAGAATTTTATTCTGTGATATTTCTCTCCGCGTTGCTATAAAATTAATCATCTTAATTCAAATTTGGTGAATTATCTCCTGGATTATTAAAAAAATCATCTAATTCATTGTTTTCAAGCCTAATTATTTATTATGTTCTAGTTTGATTTTATATTTTTGATGTAATCGGTTGAATTGCAAAAGTTGTTTCAGCTGGTGTTTTGTTGTTAAGTTAAGGAGATATTGAAGCTAATCTAAATGATTTATCGATTAGATATCCAATCAATATCATCATTAGAATGAACAAGGTCCACGATGCCAAATATACTAAAATTATAAAGTTAGTAATCATGAAAATATATTATATAAAATATTTACATTATATTTTGGTTGAAAGCAAAATAAAATAACTTTACTTTTGATATGAGTAAATGAAAAAATGAAACATGTTTGAGTATTACAATCCTAAGTCATTTCTATATACTTAAACAGAATACCTACTTATAAATAAAGAAATCTTTCTTTATCATCTTCTTTGTTTGTTTCTTTAAATGAAGTAAATAAATTAATTGTTAGATATAATAGAATTATTATAAAGAAAAATTTAAATATAATACTATTTTTGAAAAGGAATAATTATATGATTTAAATCTTATTATAATATAAAACTAGAATTCAAATAGATTCTTATGGAAATATTGTATCTTTATTTATAAATTTAATTTTGTCATAATATATATTATAACTCTATCTCTTGTAGTTTTATTGTCATTTATCTCGAGCCATGCATGAAAATAAACTAGCTATTCTTTAAAAGACATTTCTATCTTCATTGTGAATCTATGGAACAGCTTATTATGGATGATAACTTGCTTATGTTTCATCTGAATATGAATTTGAAATTTCTTCAATCTTTAGGTTGTTTTGAAAATCTTTAGTAATGAAAGGATGTGTAATTATCTCATTTACTTTTATTCTATCATCAGGTTCGGTAACAAGCATCTTTTTAATTAAATCCTTTGCATAGATATCAGTAATAGTGAATTTTGGTTCAGTAAAATTGAGGATTTATTCAATCATCTCAGCCTCATTGCCTATCGAATTATGCAGATTTCAAATACCTGATATGATAGGCTTTTTTTCAAGCATCCAATATAAGAGACAACCTAAACTCCAAATATCTACAGAATATGATTAAGGATAATTTCTTAAAATTTCAGGTGCCATAAATTCATAAGTACCAGAAAAGTTGCTTATGACATTCTTATGAGTAGCTAAACCAAAATCACATAATTTAACATTATTATTGCCACTTAACAATACATTTGTTGGTTTAATGTCTCTATGAATAATTCCTTTGTTATGAAGATATTGTAATGCATTACATAATTGAACTATTATTTGTTTGGGATCTACCTACATATTAGTTGTTAAATGACCATTTTCTAAAAAGGAAATTTAATCATTACATGCATATTCTAAGATCAAATAAATATGATCATCTTTCTCTATAAATTATAATAACTAAATAATGTGTTTGTGCTTTAGTTATTTATGTATTTTAAGTTCCCTGTATGCCAGATTTTTATTTATTTTTTTTATCGCAAAATTATACCCATTCAGTTATTTTAAGTATACTATTCCAAAACTTCCATTCCCTATTAGACTCATTTCAGCATCCAGTTAACTTATAGTTAGTTTGGGAGCTATTTCAAATTAGTCATGACAAGCCAATTAATGATGACCCTCCCTATGATAAATGAAATAACTAAATACCAATCGAAATCTCTACATTTGATTGAACAATAAAATACATTGGAACAATTGTCACAAGTTATTTAAGTGCCATTTATTATAGAATTGTATTGTATCTGCTCATTGCATTTCGAGTTTTAGCAATTCATTTATGGGTTTCAGAAATGGAAAATTTATTAAAGTAAAATAACAAATACATTTTATTTGTATTATATGTTTGTATTAACATAAAATCAATTATAGCTATAAGGTACAACTATCTCTTCTTACTAAATACTTAGTCTAAATAGTTTTTACATGATGCAAAGGGACCAAATCAATCCAATCAGCACTATTCAAAGGAAGTAAGCCTATGTTATATAGTTTATAAAGCACAACTCCCAATTACAATAATCCAGCAGATAAATAAATCAATTTATAGAAAAACAGCGATATTCCTCTATTCTCTAATAAAGAAAATGCTTGATCCATTTTTGCAATTGTGGAAATAGCTTGCCATAAAAATTACCCAATAATCACAATTGTAAATATATTCATCATGTTTCCTGTCATATACAAAGTGAACATTATCATAAATATGTTTCCAAATCCTCCTTTGGCAATACCCATAGCTTTCTAAATGTTTATGGTAATAAAATTACTTTCTCTAAATCATCCCTCAATTCTTGTCCTTAACAATCATCAAATGCTTTTTTATATCCAACTGGATCAGGCAAACTTTGCTCCTTCTTAATTTTGATTTCCCACATATAAAATATATATAATGATTAATATAAAAATTATTTTCATCGCAATTTTGATTATCCAATTTCGACTTTATAGAGTTCTTTGTAGATTTCTGAAATGGATTTATCAAGAGTAGAAATTAAATGACCTGAACCTGAATGAACTACAGGAGCCTAATATAATATTTAGTTTTCTACTTTAATATTTCTTTCCTTTATTACATTACATTTCTTTAAGATTTATTTAGAAGTTTCAACTGGATTGAACGTCTCAGTTTCATTACCTTGTTTAGGTTAAGTTCCAGTATCTTCTTGTTTAATTTGGTTTTCATATGATACTGTCTTTTATCTGTCTTGAGATGTTGGAGGTTTTCTTCTACTATCTTCTTATGTATGAACCTAAGGAAGTGATCGTGCATGTTCCATTAAAGTTACTTAGTATTTTTTACATATTTACATGGTAAATTATTGTACATGGTTTATGCTGCCTAAAAATGAGTTTTATTATGCAATGACGGTAGTAAATTCTTTGCTATCAATCTTGATAAATATGCCTTTCTTTCTAGAGAAGACATTCCTTCTGAAAAATGTTCTAAATTTAGAATCTTTTTATGATCAAGTTTCATGTTCTCCACTTGAGATTGGGTGTGATCTTTCAAAAATTATTCAATTCTTGCTAAAGCAGTTTTATCTCTATATCTAAAAACATCTCTTTTAATGTCTTTTGAGGGGTCTCTTTCTCTGAAACAATATTTCCCTGCTTTTAAATTTGGTAAGAAATCCAAATTATTATTTTTCTCTTGTGCTTCTTGAATTCTATCTTTTTCATGCTTAAATCCTTTAACATAGATTTGTGGATCTCCAAGATTTTTTGTTGGATCTTCATCTCTAAATTAGTAGGCCTCAGGTGGCTTATACTCATTGCACACAACAGGCTTTTCTAACATATTTATCACAAAATTTTCTATTCTTTTCTTATAATTTTTTGATAATCTTTGGTTGAGTTCTAACTAAACTTTTGGAATTACCTTTGCGATTTTCCCTTTATTTCAAGTAGTCGGTTTTGATTTTATCTATTTCTTTTGTAAATGCCATTTATTTATCGTACTGATAACCATTAAACATAATGAACTTAATTTTACACTCCTTTTATAATAAATTATATTTATATAATATACGCTAGTAGTTATTTGTATAATTTTTAGATAACGAAATTCAATATAAAATATGATGAAGAATTTTATCATCCACTGAAGATCTTCTATTATACTACATAATTCAACATCAATAATCTATAGTATTAAATTAAATTTATTTTAAAAATACGATTCATGATAATTATATCTGGATTTCATTATGAATTCTTTTAAAGACATTCCTATCACCCAATCCCCCAATGAATAGCAAATATAATACCAAAATTGTGAATCCAAATAATCTAAACGATAGATAACTGAATCCTAACATTTTTAATGGAGGCTTCTACCAGTGAAGGTTCAAGACCTAGAAATTCTGAAAATTGTTCATTCATATCAAAATACTTAGATTCTAATCCACTCTATGCATTTTGTTGTAAAAATAAATAAATTAAATTTCTCTGGTTTGACTGAAGATTAAGATATTATTGTAAATACTTTGGGTAATTGTTCTTTAGACTAACTTATTTAATTATTGATACATTAGAATACTCAACTCAAAATAATAAAATGAAAAAATGAGAAGCAGACTAAATAATTTATAGAAATATTCAAAATAGAAACAAAATTACTAATGTAGATGCTGTGCTCCCATAGCTAGCAACTAAAAAAGTTGGTTTAAAAGGCTTTCTACTGAATTTTCCTTATATTATTGAATGAATTAATGTCAATCTTTTCGAATTTACATTAAAACTTCTGACTGGAATAATTACTTCAAGTTCAAGAGTGCAAGTCATCAAGAAGAATTTCAGGTAGCTTCCAACAAAAAAAGATATTTTGTTCGATCATTGTAATTAATTAATTGAGATATTTTAATTTCAATAATTGTGTTTTGTATATAAAAATAATTCAAGATTAAAGAAGACATTTACTTCTTCCATCAACATCTTAATGAGACACAAAAACTAATTTTAGTTGAAGAATGGAAAAACTTAGAGTATTTATTCGACTGAATCAACAATTCAAACACCTTCTAGATAGTTGTCACCTAAATCACCATAGATTTGGACCTCATCTGCTTTATCATACTCAAGTATTCTTCATCAAATTATTTAATAGATCTTCCAATCTAATCTGATGTACAATATCAAGCAAAAATTAAGGAGCTTTTAGAAGAAAATTAAAAGTTGGTTCAGAAAAGCTCTGCTCAAGATTTAATCATTAATAAATTGTAGCAGATGGAAGAATAGGAACCAATACGATCAAGCAGAGTTAATACTTTAAATAATGCACGATATAATGACAAGAAATAAATGATGAAAATTTAAAAACCTATTTACACAAGAGAAAGAGAGAGCAAAGATGATAAAATGCTATTTACTTTCTTTAGTCCAGAACCAAATTAGAAAACTAGTGTATGTAAACTTCCAAAAGTGTTTTAAGTGATGCCGAAAAAAAGAAAATATTTTATCTGACTCTCTGTTATTATTTGATAACATCAATAATTTAATTTAATATTTTATATGGTTTTTAAGATAAGGATTTATTATCTATAAAGTTTATGCCTTATATATTGTAAAAAAACAGTAGGGATAAGATACTCAAAATTTTAGATATTTTAATTATATTTTGTAAGTTGATTTGCGTTTTAATTTGATATATTTTATAATTAATTCTTATTGGTCTCGATTATTGTTGATGAATTCGACCTCCATAGGAACAAAAATGAGGAATAATAGAAAATCCATGTCTAATTTGACTATTAATAAACTGTTACTCCCTACCAATCTAGAAAATCGGGAATAAAATTGCAATTCAAAAATTCAATAAATTTCTGATTAACTAATTGAGGAGAATTTGTTTTTTCTTCCAAAGCGAACCTTGAGGAGAGTCAAACACTCTGACTAAAATAGTATCTATAACTCACTATATTTCTAGTTTTAACTACGTCCGTAACAAGCAAATCACTTTAATCCTAGATCATTAATAAATACTTTCAAGAAAGTCTTCAATTTCGCTAATAATAATCTCGAAAAGAAATAGTGATTAAAGAATTAGTGTCTCCATCTAAACCATTTATCTTCAAAAGAAAAGAAACTGCTCTAAACACAGAACCTTGTTCAGAAATATAATAGTAAAAATTAATGCCATTATTGAAATCATCCATTACTCACGATGATTAATATAAGTTTACGTTCTATAGTCCAAAAACTCAAGATCATAAACTAAGATTACCTAAAGAATTTCAGATATTGCCTTGTAGTAAAAAGCGATACTTTATCTGAGTAATAACATGATACTTATAATTATTTTATATTAATATTTTTTATTAACATCTATCTATGTCTGCAAAAAACATAAAGTCGCCTAGTCACAAATGCTTCCCCACAACTAGAGGGCACGAAATAAAAATTATATCAAAAATAGATTGTTTCATCAATTCAAATGCTAAAATGACATAAGTATTCAATCATAAGGGTTATTAGGTTATAGAGTTGTAAACAATAAGTAGAGCATCAAACAGATTTAAATTAAAACAAAACTGTATCAATAAAAGCTCAAAATAAAAATTCTTAAAATGCAGATAAAGAGGCTTTAATCAATTAGTTGTTATTAAAAAACTTAAAATTAAAAGAGGAAGGCGATAAAAAAAACAAACTTATAGAAATGCTCATTGATGATCGAACAGAAATCAAAAGAGTTACAAGTTTGCATCTTCCTTAAGATAAGGATAATTAACAATCAAAATCTAATTTTAGGTTATAAAGTCCCAATCATTTGGAATTTACTTTTTATAAAAGTCCTAGTAAAGGCTTGCCAAAAGAATTTCAAATCACTCCCTCTAAGAAAATGTTCTTCTGATAGAATATTTAAAACAGATTTTTTGATCATATATTTGTTCTAATATAATTATTTATATCGTGTCTTCAAAATGCATTAAGCTTAATATCATAATCTTTTGTGCTAAATATTTTAATAATACTGATAAAATCAATGTTATTAAATTAATTATATTCAATTCGTTATTATAAAATGCTTTTAATAATTTGCACAAAAGCTTAATAAATTTATCAAATAATTAACTCAAATATTAATAAACCTAGAAAATTTAAGCTCAACTAAATATTCTTGTAAATATAATGGACAAAGATTAAGAGACTAATAATTTGGCTAGCACTCCTAAAAATACTAGATAAGACTCTCCTTTAGATTATAAAGTAGAAGAAACAGATTCATTTTGGAATTACAATCTTCGACAAAAGGGAAATCTTAATTTACAAAAGATATTCGATTATAACCCCAAGAGTGATGAATTATTTTAATAGATTGAGCAAAATATTAAATTTCGATTAAAGCCATAAATTGATTAGGTAAATTATTACAATCTATAATATAAGTTTTTAAAAATAAATAAAATAAATGTAAAATTGCTTAAATATCCAAAAATTGAATGGATTCCATTAAAAAAATAAGCTTAAAAAATCAAAAAATCAAGCCTACCAATTGACACTTAAGTCTTTTTACTATTACACTACAATCAGAATTTTATAATCCACAATATATCACCATAATCTGTGCATTAATATACAAACTACTTTCAAATTGACTAAAATATAAAAGTATATGTTCTACTATTTTAGAGATTAGAAGTTTAAGATGTCCAATTTAAATACAATTTTACTACTGATTTAAGGGAAAAATTTAAATTAGAAATACTGAAAATTCCAAGAGATGTTTGGAGATCTTAGGATGGTATTATTGAAATGATAAATTTAAATTCAAAATTTGCTCTGCATAATTATGACATAAGTATTTAATGTTCTAAATATTTAGCCTAATTATATTCATTATATTTATATGTTGTAGAGCAATATAATATATCTCAATTAAATTTAGAAGAATTATAAACATTTTTAAAAGAAAAAATATCAAAAAAGAATATATCCTTAAAAATTAACTTATATTCGTTAGGTTTAATTTTTCTTTAATTTTAAAATTAATAATTTTTCAAAATAAAACCTACGATTTTCCAGAAAATAAATTGCATTTCACAATTTAACCTGAATGAAATTCAGCAACTTTCTTATAAATCATTTCAAACTCATGAATATATTGATAAAGAAAAGGCTTTTTTGTGTAATTCCTGCTTAAGATTTTCATCTAAATGCAATTGTAGCTTTAATAATCAGTTATCTTAATTAAGAAATCTCTTAGATTATTGCTAAGCTTTAAATTATAAAGTAAATGGTAAGAAAATTATATGGGTTAACGATGTTTTGTAATATAATATGAAATTTGCATGTAGTGTCAAGTGCTATAAGAATCCCAACAATTATAATCAAATTAAGAAAAACAACTTACCACAAAATCTACTTGATATCAAAAAAACGATAAAAATTGATTAAGATCCTTGCATTCTAGCTAATGTACATAAATTTGACTGCTTATAAATTTTTCTTTTAGCTAAACTTTAATATAACGAACTAAGAGATGAATACATAAAAGCTCTAAAGGAGATCTAATATGTAAAAGATTAAAACGCATTAATTAATAATCCATATAAATCTGCGTCATTATATATATCCTGCTGTCATAAATAAGATTTTCAATGTGAATAATGTAAATGTGAAACATTTTGTTCAAAATATTGTGATTGTCCTTCCAATTAATGCCTAAAAAAATTTAGGGGTTGTAATTGCAAGGATAGATGCTCTTTTGATGGCAGATGCTCTTGCAGAAAGGATAATATGGAATGTGATCCTTTAGTTTGTAAATGCTGTTCTATTGAATCTAACTTTATTTGTTCCAACACATAAATATTAATAAAAAATGTGAAACCTACCCTTTTAGCTAGATCTACAGTTTGTAGTGGACTTGGACTATTTTCAAAACAATTCATAATGAAAGGAGAATTAATTATTTTATATATAGGGGAAGCTATAATTGATGATGAAGACGAAATACGAGATTAATTTGATGATGCATTCTCATTCTACAATTACTAATTAAGTGATGAGAGATATTCGCTAGACAGTAGATTTTGTGGAAATGAAAGCAGATTCATCAATCATAACAGCCTAAATTTAAATAATTGTAGAACAAATCAAATTTTTACTTGTGGTAAAATTTAAGATAATCATTTTTATTTAGGTTAATATCAATTGGCTATATTTGCTATAAAAAATATCGATCCTGAATAAGAAATCTTATTGAATTATAATGAAGGAGAGTCACTTAATAAAGAAGTTCATAATTGGAATGAATAATAATAATAGTTTTGGAATTATTTATATAATACTGTTACAAAAGAAAGATGAATTATAATATTTTGTTACTTATTAGAATAGATTTATACACATTAGAATATTTTATTCAATGCTTCATTGGCATTTTGAGAGTTTTTCATAGACTTATAGATATTTTCTAAGATGAGAGAGCGAATTATTACAGATGTAAATAAACTATTTTTAAATAAAATTCTATACTTTGTATTTTTAGATAAAAACCTGAATAAGTTAAAGCAATCTTTGAGTGAAATTCTCCTGTTTAAAATGATAAAGATTGACGATCATATGAAGGCAATCATCTTTCTAATGTTATTGCTCCAATAAACTTTTCTCTTAAGTATTACAAAATTCCACGATTGTCTTTAGATTAAACTTCTTAAGAGTTCTATAATCTTCTTTTGTCTATGGGACATATCCGTAACAAATATTTTTATTCAGTTAGAAAATCATTTATTTTACCTTTGCCAGTCCATCCTAATAAACAAGTAAGGCGTCCTTATAATATGATTCTAAAATTAAGAAAACAATTATACATTCTTATTCTAAATTCAGCTTATAAACAGGGCTAGAAAATTCACTTTTAGTCAGAAAGTGATATTGATATTGAATCTAAGAATCTGTAATATCTAAGTGGCAAACATATTATGAGATCCCCTGTTTATTTTTCATTCTTATTCTTTTTTAAAATTGTCCCATAGGCTCTGGTGATCCAGAAATATAAACTTCGTAATTTGATGGATTCAAGCATTAAAAGCAAACTTTCCTGTAGTTCCAAACATCAATAGCATGATTGGTAGTTACTCTATTAGGTCCTGATTCCCACAAGATTGTTTAAACGCTCTCGTATTGAGAAATAAAATATTTATATTCCATTTCATGATACGCTACTTCCACTTCCCAAATATCATTCTAAGCTTAAATTATGTGTTACTTCAGTCCAATTCATTCTGATTGCTTATTTAGGATTCCATAACCCTAAATATTTTGAATTTCCAGAGACATACAATGCTAAACCGAATTCTGCTTTGAAATGGATTTTCAAATGAATCATTTCACAAAAGAGAGTGAATAAATAATTAATTTCAAAGGATTTATTTGAGATGCTTAAGATGCTGTTCTTAATGCGTAAGAATTTTAATATAAATTAGAAAATTGAACATTTAATGATTAAGTATAAAATTCACTTCAAATTTTGAATAACGATCACAAATTAGTTTACATATTATATAAATTATATCACTTTATGAATAACATAGCAAAATAATTTGAATGTATATTTATTTCACAAATTAAATTGCACTTTTTATATTGGCCTTATAAATTTATGATTAAATAATGATTTATCATCAAATTATAAAAAATGCATGTAAATAATTAGAATTAAATTTCATCAGTTAAGCTACTTCTAATTACATAAAATAAATTCCAACATATCATCTGATAATCAATAATAATATGATATTATAATTCTCTATATATAGCATTATTATTACAAAAAAAAATCAGTTATTTCAAAAAACTAGAAATTTTTTGGAATTCTTGAGAAAAAAAAAATAAAGTTTATTATTATTAATTTCATATCTCTATTTCCTAGAACTCTTAATTTATAGATTAAATCTTAAATATATTATGATTACTTGTTGCCGCAATAAGTTTTCTCTTATCCAAGATATATAAAATACTTATTCCATGATTCAAGATGCTTGTGTGAGTATGCTATAAAATCACTATCTTACAAAAAGAAATTTAAGTTGGGATATAAATTTGTACTATAGCTTGCGATTTTTGAGTACTCTTCCTAATAAAATGAGCAAATTTTTTCTCTGAAAATTCTACTCAGTGGTTTAATAGCATTTTTCATTTTTGTTTTTTTAAATATATTGTTATAAAAATAGATTATATAAAAATAGAATTGTATTTCATTTATATTATTACTCAAATATTTAATATTATTTTTGCATCTTTTATCTAAAATTGCTTTTATTAATTACCTTTATTGATTATGTTGATTTGAACTTTTAAATAGATAAGTTATATTCTTTTTATTTAAAGCAATGTTTTTTCATTGTCAACTTAATTATTCTCAGTATTTTCAATAGCAACTTGCAATTCTTTAAGCCTTAAACTGTATGATTCCTACGAACTCTCATCTAAATCATTTTAATTGGCTTTTTATATAGGCTTTAGTTAATTTAATACTGCGCATCGTAATGCACTTATAATTTATCAAAACTTCACTACTCCTTTGTTAGTCTAATTTGAATTGTTGCTATTACAGATTTTCAAAATTCATAATTCAATAGAAAGGCTAACAAGAATAAACAAGAGGATTGATAAGCATCAGTGCATATGATTATTCTTTTAAAAGTTTTATCGTAAGATTTTCATGATTAAAAATCAGATCAAATATTTTATAATTTAAAAAATTATAATTGTAAACTTATTCTTGCATATTAAAAAGAAACTTAAAGTCATTCCTTTCAAACTTAAATGTTGCTAAAATCAGCACTTTCAACAACTGACAATGCTTGCTCACTAATTCCAAGTTCTCTTGTAAATTCATTCTTTAAGTTGGTGTAGGTATCTGTTTCTTCAGCATAGGTGTTATTTTCTAATTCAAGTTCTGCTGTGTATTATTTTCTATCAGCTTCTCTTTAGTCTCTAAATTCACTTAATTAATCAATTTTTTCTAAATTAATTCAATTTATTTTTTACCATTTGTTGCAGTTAAATCAACATTAACTCTGTTGATTTACCTTTAGAATTCAGCATATTCAGCATCCAATTATTCGAGGTATTCTTCATGTTCAGCTTAAGCATCGGCTTCAGCAGCTGTTTAGGCATTAATTGAGTCAACAATAGCATTTCTAAATTCATTAAGGGCATCAACAATTTAGCCAATAATGCCTTAATCTGAGAAATTTTAATTTGAAGCTAATGTGATAAGTGCTTTAATCATTGGAGCCATCTTTGATCTTGATTTGATCTTTTATTCAATGCTTTTTAAGGAATTTTAGAATCTCTTAATCTAAAGAAGTGATGGATTTGTTAATGAGGAAAGGAGGGCTAGAGCATCATCAACAGCTGCAGTGGCATCATTCAATTCTGCAATTTAGAATTCAAAATCTTCATGTTCTTATTCTCTTGTAAGAACAGCTTCATCATAATTTTTTCTATTTGCTTCTTAGTTTTCTTAAATTTATTCGATTCTCACTTAGAGTTATTCTCTTCTTGGGAATAATAAATTATCTAAAGTATCCTATGTATTGTTAACATCTATGAATTTATAAGTAAAATACCGATCACAGCATCTTAAATATCTTATTCATATCCTATGACTAATGAATTGTGCTCATTTGTTCTCTATTAGAAATTGAATTCTAATTCTTCCAATTCTTCTTCAAGATCATTAATTAATTCTTCGATTGCATCAATCAACTCTTAGACTGGACCACCAGCCATGGAATGGAGTTCAACTAAATGAAGAAGAGCACTTCCATATGTACTCTTTTTCAAATCTGTTGTAATTTTTGAAAGGCTTCTTTCTTAAACTCTAGCTGTGAATGCAATAGCAATCAAGGCAATAAGAAATAATGTTTTCATTAAAATATATTTATGAAAATGAACACAATAAAAAGGCTTAGATTTACAACAAAAACGACTAGTTTATAAATTAAATATCAATTAAAACAACTATCAGATTCGGTATCAGCAGCTAAATACTCGCTGTTCCAATTCATTTACTTCTTCTACTATAATTTTAAGAGCTTCCTACTTACCTCTCGACAAAATTCTAATTAGTATTATTATTATAAAATTTAATATGGTTGCATTTCAGCTTTATTATTTTTTTTATTGCTAGAAGAAGCAGTTTTTCTGAGTACTTTTATCTCATTTCCTAACTGTAAATTAAATATATTTTAATACTTTGTATTTTCCATTGATGCCACCATTTATTGTTCTTTTATTTAATGAAGGGCGACTTAATGTGGATTCTGTAGTATTGATAAATTTTGTATTTTCTTTCTATTTTAATATATCTTAAAATGATATCAATTGTTGTTCTTATTTTGGTTATTTTACATTCATTATCAATTAAAGCCTTTTATCTTTAATTCTAAAATCATTTTATTCAAAAAATGAATTGGAGCACTCTTCTTTAAATTCTTATTTGATTGAATCGCATTAGCGTCTTTTTTCTATCATTTACTCTCTCTGTTTTTTTTTTAATTCTAATTTTAATTTTCTTAGTGATGAAAAACAATTTCTCAATTAAAATTGTTCACTCAATTTTGTCAAATACTTATAAAATAGAACAGATCTTGATTTTAATTTTAGAAACAACTCTAGTAATTATTAGTCTAATTAGTTTGCTGAAATAGTTCTTAATATTAAGAAACACTTAACTAAATCGTTACTAAATCTAAAATTTTTTAAATATTACGTACTTTTCAGAATAATCATCGCCAAAATTATCATGATATTTTTTTGATTCGAATTAAATCATTATACAAAGCATTCTGACTATTATTTAAAATACATACACATCCTATTAGGATAGCAGATATGTATTATTTTTTTCTACATCTTTTATAGGATAGATTTGATGTTCCAATAATTTTATCAATATTAATATTTATTTTTGTGCTTACAATCGATTACACAATTTTCGACAAAATTCAATCTATTCACATATCATGTCGACACACAATATGATGTTTTAATTATTACTCAATTATACAAAACATTCCTCCAATTTCTATTGAACATAATTTGGCAATGTCTATTCAACATAATAAGAGAAAAAGCTGCAATTCATTGATTTGTTTGAATTTAAATAAAAAATATTAACAAAATAATCAAAATATTTTCTGCTACTATTCTTTTCATAATGATAAATATAAATCAAAAAATAAATCTCAATAAATCTCAATATTAAGAATCATTCTAAATAAAATGAAAAACTGTCTTTGTAAGTTTAATAAGACGGTTAAATACATATTTATTTTTGTTTTACTGAAATTTTTTTTTAGAGGTGATCCATTAATAATCTAAATATTTTATACTTGAGAAAAAATATGACAATAATTTTAGTATTAAGAAGTTCCCTTTAATCTTTCTAATTATTATCTAAAGATTTTATTTATTATAAAGCCTTTTATTATTTTATTAGAAATTAAAATTCTATAAATGTAAAATTAATTTGAACGTATTCTTTCAAAATAAAATCTCTTAGTATTTTATTTGACTTATTCCATTAAAAAATCAAGGTTAATTAAATAATCTATTATGGCTTGGTGTCCTAAAAATATAGTTTTTATGTATATTTCATTGAGATATTAAATTCTAATTATCTAACTTCACTTTTTGTACAATGATTCTTATCTTTTACTAATGGTATCACATATTTTGGCATTAGTCAACCTCTAAAATGTTACCTTATCATTAATGGTTCTATTTTCCTTTCATATTAATTTCACATATCTTTTAAAACTATATATGAAATGATTTTATATAATTGCCTAATTTATATTATTTTCCTTGTCCTTAATTATCTGTGTAATAATCTTAAATCATTAATTTTCTTCATCTCGATAGATTAAATATTTTATTCGCTTTATCACCTTCTATTCCTAATATTCTTATATTTAAACTTCTAATATCTTTTTTTTAATTAGTTTCAATTAGTAAATATTTTCCAATTAAGTAAGCTAACTTCTCAACAATGAGATAAAATTTGGTGTTGAAATTAATTTTATTTCTTGTAAATTTAAAGAAAATAAGTAGTTTCTTAATAAATGCTTTACATTCAAAAACATTGATGTGATCACTCCTTTTGGATTAACAGTCAATATCATTTTTGACTTAATTGGAAACTTTAAATAAGATTAACTTTCATCCAGTATAAAGTTTTTGTTTTATTGAAAAAATAGCCTAATAGAAAATATCAAAATTATTTCAAATTTACGTTAAGTTCAAGTNCTGACTATTATTTAAAATACATACACATCCTATTAGGATAGCAGATATGTATTATTTTTTTCTACATCTTTTATAGGATAGATTTGATGTTCCAATAATTTTATCAATATTAATATTTATTTTTGTGCTTACAATCGATTACACAATTTTCGACAAAATTCAATCTATTCACATATCATGTCGACACACAATATGATGTTTTAATTATTACTCAATTATACAAAACATTCCTCCAATTTCTATTGAACATAATTTGGCAATGTCTATTCAACATAATAAGAGAAAAAGCTGCAATTCATTGATTTGTTTGAATTTAAATAAAAAATATTAACAAAATAATCAAAATATTTTCTGCTACTATTCTTTTCATAATGATAAATATAAATCAAAAAATAAATCTCAATAAATCTCAATATTAAGAATCATTCTAAATAAAATGAAAAACTGTCTTTGTAAGTTTAATAAGACGGTTAAATACATATTTATTTTTGTTTTACTGAAATTTTTTTTTAGAGGTGATCCATTAATAATCTAAATATTTTATACTTGAGAAAAAATATGACAATAATTTTAGTATTAAGAAGTTCCCTTTAATCTTTCTAATTATTATCTAAAGATTTTATTTATTATAAAGCCTTTTATTATTTTATTAGAAATTAAAATTCTATAAATGTAAAATTAATTTGAACGTATTCTTTCAAAATAAAATCTCTTAGTATTTTATTTGACTTATTCCATTAAAAAATCAAGGTTAATTAAATAATCTATTATGGCTTGGTGTCCTAAAAATATAGTTTTTATGTATATTTCATTGAGATATTAAATTCTAATTATCTAACTTCACTTTTTGTACAATGATTCTTATCTTTTACTAATGGTATCACATATTTTGGCATTAGTCAACCTCTAAAATGTTACCTTATCATTAATGGTTCTATTTTCCTTTCATATTAATTTCACATATCTTTTAAAACTATATATGAAATGATTTTATATAATTGCCTAATTTATATTATTTTCCTTGTCCTTAATTATCTGTGTAATAATCTTAAATCATTAATTTTCTTCATCTCGATAGATTAAATATTTTATTCGCTTTATCACCTTCTATTCCTAATATTCTTATATTTAAACTTCTAATATCTTTTTTTTAATTAGTTTCAATTAGTAAATATTTTCCAATTAAGTAAGCTAACTTCTCAACAATGAGATAAAATTTGGTGTTGAAATTAATTTTATTTCTTGTAAATTTAAAGAAAATAAGTAGTTTCTTAATAAATGCTTTACATTCAAAAACATTGATGTGATCACTCCTTTTGGATTAACAGTCAATATCATTTTTGACTTAATTGGAAACTTTAAATAAGATTAACTTTCATCCAGTATAAAGTTTTTGTTTTATTGAAAAAATAGCCTAATAGAAAATATCAAAATTATTTCAAATTTACGTTAAGTTCAAGTACTCATATCTTTATTTCCTGTTATCTATTTATCTTTAAGAATTGATGAGGGATTAATAAATTCTTGATTAATAGAAACTATGTGATATTAATTAATAAATGGCTTGTTATTTAATAAGCAAAACACTCTTTTCAATTTTTTGAAAATCTAATACTTTTTAATAGATACAATAATTATAGTTTGTTAATTTCTGTAAAATTTTTCTTAAAAGATGAAATTTGACAATAAAATAATTATTGAATTGATAGTTTAAAGTGCACAGAATCAATATTATTTTAAGATCTTACTTATGAATAAATAAACGTTAAACTCCCATTTTTATTATTGATTAAAACTTCAGGAATGATTATATCTTTACCAATATTTTTATTTTAATAAAATATTACTTAACAATTGTTGTCTTTATTTAAATTTTTAGGCTTTTTTCTTTAGAAATAGATCTTTTATGCTTTAAAAAATTAATTAAAGTCAACTTCAAAAACAGGTAGGAAAATAACAAATCTATAATTTATAATATACTAGAGATTAGATATGATATATAAAAGAGTGGAATTAAGATCCCTCTAATGATTCTTTGGTATAAATAAATATTATTATTTTTTAATGCAATTTATTTATTAGTACATTATATTATAAAAATTCCTAATCTCTTTTGCTTTCCAAACTAAATTATAAGATATACCAAAAGATATTTTAAATTTAAGTGGATTCAATCATTTCTATCATTACAATAGTTATAAAATTTGATAATATTTTTAGAAACTAATTTCTATTGTTCTTCATTACAAATATAACAATAATAAACTAATAAATAATGATTATAATTAAAAATTTGTACCTTTTGTCCGCAAAAATTAAACATAAAAACGGATTATAAAATTTATTATGAAATAATTGATTCTAGTCCTTCTGCTAGTTGCTGTTGCCAACTAAACAAAATCAAATGATTAAATGACTTTAGGAAGAGGTATGAATAAACATTATCAAAAGAATTGAAATTAGAAGAAGCATTTCATTTAAGTATAGATCGATTCAATTGTGAAATGGAGCCAAGATTCTACGATTTTGTCATCCAAGAGCTTTTTAAATGGGTCGATATTATTGATAATCAATAAAAATTACAGACCGATCTCTAAATAATTGAATAAATAGTTAAATTAGTGGAAAAAGTTAAGCATATTGAAGGAATTTAGCAAGGTAATAATTTATGAAATTATATACAGAAATGTTTTTACAAATTAGTGAAAGACTTTCATCATCAGTCTTGGAAATCTCCCTAGCTCAAGAATAAAGTAATTGGGCAAAATTTAGTATTGATGAAATATTATAATAAATGAGGGAATTTTCTTAGGTTACTACATAAAATGAAAGAGCTACAAAAGCAAATACAATAATTAAAAATTTATATAATATGGAACGACAACTGGAATAATATTTAAATTAGAGTTATTAATATCAAAATAGTTAAGAATTGTATAAAAAAATATAAGAGCTTTAGAATAAAAAAGAGTTATGTTAAAGCTAATATCCAAAAGACTATACTGGGTCAACAAGATTAAAACCAGGAAGATCAGATTTAGCCGAGTCCGATGATCCAAGATTTGATAATTAATCATCCCACTAATAAGCAGCAAATCAGGACAAACCATTTTAAGCTAACCCAAATTATCAAGGATCTCCAAAGGAATCCAGATAACCTTCAACTAGATTACCACCAGGTCGATCTGATTAATTGGAATCTATTGATCCGAGATATGATAATTAATCATCTCACTAATAAGCAGCAAATCAAGACAAACCCTTTTAATCAAATCCAAATTATCAAGGAGGTCCTAAAGAATTGAGATAGCCATCAACTAGACTTCCTCCAGGGAGATCAGATTAACCAGAATCTAATGATCCAAGATACGACAATTAATCATCTCATTAGTAAGCAGCAAATTAAGACAAACCCTTTTAATCAAATCCAACATATTAAGGAGCTCCAAAAGAATCGAGATAACCTTCAACTAGACTTCCTCCAGGGAGATCAGATTAATTGGAATCTATTGATCCGAGATATGATAATTAATCATCTCACTAATAAGCAGCAAATCAAGACAAACCCTTTTAATCAAATCCAAATTATCAAGGAGGTCCTAAAGAATTGAGATAGCCATCAACTAGACTTCCTCCAGGGAGATCAGATTAACCAGAATCTAATGATCCAAGATACGACAATTAATCATCTCATTAGTAAGCAGCAAATTAAGACAAACCCTTTTAATCAAATCCAACATATTAAGGAGCTCCAAAAGAATCGAGATAACCTTCAACTAGACTTCCTCCAGGGAGATCAGATTAATTGGAATCTATTGATCCGAGATATGATAATTAATCATCTCACTAATAAGCAGCAAATCAAGACAAACCCTTTTAATCAAATCCAAATTATCAAGGAGGTCCTAAAGAATTGAGATAGCCATCAACTAGACTTCCTCCAGGGAGATCAGATTAACCAGAATCTAATGATCCAAGATACGACAATTAATCATCTCATTAGTAAGCAGCAAATTAAGACAAACCCTTTTAATCAAATCCAACATATTAAGGAGCTCCAAAAGAATCGAGATAACCTTCAACTAGACTTCCTCCAGGGAGATCAGATTAATTGGAATCTATTGATCCGAGATATGATAATTAATCATCTCACTAATAAGCAGCAAATCAAGACAAACCCTTTTAATCAAATCCAAATTATCAAGGAGGTCCTAAAGAATTGAGATAGCCATCAACTAGACTTCCTCCAGGGAGATCAGATTAACCAGAATCTAATGATCCAAGATACGACAATTAATCATCTCATTAGTAAGCAGCAAATTAAGACAAACCCTTTTAATCAAATCCAACATATTAAGGAGCTCCAAAAGAATCGAGATAACCTTCAACTAGACTTCCTCCAGGGAGATCAGATTAATTGGAATCTATTGATCCGAGATATGATAATTAATCATCTCACTAATAAGCAGCAAATCAAGACAAACCCTTTTAATCAAATCCAAATTATCAAGGAGGTCCTAAAGAATTGAGATAGCCATCAACTAGACTTCCTCCAGGGAGATCAGATTAACCAGAATCTAATGATCCAAGATACGACAATTAATCATCTCATTAGTAAGCAGCAAATTAAGACAAACCCTTTTAATCAAATCCAACATATTAAGGAGCTCCAAAAGAATCGAGATAACCTTCAACTAGACTTCCTCCAGGGAGATCAGATTAATTGGAATCTATTGATCCGAGATATGATAATTAATCATCTCACTAATAAGCAGCAAATCAAGACAAACCCTTTTAATCAAATCCAAATTATCAAGGAGGTCCTAAAGAATTGAGATAGCCATCAACTAGACTTCCTCCAGGGAGATCAGATTAACCAGAATCTAATGATCCAAGATACGACAATTAATCATCTCATTAGTAAGCAGCAAATTAAGACAAACCCTTTTAATCAAATCCAACATATTAAGGAGCTCCAAAAGAATCGAGATAACCTTCAACTAGACTTCCTCCAGGGAGATCAGATTAACCAGAATCGAGTGATCCAAGATATGATACTTAATCATCTCACTAATAAGCAGCAAATTAAGACAAACCCTTTTAATCAAATCCAACCTATTAAGGATCTCCAAAAGAATAAAGATAGCCTTCAACCAGATTACCTCCTGGGAAGTTTGATTAATAAGAATCTAACGACCTTAGATATGATCATCAATCATCTCATTAGTAAACTGCTAATCAAGATGAACCTTTTTAGTCAAATCCAAAATATAAATAGTTAAGACATTAAAAAATTGTGCATTTACATAATGAATATGAAGGCGAAGTTTCAATTGCCTTTGAAGATTAAGTTTGTCCATAAGGGGAGGAGGATGATACACCATTTAATAGAAATGTTGACGAAGATGATGATAAAGAATATTCTAGACAGATTGAATAAGACAGCGAAGAAGAAGAAGAAGAAGAAGAAGAAGAAGAAAAAGAAAGTTAATATAATGAAGAGCAGGTTGACTCTCAAAGTACAGAAGATGGACAGGGGGTGTAATAATCAGAGGAAACAGAAATCGAAGAAGAAGTTATTGTGAAAAAAAGTAACCCATAACTTCAATCTCCTAGATTACCAAAATAACAAACATAAAAATAAAGTGGCTCATAATAATAATAATAAAGAGCATAAGCATCATAAGAAGAACCTAAAGAATAATAGCCTTCATAATAAGAAGAACCTAAAGAAGTAGAGGAAGAAGTTATTGTTAAAAAAAGTAACCCATAACTTCAATCTCCTAGATTACCAAAATAACAAACATAAAAATAAAGTGGCTCATAATAATAATAATAAAGAGCATAAGCATCATAAGAAGAACCTAAAGAATAATAGCCTTCATAATAAGAAGAACCTAAAGAAGTAGAGGAAGAAGTTATTGTTAAAAAAAGTAACCCATAACTTCAATCTCCTAGATTACCAAAATAACAAACATAAAAATAAAGTGGCTCATAATAATAATAATAAAGAGCATAAGCATCATAAGAAGAACCTAAAGAATAATAGCCTTCATAATAAGAAGAACCTAAAGAAGTAGAGGAAGAAGTTATTGTTAAAAAAAGTAACCCACAACTTCAATCTCCTAGATTACCAAAATAACAAACATAAAAATAAAGTGGCTCATAATAATAATAATAAAGAGCATAAGCATCATAAGAAGAACCTAAAGAATAATAGCCTTCATAATAAGAAGAACCTAAAGAAGTAGAGGAAGAAGTTATTGTTAAAAAAAGTAACCCACAACTTCAATCTCCTAGATTACCAAAATAACAAACATAAAAATAAAGTGGCTCATAATAATAATAATAAAGAGCATAAGCATCATAAGAAGAACCTAAAGAATAATAGCCTTCATAATAAGAAGAACCTAAAGAAGTAGAGGAAGAAGTTATTGTTAAAAAAAGTAACCCACAACTTCAATCTCCTAGATTACCAAAATAACAAACATAAAAATAAAGTGGCTCATAATAATAATAATAAAGAGCATAAGCATCATAAGAAGAACCTAAAGAATAATAGCCTTCATAATAAGAAGAACCTAAAGAAGTAGAGGAAGAAGTTATTGTTAAAAAAAGTAACCCACAACTTCAATCTCCTAGATTACCAAAATAACAAACATAAAAATAAAGTGGCTCATAATAATAATAATAAAGAGCATAAGCATCATAAGAAGAACCTAAAGAATAATAGCCTTCATAATAAGAAGAACCTAAAGAAGTAGAGGAAGAAGTTATTGTTAAAAAAAGTAACCCACAACTTCAATCTCCTAGATTACCAAAATAACAAACATAAAAATAAAGTGGCTCATAATAATAATAATAAAGAGCATAAGCATCATAAGAAGAACCTAAAGAATAATAGCCTTCATAATAAGAAGAACCTAAAGAAGTAGAGGAAGAAGTTATTGTTAAAAAAAGTAACCCTCAACTTCAATCTCCTAGATTACCAAAATAACAAACATAAAAATAAAGTGGCTCATAATAATAATAAAGAACATAAGCTTAATAACCTGCATCATAAGAAGAACCTAAAGAACAATAAACTTTATAATAAGAAGAGCCTAAAGAAGTAGAGGAAGAAGTTATTGTGAAAAAAAGTAACCCTCAACTTCAATCTCCTAGATTACCAAAATAACAAACATAAAAATAAAGTGGCTCATAATAATAATAATAAAGAGCATAAGCATCATAAGAAGAACCTAAAGAATAATAGCCTTCATAATAAGAAGAACCTAAAGAAGTAGAGGAAGAAGTTATTGTTAAAAAAAGTAACCAAAAACTTTAATCTCCAAGATTACCAAAATAACAAACATAAAAATAAAGTGATTCATAATCATAACAAAAATCACAAGCTTAAGAACCATAATAAGCTGTTGAAAACCAGCATGAATTGAAAACTGAAGATCCAGCTCCAGAGACTAGCAATTAATAAATTAAAGAAGCTGAGGAATTAAAAAATGATGATATTCCTGCAGAAGCTCAAGGATCATCGAATTAAGAGGATAATAATGATTATGCAGATGAAGACTCAAAAGATCCTGATGGTAATTAACTTGCATAAGAAGGAGAGCCTTAAGATATTGAAGAAGGAAAAGAAGAATATGTAGAAGTTGAAGTAGAAGTTGAAGAAGAAGTTCCAGACGGAAAAGGAGGAAAGAAAAAGATTAAAAAATTAGTGAAGAAACTTGTTAAAAAAACCAAATAAAAGTTAGCTAAATTAGGAAAAAATATTAAAAAATCTGTTATTAAAAAACCATCCTCTCAAAATCAAGCAAAAAATGATTCAACTGAATAATCAAAAAGCGAAGGATAAATTCCATTAACTACATCAACTACCTCATCAAAACCAATTTAAAAAAAAATTCTTTTCAATTCAGGCTCTGATACATAAATGGAAACAGAAGAGTAAGAGAATTCTTAAATCAGCTCTTAACCGGAAGATAATTATTTTTACTTTGAGGAATTTGAAGACAAAATTATCTATTATGAATTTGATCCAGTTGATAACGCATTCAAAAAATCGTCTGTAGTTCAAAAAACTAAAAATTAGAGATCATTAATTATACAATCCTGGGATGACTAGTTTGATTCATTCTCAAATGAAGAAAGCTAGGATAATAATGGAAAACAAGAAGGTGACTAAGATACAGCCACTGAATAGGATGAATAGAAATAATAAAAGAACAAGAAACCTCAGGCAGAATCTGAAAAATAATAAGATAATTCATAGAAATAATAATCATAAGAAAGTTTTAAATCTGATATTAATAGTTAAAAATAGAAAGAATAGCAATCAACTAATTAGTTAAGTGATTAATAAAATCCAGTAATAAATAGTAAGGAAGAAAAAAATCCTAAAGAGGCTAGCTAACTTGTTTCTGATTTATTAAAACATGAAAAAACAAAAGTCGAAGAAACATAGAACAAGGAAAATAAATAAATAGCTAAAGAAATAGAAAGAGATAGCTCTATTAAAATACATTCTCTAAAGGATGAATACAATTCTAATGAGCCTACTTAATATATTCCTCCTAAACATAAGATAAACACAAGACCATCATAAGAAAAAATAATTATTCCTGTGTCAACCAAATACGTTTCTAGTGCATTTGATGGAGAACCAGCTGAGCAATATGAATTTGCAGATCGGGAAATGCTTTAGGATTCAGATGAGTATGGATATGGATTTTGGTTAAGATACACAGAAAGTGCTCCTAAATTACATTCTCGTTAAGCTTAAACCTTTTATTTTATCTCGAGATTGACATCTAATTAAGATTATAAAGATTTCACATTTTATGGAGATAGAACCCTGTCCATCTTTTTATTAGAGAATACTTTTGTTTTCTCAACTTATGACCATGGAGATAAAAAAAAGGTAAAGGACTCCGTTGTTGCTCTAAATGAAGAATTAGAAAGCATGTGGTATTTCATAACTTTCTCTTACAGTTTGGCTAAAAAGTCAGCTATTGGTTTTGTATTAGGTTATGGAAATAATGGTAAGCTCTTGAAAACAGAAATATCATGTTTACATGTACCTCCCACCTATTTTAAGTTAATAATAGGAGGCAAACATCTTGCTTATTAAGGATTTAATGGATAATTTGCTAATATCTTCTATGATATAGATGCCCCAGCATTTATAGACTCTGAGTAAAAATTAAACGAATTGATAAAGACTGTAAGCAATCCTCCACAAGCAGTTAATAGTTTGACTGATTTGGAAGTTTTAACAACTCCTATATAATTTAGTGCTAATGATAAAGGAGATTCTTAAGAATTGAATCCATAAGAATCTTCTCTAATCATCGAGGAGTATAGCATAGCAGGTTGGTTTAGATGGATTGATGATTTAAAAGTTGATGAATAAAATACTTTCTAAATATTTAATTTAAGATCAACTCAAAAAAAACAACCTAATAAAGGTGTGTTAGGAGACAGAGCCTTAGAAATTCATTACACATATGGTGGAGGAGCAAAGAGCACAGTCTATTTTAATACTTATACAATATAAGGTAATAAAGCAAAAGGTTCATCATACATTTCAAAAAATGTTGAATCTCCAAATTTGATTTGGACCTATGTATATTTTGGATATGATAACGATAAATTAAAAACTTTTGGAGCATTAATTAGACCAGGTAAAGCAGATGAAGTTGTTTTGGACCCAATATAACACAAATTAGTAACGAAATTGTATTTCACTATTGGAGGAGATGAATAAATATCTTCATTTAACGGAAAGATTGGATATGTTGGAATATATTTAGGACCAGGAGCATTTAAATAGAGTCTTGATTTTGGTTAATAATATTTCTATGGTGACGGAGCTGTTGGAGTTTATCAACTTGTGAAACCAATACAATACAAGGATGATGCATCAGACCCAAATTAGGTTAGAGACTCTTAATACGATGCTGAATAGCCAATAGTTGACAAAATCTTATTGCATGATGATAATAAATTGAGACTGAATGGTTAAAGTGAATATTCATTCGGTTTGTGGACAAGGTGGCTATAGACTTTACCTAAATTTTTAGCCTCAAGAGGAGCTGTACACAATATAGCAAGATTTGGTACAGCACCTTATTTAATTGAACAAGTAGATGGAAAATTAAAGCGTGCAAATACTAGACCTTCAACAGAAAAAGACCAAACTCTAGCAGTTACATTAAGTAAGGATGCTTATGAGTTTTATACTTACAAGGCCAAAGATGAAATTTAGTTTGATAATATTGAAGGTTCTTGGAATTACGTTTACTTTGGTTATAAGAGAGTTGGTAATAATGGTATAGCCAAGGGATATGTTTAGTTTGGATTAGAGGGAGAAATCAAAGAGGTAGTTTTTGATATTTTGCATGATTTCCTCTTGGAATATGTTGAATTTGTTATTGGAAAAAGTTAAGCTCCTCTTTTCAATGGATAATTATGTAAGATTTAATGTTCCATCGGTCCAGGATCTTATATAAGTTCAACTGATGATTTAAAATTATATACATAAAACACTCTTCCAGATAAGGCTCAAATTCGTCCCATAAGCAGATAAACTCAATAATTAATTGGAACACCAGTTGATTAACCCAGTTAGAAATTTTAATTTGATAAGTTCCAGGGTATTAAAGAATATAGCATCTCTGGATGGGTAAAGTGGAGCGGAGCATAGAAACTTGGAAAAACATTCCACATTGCATCAATGGCTTAAAAGAAATTAGATGATCTAAATGGTAAATTTGAATAGACTTTACAAATCCTGAGATCTGATTAATCATACAATTTTAACACATATTCATGCAAAGGAGATGATTGCTCAGGCGTGGTTACATAAGAATAGCAATTAGGAGAATACTGGGATTAATGGACCTATATTTATTATGGTTATTCATAGGTAATGAAGAAAACATTTGGATATGTTAAATTCACATTTACTGATGCTAAATTCAATTAAGATTAGGTGACTCATTTTTATGTAGCAGTTTTTTCAATTATCATTTCTTCTGAAGAATAGAAATTTTAAGGATCCATGAAGACTTGGGTTATAAATGTAGGTGAAGGCTCATATAGAGAAGGCAATTTTGATTCAGATGAGAACATTAAAGTGCATTTTGGATTTGTTAGTGGAACTGATCATATTAAATTGGAATAGGCGGGATAAGAAGCTCATCATAATGAATAAGTTCTTGAATGTGGGGCAAGTGAAAAGGATGTTCCTTTGCATGTTCAATTTGAACAAAGTGAAAAGTTACATCTCCATGGTGTCAGTGAATATGGTTACGGATTTTGGGCTAGATTCTAGCATTTTGGTAAGAAAGGCATTTTGTATTAATAACCCTAATGGATGGGTCTAGCAAGATTGACATCATAAAAAGACTATAAGGACTTTGAATAACCTGGAGACAGAGTGTTATTGATCCTCTAAGGTAAAGGTGTTCATCATTTTTCAACTTATAATGTGCAACCTTAGTCCAACAATGTAAATGGAAACATTCCATATTTAATTGAATCAGAAAGTGAATGGACTTACATTTATTTCAGTTATAAAAGAATATCCTAAACAGTTGGACATGCAGTTGCTTTTACTTCATATAATGACATTACAGCTGGTATTTAAATGGATGTTCTTCATAATTTATTGTAAGATTATTTGTAATTAACCGTTGGTCATGCAGGTAAATTCTATCCTAATTTCAATGGGCAAATAACTACAGTGAGATTTAACCTTGGTCCTGGAGCCTTTATTGATAATAAATAAGGCATTTTGGCAAGAATTAAGAATAAAGATCCAAAGCCAGAAATAATTTCAAATCAAAAATAATTTGAAGTTATTGCAGGAAAGCAAGATGCTACCAATCTGAAAATTGAAAATCCCATTGTTATTGAATAAGAAGCAAGAGAATATTCGGTTTAATTATGGTTTAGATGGTTTAAGACTGCAACAAAACCAAATTAAGTAATTTACAGATTAACATCTAATAAAGGAGAAGATGATGCTAAAAATATCGGTGATAAAGCATTAATGCTTGCTCATATTGGAACAGCCTTATTCAGCACATATTCATTGTAAGATTACACTTTAAATATTCCATACGAATGCAATATACCTAAATAGTAATTGGAGATTTGGACCTTTGTTTACTTTGCTTACTCCAAGAAGGAGAGAAAGATCCAATATTATCTAAGAGCAGATACTCATGAAAATAAAGGTCTTGAGCCAGTTTTACATGCTGTGGCTTCGAAATATCTGTTATTTGTTGCAAGAGATGGACTTTTGGAAAACTACTCTAGCAGATTAGCATAACTTACAGTCAACTTTGGAGAAGGAGCATTCAGAAATGATAATTTCCTTTAGTTACCAGTTTATATTTTAGCACCTAAATTGTTTTCATAAGAGAAAATTCACAAGTGGGAAAAAGGTGAGAAATTAATACTTGGATAATCTTAGACAATTAGGTTTAATGATCAACCAGATAAACCTATCGAATCTATGTAAGAATATAGCATTGGATTCTGGTGCAGATTCTTGTAAGCTTGGCCAGAAAGATAGTATAGATTACCACTTGAAATGCAATTAGTTAGATTGACTTATAATGAAAAACTAGAGGTTGGAAAAGTAGCTCTTGGAGATAGAATTTTGGCTTCTCACCTTGTATAGAGTGGATTTTAATTTTCAACTTATGATTTAAATGATGATGCTCCTAATGAATTACACCAAATTCCTAATTAGAGAATTGAAGGCTAATGGCATTATATTTATATGGGATATATCAGATCTAAATAAGTAGCATCCTTCTTTGTCTACGATGGTTAAGATATGTAATCAGCCAAGAATTAAGATGCTTTACATAAACCCCTTGGGGATTTTGTCATTTTACACATTGGTGGAGAACCAGAAGTTCCATCTTTCTAAGGAATAATGAGTAAGATAGCTCTAAGCTTCGGACCTGGAGCTTTCTTTGGTTTGGCAGAGGAGGTCAAAAAAACAATTGATAATTCATATGCATTAGATTAATCTCTAACAGTAGGATTTATCCATAAAGAGAAGCATGGATAATAAGAGTTAATAGGTAAATTAGAAAGCGTAACAGATGAAATAGGAGGAACAGAATTAAAGGGAGAGACATGGTCATCTGTTGGTGAATATGCAATTAGTGGATGGTTCAAGGCATCTGAAGTAAGTGGATAAAGTGCTAATGATTGCTAAGTATTATTTAGGGTTACCAATAATGATCGAGAGCATTTAAATGATAAGAGATCTTAAGGAGATAGAACATTATTTGCATCTGTTTGTGTTGATTCCCTTAGATTGTCAACTTATACATTGAGTGGATTGAAGGATTGGAATGAGGCTAAATTTTTAGAAGAAAATGTGCCATTAGGTCCTAATAAGAGAGCATGGATTTATATTTATATGGGTTATAATGAAGACATATAAGAAGTACATGCACTAGTTCACTTATTTGAGGAAGACAAGCCTTTGATATTCAAAGGAGTTTAGCATTTTGTTCCACATTATACTGGAATTTATGTAGCTAAAGATCCATTTACTAAGAGATTTTAAGGTGAAATTTAGCAATGGGTGGCCTCTTACGGATTTGGAGCATTTGTGAGTGTATAAAAGAGAGGTTATGAAGATCTATTACTTAATTATAATGCTCTGGCAATTAATCAAAAGTACATGTGGTTCAATAAAGAAGATAAAGTTGTTGAGACAGAAAAAACAATAGTATAAGAATTTACTTCGGAAGCTGAATCAGTTGATGAATATTCTATCGGATTATGGACTAGATGGTTAGTATCTTTCCCAACAACTTTAACTGAGAGATAACCACAACACAATATTTTCAGATTCTCATCTAATAAGTAAGATTAGGATAAGAGTGAATTAGGTGATAGAGTACTTGCTGCATACCTAACCATAGGTAATTATGAATTTAGCACATATGATATAAACAAACCTTCTAATGCTCTAGATGCTAAATTACCATATGTAGAATTAGAAGGAACTTGGACTTATGTTTATGCAGCTTACAAGAGCGGACAATTTTATGGCATGGTTCTGTTCAGAGAATAATAGAAGGCATAGCATGTTGAACTTTAAGTTTAACATAGAGCATTGACAGGTTATGCTAAATTTGTTATGGGGGCAAAAGAGTTTGGAAGGAAAGGATTCCATGGTTGGTTATTCGACCCAAGAATCTTTTTAGGAACTGGGGCATTCATAAATGAAGGCTAGAAAGTTGTTGATATGGTCTTAAAACTTCATCGCAAATTACCAGTACCAGCTCTTGATGCAGAAGACTTTAAATGGCCAGTAAATATTATTGATACAACATTGTCTGATGATATTAATGATAAAAAAGACAAATTATAATTTGCTTTCACCAACAAAGTAGGTCTCTTAGAATACAGTTTCGGATTTTGGATGCAAAATGGCGTTTTATAACCTGAAATGTCAGATGATTTAAGAGGACTTGTTAGACTGACTACTAATAATGAAGGTTCAGATGAACGATACATTGGAGATAGAACATTAGCAGTTTTCACCAAGGTTGAGTAGTTGGTTGCATGCACTTACACACTTAAAGACCCTTCTTTCGAACCAGTTTCACATTAATTCGATTTGATTCCTTATTAATGGACTTATGTGTACTTTGGATACACATAAGGAAAAGCTAGAGCTTATGTTTTAGGAATCAAAGGACCCTCAGAGTAAATCTTCTCAGTAAAACATGCAGTTCCAAATGCATTCTATTTAAATGTCATTAAAGATCAATCCCATCCTCTATTTTATGTATGATTAATATAATATTCTTAGGGTAAATTCTATGGATTAAAAGTCAATTTCGGCTAAGGTAGCTATATAGAAAATCCTTAAGAAATGATAGAGAAATGGCCCTATGATCCTAAAACTTTACCAGTTCCTGAACCAAAGGAAGAGAAAGTATTAGCTCTTAATTCTGCAAAAGTAGATAGAGCTCCAAATACTTAACATGAGTAATTCAAAGAATGAAAATTTTAACATAGAAGTAATTAATATCCTTTTAATTTCTTTAATAAATATCTATTTTTATAATTCTGAAATCCATATAGTTAAGGTCACTTTTAACTCTGATATTACATTAAAGTAATCTCCTCTTTTATTGCTTGATATTAATTACGAATAAATTATTTATAAATTTTGACATGTGAAAATTTAAATACTCATTATTTAATCAGCCTAAATATTATTGGATACGCTTCATAATTTTTAAAGTGGACTCCTTACAAGGAATAGATATTAATTATGCAGTAGAGGGTTTGTAATTTTATTATTATTGATAAGGTTTAATTTTGCCTTTTTTTAGTAATTCTTTAAGATTATTACTTTGCTACTTGTCTAAATTCATAAGCATCGGTACAATATCAAAATCATTAATAAAATCTTTAGAAAAACTAGGTTAAGATTAAGGTTGTTTTGGTAGTTTCATCTTTATTCTTTATCGACTTGAATTTCTATATTAGCCACGATAAGACATTATTTCTTAATATTAGTTTTTGTCAAATATATTTTAGGATTGTGTTGACCTGTGAGTTTTTATATATTATTGTGAATTAGTTGGAATCTTAGTAATTTAAATATGAAATTATGATTTAAAGTTGTTGGAATCTATTCTTTTTCTATTCTATTAGTCTATACATCTACTATTTAGCCAGTTAGATTTAATTTGCTTTTTTTTTAGTAATTGTTCTCTAAACCAATGGTACCGTTGACATAATAGGTATATGTCAGTAATTTTGACTCCATATAATTTACATTTGGTTGTTGTAGCGCATTTGTATTAATATTAAGTGTTATCAAATGACTCTTCTCCCAATAAACATCCCTAATTGACCCTGGCCAAAGCATTATGGTCATCATTAATTTGGCATTCCCCTGAAACAAGAACATAAATATATGTCAAAAATTATCCTTTCTAATAAATAGTGTTGTTAGGATTATATTTAAATTTTATAAATTTGCTCATTAAGGTTTTAATTAGTTAATGCATTTCTGTTTCAGATTCAGCAATTTCACTTACAAAACCTGCTTCTAATTGTCTATAAATTTTGGATTATTTTTAAATTTTGATTTAATTCTCTACATTTTAATAATCACTTAAATTCATCTAAATTATTACACAATCAGTTAGTGCAAGGAGCATAGTGTTGTGTTTTTTCAACAGAGGATCATTATTTAATAATTCACCTTCTTGAAATAAATGAGTTTGTTTTATGTTACAAACGCATTGATTTAATAAATATTAAAAGTATGATTCATTGTGCAATGTTACGCCTTTTAAAAGTAAATGCAATTCTGTATTTAAAGCCTGCAAGTATTATTGAGGTAATTGAGGAAAGCGGTTATGCCGTATGCTGCTCGTTCTTTTCAATTCAATCTTTTAAGGTATTTCACAAACTTATGCTCTACGAAGTCTGGGTTGATCATTGATTGTAAAACTTAATAAACCATTTAGTTAGTATGTAGTAGTAACTTTTCGACCTGGTCTATCTATAAAAATATCTGATTTGTATAACTTAATTAGGCTTTTTCTTTTTTCTTCTAATTCATCCTCTTAGATTTCTTTATACTCCTATATTTAGCCTGAGTACAAGATCATAATTTTATCCTATCTATCATTAAATTTCCAAAGGATTGAACCTTCATTATGAATTAAAACTACCTTATTCGTAATTTGTCAGCACGGCATTTTGTGCCATCACATGAAGCAAGGCCTTATACAGTTTAGTTTTTGTTTAATTAAGTAAGAGATCAAAATATTATAAGCAAATCAATTGATCTTCTATGGCTAAATGATCTTTATGACATCTTTCATCTGGCTCTTTTTGCAATAAATATAATAGCATAATTAATCAATGTAAAGCAACTAATTTTACTTAAGCAGGAATAATAGAAATTATTCAAATATTTATTATAAATGCTATTGCAATTTAATCCTTTAACTTATGTATTAACTGGAATCAGTATTTAATATATGAGCTATACATATAAATTTAAATTAAAATGTAGGAAAGGCTTTCGAATGATTTTCAACTTATATCCTTGTTCATAGGAAATGAATAAATTATTGCAATATTGATGAATTAAGAGAACTTTTAAATATAATTAGAGTGTTTTTTTATTATTAAAATAGTTTAAAAATAAATCAGAATTAAACTTATTTCTTATCAAAGTAACTGATTGTAATCATTAATAAGCGTGAATTATTTTAAAATCAAAATAGATCTACAAATTTCTGTTCCCTATGGAATTAATATCTAAATATATATTTTGAAATTATACTTTTTTTCCTTCCAATTAAAATAAGTCTTAATCTATTTCAGGGTGTTTTTATAAAGAGATGGCAACAATATTTGGATAGAAAATAAATTATAAGGTACAATCCTTAGTATTCAAATACCGGGTCTTTTTTGGCTCGCTTATATTTTAAACAGCAGAAATTTCAAATAATGTGGGTTTGTTTAATTGCTTTAGGTTTTTCAAATCGATAGGTTTAGCTATTTTTGCAATTGGACTCTCAAAAATGAACTTAATAATTTAAGGTAAACTCTAATTTTCTACTCTTTTCAAAAATTCATCTGAATATTCAAGCGAAAATTTTTTAATTATATCAATTTTATTCATAAAAATATTGAATTATATAATTCATATTAAAATGACCTTAAAATATGAATAACACAGGGTGAATGATTATATATATATTTAAATCTATTTATAAAAACAAAATCAGATTTATAGATAAATGTTTATAGGGTTACCCAATTATAATCCATCTGCTAATTGAACAAAGAGTATTTTGGCTGCCTAAGAGATGTCTTGTACTTTTCTTTACATCTCAAGAGTAGCTTTAATTATGTTATCCTCAATTTAAGAAATCTTATTAAGCTCACTTGTTCCATCCATGAATAAGAGTTAAATAGCATAATTTTTTGATACAGGCATTTTCAAATTCCTGAACTCTCCCTAAATTACAAAGGTTAATGGAAATTCTGAATAGACTTTGAATTTAGTTCCTTCAAGTGGTAAAATAAACTTAAAAGATCTGCTCTGAAACTTAGCGATTTCCCAATTAGGTACTCTAAACTCATGATTATATTCTAAAGGAGGGGGAGGAATAATTGCTTAATCAAACTCGTATTTAGCACATAATTCTGAATAGATTTATTTGCATTCTTGTAATCTATATATTTTAAGAGAATTGAAGACTTCTTTCATAAGTTGTTAATAATCATTATACAATTTAAAGGCATAAAATTCGTCTGGAGTGACTTTATTGGATTAAAAGAGGTCTGGATATTTATCAGAGAAATAGGCAAAATGCTTGGAAAAGTAGAATGGATCAGTTTCTTTTCTGGTAGTGTAATAAGCATAAATCATTCTGACAATATAATCTTATGATTCTTAGTAAATGTTGGGTTCTTATGTAAGTCTTTCCCTTTTGATGATATCAGGTATCTACAAAATGTTAGGGTTTTTGAGGGCTAACTACCTGACTGAATTAGCGATGTATATAAAATCTTGTGGGAATTTGGTTAGATTTAAACAGACTAAAATTAAAGAGGATAATTACTTGATTCAAAAATATCGTGGAGAGTTTCTGGGAAAATAGATTAACCAATAAGATCATAGATGGCTTTTCTTAATTTGAAACTTTACTCATTCAAATTGAATTTAATTGCATTGGAATCTCCTCTATTAAATTCTATTTTAGGGTAATTTAATAGCACTTGGATTGCTTCAATTCTTACTAAATCACATTCATCATTAAGCATATTGATTAGTATTTCTAAGACATGGTTGGCAAATACAGTGGATTGTTTATTAAAATTCATAATAGCCCTAATTGCATTTATTCTGATAATGTAATATTAATCTTCTAGGATTGATACAAGAAGTCCTTTTGAATGATTCGATAACAATTCTAAGCTGTCTTTGGGTTTTCTAATTAAATTGAGGATTTCTTAATCATCATTTACTTTAAGTCTGCTCATGCATTCAATTGCAGCAGATCTAATGTCTTTGTCTAAATTAGCCGCTTCTAAATAGATTAAGTCATGCAACAATGGCGATTGATTTCTAACATTTTAAAGGAAATAGATCATCAATTCTTTTTTCAATTACAACTGCTTGAGTCTGAGTTTCTCGATGAGGATTGAAGAGTCAACGAATTTAGAAAGTATTTGCATTCCATAATACTAAGAATACTTAAGTAATTGAATGATTTCTTAATCCAAAGAGAATGATTAGTCACATTCTCCTGTAATAGGGAGATCATTGATTACATCTTAATACAATTTGGTTGATTGAGATTCGTTTTCCCTCTGATGATTTGGGGTTCGACAGGATTTGTCAATATAGATTTATTCAATATCCAACTTTACTTTTTTATGAATAATATCTAACATAAGAATAAATTTTGTTTATTTTTTTAAATAAAAATGTATCAATATAAAAGTCCATTTGTATGAGTGGTATATATACTTATAATGACTTGATTTATTTTGGAGAAATCATATAATTATTTATTAATAATTTATTTATGCCTATTGTATAAGGAAAAGCAAAATTGTGGCATCCAACATAAGAGGAATAAGTAGATTATAATTACATATCAAAAAGGATGCATATGATGACAGAATGATTGCCAACATTGAATTGAAATCATTGGATTTTGATGATGAAAACTTTTCCCCTGTCTTCAATAGGAGCAAAAAGGAATTCTTCTTGTCAGCAAGCGAAAGATATAAGAAGGATTTGTCTAAAGTAATTATGAATATTAAAAAATCACATAGTTGGCCAGACCATTTTAATCATATACATGCGAAGAGTTTGTTAACAAATACATTTTCATCAAACCCAATCACACTTATTGGAGAGAATGGACAGTAACAAAATGGTTGTCAGGATTCGGTTTGGGATATTTGGTTTTGAGAGAAGTATAAAAAATTTGAAATTAGTTACCACTACGTAATTTTTATGCAAGAGTTTTTGTTATGTGGATCTTTTTGGCAAAATTAAGTGATCACTTTACTTCAATTCTTCCATATCATGGAAAAATGGTGATATCTACACAATCTGATAGATTTACTAAGTAAATCATAACAAATATCTTATAGCAAAGATATCAATCAATATCACAATGTTTGCAGTGCATTAAACTTCTTGGAAATGCCAACCTTTTAGAATAGAATTTCAGAATCTCTTGCTTGGAGAGCCAGATAACCAGCTCATTTATTATACAATGATACAAATTGGTGTTTACACATTCTTAAAAAGTGGCATGGTCGTCCCACTCACATTGCACATTGGGTATTCCTTATTTATAATTAAAATAGGATGGTACATTCAATCAACCCTTGGAAAGATTAGCAGACCCATACCATAAGGATGCCCACTTTATCCATTGGATTTGAGTATATGCATACATATAAATACAATTATTATTGTCATTATTATTAAATATAATGAGTGCTAGTGTTGCAGATGATCTATCAGAAAAAGAAATGATTGAATTTTCAGAGGATGAGCATCTCACCTTCTTTTTTAACATAGATCAAGTAATTTCTCTTGTAACTTTAAGGTTTATGGTGAGATCCCAGGAGTTATATAAAATTATGGTACTTTTGCATAATCACTTTAAATTTGTCGTTAGCTATCAAATCTCATAATAAAAAACTCTATGGCTGAGGCATAAGAGAGAGTAAGACTCAGAATTATTAAATAAGTTTATCCTTAGAAATATTCCAATTAATGCTATTAGTGAAATTGAAGCTGAAACTAAACTTTTGTTGAATGCTAAATTAAATGATGGAGGAATTGAAGTTGAATCTTGTGATTTAATTGAAGACCAAGAACCAGTATTTATTTAATCTTTAAAAAGGAACCTATCTTTTGCGATAGATGGAGAAGAAACAGAATTTAGATGATGATTGGTAATTGATATCATACTAAATCAAATAGATCAAGAAAATAATGAAAATGAACAAGTTGATGAAAAATCAACAACTGATCATTATAGAGTTATTTCTAAATCTAGACTCTATGATACCAAAAAAACTACTATACTCCCACCAACACCATAACCATAAAATTAGATAGAATCTAAGATAATCTAAATTTTTTAAGAAGAATATGAAGATGAATATGAAGAAAAGTTAAGAAATGCTAAACTCTATGAAATGAAAAAGAAAAATGAAATTGAATAAAAAAAAAAAGAAGATAAATTTTAAAGTTAGGTAATTCATATATGTGTAATCAGAGATTGAAAAAAAGGATGGAGGTACACAAAAGTACACTTATGATTTTGATGGCAAAATACTTTTGGCTAGAGCTGTTAAAATGGATAAGCTATAACCTACCAATCAAAAATTGAAAGTTGAATTTAAAGAATCTACAAAACCTGATCAATAATTACAACCCTTAAAAAAAGGAGGAAAGAGAGATTCCATCAAAATGAATAAACCATAATGTCCTGAATAGGAAATTCCAAATAGAGTATATTTTTAACACATAAGATTTTATAAGAGCGCAAAGATGCCACAAAAGAAGTGATAGGAGATAAAGCATTAAGAATTGACAAAACATCACAATTTCCTTACGAAGTCTTCACAATGAATAATGGAGTTAAATTGTATTTTGAGCATAAGATGAAGGAAGGTGTAAGACATTAAATTAGTGATTCTGCTGAACATTTATAAATTAAATTATCAGGCTCAAATCTACTCTCAGGAGACGATGCTTAATAATTTGCCTCTTAAATCAGATTAACTAGAGCTGAGTATTAACTGATAACAGATGCCCAAACTTTATAAGCAGCCAAATCTTAGTTTATGCCAAATGAAACTATTCATGTCCCTGATCATGAATAATAAACTACTCAATAATCGATATTATTAAAAAAAAAGTTAGGTGAAATTGGAAAAACTGAGTTCCCCTAGGATGGCAAATAAGTTTAATTCAAAACTGGATCTAATGTATTTTAGCCTTTAAGAAAAGACGTATCTTCCTAATAAGCTTCATAAACAGAAAGAATTCAATTAAAAAATGTTAGAATGATAGAAAATTTGATAGTAACTGGATTACCAGATACACCTAAATCATCTAAGTAAGAACTTCCTCTGCCATAAATTCCAGATGGAGGTTCAAAGTATATTTAAATATAATTTAATAGGAATCCCATTGATGTTTTTAATTAATAGTTATTGAATCAAAAGGAGTGGGGTAAGTAAATGGGAGGTAAGACTACTTACTTCCCTCCAGTCAAATAGCAAAAGAGATCATTAGAGACCAAAGCTTATAAAGGATCCTTAGAATAAATGTAAATTTAATATATCTAATAAATAGGTATAAAATGCCAAGAGAAAGACTAGTTGCATAAACAGGTAGAACAGCTATGAACTTTTATTAATCGAATTAAGATGGTAAGATAGAATTCTAGTTTTTAGGGTTAAAGAAAATAACAAAATCATTAAGTGAGGGATTGATGTAAACATTTTATACAACTCATTCTAAATTTAGCGATAAACTTAGATAATGATTTTAATATATATTTGTCATTCATTATATAAAACCTTTATTTTTTTTTCTATTTTAATCCTACAAAACGGACAGATTTCCTTATCCAAATGATTCACACATTCTTAGCATAAAATAAAATGAAGACAAGGTTCCAATATTATACTTCTCGTTTTTGTAAGACAAATAACACATATGTCCTACTCATTTTGGCTGTTTAGAATAACGCTAATAGAATTTTTAAATAGGGGTGGAGCTTGTTGATCTAAAAGATTATTTTCATCGTTTTTCTTTTACAACTTTTTTATAATTAAATATATCAATTATGAAACGCTTACTATAGTAAATAAAAGCTATGCTGCAGTGGCAGCATTAAACATATCTTTATGAATCTGATTGTATATTTTGTTGTAATTATAATTGGAGAGATACAATAAATTGAAATTATCTCCATTTTTTTCGCATAACATAGTTGTGAACTATCCAAATTAAACTCCTTTATGAGTTTCAACTATTCTAGATTTTTAATTTAGGATAGGTATTTTATTTAAAATCTAAATTTGAAATCAATTTACTTTTTTTATGAATGAGCTGCTCTCCTATTAATATAAATAAGATTTTGAATAGTCGAATAATCCAGGAAGCAATATGCTGTCAGCATTTATCTTAATATTCTTTCTTTCGCTTTTTGATATTTTATAATTATACTTATGTTAAATATCTAGCAATTAAAATTCATTTACTTTAAATTCAAACATATCTTTAATACCACATTAAAGTTGAAGAAACCTTGTTTATTATTAATCTGCTGGCAGAATATGTCCAGTTAGATATAAATATTTTGATTATGGGTTTTCTAATAAGAATTCTTTTGATTCGCTCAAAGTGAGAGGAAACGTATTTACTTTTCCATAAAATACTAAATCCATATATCTTTGGAATCTTCTCAGGAATTTTCGTGAAATAAGAAGTCCGCATATAGCAAAAATGCTTCTAATAACAATTTCCAAATTCTTATTCATAAATAAAAAATGTATACACCGTAATTATTATTAATTGAAACTTAATGATCTCACAATGCGTCCAATTTTGAATTTAATCTTTAAAGCTCTCATTTTAGTTTAATATATCATACAATCTGAACTCAAATCAAGTTATACATATTAATAATTGCATCAAGACATTTTCTTCAATTAATAAGCATAGCTATGTATTTATTGTTATTGCTAAACTCCATTCTGAAATACTTAATATTTTAGAATTGAAAGAATAATTGAAAGATTTTAAGAATAATAAAGATATAGTAATAAATTATGTAAAAATGCTTTATAAAACATTTAAATAATAATAAACCTTTCTGAATGAATAAACATATTCTAGATGTCATATGCAATATTCTAATAATAGTAACGTTGATTATTAATAGTAACTTACAACACTAGTAATTAAGGTATATAATTAATTTTATCCAATGAGTTAAAAGAAATTACCAATTAATTTAAGAAAAAGAACAAAATAATAAATCGTTTTTATGCTAGGAAGTTACAATAAAAATATCGGCAAATCTTTCGAATTAAGTCTGAATGATTTGATGAATTATAGAAGTAGAAATTAAAGAAGTAAATCAACATTCAAAATTTTTATTATTTATTGAATTTAATTTTATCCTTCTACATAGATAATAAATAGAAAATAATTTATATAAGATGTTGATTTTATATTAGTTCATTAAATTAGAATTCAATATACAATCACATTAATTAACAACTTTCCATATTACAATTAGGTTTTATAATGTCTTTGTAAATTTATTAATTAGTATTTTCATGCTATTCTAAACAAACTTGGCTATCTTTTTCTTTTTAGAGACTGCTAATACCTTTAATTTCTGAAAATTAGGAAGAAGTAAGCTCAGACAAAACACATTCCATTGAGATTTATGATGAATTTTAAGCAAATAAAATTGAATCAGGGTACTAAGTTTAACAATTAGTTTACATATTCTGGAAGTCCTGAAACTGACTCATCAACTGAAAATTGATGGATCTCAGAAGATATAATTTCATTCTCTTCATTGTAGACTTGAAGTGTAAATTAACTGCTCTGATTGCTTTCGTATTTATAGATAGATAAAATGTTATTAGATTTAGATTGACTATCGTCAACTTAAATTTTTAAGATATTATTTTCTACACCTTTTGTAGGATTTTTTGGTGGCCTAAAATTTAATTAATGCGTATACCAAAAACTATTTTATAAATTTTTAGAGGATCCTAAAAATTTTTCTTCAAGCTATTGTGGATCAATTTATCTTTATAATTAAATAATATCTTTTTTTTCTAAAACAATTATTTTCTCTTCAAACTCAGGTTTTAAAACTTTTAAGTATGGCTAGAATTTATCTTTAGTGATTTCATGTAATATATATATTTTATGTATTCTTCCATAAAAGTTTAGCTGACAACTTTTAATGTAATTCAATAATTGTGCAGAAAAACTATTTAAAATTTTAAGATGATGAGTATTAATATCAATTATAACTACAACTGATTCAATATAAAATGAAATTAAAACATCCCTAATTATTAAGCAAAGGAGAAAGTCAAATGCTTATTAAAATTAAAGGAGGGTGTACTAAGTATTTATGTTATTAATAATACTTCTAGTGCTCTTTGTAAATTGATAATTATTACTGGTCTAAAGCCTCTATCAAATCCATTTACGTACAAAACTCCATTGAGCTAGTTAATCTAAATGAAATTTACAAGTAATTCATTCGGTTGAATTGATAAATCAATTTTGTGTACCCAACTTAAGTGCACTACTAGTCCCTATTATATAATCTATTTTTCAACCTAAGCAGATTTACCAATATCATAATCATGGAAAGCCAAAACTCTCAAATAGTCAGAATCCTACCAGCTAGTATATTATTAATTGGATTGGTATACTATTTGGGTAAACGTAATGGAGGCATTTAAGCTAAAATTAGTTTTAAATTTTTTAGACATTCTTATTCTAATGGATGCATCTCAATTTTTTCAAAAATCTTCCTCTCTATTTTATTTCCTATGATGATTTTATCGGCTAATTATAATGTAAGCGTACATCCAGGATCAATAAACTCTTCTCTTCTAAGATAATCGATCATAAATTTATGTAAATTATTTATGATATCCAAATTATTATTGTTATCTTTCTCTCGAATACAGGTAAAGTATTAAAGAAATTGAGTTATTTAAATAACCAAAATTAATAAGCTAGAAAATGTTCCATATGGTTTATGGAGAGAATATTTAAATTATAAAAGTCGGCATTCTTCTGATTCAAATTATTATAATATGACCTTTTGATAAACATACTTTAATGAGAGATTTGTAATTTATTATTTTAGAGGGAGGAAAACCAGAAAATCAATAAGAAAAGCATTAACAGAAGGATAAATTTTTAGAGGACTTTTACATTAATCAAGTTGATTAATATGAGATTTATAATAATAATTAATATAGTAAAATTGACATAAGGAATAAATTTGAAAATTAGAAACTCTATGAAAATGACTTATTAATATTAATTTATGGAATACTATTTAATAGATTTTTTCAATCTCTATTTGCTATTAAATTCAAATAATGATCAACTTGTTCGTTGGTTAATTTATGGAACTTCTTGTCTTATTTAGTCACAATTCCGACTTCAATGTCAGTGGGTTTAAAGTCTTATGAAATTACCTATATATAAAAGTAGAGTCTACATTTTATAATGTTTATATAGCAAGCATAATGGTTTCATCATAATTTAAATCTGCTTTTTTTTTGATTTGTTTTTCCAAGTAGTTGATTGCTTCTTGTTCTTTGACTCCACTTGCAGTTGCCTTATATCCGCTGTAATGTCCTGATGGGTCGAGTTTATATAATAATGGACCCAATTCATCATCAAATTAACACAAGATAGTCTCAACACCATATGATCTCATTTAATAATACTGAGTATTGGTTTAAGCTAAATCAGCCATTCTCTTTGATAATACATCAACAGGACAATAGTAACCTAAAAGTGTGAATAATGATAATACCATTTTTCAATCTGAATTCTCCTGCTTCATATCTCATTCTTGTAACAAGAGCTCTTGCATCTGATGGAATGCCTGTAGTCAAGGCACCAATCTTCTCTGAAACATTGAATAGATTTGTGACAGACTTCTCGTCAATTAATTTATCTGGCACTCTTTTTTCTGTAATCAAACAAACTGTATCAGTGCCTTTGACTCCTATTGATGTTAATCCACTTGTTTTCACAGCTTTGAAGGCATATTCAACCTAGTACAATCTACCTTCAGGGGAAAAGAGTGTGATATAGAATTCATGACCTTGACTTCCTCTACTCATTTTAATTAAATTATCCTAATCTCAAAAATTAAATAATATTCATTTTTTAGTTTACGCTCCTCCCTTTTTTTGAGAAGAGTTAAAAGTGTTTGAATTGTAAATGATATTCAAATTTTAAATCTTAATTGATTAGGGTTGTTTGGCTATAGCAAATTGCTATTGACTAAATTAAGAACCAGAAATTTTTATTTTATTTGTATCTGAAACAAACCCTACTTTTGTATCTTTGTACTATGGGATCAATTTGTCAATCGACTGCTAACACTTAAATTTAAACGTATTACCGTTTTCTTCATGGTTGATTATTATTGTTGATTCTACTATTGTTATCCTTAATCTTATTACTGTATATTGTAAGCATAAGCTGTGCTTTACATATTTAATTATTGTCCCAAATAATTTGGTACCTTAAAAGAAGTCTATTAATTGTTAAATGTCATATTACTTTGGTTCTTATTACATTCTATTAACTGGTTGGAGATTGTGCTGTTCTATTAACTCCAGCACTTACTTGTCTTTTCTCTTATTCTATTTACTAATCCAATTCTTTCATAAATTCTATAGCTTCTGGCAAATCTTCGAAATACTAATGTTTCAAAGCTTGTCTACAGGTTAATCGCTCGGATGGTTCCATCTTTAACAACCCCTTTACAAAGTTGATTGCTCTTTTAGGTAGTTTGCATAAATATCTATTCAAATAATTAAAGTAAAAACCTTTATTCCAAAGTTTCTGGTTTTGAGATTTCTGGAAATTTCATGCCTAAAAATCTAGGGTTTTTAGAAAAAGTTTCTTATTGACTAGGAGTCAAAGGTCCCAGCATTTTTTAGATTAAATATAGTTGATCCATCTCGTTTTCTCCGGGAAATAAGGGATTGCCATCAGTTAATTCACACAATAAGCATCCGATTGCCCTTTACAATGTTATTGCACAATAATTACCACATATCAACACCTTTATCGTAATTTGAATAACTTAGTAACAATTCTGGTGCCCTATACCATCTAGTTGCTACATAATCAGTAAGATCCTATGTTTAAGCTGTCAATGACTGAATATTGATATTTATTTTACTCTGGCAAATCCAAAATCACATAACTTCAACACGTTCGCATTACTTATAAGTAAATTCTCTGGTTTTATGTCTCTATGGACTATATCATGTTAATGACAACAATAGATGGCTTTTAGAAGTTAAAAGATTGTTTTTTTAATATACAAAGGCTAAAACTAATCTGATATAATACTTCTAAACCAGAAGGTGATGCTTCCAACACTTCGAGTAGGTTTCTCTCCACATACTCAAACACCAAATAAATTCTTCCCTTCCTAATAATTATAGCCCTAACTTTAAACCTTTTAAATGCCTCCTTCAATTCTACGATATTGATGTGTCTCAATAGTCTCAACACCTTTACTTCTCTTTAAATGCTCTTCTTAACAATCTCATTATCTTCTGTTTCCTTAAATTTCTTTATTGCCACTAATTATTATAGACATAGAATTACCTATCTCATTTGTTTCCTTGTTTTTACATTTCAATACTACTCCATAAGCACCTTCTCCCACTACTCCTAAGACTTCATATTTATTCATTTATATTATAATTTTGTTTAAGTAAATATTAATGAGTAATTTTAATTAAATTGATATGAGATCAGAAGTAAAATAAATCTCTTACATAATGTATCAGATTTCAAAATAGCATTATATATTTTATGGAATTCTCATTTATAATTTTATTAATTCCTCTTATTTTTTAACTAATCTAGAAAAAAGGTTAAGCAGGAACAATTAATTACAAATACTTAGAAAAGTATAAGAATAAAACCTAGTGTGTATGATTCTAAAATTTTCAATAAAAAAAACTTGAGAGATTTGTATATATTTTATTTTTCTAAAAATTATAACATACAGGATTATCTTGAGTGGTATAAGCTTGGTTTAAATATTATGAATGCACTGATTATTCATTCATTTAGATTTAGAGAATTTCTAATTAAGATTATACTATTAAATAACAACTTTGTTGCTATTATTAGGTTTAATGAGAAATTTGGAAGCGAATTTATGATATAACTTCAAATGATTATACATCCGCATGATTATTTAACTTCATCAACTGGTGCTTCAATATTATAAATTTTCCAATTTTCTACTTCGTGCACTTAGACAAGAGAGTGTTATTTATCAATCTCATCAATAAAAGAAATTCTATGTTTTTTTGATCCTTTTGTAATATTTGTTTTAAATTTATCTTATCTTTGAATTGCTTATCCGTTTTTCGAACCTTTCAATATACTAAAATTTTTTGTATCCATCAAATTATTAATAGTAATATATGTAATCTTATATTGAATAATAAAATAATGAATGTATTTTGATTAATAATTTATAATCACGAATTCCCTCTATTCTCATAACCCACCTAAATCCAATTTATATCCGACTATTTCTTAGTATCATATCCTCAGTTGGTAAAGGATTCTAATTATTAATTTTTATTTTAATATTCAAATTCAGATATTCAGAATTTTCTCAAAGAACATTTGAGATTAATTATCCAAGTGTTTCTTTCATATGATGATGTAATCAAATACTCAAGATTATAGATATTTTGCCTAACAGTATTTTAGATTTTTCAATTTTAATACTCTAATAAAGTGTATTTGATTAAGGATAATTAAAAACTAAATCTTTTTATTGTGAGTATCACCTAAAATAATTACAAAATAATAAGAAAGATATTAATTTATAAATTAATATTAAAAATTGATTTTGAATTAAAATTATCTAATAAATAATCAAAATTCTTCATAGTCGTCAACTTCAAGTAATTAGCCACTTTCTCTTTGATCGTATTCATAAAATGCTTTAGCATCTATCAACATACTAATAATGATGTCTCCTTAACCACAATTCTATAGATCAGTCAATGTGATAGCAGTTGAAATGGCTGGTTTAGCCATATCGAATATTTCATCCTTAACATCTTCAACATTAAAACCAAATTTATCCTTAGATAATAGATTAAACATCTACTTTATGCTCTAATTTCTAAATAATAGGCCTGAAAAACATGTTGATGACAAAAGAATCAATAGCTGGTTTATGATAAACATTTAAGATCCTCCAGAAATACTATATTGCTTATTAACTCTTTTTATTTTCCATAGCAAGTACAAAATCTATTCTATGAAAAGTGTGTAATACCCAAAAATGTTTTATAATCCATCTCTCCTTCGAATGTTTGATATTCTTCGAATACTCTATCTATAAAAATATCTGTTAATCCCCACGAATATTTGGACAGTTCTTATTTGGATAATAAACCATTGTGATCATTATCCAATTTCAAATATCTCTCATAGACTTTTAAGGCAGATTGCTTTGAAAACCAATTCTGACCTAATTCCTCTAGGGTTAACTTCTCCTATCTCAATTCGTATAGTTCAGCCAAGATTGGGGATGTTAACATGTCTTTTATGTATATTCTACCTGTTCTTTTAGAATCCAAAAAGAAGAAGAACTTTCTAACAGCCGTAATCACATAAAAAGGATAAAAGTTTTACTAAAATTAAGACTTGAACTTACATCTAATTTCTCTAACTAAGGGAATGTAGGAATTAATTCAAAGATATAATTCTCAAGGTCTTTTTCTCGTAAATATCCATTTCTAGAAATATTAAATAATAATGTATACCCTATGGAATCATACAAGCTAATTTATATTCTAGTTTGAAATAGATTGACTTTCCTTACTATTGAATGAAAGAATGCAACAATGTCTATTCTTCCATATTCATCTCTGTCAAATTTTAAAAAAGTAGATGCACTAAAAAAATGTCTGCATTTAATAGGTAGCAAAGAAGCAATAGTTAAAAACGAATTATAATTAATTCTTTCCTTCTTATCATCTGGTGGTGATATATTATTTTTAAGTTCAGTCCATAATTTCTCTAAATCCTCTTTATCTAAAATTTCTCCAGTTTTATGATTCAAAAATCTTGTTCTTGCTTCTTGTCTAACTCTGAAACTCAATTGATTTTCGTTTGTAACTGAGGCTTTTTAGAAGAACTTAGGTATCTTCTTGTAACTTGGATCTTCTTCTTATTCCTATTAAATTAGACTGTTAATTATACTTTCTTTCTTGCCTATTCGATATAATCAAGAAACAATTGATCGGTTTCATCATCTATTTCTTATGCAGTTCTCTATTGTTTGGAATCAACAAACTTTTTCAAAGTACTCACCCAATCAATACCTTTTTTAGACATACTTATTTGAATTTTTAGTTAAAAATAATATTTATTATTGAGGTTATCATTTAAAAATTTAATCAGAAATGTTTCTCCTTCCTCCCTGAAACTCAAATTCATTATTGGATTCAACTACTTGACCTGATTCAGGATAAACATTTCGATATTTTGGTCCTGTCTAAGGTTCATTTTGAACTTCTTAATTATTTATCACCTTCTTCATTCCAAATACAAGACCTATTCAATTCTTAATGTGTGATTTACCATATAATAGAGGAGTTTGCTTCGAGTTATTATCTTCTACGATTTTCAATTTTTTTGTAATGAATCCTCTGTCAAGCATTTCTTAAGGCATTCCTGCTTCTGAACTAAAAACACTTGATGTTTAACTATAATGATTGTATTCCATGTATTCTCTGATTAAATCATTAATTATCATATTTTCTAATTCAAAATCCAAACATACCCATAGAGAGCTTAGGCTTATCTTCTGGGTCTTCATTCAAAGCATTGAATATCTCTGCTCTTATTCTCGCCCTTAATTGAGACAAAACTCCGCGTGATTCCAGAGTTTCTTTCAGAGCGTCTTTCATTTCATTTATTGTTGTCATAATAATTTTAATTAATTATGAGTTAGCAATTCTCATCCACTTTCCTATCAACTCATATAGAAAATTAAAACTAATAATACAAATTACTAATCGTTCTTTTTCAATCTATTAAACCAATGAATCATGGAAATTAATAATAAATTTAAAAATGAGAAAAATTCAACAAGTCTAGATGGTAATACTAAAATTTAAAAGGATATAAGTTAGTTTTATAAAAGACTCATTTATTATTAGTATTTGCTTAAAAGTTGTGAGAAATATGAATAATTTATAAACAGAATTAAATTGAAATGAAAAAACCATTATAAACAAATGACTATATTTCTGAATTGTAGTCATTATACCAATACTTGAATTAAAAGAACTTCAAGAAATTATACTAGATTATGATGAAAAAGTGAACAAAAAAATTAAAATTTTCTATTACATAATGAAATCTAATTCTATATTATTATTCAAGTAAATATGAATAATTGTAATAATTATGAACTTTAACTTGATAACTATAAAAAACAAAGAACTATCCATATGAAATAACACAATATTGTATTTTTAATTTCTTTTTATTCGTTATAAATATAAAATTTATTTAGAGTAGTCCAAAAACTATAAATAATAATAATTTCTTACAGATTAAGTTAAGTTTAAAATCTTAAGGTTCAATGTATGAATGTAATTAAAGTTATAATAAATATATATAATATGAGTCAACAATTTAGCGTGGAATACTTGAGAATCAATCCTTATCGATATCTTAGATTGCCTTCACTCAATGCTACAGGCAGTCAATTTTTCAAGTACAAGGAGAGTTATAGTTTAGTCTCTCCTAGGAAATGGTTACATCTAGAACTCAAAGGAATTTAGTAAAACCGAAGTTGGTATACATGCTGATTAATCTCTAAGTAAGCGGTGTCACACAAAAAAGAAGATAGCAAGAACTTTTATCATCATTCTACAATTTACAATGTTAATGAGTTTAAGGAATTGAGCAAACCCTAAGAGTATGTACATTCTATGATCTCTAGTAGCTATAATGAACCTAATCAAACAAAATACAATTAAATGTAGACCAAAATGATGGTTGCTGATTTCAAAAAGAAAGTTGATGCAATCCTATAAAAAAACATTTACAAAACTAATTTGAGTAGTAAAATACCTTCATCATTATATGAATTGGAATCATTCCAATCTACTAATAATGAAGAATAACTTAATAAGTCTCTATGTTCTAATAAGTTTACTATTCGTACTGAGTGTAAGGAATCTCAATTATGTTAGACAAATCTATGAAAGCAACAGAAATACTTGTAATCAGCAATAATAGAGTTGTCTCGAGATAAATTATAACAAGTGAACTAATTCAATAAAGACTGCTTAAATAAATGGAAAATTTTCTAAAAGATGATAGATACAACTATGACCTTAAGTACTGCAAATATATTTTCTTAGGATGCAAATTATGATTGATTAATATGAAGATATTGTTAATAGGATTAGATAAAAAGCGTATACAATAAGGATTCCTTAAAATTATTAAATTTAATTGAGTGACTACAACGAGTTTTACCAGAAAACAGAAGAAGCATAAATTCCATTTATAAATGATAAATTTGAACTCTTAGCAGATTAAATAATACAGGAAATCTAACAATCAAGACCTGCAACACCAATATTACAAAAATAAATTAACGAAGAAGAACAACAGGAAGAACATTTCCAACAAATTGATGAAATAGTTAAAACTGAGCCTGTATATTTCAAAGAAGAAGTAACTCCTTAAAAAATTGATTTCAAAAATGAATAAGTTCCTGACAGAAAATTGCCACAGAGAAGGGCAAAGCCAAGAAAAAAGTAATAATAATAACAATAACAAAAATAAAATGAATCAGTATCTGAAACAAGCAATCCATAATCATAATAATCCAGTTAATCAGAATTACAAGATATCTCCTCTATTCAATAATTTCATAAAAAAAATGAAATACGAAATAATCAATAAGTTCATCAAACTGCTCAAATCTAATAATAACATTTTGAAACAGATAATCAATAATAATATGAATCAACTCAAAATTAGCATTATGTGCAAAATACTAATAAAAAACATGCTACTCATGAAAAACATAAAGGCAAGGTTCACTCAAGAAAACTAACAGGAGATACTGGAGTTTAGAGATAAGTTCCAAAATATTTAGATGTTCCAAGGGAAGAACTTTTAGAAACCTTAAGTGAAAAATCTCATGAAGAAACATTTTAATTTGAAGATATTTAAACAAAAAAGCAGGAATCTTTCAAATAAGAAGATTCAACAATTAAATTAGCAGAAAATTAAGATAATGAAGTCAAAGATGTTAAAAATAGTCTATAAGAAACAAATTAATAAGCATAACCTTAAAATAAATAATTGCATGGTCCTGAATAGAGAGATGCTGTGGACATCTGGGATAATACAAACCCTGCAGCAATCAAAGTGAATCCAAAAGCACAATAAATTCTATAAGAAAACAAATAAATTGAATAGAAACAAAACGAAGATGTTAATGCTAACTAAAATAAATAATGCGCCAACAATGTACTATAAAATTTGAGAAAACCATCAATGAATGTTGAACAATCATAAACTTAATAAGAAGTTGTAAACAATAAACCTTTAAAATCTTACAAAGATTTAGATAAATAACGGAATATAGAAATACCTTAAACTTATGATTTACCTAAAATAGATCTAGGCTTACAGAAAATTGAAATATAAAAATAAGAAGAACCAAAGTCTATTAGAGCAAAATAAGAGATTGTAGAAACAAAAGAATAAACTGATGATAGTAAAGATGATATTCTCTAAATTATCAACGAGAAAATGAAGATTTTTGAATAAAAAGATTAGGAAAAATGCCTAGATATTTTTGATATTCTATTAGCTTCAGATTCAGTTTACAATGTTGACATTGAAAAAGATAAAGTTTCAAAATCTTACAAAAAGTAAGTTTCTAATCTATCGTTTGTGTTTCAATAGTTGGGTGAAGAAGAAGTCTTTTCTCATTAGTAAAGTCTTAATTTATTTAGGGTTATTTGGAGACATGAATTATAAGAAGTGATGCCAAAGTTAGAACATTTAAATAAACATATTGTAGTAATGGATCAAAGTGATGATTAAACTGGAGCTAATTCTAAAGGAATTGAAGAATTAAATGATAAATCAGAAAACTAATTAATGTGACTAAATATCTATTTTGTATTTCGATATCATTTTTTTATATGCTCATACATATTCCAAATGAAGTTGTATTTTGGCTTAAACAGGTTTAATATCTTAATGCTGATGCAGAAGTATGCATAAATATATAAGGTATTTTTGATCATTTTGATTAATAATTCTGATTAATTATCATTCTCTGAGTCTTTAGATTATGAGTTATTAATGTCTTCTTTTGATTAATCTGACTCTTAATCATCCTCTTATCTCTAAACAGGACTATTGAAATCAATTTTAATTGTATTAATTCCATCTTGTTTGGATAATTGACTTTCCATAATTATTTTAATATAAATATTATAGTAATTAATATTAAACTATAGAATGAATAATTTATGAAGGTAATTTCTTGACTTATGTGATAAATCAATCAATAAAAAGTATCAAAAATTTAAATAAATTTATCAATTAATTTAGTAATTAGTTTCTCTGTTTTAGGATATAAACAATCTTAAAATATCTTAATAATAGTCAATTTTCTGAGATTATCACTGGATTAACTTTATTAGAGTTCATTTAAATTTAAAATTTTTGTATATTAATATGGAATATAAATATTTTCAATCACTATTGCATAATTTATATTTCTTCTTCCCAACACATTATCCACAATTAGGGCAGTAATGTACTTTGTCCTTGCAATTTTCGAGTAAGAATGGTAAAAAGAATAGTGGGAGGAAGAAGATGAAAAGCAGAAATGAAACTATCCAAGTTTATGGACCAGCACGATGTTGCATAATTGTGGTTCCAATCTTGCGGCAGTATTTGCATTGCATTTAAATTGGGATTATTGATCCTTATGCATCAAAAGGGACATTGGTGCAGGGAGTTTCGTTGTTATAAATTGGAGTAATTAGAAATCCACTGGGTATAGGGATTCCTTGAATATGGATTTTTGAATACCATTTTGGATATAATGATTTTGAGTTGGAATTCCAACAAATATTTTGTCACTATTTTGATCGTATCTGACTTCAGCTAAATCAGGATAGTTGACTTTCTAGATGTCAGATTCGTTTAATTAGGAGTGAACTTTAGAAGCCATATTTATATATTTATTGATTTTTCAATAATTAATTCCATATATTTCTATATTATTGTGCTTTCATAAATGGACAGAATCTTCATAATTTAAAATTAAATTAGTAATTTTCTATTGTTAATTTTCAATATTCCTTTTGAAACAAAAGAGTTAATTAAATATTCATTTATATATGAATACTATAATTATGAGAAGAATAAATTGTTCAAATAATCAAATGATAATAATCTTAGAGTTCTTCTAAATAAGTATATATATATTATAAAAAGGTTTACAAAAAATAGTCAAATTGCATGTTAATAATTGAGAGTTTTTTCAAAATATAATCAAAAATATAGTAATGATTTTATCGCAAGATTTAGAGGAGGATCAGAAAAGATTAGTATATGAATAGCTGGGAGATAATCCTACTGATGTCGATATTAAATATGTTAGTTACTTAAGAAATATTCCATTACTTACTATTAGACAGTGGCTAGATGAAAGAGAAGGACTTGAAGTTCAGATTGAAATACAACCTGAAGAAGAGAAGGATGTTGAGGTTTTAGGCAATACATAAAAAAAGGTTAAATTATAACGTCTTCAAAATCTATTAGTGAAGGAAGAGGGCACTTCCAAATAACAAGCATCAGAGTAGCAAAAAAAAAAGAATAAGAGTTCAGAATCTAAAGATAAAGGAAAATAACATAGAAAGAAAGAATCAAATAAGTCAAACTTAGCCAACAAAAAAATCTAAAAACTAAATTCTAAAAGTTCAAATATCTCTAATCATCACTCCTAAGATAAAAAGTAATCTGACAATAGTAGTAAAAGTTAAAATTCAAAATACCAAAACAATTTTTTCTTATTAAAATAATTCGACTAAATTTAATCAAATTTGGCTGAAGTTGTATAAAATAATATTTAGTTAAATTAACCCTAACAAGAAAAGCCAGAAAATCAAAATAATAAATAAGATGAATAGCGAGTTAAAATAAGAACCTAGACACAACAATAAACTAAATAAACTGAGTAGGTATCAAAACCTCTTAGAATTTGCATTTAAAATTAAGATTAAACTTAGAAGTAATCTTAATAGAAGATTTAAAGCAACTCTTAATCAAATGAGAATAAATTGAATAATTCAACTATATAATCGAACCACAATTTATAGGTTGCATCTACCCCATAACCAAATCTACAATCATAACAATAAATTCGAAGAGAATAACCAAATACATCAAAATCAAATAATGCATACTAACCAAGTAATTAACAGAAACAGCCTCAAACTCATCATTAAAAAAAAGAAAAAATTAAACACATTATTGTATTAGATGATGATTTTAATATAAGCTCAAGTAATAATAACCATAAAAAGTAGGGTACATAATTTAAACAAATAGGAAAAGATTCAAATTAATAAAAATAAGTAACTAATTTATATTAAAAATAACAAATTAAAGATTAAACCAATTTTGATTAAAAAAATAATATTGCCACCTCTAGTCAATAAGTTGCTACTTCGATATCTAATAAAATACCTATAGACAAAAATCACAAAGATAATATTGAATAAAAATAAAACAATCTACATGATTAAGAATAAAACTATGAAAATGAATAAAATCAACTATAAAAAGAATTAGGCATAATTTCTAATTCTTCTCAATAACAATAATAATAATAAGAATTATCAAAATAAACCACTATAATAGAACCTTATCATTGTTCTAATTAACCAACAAAATAAATATAATCATCAATAATTCCAAACTAGTATTACTAATAGTAAAATCTAAATGAGACTTAAGATAACATAAGTATTCAATAGATTATTGTATAAAAATTCAGCCAAAATTAGGAATAAAATGATATATCAGAAGTCCATTCTAATATTTAAACTTAAAGATTTGCAAGTAACAATTCACATCAATAGCACCTATTATGCTAGAATAATCAAATTCTTCTTACCCCTTAGAAAAATTAAAACATAGATTATTTAATAACTAAGCAAGCCTCAGTTACTTCTGAACTGAATTTAATTCAATAATAATTAAATTAGGCTTTGCATTAACCAAATTCAATAAATCATGAAGTCAAATAGTAATATTTTGGATCTTAAGAGATGATGTCACTACTGAATTAGCATTCTTAAACATTGACACAAGTAGTTTCAATGCTATCAACGATTGGAAATTTTTAGTTCTCTTTGATGGAAAGATTAAATTTAGTATACAATTCAGTGAACAATCGTTGAGCAATAATATACATATACATATATTTAATTATCAATTATATAACTGCACTGCATGAATAGCCTTAAGTGAATCTAATGAAACTTGTATATTAAAGTGAAATTTATATATTTTGTTAAAGATCATAATGAGAAATAAGAAATGGCAATAAGGTATTGATACCTAATGTTTTCACTATGGGTATTGAGAATAGATCAAAAGTGATGTTATTCACAAAAGTCAGATCAACTTATGAATAATCATCTATAATATATATTGATGAGAAGCATTTAATGTATGTTATTTATATGTGTACACCATGATCAATATTTATTCTTATTTCCTTTTCTTTTGGCTAATCTAGTTTCAAGACTCTTGTTCTTTTTTATGGAAGGATCATTCTTAATAGCAAATCTTCTATTTTTCACAAATCTTTAGTTGCACTTTGAATAGAATTAACAATTACTCCTTTCAATGTTCTATATCTTTGATTGGGAAGCTTTTTAATACCGTTTCTGTGATGTTTACGGGCATTATGATGAGAGGTAGCATTCTTTGACTTAGCCATTGATAATTTATTATTTAAAATATTTATTTAGATATTTCAATATTTTTAAATTCCAGAATTTTTACTATAGTCCTGTTAATCTATCCATAGGACATCTATATCTGCTGAATTCTTTGTATTATGGTTTCTCATATTTATAATATCATTTAGTCTATGCTTTAAAAGAATAGAATTTTTCTGATTTCTTTTTCTTACACTTTCTTACAATTCTTATATTATAGAAAAACCATCATAATCTAATTTAATTTACAGTACTTATTGTTATGTAAAATTTGAAACTTTTTATTTACACGCTGATATCAATATAATACATTAATACTTATTGATCAATATATTTATAACACCCTCAAGTTTATTAATGTTTTTATTGGAATTTCATAATGTTACTGTTCTTTAACAGAATCATCATTTTAATATTTTACTAGAACTTATATTTTAAATTTATTGTTTGATGATAGAACTGAAGGAGAATACTTAGTAGGCTCATTTGGTTGATGAATTTATTCATTTATATTTTATCTATTTCTAAAAATATTTATTTATTGATTTATTGCCCATTGTTGAATTAGCTTTATGGATTTAGTTTATATTTATTTTCTTTTTTTTGATTTTAGACATGAATAAATTGGCTTTTTGTCTTAGAAAAAGTTATCTAATGATATAGCTTATTCTGGCTGCAATAATGCAAAGTTAATCAAAAAAACAAAAGCATTGCGTCATAAGGTAGGTGGTTTAAGTATTAAGAAGGTAATCCTAACAGTAATCGAATTATTTATTTCATTTCTTGAACTTCCTTTGAGTAGATTGGATGTAAAGTAATGGTTCAAATCTTAATGCAAACATTCTTTATCATTAATAAGATTTTTAGTAATTAAGAGTCTTAATTGAATTCAAATTCATTTAAGTTCCATTCATTCGATGAGTTGTTACATATATAAATTATATATTATCATATTTAATAATAAAATCAACTAACCTGTATTCCAATTTTACAGTCTTTGTTTCCTTAATTAATTAGTTCAAATGGTTTCATTATATTGCACGGTTATTTTAAAGGTATTTCGTTAGTGCTGTGTTCTGTTTTACAAATTAATTTTCCCTCCCCTAACCCTAAGATCTCTTAATTAGTAACTCATACCACTTAGAGATTCGGTCTAAGTTCGAATTTTAAGGATGTTTTTACAGGTAATGTAATTTTGAAACTTACACGGCCATTTTATATCTTCACGAATTCAAAATTTGAACTCTAAATTTCTGATGCATTTTCAAAATAAGGAGATAATATAGGCTATTTGATACTAGACAATTACCATTGCGGTAATGTAGGTTCATCAAATTAGTATGGTTCTAATTATTTCATCAGGGAGTTGAATACACTATGATTTTGAGTATACATATTAATTATTAATAAAATTGATAATCAAATTATTTGATCTATTCAAAAATTAAAGTCATTATTGGCAAAACAAAATACTTATAATTCTTAATATGAATTTAAGAAAGTCATGGTTTCAGTTCTCCCCTTCTGATCAATTATAATTTATCAAGATCAATAATTTACCACAGTTCTCAAATATTTCCCTTTCTTTTTTGTATTACAAAGATATATAGATGTATGTCTAAATTAATTGATCACTGCTTAATCAAAGGATAGCAATTCAGCATTCGAATAATCCAATACTAGAAAGAATATTAGACCTATTGTAACACAATCATAACAATGATTTAATATATTCCAATACGAAATTCAATTTTCTTTTAAAATATTAAAAACTAAAAGACTTAAAATAAATCTCCATAATGTTAAGAATCATTAGAATCCTTCTATAAGATTTATTCGTTTCCAAAAAATGAGCCAATTTCAAAAATTCAGTTAAACCCTTTTGATATTTTAATGAAGATGCATTCTACGATCTATTGCCATTCAAATATTGCCAAATGTCGACGTTATTTCTTTCTTCTTTGATTTATTAGATTAGATAAATGGAGTTATCTGAAATAGTACCTCAATAGGTTGCTCCATCAAATTTCTGTTATTCTAGTAAGGATAACATTATTTTATAAAATTTATGAATAATAATCATTATTATCGTCCTACCCTAACAGGTAATAAGAATAGAAGAAGAGTCCAAGAATCTAATTTTGGTGCCCTCTTAAAATTGTATTCCAACAAAAATGTCAATTAAAAAAGCTCTTTGCTTTTTCATGGTAGTTATATATCAACTATACAAAATATTATAGATAGTCAAGATATTGATACATAGTTTAATTAAATTTATAGATCAATTAATGTACCTATTTTAAATGGCAGATCAGCTTCGAAATCAAGAGCTAAAACGGAGATTGATCAATCAAATCTCGAATTCAATTTTTCAAATCAAAAAGTTGATTAATCTACAGCCTATTTTCCAAGACTGAAAGAGCGTGCATCCTCAGAATAAAAAAAATTGTTTAAACAAGTAATCTAAAATTAGAATAGAAAGCCCTAAATTCTGAAAATGAAGATTCTTCGCTAATAATCAGGAACTTATAGAAATCACTAGATTACAAAAATCACCCTTATAGGAGACAAAACTTTACACCTTTAAAACAACAAACGATAGATGTGCCAAGATCTTTGATTAAATCTGAGCATTTGAATGAAAAGGAAATCATGTAGTTTTCTTTTGGCCTTTAATATAATAGAGAGAACGTAGAGAAACAAAAAGCCAAATTTCCTAAAGACATATTTCTTGGAGATGTTAGAAGAGTAAAAAGAATCTTTTAATAATAATGAATTATATAAAACTTAATATGAGATAATTTGTTTACTTGTAAAATTTTTGTATATATTTGAATTTATTCTCGTAAATCTATAATTCAGAGAATAAAATTCTAATATACATAATTTTTAATTTGTTTAGCTTTAGACAACATTTTTAATATGATTTTTTTGATGGAATCCAAAGTTTTTAATTCTAAAATTTCTCTTTTGACAATTAAAGTAATTGTTTAATTATTCTTTAAATCAAATTTCAAATCATGACTAGATTATAAATAAAATGATAGTTATATGTTGACAAAGAACAAGACTTTTGATAGATTGAAATGATTTAAAATATTCAATTTAATTAATATATCAATGAATAGTAACTACACTACCAGATTCCATAGGATTATTGACTTGAGACAGGTTTTCAGGAATCTGAGACTCTTCTTAACGAATTAAACTTTCATCAACAGATTTGCTTCCCCTTTTTTGATTTTCGATGCTGTCTTGCTATTCTTTCACTATAGTGCCAAAAGGATTAGGATTTTAAACATTGGCCCAAGAGTGTTACATACCCTAATTATGTTAAGAAGCTCCAAATTGACTCGTTCCCATTTTTTCTAATTTTTATCCTTGGTTATCACTCTAATTAACTGAAATATCATACGTTCCAAAGTTTGGAGCTTGGGAATTACTCTGACTTGCCTCCATTGGATTGACAACAGAACTGAGACTTTTCATTGAATGCCTAACTCCTTATTTGAATGGTTGTTAATTTTAGATGCCTCCGCTGTCTAATTTAATTAAGGGATTAGTATTACACATATTATTATGTTGAGTGTTCTTTTCAATTAATTCTTGATATTTGATTGCTTCTTTGAAATAGCACACCTCCTAATATATCACAAACAAGAATGAAATGAAATTAATTGGTGCAACATATTTCTAGAATTGGAATATAAAACTCAAGCACTAGCATTCTTCCTCAATTATGGCATTGGTTTTAATAAAGACCAGTACATATTATGCAAGATGTACTAGGAATAGGACTGTCAAAAGCAAGCTATTAATAGATATAAGGTGAATTACTCAGCAAAGTTTCTTAATTCCTTCTAAGATCTATTTTGATTAAAGAGAATGAGAGTGAAAATGATATTGAATATGGATGTCAGAATATTTGAAAGTAGGAGGGACAAAAGAACCATTGAGTATTTGTTTTGACATTCGTAATTGTCTCCATGAGATAGAATCATCATACCGATTATACATGAAGTGAAGCAATTAACTGATCTATTCGTTAATTCAATTGGAAATATTTTGATTATCAGTATTTCTATTTCCTTAAATATAGCTTAACTAAGATACCTTGCCCAACAATATCATGATGTAGGTTTTAATGTACAATTAAAGCAAATGGTCCTATTCTTTTTTTTGGATAAAGTAATTGAGTGAATACACAAGAAGAATGATAAACATGAAGACATTCATTGTGTATATTAGGAAGTATTCAATCTTTGGGAATTCTCTCTTAAAACACAACAGGAATACTGCTGCCACACAATTAAATAGAAACATTATTATTGTTAAATACAAGGTAATTGACATAAAGAATGTATCGTTTTCTTAAACTCTTAAAAGTGCATTCATAATGAAGATTATAACTGCTTATTTTGCATGCTAACCAAATATATTGACTAATTTGTTCTGTTGTATTTTCTATTCCTCATTTAGATTTATCATTCTCTAACTTAATTTAAAATAATAATATTTCTTATCAATAATGATATATAACTGAACATAATAATTATCTGTTAGTAAATAAACCTTATTGAATGGAATGACAATAAAAGTGTGAATTACATTATTAAAATAAATCAGAAAATTTCATCTGGCAGTGTAAATACATCACTTCTGCATAAAGGACATTTGCTATTAATTTCCAGCCAAGATCTAACGCATGTTGAATGGAATCGATGCTTATTTGAACATGGAAGTATTGCTATTTTATCTTTCTCCTCATACTAATTCATACAAATTGCACATTCATTTTCTCCTACCTTTCAATAAATATCTTTACCTTCTGCTGTTTCTTATAAACTATACATGCTTTCTTTGAGGGAATCGTCTATTCTCCTTCTCTCTCTTCTTTTCTAACAATAATTCTTTATCCAGTCGTAGAGACTATAAAAAAGAAGAATTGGGAGGAAAATTAGAACTAATAGAGTTATGATGTAGATTTCTAAATATTAATATATTCCCATAAATACAACCTATCATTTACACATAATTATACAGAAAACAAATATCCTTTGTACAAGGAATAAAATTTGAGATCCTCGTTAGATTCTGTGGAACTCTTCTTGTGGAAATAGAATATCAATCCCCATAATTGAATGAATTGGAATAAGATGAAGCATCCTTTTCCTAAAACATTCAAGGGTCTTTCATTTTGTAAGAGGGTTTTCTAATATATTAAGATGTTAAACTTTAATTTCTGTTGCAATCAGACTGATTCTTCTTGACTCCTCAATTTGCCCGTCGATCTCCAATCTTTAAATCATCTCTTGATTCTAGATCTAAACTTATTCGTTAATGAATGCCTCCCTCTCCTAATTTGTGTAACCTTCTGGGATTTCTATCACGATCATTTGCCCGATTTCTTCAACTACTTGTGTGCATTTAACTTCATTATCAATCTTCATCAAGAGTTAAATGTAATAGATGAAAGCAAAAAGACTATGAGTACCTAATTTTTGATGACATCAATACATGAAATGTACATCCAGAATACCAAGTATGCATCATTAAAGATTTCATGGTAATTCTTTTGTAGTATTTCATCTCCATATATAGTTTCTCTCAAAATAATCTAGTATTTTTGTTTCAGAATATACTAAAGTAATTGCAGCAATAAATTTGAGAGCTGTGTAAATAGCTAATAACTGATGGCACTGTTTAAAGTATTCCTTTCCCATCTCAAATATTTAAGTCGGTTATTTGTGTTTATCAACGTACTCATTCTCCATACCCTCAACTAATCAGTTAAGCCCAACAATACCATTATTTTATTCATGTTCCTAAAGTAATCCCTAATCAATCTAATTTTGCATTTTTCAATTAAAATATTATTTCCTGCTACAATAAATTACATCGATCTTGTTTAATAAAATTTAGTAATTCTAAGCATCAATATAGACTACATATTAAGCATTGCATATATATAATATAACATACAAATATTCACATACTCAAAAAATCTAAATTGAACAGGATCAATTCTTATAATTATAAAATCAAAGCCAAGAATTAATAATTTTTGATTTTTTCATTATCAACTTCGAGCTAACACAAGAAACAGAATCCAGATACCACTTTAATAAATATAAAAATGAAATCTATAAATCCCATAAGTCAGATTCATAAGTTTTAATTTTATTTATCTATGAAAATCTTCCACAAAATATTGCACTCTTGATCCCCAATTCCATTTAGCGTTTAGGTGGTTGTATGTCAAATTTTTGTTTAATATTCCACATATGTTGATCAAACCATTATCCGCTATTTTTAAGCCATTGCTGGGATTAATTAACAGTAGTAGTAAAGGTGGCAATTTTATGCACTTAAAAACAATAACGAATTAAAAACAGTCATAACTTTTTTGATATCACCTTAAATTCATTATGGAATAAAAACAAAACATTAACAATTTAAAAATATCATCGAACTTTTAAAAATCTCAGAAATATAGTAAATAGCTAATTGAGACCAAGTCTTAAGAACTATCTTTGATTATAGAGTGATCAAATTAAGAGCAAACTTAACGCTATTCGATATAAATTTCCTTAAATTACAAGTTAAATTCACTGGAGCGTGAAGGTAATGTAATGGAAATTTTGAAAATTATCAATTTAAGACTTATATTGCTTTCATTCTTGAAAGGAAACATCATTGATTTTATACATGAATTTGAAATAAAATTTGTGAATTATAAACATTACGAATCTCCTACTTTTTAAAAAACTATGATACATGAATATAAGAAGACTTTTGAGTCACATTTAAAATAAAGTAGAGTGATTTCTAAAATATATAATTAAATCAAGATTTCTTGCCATTAATAGGAGGTTCAAAAAATTGATAAAATGTAAATAATGCTAATAAGACATCAAATTAATTTTGTATAAGATTAGAGGAATAGATTTATAATTTCATTCAAGTATCACTCATTTAATATACGGACAATTAAGAATTTCTAAAGTATATTAAACTATATATTAGGAGGATCTTTACAACTTACTATAACCTTAAACCGTTGAAAATGTAAGGAATAGAATTAATTTAGAAATAATTCAATAATCTATGGATTATAGCATAAAGAATGAATAATCAAATGAATAGAAAAACAATCAAATTAGTTCTTAAAATTTACATAAATTTATAATAATATTCTACTTATTATTTAACAAATTTTCTAATATTATATAATGAATTTAAAACTTATTATAACTAATGATTATTTTCATTTTATTCACATCTATACTATGCTATCGACCAATTCCTCAGAATAAGTACATCATTTTGTCAACTTCAAAATTTTGGTTCAATTACAGACAAGCCTTAAATTCTCTAATGATCTATCAGTAATTGAAAGAATGGAGAATAAATGATGATCAAATTTCTTTAATGATTCCTGAAGATACAGCTTGCAATAGGAAGAATAATGTCCCTGGTGTGGCTTGTGCATATGATGGATAAAGAGAGCCAAATTTGCATAAGAATGTACTTTGGGACTTTAAGAGAAACGATGTTAATATTAAATATTGGATAGATGTTATGCGTAATAAATATGATAGATATGTAAGTGATATCATTTAATTAAGACTCCTTAATCTAGAAGATTAACTTTATCTAAGGAACAAAAACTATTGATGTTTATGAATGGACATGGTGGAGATGGATACACAAAAATGTAGGACACAACATATTTATTGGATTTTGAGATGGAAAAAATCACTAAAGAAATGGAATTCTTGTAACTTTATCAAGAAGCCTTTTTGATATCTGACTCATGTGGGGCGATCACTTTATTTGAGACTGTTAAGACCAAGAATATGATATTATTAGGATCAAGTTCATTGGGAGAAAAGGCATATTCTCATGGTCGATGTCCAATTTTGTCTATTTCTAAAACAGATAAATTTTCATTAACTACTCATTTTTGGTTAAAAGATGAACTAGACAAGAATCCAAATTTAACTCTACTTGATCAGATGAAAAAATATGATTATGCATATCACAAAGCCAATTCAAAACTGATTATAAATATGGAAAATAAACAGGCCAAGGATGTAAATATATAAGTTAATTGTTTAGATTAAAGCAGTTGATTTTTGGAAACCAAAACAACCAATATTAAATTAGGTTATTTTAAGAAATGATTAAGATATTTTAGCTCAATAAGAGTTCTTGAAGTTAATGAATGCATGATTTTTGATAATAATTTTTGTTATTATTTTATGTGCAATGAAATATTTCATTCGCCTTTTTCTATTTTCTTGAGTTCTTCTGGAGTTAATTCTCTTTTTAAACCATACAATTTATGTCCCTCCTTTATACCTCTCTTAAACCAAGTTTGAGAAATATTGTTAGCAATTAAACCCTTTTCATATGCTTAATCAAGTGACACATCATCATAAGGTTTTTCCTTTTTATGAATAAGGTATGATTACTTTCATACTGTTTTATATTTTGACTTCATCCACAACAGTTTTAAAAGAAAATGGTTCATTGATGGCTAGATTAGCTAGAATTTTTCTATCTAATTATATGTTGGAATGATTTAATCCAAAAATGAATTGACTGTAACTTATTCTATGTTCCCTCACTCCAGCATTGATGGCCTGAATCCACTCACGTCCTATTCATGATAATAGACTTACTTAGAATTCTTGGTCTAAGTCTTCTACTCACATAAGCATATTGCAAGGATTTTTATACTCTATTCATCATTATTTTGGAAGTATTTCTGGCACGTCCTTAGAAGCCCTTGGCCAATTCTAAATACTTTTTTAAACTCCAATTAGCCATAATTAATTAAATATTAACTATAAATTAAGTATTCTCTAAACCACATATTGAATATCGATAAAATTTGTATCCATGTAAATATGCTACAGGATTAGTATTAAAGCTTGAAAATATGTCATAATAAATTAAAGAATGAATTACGATTCGTAATATTAATTACATTTTTATTTATAAATGGATTAGAGATAAGAAAATTATAAAGAAGTTATAATAGATTGGATGTAAGCAAATTTAAAGTATCTCTAGTTATAACTTGAAATACATTCTAAGTGTATATTTGAATAATAAGAACGTTCCTTAGGGTCACCCAATATATATATTAGGACATCGAATTGACATTGACGATTATGATATCGAAGTAAACTTTATTATAATACTAGGATCGTATTAACAAAATTAAACAGTTAGTCTAAGAAACTATTTGGATTACATATAGAAGAAACTATCCGCCTTTATATTGTAATTTGAGTGATTATTTTAAGAATCTAACTACATATCAGATACTGGATGGGGATGCATGCTTAGAGTTGGATAAATGGCCATGGCTTAAATGCTGAAGAAACATCTTAAAAATCATGGAGATAAAAGAGATGAGGATTATGATAACATTTTATTGGCCTTTGCTGATAATGATTCACAGGAAAATAAGGAATTTATTGAATTCTAAAACAGTCAGGATAAATAAAAAGGCCACAATTTTATTTGTCCATTTAGCATTTAAAAAATAGCTTATTTGGCGAAAAAAGAATTCAACCTGGATCCAGGAGAGTGGTATAGACCTAATTACATTCTATTTCTCCTTGAACTACTACATAATAATATACCTATTAGAGGTTAATTTTATAATTATTGAATTTAGCATCTGAAAATCTCAAATTGTCAGTTTTTAATGATTCTTGTCTATTTCTTGATCAATTGATGAATAGAATGTTTGAAGCAAAATTTGAAACTGATAAAGATCTAGAGGAGCAATTAGAAAAGACTTAGCTCATTGGCAAAAACAGCTTAGCTATATTTGTCTTAACTAGAATTGGTTTGGATGAACCGAATTAAAAGTATTTGAAAATTCTAGATGAAATAATGGAACTACCATATTTCTAAGGTATTGTTGGGGGCACACCGAAACGAGCATTCTTTATACTTGGAAAAATCAATGATCATTACCTCTATTTAGATCCACATTATGTATAAGAAGCTGAAAACAAGGATCAAATTATTGAAAATAAGATGTTCAATCGAACTTCTTATAGTTGTAAGAACATTCACTTGTTAAACCAAAAAAATGTGGATACATCCATGGGTCTATCGTTTTACATTCGCAATTAAAGTGAATTACTACAATTTTGGAGAAGTGTAAATTTTGTTAATTAATATTTAGATGAAACAAATAAAACAATCTTCAGATGATTTCTTTATTTTCCTATCAGATTCTGCCCCTGAATATGTAGATTATAGTAGTTAATTGGAGGAAAGCAGCAATAGGCTTAATGATGATGACGTTGTAATTTTATAATGAAATCTGTCTAATAGTATTTTGAGATATTTCTAATATAAAATATTCTATCAAAACGATCACTTAATAGCCAATAAAGTGATATTTCATGATTTAATTTAAGAAAGCAATTTAAAACTTAATTTAAATCTTCTAATATATTAATATTAAAAATAAATAAAAAATGAGAGAAAAGTGGCGAAAGAAGAGAATGCGAAGACTTAAGAGAAAGAGACGTAAGGCACGTAAGTGATTTACATTATTTGCACATATTCTAGATATATATATTCATATTATATTTCTACCTCATTTTGAATGTCTGCTTCTGATTCTTATTCTTATTAAAAATTATGGGTTTTCATATGAATTTAGGTGAACTGAGGTTTTGCTTCATTTCCCTTTTGATTCATGAAGAGAGCATAGTAATTTTTATATATTTGAGGCTTGAAATGCTTTGTGTTTAGAATCACCCAATCATCAAATATATATTCAATTTTTTAAGGATTATTGCTAAACCCACAAATTTAGAGCTTTTTAAATAATTAATAGTAATCTCAATAGTTTTTTGTGATTAAAAATGCAATTGTGTATATTTTCCAGATCATTTATTCAATTGATGATGTAAATTAATTTTGAAAGATTTTAAGGAAGCCTAGCAAATACATTGATTGATGGTTTCTAGATTGAGCTATTTATCAGCTTTCGAGTTGGCTACCATACAATTTATCAATAATATTTTATTTTACATTTATTTGTTAATTAATTATCGTTTAGTAGATATAGATTTTATATTTTGCCTTGATAGAATATAATAACCAAGATAAATGCAAAATCGATAACTCTAAATTTGATTGAAATATGTGAATAATTGAAAGATTAAAATTTCAATGGCAGTTCAAATTTTGAATTAAAAATGAAACATTAGTTTGATTGGAATTCAGTTGGATATTTTGAGGAAATGTTATGGTTTATTGACTTTGAGTAGTAAGAGGTGAAAAATGTAAATTAATGAGTATGGGTTTTAATTTATAATAATAAATTTGGGTTATTATTTAGAAATATGTCTAACAATGAATAAACAAAATAGGTTTAAAACTATGTTTTAGGTATAATTATAATAATTTTAGAGATCGCACTCTTGGAAAAGGAACCTTTGGTAAAGTAAAATTAGGATATCANCAATTAAAGTGAATTACTACAATTTTGGAGAAGTGTAAATTTTGTTAATTAATATTTAGATGAAACAAATAAAACAATCTTCAGATGATTTCTTTATTTTCCTATCAGATTCTGCCCCTGAATATGTAGATTATAGTAGTTAATTGGAGGAAAGCAGCAATAGGCTTAATGATGATGACGTTGTAATTTTATAATGAAATCTGTCTAATAGTATTTTGAGATATTTCTAATATAAAATATTCTATCAAAACGATCACTTAATAGCCAATAAAGTGATATTTCATGATTTAATTTAAGAAAGCAATTTAAAACTTAATTTAAATCTTCTAATATATTAATATTAAAAATAAATAAAAAATGAGAGAAAAGTGGCGAAAGAAGAGAATGCGAAGACTTAAGAGAAAGAGACGTAAGGCACGTAAGTGATTTACATTATTTGCACATATTCTAGATATATATATTCATATTATATTTCTACCTCATTTTGAATGTCTGCTTCTGATTCTTATTCTTATTAAAAATTATGGGTTTTCATATGAATTTAGGTGAACTGAGGTTTTGCTTCATTTCCCTTTTGATTCATGAAGAGAGCATAGTAATTTTTATATATTTGAGGCTTGAAATGCTTTGTGTTTAGAATCACCCAATCATCAAATATATATTCAATTTTTTAAGGATTATTGCTAAACCCACAAATTTAGAGCTTTTTAAATAATTAATAGTAATCTCAATAGTTTTTTGTGATTAAAAATGCAATTGTGTATATTTTCCAGATCATTTATTCAATTGATGATGTAAATTAATTTTGAAAGATTTTAAGGAAGCCTAGCAAATACATTGATTGATGGTTTCTAGATTGAGCTATTTATCAGCTTTCGAGTTGGCTACCATACAATTTATCAATAATATTTTATTTTACATTTATTTGTTAATTAATTATCGTTTAGTAGATATAGATTTTATATTTTGCCTTGATAGAATATAATAACCAAGATAAATGCAAAATCGATAACTCTAAATTTGATTGAAATATGTGAATAATTGAAAGATTAAAATTTCAATGGCAGTTCAAATTTTGAATTAAAAATGAAACATTAGTTTGATTGGAATTCAGTTGGATATTTTGAGGAAATGTTATGGTTTATTGACTTTGAGTAGTAAGAGGTGAAAAATGTAAATTAATGAGTATGGGTTTTAATTTATAATAATAAATTTGGGTTATTATTTAGAAATATGTCTAACAATGAATAAACAAAATAGGTTTAAAACTATGTTTTAGGTATAATTATAATAATTTTAGAGATCGCACTCTTGGAAAAGGAACCTTTGGTAAAGTAAAATTAGGATATCATACAATTTGTGACGAATATGTAAAATTGAATTAAATTTTGAGGTGGCTGTAAAGATTTTGGAGAAGCGGAAAATTGAAAGCGATGCTGATTTTATAAGGGTTTAAAGGGAAATTGCAATATTGCGGAAAGTGGAGCACCACAATGTCATAAAACTATATGAGGTATATATGAAATAAATTAGTAGATATTGGAATCAGACACAAATCTATATTTGGTAATGGAATATGCAAAGGGAGGAGAATTGTTCGATTATATAGTGAAGAAGAATCAGTACAGTTAAACTCTTAATCAGGTTATCCGAACCAGCAGCCACAAAATATTTTATTCAGTTAATCGATGCAGTGGAATATCTACACTCCCAAAAGATCGTCCATAGAGATCTAAAACCTGAGAATTTGCTACTAGATGAATAGAGGAATTTAAAGGTAGCCGATTTTGGATTGAGCAATATCTATAAAGATAACGATCAATTGAAAACTGCGTGTGGATCCCCCTGTTACGCTGCACCTGAAATGCTATGTAATAAGGTTATAATTTGGTAGATGGTAAACTTTATGGAGGGCAAAAGAGTGATATTTGGAGTTGTGGTATCATCTTGTATGCAATGCTATGTGGTTACTTGCCTTTTGAACATGAGAACACGAAGAAGCTGTATGAGATGATTAAGTATGAGGATTATGAGAAACCAAAAAACATTTCCCCCCTAGCATAAGATCTCCTAAAATAGTTATTGACCAAAGATCCTTAGTTGAGAATTGGATTCAATGAAATCAAACAACATCCATTCTATAAGAAAATGATCATTTAACCATAACAAGGACTCGTAAGCAAGGATTAAGTTGTTTTAAAGAAATTATCAGAATTGGGGTATGACGTCAACAACGTTATCGATCAAGTTTAAAAAAACAAACATAATTCAAATACTGCTGCCTATTGGTTACTAATGAAAAAATATTCATCAAATTAATAACCTATTGCAAAATAGAATGGTCAATTGTTGCAATAAACTTAATAACAAATCAAAAAAAATTAAGTTTTATAATCGTAATTACAATAAATTTACTAACCCATGGAATATAGACAATTACAAAGTTCAACTGGAGGTTCAAATAGCAGAGAAAAAATCTAATAGCAAAGATAGTTGAGATATTCTTTGCCTTACAATAAAAATAGAATTGATTATTCATAATTTCAAGATATACACACTGGAATCCAAAACAAATTAAATAATATCTCTATGTAAAGCAAGTAAACTCCCAGCAATATAGTGGATTTTGTGAGATAGAAAACTCACTCAGTTTAGGAAAAGGCACATTGTCACACTCCAGAAAAGGTCGATTTAGTCATCAGATAGCCAAGCAAGAAGATTCAATTGCTTATGCAAAGAAAGAAGAATCCCACTGAATAGATTGAAAAATCAGAGTAAACGGATAATGGATTGAAAGAGAAAATCAAAGATCTGACCAAGAGATCAAGGAATAAAACTCAACCTCTTAAAAAAATCAATGATAAAATGGAAAGATATGCAAATAATTATACTCATTAGTTAATTAAGTAAAATAGTCCATAGGATAGCTTTATTGTTAAATTTTATAAACCATCTATTAGAGTGAGACACAGCAGCAATCAGGAAAATAGTTTAAAGCAAAATAGATTACTTACTCATAATTTTGTCTGAAAAATTGATTGCCATTATTTGTATATATATAAATTATTACATTTATGAATTTATTATCAACAGTAAAAAAAATATAATTTCAAATTATCACAAATGCCACCAAAAATGACACCCAAATCTAATACCATGAAATACAGGCAGAACAATTAAAAACTCAAAGGATAAGGACGAAACATAGACTATAAAAAGTTTCCTCAACATACAAATAAATCCAGATTAATTTCTAATGGAGATATTAGAAGACTGGCCAGAAGAGGTGGAGTCAAACGAATTAGTTCAGATGTCTATGAACTGTCTAAATTGTATATGAAACTGTACATCTCTAACATTCTTCGTGATTCAATGATCTATGCTAATTATTCTGGAAGGGCTACTATATTGGCAGATGATATTTGCAGAGCCGCCAAAAGAGCTGGACAAACAGCTATCGGATTTACTCGTTGAACCTTGTGTTTATATATTTGAATTTTACAAATTTCATTAATAAATGAATTTTATAAAGTAAATATTCTCAAAACCATCTACATCCTAAATCCAATAGAAACCCAAGAATCAGACTTCTGAATTCTCAATACTTGATCCTCAATTTACATAAGTAAGATTGAGGGATGCAAAATTGTTAATGGCAGACTCGAAAAAACTAGAATAAGTTCTTAATTATCAACCATAATCAATCAATGAACAACTCAAAAAATGCTACGCTTTGCATATTATCTTGAGCAGTGATTAATATCAAGTTATTGACAAGGTCGTCTAGTATTGTGAATAAAATCATGTAAATAATATAATTAAATAGAGATCAAACCTATTAGACAAAATATATAAGCTAAGACAGCAGCTACTACAAATATTAATTAAACATGTTAGATTATGTCAGATTAGTAAATGATTGCTACAAAATTTTAAAATTCGATGTACCTTAATGTATCGGATGTAATTATTATATTTATATAGTAATTATAATTTTATGAATAAATTCATTAAAATGAATCTGAATTTACCAACAATTATTTCAATTACATATAAAGAGTAACCCAAAATTCGGATATCTATAATTCTTGTAAATTCCATCAATACCCCTATGAGGATGAAACATTTAACAGGAAACTGTAATTTGTTTGGCTCTTCAAAATTATAAATATGCTCAATTATAAACTAGCTTTTATCCCGAATTTATAATTCTTATTTAACTGCAAAACCCAGAATTCTTTTATTATTAGAGATGTGGCTTATCTAGTGTATAAAGACTGCTTATTAGAATATGGTTTCTTGAGAAACGAAATCTCAGATATGGTTGAATCCTATTCATAATTTTAAGTTAGAGAGTGTAAATCCTATATTGTATTTTAGCCTTGTAATTCTATGAATTATTAGTCTTTATGCTCCAAATTAATAAAAAAATGAAACTATTCTATGACATGAGATAGCAATTCGCATTAAATTCCTAATCCGTTCGAGATGTTAAATGGTTTGACATTGATAAAAAATAATTAATTGAAATAGAACATTATATTTCCAAAGCCAAATTGCTAAACACAGTTTAATTCAAGAAAAGTTTAATGGTTCCAACTTAAAAAAATTAATTGGATAATTTTCAGAAATTTATGCTTGACCCATCCCTTCTGGAAAATTCAATTCTGAAAGTATATAATTTTTATATGCCAAGGAACCTACTACTGCCAAATATACTAAAAAAAATAACGATCAATAATATTCTCCCTTAAACTCTAAATAAACAAAAATATCAAATCATTCAAGATAATTATCAAAAAATTGATAAATGATAGCTTGAAACTATTATTTATAATAATATATAATAATATCAATTTTAGAGGATGATTTTTATAGAAATATATGTTATGTTTTATATATATAGAAATATTCAACCTCAAGTAGCAAGATTTGTAATTATTTCACGGAAAGCTTTTTTGTTTCACTAGAGGAAAATGTCTATTGACATTATATGAGGGCATTTTGTCCTCTTCTATTGTGTCATCTTCGAGATCGTAATTATTGGATCCACGTTGTTATATTTGAACTTCCTCATCTATAAAATCTTGAATAGTTTAATCTCTTACATTAAAGGCTAAAATTTAGTATATAAAATTACTCAAATAATCTAAATTATCAGAAGAATCAGTAATACTTTTTAGACTCTTATTTATCCAAAGAGGAGTATTACATCTTATTATATCTTTAAGTCCTCTGACAATGGTTGGTTTCTTAATGATTTTAAAGGAATCAACTTATAGATTCTATTTTCTCCTTTGTAACCATGGATGATTCAAGGCTTCATCTATAGAAATTCTTTCTAGTGGGTTTTATTTTAACATTTTCATGCAAAGATCCTTTGCTGCTTAACTAATATTGGTTTGATCTAGCAATTTAAAATCAACTTTTCCTTTCTAGTTTTTTGTAAAAATTTCTTAAGAAGATTATCCTTCAAATGCTTGCTACCCAGTTAATAAGAGAAAGAAAACTGTCCCTAATGAATAGACATCTACTTTGTAATCATATTTTTCATTATTCAACATTTCAGGAGCTATGTATCCTATGGATCCACATCGTTTGAATAAATAATCACCATTCGGGTTATAAAAGTCAGCTAGTCCAAAATCAGCAAGTATAATGTCTTCAATATTATTTTTTTGTTTAAGTATCAAATTTTCTGGTTTAATATCCCGATGAATAATATTTTGGCTATGTATATATGATAGGCCATTTAAAACATTATGCATCAATTTCAGAACTAGGGTTTCATCATATACGTTATTATTATTATATATGTGACTTAGTAAATCCCTACCTTAGAGGAAATCTAAGAGAAGATATATTTTTTTTTCATCTTCAAACACCTCAAATAACTTGATGATATGTTTATTTTTCATCAATCTCATAATTTCAATCTCTTTCCATAAACTCAACTATCAAAATTAATTAAATGCTTACTTCGTTCTCTTCTTAATTTTATCTAAGCTTAATTTTATTAAATACTTTTGAGGCATATGTATATTCTTATTTATCTTATAATTATAAATTAACTTGTATTTTTTTCACTTTATAAACTTTTGCAAATGAACCTTTCCCTAAAATTTTGATTATTTAATAATTATCTTCAAATTGTTGTTATATTGTATATAATTTCAAATAATTATAGATCTAATCAATTTATAATTCTGGACCAAATATTTCAAGAGAATCTAAATTATTAGAGATATTGAGGTATTAAATATTTGAAATCTATCCTTCTGCTTTCTTTACGTTATACCTTTTTAATTATAGATTTTCAAGATTGATATATCTATCGTCTACAACCAAATATTTTTCTTAGATTATGGCATTCTAAAACTTTATAATCTTGCGCTGGCTATTTTTCAAGGAAACATTGTGAAGACTAATTGATTAGGAGTTCTTCATATGTGTTGGGTATCCATTAATCCACAAAGAATTACATCTATTGGAACAGAAACTAAAGCATGAATCAGAATTTTATCTCATTTTTTATATTATCAGATAATTTGATTGTTTTATAGTTTTTCATATATTAATCATCTTCCAGACCATGAGGCAACTTATTTCTTGAAAATGATGATGACTTGCTCCAATATAGCATTTTCCTCATCTCTTTTGGCTTTGGCTTCAGCATAGTCGGCTCTCTTGCTTTCCAAATCAGATTGGGCTTAGTCAAGAGCATCTTGGGATTCTTAGAGGATAATCTTTGATTTTGCTTATTAGGCCAAAGCAGCTTAGATTTACTAAATAAAATAAATAAGATGAAAATACAGTGGCGAGTCTGTCAGCATAAACTTATTTTCTCTCGTATTCAACTTTCAAATTAGCAACTTCAGCTTCACTCAAAGAAACCCATCCAGCTAATTCCCATGAGGCATTGATTTCATTGACTTCCAAAGCCTCTAGAGAAGCTTAGAGATTGGCTTCAAGGGATTCCAAAACTGCCAAGACTCTCTCAGCCAATGTGGCACCTCTACTAACCTAAGGAATAAAATTAGAATTAATACAGATCCATCTTCTTATTTAGAAGCTAAACTGAGGAAAGATTTGACTTCGTTTTCACTAAAAAGAGTGCTATAAGCCTTTAATTTTTCAGCAACACTTGTAGCTTTCTCTTAGACGAGTTCAAATGAATCTCCATTTATGATATAACCTGCAACATCTTGCTTAAGGACTCTGACTACTTCGAGTGCTTCTCTGTTTTATTTGATTGATCTGACGAAAAGTTAGTTGCTCAAACATTATTCATCTAATAAGACTTAAATTTTTCTTGCAATTTCATCTTATCTTTATTCATTCCATGCCAAATAATTCTTTGTGTCTGAAAGCTCTTATTCAAATTGCACTCTGTTTTCGATTGATTATTAGAAAAGCTTTTAGTTCAAGGACTTGATCTTTGTGAATTGCTCAATTGTTCTAGAATTAGATCATGATATTACTATGCACCAATCCATTCATCTGTCTCATTCTTTTAATCAGCAGCAAATTGAGCATCCTTATTTGATTGAATCAAGTCATTCAACAAACCAAAGACTGTGTCAATGGCATCCATAGCTTTTGTTCCTGTTTAAAGTAATGCCATAATTTAATCATGAGTTGAAGTTGCTGAGGCAATGCTCACCAATAAAAGGATTGCAATTGTAGCTTTCATCTCTAAAATAAATAATATTAATCAACCATCCCTCTAACTATGCTAAATAACAAATACTTTCAATTCATCTAATTTTCAAAAACGGGTATTCTAAAATTAATATAGAGCAATAACTTATTTATAAATTAATATTAAATACTCATAAATGCTACTTATTTATTGCTCCAAATGCCCAATCAATCAACAACCGAGTAAAATAATTCAACATCTCACTAATATAAATTTACTTACTTTGCATGGTTCATGAATTAAGACCCAAAGAATACTCACATCCTTTTTCTTAGCATATCATAATTATTGACACTCCTTTATATGTGTTAACCTTCATAAATTTCTTTTTAATTCAATATTTGAAATCTAAAAACTAAGGACTACTTAATGGTCCAGAATTATCTATTGTCCAATTTTAAGATTAGCTAAATCTAGTGGACATTTTGGGATTTTTAATAAATTTTTACCAAAATTTGAGAGATTTCATTGTTTCGAATTCTGAATGGCTGAACTTATTTTATCATGATAAAACTTGTAAATTCGATTTAATTAAATGAACTTCAAGATTATAGCTCAAATAAAGCTTATTTTGAATATCACTATTGATTAAGTTTAGATGTTAATCTTAAAAGTAGACAATTCAATTTAATTAAATTTATTGTTGCGAATCTAAAATTAACAAACCTAAATGTAAATTCTAATATAAGAAAATTCAAAATATAATATTCTTATAAATGTATATGAACCAAAGAGAAGGTAACATGACATTCTTTTATGGATTGACTCTTCAGATATTAGGTGGAATTTTAAGATATTTATAATTTAATAAGACCATTTATTAAAATTTGAGTAATCACAATCGAAATAGCTATCAAATTTATTTTATCGATGAAATCTTCTTCTTTCACTTAGATAATCAACCTTTTTGAAACAATACAAAAAATCCATTTATTTTAAGAGATTAATTGAGCAATTTTATTGAGAAGGCGATATTAAAAGAATTCACCAAGGGGACGAAATAAAATAATTTATATCATTCTTGATTATTAACTATCATATGACCTTGATGGGTAAAAAACATTAATTCTATAAAGTTCATGCAAAAGAAAAAGATATTGCTTCTAAAGGAAAATTTAGATAATTCATGAATAATGGAATCAACAAATATAGGAAAATGCACTTAATTTTTCGTTTTGGAATAGACTTAATTTTTTTTTAATAGAAGAATTTATTTTAAAGAAAGAAAATCACTTTTGTTTAATGGGAAGTTATTTCTCCTAAATTTAGGTAGATCGGATAAAATTGTAAAATTTCTGCATATTCTTCATTGATTAGTTGAATTTTTGGACATTAGTGAATAAATCATATATTTCCGATATAGATTTGATAATAATGTTAAAAGAATGTCTAAGTTCATTTTAAATATTATTTTGGATTAATATCCATAGTTTTATTTCATAATTGTATATTCAACTTCTGAAGAATTTATTATGTAGTAAGATTTTCAACTTGTTCATAATATTTGAAAAAATCAACTTGCTTTGGCCCTTTAAATTTAAATAATTAATTCATTTCTAAACAGTTTTATAAATGTTATCCAAATCTTAAAAGCTACAAAGAAATATTATTTTTTTATTATATTATTCTTAGTTTTACTCCATCTAGAACTGCTTTTGCTGCATTCTTGAAAATACAATCGAAGGATTGTTTTTCAATTTGATTCTTATTACAGACTTTTAGGATGCTTAATAGAAGTTAATCTTGAGTGCCTTGCAATGATTTGAGAGTTTCAGGTATAATTGAGTCCCAAAATTGGTTAATAACTTGAAAATCATGTTCAATCACTTTTAGGGAAGTTTGTCCTTCTTTTGATTTACAAAACTTCTTCCAATCTTCGCTAGAAAATCTTTAATTGTTAGAATCTAATCTACCACTACATAGTCGGCATTTCATTTTGAAAAGAATGCTATTTTGATACTTTGTTAATAGGAACAAGAATCCCCAAAATAATTATTCATTTAAAACAGTTTTTAAATCTAATTAATTAGTCTATAGAGTTACTTTATTAAAATTAATCAAATAACTGAGAATTAATTGAACTGAGAAATGCTGATTTATTCTTTCGATGCACAACCCAATCTGAAATTAATTACATCTATTATTGGATTGATACTTTTTCTTTTTATTTTTTGTACATTTAATCTAAGTTTTTATTCTTTTTATGATTTTCTAATTTGATTTCTTACTTAGCTTCAATAATGCCAGGACACGCATTCTAAATTTAGTCTTGTATTTGTTCAGCATGATAAACATGTTAAACAACATTTTGCTATTGAAAATAAATGTTTTTTTTGGCATTTGATTTTTTTAACTCATCAGTTTCTTCTTCAATCTCATTATAGGAATTTCTTAGATTGGTTAAATATTCGAACTCCATTTGCTCATTAAAATAAGCATGATTTTAGACATCTTTCCAACAAATCCTATCTGCTTCTTCTTTCTGTAACATCTTCTTGATCAATTCCTTAATCAAATCTGAGACAACTGGAAATTGAGGTATGTGCAATTCCTCATTTTTAATTTTATTAATCAAATCTGGAATAGTGATAGCATGCCAAGGTAATTTACCAAAAAGTATTTCATAAAATATAATTCCCATAGACCAAACATCAGCCTTATTGGTGTATTATTTTTATTATAAAATCTAAGGTGCCATATAGAGAGGACTTCCTGCATAAGTGTACAATAATTATTCGTCTGTTTTTTCTAGAAATTTGCTAAATCCAAAATCAGCAATCTTAACAACCCCATCATGTATTAATATATTGGCAGATTTTAAATCTCTATGTACAATGTTACATTAATAGAGAGCCTTGTAGCCTGATACTATTTATTTCATGATTATTTTGGCTTCCTTTTCTGCCAAATATCTTTCATCCTTTGAACATTTCTTACAAATATATTTGTCTAAACTGCCTCCATTGCAATATTCCATCATCAGATACAAATTGTTTTATGTTCTCACCATATCTACAAATTTGACTACATTCACATCTTAGATTGTTCGCATTACTGAAATCTCATTCTTGGCCATGTTTAAAGCTTTCTCCACTTCCTTCTCATCCTTGTTGGGCAATGCTATTTATTTGATAGCAATGAAAAGACCATTTTTATCTTGGCCAGGATACACATCTCCATAGGCTCCTCGTCCCAATTTGATGGTCAAATCCATTTAGTAAACCCCTATTTTTTTTGTACACATTAATTTATAAATGATTATATATACCATATTCTTATGGCTTGTATAAAGTTTACCGAATTACTATGGAACAGCCCAACCAGATATCCAATAGATGATTTAACTAAACTATACTTAAAAAGTTAACAGCCTAATAATCAAATTCTACAAAAGAGAAGACGATGTACTTTGTTTAGTTTCTCCAAGCGATTTGGAATAAACGACATTAAGTGATCTTGATTTGTCTTACAACCCAAAAGGATCTGAAATTTATGACTATCAAAGTTACTAAGCCAATAATGAGAATCAGCTTGTCCAATTGGATTATGTCGCAATAATCTACATAAAATGTTTGCAATTAAACCATACTCAATACTAACCTATCAGTCTGGAGATCTATTATTAAGAAAGCCAACATGTATAAGGTTGCATAAACGATTGTAACGGATACAACTATCCTGACGTCTAGGATTCTGTTTGTGTAGCTGAATAATGTCACTGTTTGGATGGTGCATTCGGATAATATTGCTAATTCCAATCCGCACAGATACAAAGCAACGTTCTTACTTCCTTTACCTTAGATTCACACAATTGGAAGTATTTTCAGTACAAATTTAGTTCGAAGGACATAAATCTATTTTTATAAAACGAAGAGGATGATTTATGTATTTAATTGTACAATAACATATATAGATTATAGCTTTGTATTAAAGGTAAATCCTTAATTGAATATCCCAACTATGAAGGACAGTTAGAAATTATTGACACTCAATAATATTTAATAGGAATTAAGAGGCAAATTGAATAGTACATATGTCGACATAATTTATATCGGACTCTACAATAATCAATCTAAATCTGTCAACCTACAATTCAAGATCATCACAACTGAAGAAGAGGAAGAAAGCACTTTTGAGCGAAACAAAATTATTATTGTTGTGACTGGATGTGTGGTAGGATCATTGCTCTTGTTTGCTTTCGGGTTATCAGCTCTCAAATCTCGGTAACAACGATAATTCCAATAACAAATACAAGAGGTGATTAGAAGAAATCTAGACCAAGTTCGTAATATGGAATAAATGCAAGCCTAAAGTCCAGATCGCTAAGTCATCCAAACCAATAACAAAGGTACAACTTAAGCAACTTATGAGGTCTCTCGTTAAGATTTATTAAAGATCACTTTAAAGGACATAACTATGAAAAAATCACTAAAGTATATCCAGGCTTGTCCTAATTTGAAGAATGTGCTGTGTGTTTAGAATAAATGAAGAAGGCTACTACGAAACTACAAAAGATTTGTTCTGTCACTCCTTGTTTTCACATTTTCCATTCCATGTGTCTTGAGGAATGGTTATTAAGATAGAAGAATTGTCCATTTTGCAGAACTGAATTTACTAGAAAGAAACTCATCAAAGACTACCCTTGGTTGGAGATTAACACTCTTAGAGTTAACAATACAGATTCAACTTATTTGAGTCGTATGAAAAATAATTTAGAAACTGTTAATGAGAGTTAAATTGAATTTGCAAAGTAGTACCCAAAAGATTTAGAATAACAAACAAACTAAATCGAAGAAATTAATGAATGATCTATATCTTTATACGTAATTTTTATCATTTTTTTACAAATATTGTGATAATGCTTTAACAATCTATATTATATCATCAATCTAAGTCTAATTACATCTCTGTTTATCTGGTATCAATATATTATTCCAAAGGGGCCTGAATGAAACTTGAATCAAGTATTTCTTTTTGAGTCTCTAAAAACTTCTTATGTTATCTTCTCGAATACAATCTATACAAATCCCAAATAGCATAGACTCCTAAAACTATAAGTACTCTGCCAATAATTGCTTTAGATGTGAGTTCATCAACAAATTAGTATGTTTATTCTTAATGTAGTGTTTCATAAGATGGCTTTCTAAAATTGTACCATTTATTTTGATAGTACTCCCTTTTATTTGTGCTATAAAAATAGGAGTCAGGATTCACATCATTTGCTGAATGTGCTTCTCCAGATTATTCAAAATTTAATGCATCAGAATCATAGAGTTATCTTTTGATCGGATCCTTAAGTACTTGATAGGCTTTAGAGATTTCCTTGAATTTCTCTTCTGATCCAGATTCACCATTATCAGGATGGTACAACTTCACCAATTTAATATATTGCAATTTGATTTCCTTGGTTGTTGCCTTTGGAATAACTTCTAAGACCTCATAATATGTCTTAGGTAATTTGCTTGTGAAAATAGAAAAGTAATTTATTGATTTTCTTAATAACATTAATTTATTATGTCAGATTAAGAGGAAGAGTCACCAAGATAAGACGAATTCGGATAAAGAATAATAAAGTTAAAGGAGCTAACTCCTCTTGAAAAGGAATATTTTGACAAGGCTCGATAGCGTCACAAAGAAAACATATACAAAGATTAAATAGTGCAAGGTAGGAAATTTGAGGGAGTGGCCTTCATTTCTAAACCTGCCGAGATAATTTTCAAAGTATTTATCTAGCTACTTATTATAGGATTTTGATGTTGGCAAGCCACACACCATAATAATGTAACTTACTAATGTTTCTTACACTTTCAATTCATTCAAAATACTTCCGCTTCCAGAAGCTGTTAGGGTATCATATAAATTTGACCTAAGGATTTCTTTGAATTGATATACACTCCTCCTGGCAGAGTTTCAGCAGGCATGTCATGTCCAATAACAGTTAGATTTACTCCATAATTAAATGATGATATCGATGTTCAATTATAGTGTTAGGCTGAAACTGGACCCTTCTAAATTCATATTCTGTGCACAAGCAAGAAAGCAATAGCAAAGGTAGAATAACCTATCATTGACTTTGGCAAAGTTATTTTAGGAGAGGATTCAACTCTCATTCTCAAAATTCAAAATTTGGGTGCTCTAGATACAGATGTTTTCATGAGAAGTGCAAAAGGCATGGATTTGTAAACAATAGCTACTGAATCAGTTTCTTAAAAATCAAATAGAGATCGACCCTTTGATGAAGAAGGCATTTTACCTTACTTGAAATAGCTTAAATTCTAAAGATAACATGTTCTATAAGGTTATTCCATGCTTAAAATACCTATTCAATATATTCCTGCAGAAGTTGGTCCATTTTCATTGCCTCTCACACTATATTATGAAAACTTCTTGCATTCTCCACCTTGTCAAATTGAAATTAGAGGATATTGCACTGAAGTACCCATTTATGTAGAAAAACAAATTTATAATTTCCAAATTTGCTTATTCAATCATATTTATAGAGAAAAGATTGTGTTCTTTAATAGAAGTTAGAATGCTATGAAAATTTAAATTTAAACTCCAAAAGAGACTAAGGATTTCTTTGAATTTAATCCCAAATTAGGATATATATAAGGAAATTCTAAATTTGAGATTTGGGTTAAATTTAATGCAGAAAGACAATTACAAACAATATGCCAAAGATTTTTCAAGGATAATGTTATAGATGTTCCCTTTAAATTGATAGGAGCTGATTAGAAAATGCCTGTTCCCTTTAATATTGTTGCATAGATGACAATGGCTACTCTTCAGATTACACCTGCAAGATTAGATTTTGGAAAATTGTTTGATGGATAAGGGGCAAAGAGAGCCATCACATTTGAGAATCTAAGCGATTTACCCTAAGAATTGGCCATCTACCCTTTACCAAAAGAAATTTCAATTACAACTGATTTGGTACCATTGCGTTTACTTCCTAAATAAAAATTTACAACCGATATAATATATAGAACTTAGAAGGTAATTGGAATTAGTGATAGATAAGATGAAGGAATTTTAAAATGCAAAATAGTTTCAGGTACTATCTCCACAAAAGAGATCAGAATACCTTATACTTGTGAAATTTCTAAATGTCCTCTAGAATTTTCAGGCATTAAGTTTGATATTCCAGTCTAATAAATTGATGAAAAGTACTCAACTACCATTGATATCAAAAACATATCTTAAAGAGACATTATCATTGAATTCTTTTTACCATTCTATGAATTGTGTGGGCTTAGAATGGCTCCGATGGTTCAATAAATTTAAAGGGACTAATTAATATAAGTACATTTGGAATATGATTCTTTCTTTAAAAAATTAGGAGCTTATACTCTTTAAGAATTGAAAGAAAAATATGAAAATGATCCAAATAATAATTTCGAATTGAGATTAAAAATTAGATATGAAGAAGAGGAAAGAAAGAAAAGAGAATAAGAAGAATTGAAAAAAGAAGAGGAAATGGCTGCTAAAGGTAAGGCTGCCAAAAAGGAGGTTAAGAAGGATTAAAAAAAACCAGAGAAATTAACAAAAGCTTAGTAGTAATAACTTGAAGAAGAGGAAAGAAGACAAGCAGAATTAGAAAAATTGAAACAAGAAGAGGAAAGATTGAAAAGAGAAGAATTTGAAAAATAGTTTGACAGTGCTAAAGAATTAAGAAATCTTGGAGGAACTCTTGTTGAATTTAATAAACCTGAAGATTTAAGTATTATATCATTATATTCTATAAGATTATTCATAACACTATTCTTGGTTGATTCCATGTTATTTTAAATACACTGATATGCCAGATAATGCAAAATAAGTAATATACTTGTAGATTTCTACTGTTACTGTTTAAAAGAGTTTGCTTTTGAGTAAAACCATAATAGATTTTGGTGAAGTGGCAGTTGGGATAAGACAAACAAAAGAACTTACTGTTTTTAATCAAACTCCATTCAAGGCTGAATTAAAAATGCAGATGTTACCAATCTCTTGTGGATTTACAATTTTAAATGCTCTTAGAACAATAGAACCTAGTAATAAGAAATCTTTAATTGTTTAATTTTAACCCACTGAAGATCAACCATTTGAGGAGACTTTAAAATTATATTGTGATCATGCAGCAGTTTCAGCAAAATTAAAAGGAATAGGTGTGAGACCAGAAGTAAAGGTGGTACCAGAAAATGGATTAATATCAGTTGGAGGAGTAGTATTGGGAGAGTATGCAGAAAGAACGTTTAAAATAACAAATGTGTCAAATTTTCCAATAAAATTTTAATTATTAAGTAAGGCTAGGGGAGTTCAAAATTCTTGCGGAACAGAAGTCTTTTAATTTATACCTTAAGAGGCAATTGTCAATGCTTAATAAGAAATTACTTGCAAGGTGATTTTTAAACCTGATAGAGTGTCTGATAAATTTTATGATCTAATTTCTGTTCATGTACCAAATTAGAAATCTGAGAAGAGAGTTTTTATTTGGGGATATTGCTATAATCGTTAAGCTTATGTAAATATTTATTAGCCTTACAATTTAATTCCTTAAATTAATGAGATTAATAAGAAAATTGAGTTTCCCTTTGATTAATTAAAATTAAAAGATGAGGAGAAGGTCTACACCTACTTAAACAATAAGATTATGCTTGAATTTGAGAAGTTGAAAGAAGAAGATAACTCTAGAAAAATAGTTATTGGTAGTTGCAAACTTCTAGATACAAAAATGGAAAAACCTGTTAATTATGAAGTGATTCTATCGGTAATATTTAATTTCCTATGAATTTATTAGAAAGATGAAAAATACTTTGTGTGTGATAATTAAAAAGGTGCTATATAACCAGGAAATGAGGTAGTGATAACATTTACCTTCAAACCTCCTTAGCCAGATTAATTTATTGCCTCCATTGAAGCCTTAAAGAAGATAGGACAATGGAAGGAAACAAAAATTGAATTAAAAATTTCTGGAGGATTTTTGAAGCCAGGAGTTTAGGATAACATTAGCTATGAATTGATTCTGAAAGCATTTATTAATTAGATTTGATTTCTATTAAAAAAGTTCATTTTGAAATTATATTTATGATTTAAGTTTCTGAATTCCCTTAATAAGATTCATTGACATCGACAAGTTCTTTGCTGATTATAGGCATGTTGAATATTTGAAAGGTTAAGGCAAGTGAATGCTTAATGCAAATTTTATAAGCACATTGAGCAACCACCGATAGGGTTAATTGAAAGAAATTCTTGATTTAGATATGTTAAGGGAAAGATGAAGAGCTTAGAAAATATAAATTGATGGTAAGAAAGTTGATGCAAACATTAAGAAACTCTAGAAGCATTATAAATACCAGGAAAAGTGAAGAATTGAAAGGATGTGTAAATCATATTTTTAGAATTGAAATTTAAAGATTCCATTTGATTGATATATAAAATCATAGAGCATTGATCAAGACAATAAAATGGTTTCAATTATCTATGTGAAAAGTAAATTAGGTATTAGATTAAATTCATATTAGTTAAATAAAAAATGAATTATATGCCATTGATAAATTGACTAATTTATTGAATTGAATCAATATTACTATAAAGCTCAAATAAGGAGAGTAGATTCATTTGATAAATTAGGATTATTTAGAAAAAAATTTTATTTTTATTAATTATTATCTCTAATTAAACTAACCTGAGAACAGGAAATCCATGAAAAATTCATACAAACTAGCAAAAAATAGAGTTTGTTACCAAGTTTTAGATGTTGATATGGATGCAAAAGAAAAAGGAACCAAATCTGTTATATACAATTGCCATAGTAGTTAATAGTATAATCTTAGACAAAAGGGATAAAAAAGTCAACGTAAATATTTGCTCTTAACAGGTTTTTAGCATGATTAAAAAAGAGGTTTAAAAATAGATGAAACAAGCTTTATCCAATAAATAAAACAGGATTCTCGAAAACTCAGAACTCGATTCTGATTAGTAGAATGGGACTTTTTTATAAGGAGGTCGATCTGTTACAGTCTCTTAGGTGCTATTCGATCTTGAGGGTGAAATCCAAGAGTTCTATATGGATTTAGATGAATGTCAAATGTATATTTTTAATGTTAAAAATAAATAATGTCTTCCACTTTAAAAAGGTTGGGTATTGAATTTAAGGAGTTGCCATAATCACAAGTAGATGAAGCAATCTATTCTATTCAATCAATGAGATTGGAATAAATTTTAATATCAGAAGGAGAGATATTTGATTGGCAAAATCTTTTGAATCGTCCTGATTTAGTAAGCTTAAAGTATCCTGAAAAACTAGGGACTTTGATAATGTAGGACGAAAAGCAATCAAGTAGATCTTTCTTTATTTTTGATATCAATAGTCCATTAAGGATTAAAGTTATTGCTACCATAAAATCAAAGTATATATATTTGTGCTCTAATAAAGGATATATCAGTAAATATTTCTGATTGTAGCAATCATTGGGATTGTACCTTTTTGTATGGAGGACTCTAGAATAAGCGCAGGAATAGAAATAATTGTCAATATCATATTAGGAATAGATATCATTTTAAAATCAATAGCAAGTGGGTTTATTTTAAGCAAGAAATCATACTTGAAGAACATTTGGAACTTATTGAATTTTGTGGCATTTCTCTTTACTTGGTGTTTGTTTTTGGATGATTCGCAGATTTCATAAATAATAAAAGCAATAAGGTTCTTGAGAATTTTCAGATTTATAGAGGAAGTCTCAATTTTAAAGATTTAATTTAATGCTTATGTTGGCAGCTTTTTAAGAGTAAAATAAGTCTTGATTCCAATTTTTTTAGTAATGATCTATTTTTCAATAATTGGCTTGCACTTATTTATAGGTTTAACGGAAAGAAGATGTAGATTGACACAATATCCAGTAGATAATGAGTGGATAGCTGATCCAAATATATAAAAGTTATGTGGTATATGGGAATGTCCAGAAAATACTTTTTGTGGAAGTCTTTTGGATTATGATCTGCCAAGAAATGAAACTGAAAATGATATAGAAGCATTTACTTGGAATTTTACCAGATTTGATAATTTTTTTAATTCCTTATTAGTTGTTTTTACATTTTTAAATGTGACTGGCTGGTCCGGAACAACGTTTATGGTAAACATTTATGAAATTTTAGTTTTGGAAAGCTATGACAACGTATGTAACTGCAACTTACTTTTTAATTATGATTCTATTGATGGCTTTTATTCTCTCCAATTTGCTTTTAGCTTTGTTTTATGAATCCTTTATGGAGAAATCTTCAATTAAAAATACATAAAAGAAGTTGAAATAAGAGTAATAATAGATTGAGGAAGAGATAAAGAAAAAAAATCAATAATAGTTAATAAATCGTCTTAGTGTTATTAGTAAGCAAAAAGAAAAAGGAAATTAGGCTTCTAATTTTAACATCTATTTTACGGAAGAATAAAACGTAAATATTAAGGATGTTAAACAGGAATTGTTTATTAATAAACTTTTAAACTCTCCAAAAATTTTAGTGATTAATACTTTATTTATCTTTCTTTCTGCCTTTGTTATTGCCTATGATTACGATGGTATTCCATAAATTTTGAATTAGAAGTTATAGTTAATTGATTTTATTTGCATTCTTTATACATTTTTAGAGATTGCAATATAATTTTGTGGGAAAGGAATTTAAAGTTTTTTTTCAAAGAGAATTAATGTTTTTGACTTTTTGATAATCTTAACCCAATGGTTTTTAATTTTCTATTTAGTCACCTTTAATTAACCGCTAATATATAATGATGATAAAGAAATCGTTTTTATAAAATCTCTTAAAATCTTGAGAATATTGAAATCATTATTTTTTGCCAAAGTCTTTTATACTATTGCAGTATTGATAAGATCCTTGATCAGTACTTTAATTGCTCTAAAGAAAATACTTTTCTTATGGATTTGTCTAATATTTTTAATGTCCATCTTTGGCAAACACTTATTGTAAAACCAAATGTCTGAAAAAAACATGACAATATATTATAATGACTTAGGCTCTGCAATAATGGCAGTAGTCAATATATTTTATAATGAAGAGTGGCACATTACTATGTATAAATATGGTAGACACACTGAAGCATCAATTGTGTTTTATATTATTTGTGTGATTTTTGGGTAAATATTCTTTATTAGATTACTAACAGCTGTCTTTTTAAATGAATTCAGCTAGCATATCGAAAGTGTTTAGACAAGTTTAAAACCGATAGATTATAAGAAGCTATTTTCAACAAAGAAAACGTAGGTATGATTTTATTCAATAGTCATAGATTGAGAACCAAGAATCGAAATTGTAGTAATACATAGTGAAATAAGAAAGAAATGAGAAAAAGAAGGAATCTGTATATTTAAAAGAATTAAAGGTAATAGGGCAAAGGAAGAAATCAAATTCAATGATAAATTAATTGCAAGGACAGGCTTCGTTTTAGAATCTTGATGAATTTTTGAACCTTTGTTAAGACAATTAATAACAAGAAAGCAAATTATAAGTAATTAAATCTGACATTGTTGTTAAACAATAAGAATTCTAGAACAAAACATTGTTTATATTTTCTGAAAAAAACCCACTTAGGCTTCGTGTTAAGTCCTTAATTGAGAATTTACCATTTAGAGTGTTCCTAATTGTTTTGGTCTTGATTTGTGTAATCAGAACTATGTTGCTCACTCCATTCTTAAATCCTGAATCCAATTTGTTTGAAGTTTTAAGAATAATCCATACTGTCAATACCTTTTTATTTTGCATTCAAATCTGTTTAAACATTATTTCTGATGGTTTATTCATTGGAGAGGATTCATATTTGCAAAAATCACCTTACAATGCACTAAATTTCATAATTACAACAATAGACATTGTGGCTATCTTCAATTATAATCAATTGATCTTTAATCTTTTTTCAAGTTTGAGGATTTTAGAATTCATAAGAATAGGGGCAGAATTAAATTAGAACATCAATTATGTTTCTTAAGCTTTAATGAAAGCCTTTTTGACAATGATTCAATTAAGTATATTTTGTTTTGTAATTCTCCTTGTATATGGAATATTTGCAACAAAGTTATTGAAGGGTGGTCTATATTATTGTTCAATATCAAGTGAATTACAATACAAAGTAAAGGATAAATGGGATTGCATGGATAATGGTGGTTCATGGATAAATAAAATATTGGGATTTGATAATGTACTTGATAGTGCTTTAACTTTGTTTGTAACTGCAACTACAGAGGCGTGGCTTCCAATCCTAATAGATACATGGAGTTCAAGAGGTAAAGACCTTGCTCCAATTAACAACCATAATAGATGGTGGGCTGTATATTTTTAAGTGTTTTTCTTTATCGGAAATATCTGTATGCTCAATATGTTTATCAGTTTGGTTGTAAATACATATTAGGAAACAAAAATAAAGGCTTAAGGTATGTCAGAATTAAATGGCAACCAAAGAGAGTGGTTACAAATTAAAAACAGTATACATTACCTTACTCCCAGGGTTAATTATGAGTTACCAAAGAACAAGGTAATGAAGTTATTTTATTTTATTGCAGAGAGTAAGAAACTGAAATACTTTTGGCATTCCATCATTGCCTTAAATACAATCATACTATCATTATTTTATACGAGACAAAATAAGATATTTAGAAATATCTTAATAGAATTTAATCAATATTGCATTTTGATATCTGCAGTTGAAATAACTGTTAGATTCATTGTAAAACAGTGGCAAAAAAGAGATGTATTTTTAATCATAGATTTTTTTGGAATCATTTTTAATCTTTTTGATTTATTCATCCTTCAGGAACTTTCTGACAATTTTTATGTTCTGAGAACTTGCACAGCAATATCAGTAGCATTTTAATTATTAAGAAACTACTATATAATTAGGTAATTATCTATATATTTTTAGGCGCTTCCCAGAACTAGAGAAACTATTTAATACAATATTTTCAGTCATTCCTTCTGCTTTATCCATGATATTTATAATGGCTTTGTTTCTTTTTATCTATGCCTCTTTAGGGATGGATCTATTAGGTTATTTGAGACCATAGAACTATATTGAAGGGTTTGATCTTCATTTTAGAAAATTTACAACAGCTATGTTCTCATTAATCAGAGTAGCAAGTTCAGAATAATGGTGGGCCTTGTTGGTTGATTCGGTTCACAAAAGAACACCAGATTTTGCATGTATTTACATTAAGGACTATTATGATTACTAAGAACATGGTTTTAATGGATGTGGAACGTATTGGGCATATGCTTACTATATTAGTTTCCATCTTCTTTTTTCGTTAGTCATACTCAATTTATTTATAGCCTCAATACTTGGTGCATATGAAGAACATGTGAAATCAGAATAGAGCGCTATATCTAAATATTAATTACATGACGTATTGAACTATTGGGCTTAATATGATCCCAAAGGAACTGGGTTTCTGAATTACAAGTAGTTTTGGAAGTTATCTTCGGAAATAGCAATTTGTTTTGGAGTCCCAGTTAAGGAACTTTTGGATCCTGCCAACAAAACCAATTTCCTGAGGGCTTTAAACATCCCACTTTATGAAGATGAGCAGGGGCTAATGGGATATCTATTTCATGATGTAATAGTTAGTTTGACTAAACTGTCTGTTGAGTTAAAATATGGAGTAAAAGAGTATAAATTTAAATCATATTAGTTTGGAGTCGAGTTCATATAAAGGTAAGGACTTCCTCCATGATTACTATAAATTCTTTAAGAAAACACCATATTATAGTGGCTAGATGTCTAGTATTATTTTCATCTAAGGAAAAATCAGAACAATAAGGAATAGGAAGAAGGGAATTAAATTTCTGAATATCGAAGCACTTAAGCAGGAACTTTAGAATCAAAATGAGGCTGAAAGAAATGCATAATATAATGAAAATTGATTATATTTTAGACTTTATATATATCTATTGTTATAAAGGTCTTTTAAATATCACTATCAATTTGTTTTGAATAATGCATTTATTGTATAAGGTGGGATAATCAATTTTAATTTAATTAATATATATATGAATTAGCAAGAATTTATTTGCGATGCTTGCGATAAAGCCTTTAAATAAAAGCGTGCTTTATAAGAACATTAATTAATCCATTCAGGGGAGAAGCCCTATAAATGGTTAGTTTTTATCGATAATTTACTAGTGTGACTTGTAATTAATCGTTTAGATAATACTCCTCATTATAAAAGCATGACCGTATTCATACAGGAGAAAAACCATATAACTGTTTAGAATGTAATTAAACATTCTCTCAAATTTCAAATTTAAAAAGACACTAATTTAAACACAAAGAACAGAAGCCTTTCACGTGTGAGGTTTGCTAAAAACAATTCATAACTAACTAAAATTATTAATAACATCAAAATAAGCATAAAATATAAAGATAGAGTTTTGTGTGTGAATGTAATCGAACTTTTCTTTATAAGAGTAGTTTAAAAAAACATTAGAAAATTCATAAAAAAATAGAAAATACAGATTCATTCATCAATCTCTAAGAAATCAATTAAATTTCAGCAGATTTAAAAATATTTTTTACCGCTTAGCATCCTTAAATTTTTCATTCAAATCATATTGATATATTATTTAATGGAAGATTATATAATTATAATGAATGTAAATATTTCATTAATAACATTAAGAAACTGGCAGGATTGAGTTGCACGATTTGATAGATTAATAATAATAAAATTGTGCACCAATAAAAGATCATCAACATTTTGATTCCTAAAAATAATATGATTTGATAAAATGTATAGATTGTAAATAAGAACAATGTTGTTGTAAATCAAAATAGCTGGTTAATAATTGTTGTTTGGCTTGCAATGGTGGAAATTGTGGAGAAACTCCATTTGCTATATCTAAAGTATTACATTTCCACGGTCCAAATTGTGGTCATCCAATTGTCATCCATAATGGTCATATTGATTATTTAGTAAATGAAATGCTACACTTCCCTCATAATGGCCATTGTGATAATCACGGTATTTTGAATAGAATTAAAGTGAAATGATTATAAATAATGGCATAGTTGCTAATTATCAATTGTAATCAATTATAATATTGAAAGTCTTCAAAAAATTTGAATGAATTCATTTTTATTATTGAATATAACTTTGTGAGTTTATTAGATAATAAATAGATTAAATACAGTAGTAATTTGAATATCTATTTTGATTATTATTTTCTCTAATAATCCACATCTATAAACAAAGATAAAAGGGATAAACTTAAAAAAAATAGAAAATTTTGGTTAAAAAAAGGAGAATAGCTGTGCATATAAAAATATAAAAAGAATAAATAACTGATTTAATATAATTAATGCATAATTCAACTTGGGGAACAATCATGGGGTAACCTTTTGGTGTTGTAGCCTATTCTAACCTTGGATTTGTATTTGACAGAGATAGAATCCATGAGTATTAGACTTATTGGCCCAAAGAAGAGACTGGTTTAGCAAGAGATGTATATATTGGATTTAAGTAAATCTCAAATCCTAATTAGATATCAATGTGTGGAATATGCTAGAAGATTTCTAACATTGAAATTTAAAGCTGCCTTTACTGATATTCCACATGCTCATAACATGTGGGCACTTGATATAATTGAGGATTGTACAAAGGAAGAAGGAACATTCCCATTTGTCAATTATCCAAATGGTTCTAAAGAGTTAGTTATTTGTTTTTACTTTAGACCACCTTAGTTTGGAGATCTCATAATATATCCATATTCAAAGGAACAGAGATTTGGCCATGTTGGAGTTATTATCAATGTGAATTTGGAAGAAAAGTATGTTGATATAGGTGAACAAAATTATGAAGAGGCAGGATGGGAATGCCCAGAATATGCAAGAAGATTAATAATGAAGATCGAAAATGGGCAATATTTCATAACAAATAAAAGAATTGGGTAATAATATATATTTTATCTTTTAGAAAGCCTTATGATAATTGGGACATTAATGAAGAAATATTTGGATGGAAAAGAATCGATTTTGGCCAAAAATAATGATTGTTTTATAATTCATATTTAACGATTTGAATTTGCAGTGCTTTATCAATTTTTCATCATTTATTTACTTACCTCATCACATCAGAATTATAATTTATTTTTTAAATATATGCATAGTATGGAATTTAAATCTTTTCTAAATTTTGTTTAAAAGAAGATTAATAATATTCTTAAAATTAATGAAATATTCTTATTAGCAATCTCTTCAACATATGCTTATTCCATACATCATAAGTGGAGTATTATGGTAAATTTGTTCAATCTATTAAAGGATTCCCCTTTCGAAATTTGTCGAAACCTTCTACCAGGATTAATTGATCTCTTAATTCATTGTTGATCTCATAGCAACTTTTATTGTTTTTGTTTAATCCATATTAATCAAGTAAGTCATTCAAACTTATTATACTTAGAAATTCCTCTATTTATGATCCCTACTGGCATATAATCCCTATGTATTTTACAGCATATTGGTGTTTTGATTGTAAAACATGGTGGCCAATCCTAGTTTGCTTTTTTTATTGCATAAAGCAAGACATAAGTTATTTTAGATTTTGGCCAGGTAAATTGCTTTATCTTATAATTAGGTCTTACCTATGAAGACTTTAGGTATGAAGAATTTAAAAATAAAATAAATAATAGTTTTGTTTATTGGGTATTCAGTTTAGTTTCATTTCATATTTATCCTACAATTATTGTATATTTAGGTTATATACCCCTATATTACACCATAAAGGAAACCTAAGAGCACAATATATTATATGAAATAGGCCTAATAATATCTATAATTGCTGTAATTATCTAATGGATTGCAGATTACTAATTATATCCCTATAGAACAAAACAAATAAAAGGAGATTGTGAGATTGGACTATGGAAATATTGCAGACATCCTAATTACTTTGGAGAATGTCTATTTTGGTGGGGAATGTACATAGCAGTATTATCCTATGGAATGTAATATTGGTATTGGGGAGTTGGGGCACTTGGAATCCAGATCATGTTTTTAGCCTATTCAATTCCAAACATGGAGTAGCATTTACTAAAAAAGAGACCTTCTTATAAGAAATATCAATCTGAAGTTAGTTGTTTTATTCCTTGGTTTAGAAAGAATTCTAAAACTAATTGAGATACATGTTAATATATATGATCTAAATTAATTAAGGATCTATTATTCTTAAATCTGTCTTTAATCGATTTTTAGATAATTTAAATTATTTGTGTTTTAGACTATCAATAATAGATATATGTTATTACAAATAACTAATGAACATCTTAGTATTATTAACTATACAAATAATTGAATAATTTTTTATTTATAGTATTAGCATTGATCTTAAAATATCTTTGGCTTTTGAAATCAATTTAATGACTTAGTACCTATTGATTATTAATAATAATTGATAACAGTATTGTTTGTTTGTTACAAATATTAGAATAAAGTCATTAATTTTTATATAAGATTTCTAAATAAAAATAATTTATTCAAATATTAACATTAATGTATTAATATCCAGAAAGATTCTGAAAAATTATTCAAAATTCTTAAACTATTTTTAGTATGTTTTTTTGATTATATTTTATTAGATTCTATATCTATTTTAACAATCAATTTTTTAATAATTGGAGAAACAAAAAAATAAAATATTTAAGCGAGATTTTAATATTAATGAAATAAACTATCTCCTTAAGTTTCACAGTTATTTTTAAATATTGAAAACATGTTGACAATCAAAAATTTTTAAAGATTTGCTTAATGAGAAGCCATGTGATTATTTATGAAAAGCTAAATTATGCAGTTAGCAATAAAAATTTATTAAATATTAGGTAAAATGTAAGAATTTATCAGATTTAATTAATTTATGTCTATTTAATATGGATTATTTGGATTATTGTTCAAGAATTGCTTAACCTAAGCATCAATATCATATATAATTGAATTATGAGTCCAAGTCTTGTAAATTCAGATAAATATTGTAGCTTTAGATTACATAATAGTTTAGGAACAAATGAATTATAATAATTAAAATAGAAAAAGTCAATCAGCTTCCAAATAAAGCGTTAATGTTAAAAAGTCTTAGAATCTCGATTATAGAGAGATCAAATATTTAGTTAATTTAAAGTTTTTAAATTTTAGAACAAGAAATACATATGAATAATCATAAGATGTTGAAAAAGGAAGTGAAATCAATGAGAGATTTAAAACCCACACTATTTACACTTGGATTGATAAAAGTAGTTTTCTGTTGCACAAAGTCTACATGATTTCATAAAATCGAAGTTCATTTTGACCGTTTCTTACTTTGTGTGTGACAAATTTTCTAGGAAAAGTGCTTGATGAAATGCAGTATGGTCTTAAGCGATGCTACCTACACTATCAGTAGTGCTATGTCCACTGCCAGTTAGATCAGGTTCTTACAGTTTGAGTGAATCTATAATGCTGGGTTATTCAAGTGGAATAAATTTAGTTCCTGGGGCATCTCTTGCAAACGTGTGACAACGATTGCAATACTTTCTGAAGGAATAGTTGAGGTTTTTGCATCCGATACAAATCCAATCTAGTTATTTACTTTACATTTCTTTTGAATATATATATAATTTGTTAATTTATTTATTGACAAAACATTTCATTCACATGCAATTTTGTAGTCAAAACTTGTTAATGCAATTTAAAATGCTTGTAAAGGAGTAATAGGATATTAGAAGTCTAGATTGAAGACATCATCTGCGACTCTTCCAAATTACAGTAAAATGTTGTCTTCTTAGCCTTCGACAATAAGCTGGAAATTTTTAACGCTTGGCTTATCTACTCTTTGGTAAAAATTAAGCACGAAAGCCTTATGCTTACTATTCCATTATGGAGGCCTATTAACATAAGTTACAATATGATCTCTATTGTTATTTAGATATTCCTTCAAAATTCCATCCTTAGAATTGGTGGGTTTGAATACATAGAGTTAATTCTCTGCATCCAAATTCGGCATTAAAACCTTAATAAGAAGAATAAGATACCACCATTTTTCTTGGTCCTTTGGATCCAAGAATATTGCTTTCATATTAAACGATACCAAGTTATTACCTTAGTTTAGATTCATCTTTAGTTTTGTCTGGATTCAAACCTGAATCATATAAGATAAATTCAGTTCCCATGAAATTACTTCTGACTTTGCCAATAAAATTGTTCCCTTTTTCAAAGTCCTCTCTTGACATCGATATTATATAATTGCTGGTGTTATTGCAAGCTCTCTTTTTTGCACTCATCAGATACAAAAATCCATTTGATATGTGAAGATGATATTTTGGATAAAATCTACTCATTCCACTTCTATCTCTCTTGATTGTGCATTAGATCATCCCTCCTTTGGGGGCAGGATTCAAAAGAAAGTGCTTCTTTCCATATGGCATCTCAATTGAAACGAGAGGTTTTGGATATGGACAAGTTTATTTAGGTTATTCTTAAGGAACCTTTTAGATTTCTGGCTTATTCTCTTTCTACTCTATAACTTCATTTTTATCATTGGTGAGATCCATTTAAATTTTATCATTTTATTATTTCAATTCTTTCCTTTATTCCTACTCTTTTTATTATTGATTCAACAATTCATCGTCTTCCTCTTGAACTATTATTTCTTACAGCTCCTGATAATCATCATTATTCTGTATTCTTTTCTCGTCCTCTTAAATTATCTCTTTTTAAATTATAATCTAATCTTCTTCAACAACATTTTATTAAGGTTTGCTTTCCTAATATAGACTTTCAGCAAATTTAATTTTGTGATTCTGCTTTTCAAGTTAAGGTAATGAATCATCCTAAAGCGATTTTTGCCCTGGTTCATAATATTGATTGTGATTGTTTCCAATTATAGAAAACTTTTATAAAGCTTGATACTTACTTTCTCTATTTCTATATCAAAATCTTGATTATAAGTAGATTCATTTTGACCTAGGTTTTTTTTGTATTGTTGATTGCTCTATAAAACAATTTACTGTTTGAATTCATGTGTGCCCTTCGGAATTGGATTTTATTAAGGAATTGGATTTTATTAAGGCTACAAATAATTCCAGTGTTTAATACCTTCTATTCTTCTTCTTTCTTTTAATCATCTATTAATGGATTAAGATACTATTTTGTTTCTTCTTATTCTGGATCCGAATCGAATAATACTAAACTCTCAACCATTTCATCATTCTCTTTTATTTGAGACTCAATCTATTTCTTCTGTATTTCTACCTCTTTCTGTAATCTTTTATTATGATTTTTACTTATTAAATTCTACTCAAAGGTTTATTTTCTTATTTTTACTCCTCTTTTGTTTTCGCTTAGAATTTAGTCACATTAGATCTTCCTTTAGGCTATGATCTTTAACTATATTAATTGGTTTGGTTAGCAGATTCTTAAGCATCCTCTATCAATTAAGGATTAAGGAACATTTAAAGCTGTATTAATAATAATGTAAATATTAATTATTAAGTCAATCCGAAGCCCTAGTTACAAAACATGACATTGCTATTTAAAAGGCCTACAAAGGAAATATTGGCCATTAGAAATCGAGATTGTATAATCCTTTTTCAATCTTTCCCAAAAGAAAGAAAACTTAATTTTTGTCTTGTTGACACAATTATAAATTTTTAGAAGAAGCTATCAAGGCTCTATTGTAGAATGGCAAAACAAAAGATTTTGCTTCATTACTATATTCTGGTTCTCTGTTCTAAAATTCCTAAAAAAATTTCGGTTTTTTATCAAAGTATTTGCACTTTTCTATTCGGTATTAATACATCTAATTACTTGAATCTATCTCTGGTAAGTATACCTATTCTCAATCATTAAATTACTCTAATTTTATGAGGCTTTTACTTTCCAGTTTTTTAGTAATTAGCTCCTCCAGTGCATAATCTATGCATACTAATTGTTGAGCACTTCTTTGGGCTTAATTTATTATCCATAAATATGAAGTTCTAACCATATTTATCCCATTTTATTTTCCCAGCAAAATAATTCAAACCTGCCTACTTAATTATAATTTTCCTTTTAAATAAAGTATGAACCTTTTCAGCTATCAAAATTGGTAAATCAAACATAATCAATTCATATTTCGCATTATCCTTTTGAGATTACGTCACAACTTTACGAATTTAACATTACAAAATTCCCTCTCTTTAAATGGGCTATAAAATAAACTAAATTTTATCAAATGGAATTCTTAACTCTTTGAATGGATTTGGATAAACGAAACCTTTGCATTAATTATGGTTCTATTTAGACTATTTTTCATTTGTAAATATTTCATGTTATATAGATAATTAAACTTTGTCAGATTCTGCAAAATCTCCCTAATCTTTATTAATTTCTTTTAAAGGAGATTCTGATTCAAAAGACTCAATTTTTGAAATTGAATCATCTTCTTAAGGCAAAAGTTATTTTTAAAATGATTTCCTGCACGGCAAAACAATATTTGATTTACTTTATGACAAATGAATATTTGATTTATTCATAATATTAATAATGAGCATCACAGACAATATTAATGTAAAAATTATGCAAAAATAAAATTATAATTTCACTATATTTAGACTAATTAGATTTGAGACATTTTATTTGAAGCTCAATGATTCTTTTAACAATTAGATTATCCCTCTAAATCAAAAGCATATTAACACTCTTCAATTTGATTTTTTGATGAAACTTCCTGTTTTGAGATATTGTCCTCTAACTAAAGTTATCTATTTAATATCCCAATTAATGATATTTAAAAAACATATAAGTGTAAAATAAGAAGAATCCATAGTCACATCCTTACGATATTTTTTAATTTCTTAAATCTGATGAATTTTCTAGCTTCCATGTTGGCAAAGTTTAGTTACTGAGTGCTAAAATTTTAAATACTCTCATTTTAACCCTTTATTTTATATACCAGTTTATCTACATAGAAATTCAAAATATTTTTTTTATTTGGATACCATGAGTGAGTTCTAAATTCAGCTATTGTATAATAGCTAAAATTGTATTTTTCATCCATTAATACATCTTTATTAAGGTTATGTTATTCCATATTTGTAATTAGAATTTCAGCCTTTAATTTTTAATTTATAGTTCAATTTTTCATCATAAGTTTTTATAAATTTAGTAAATTTTTTTGAGAACTCAATCTTATATTCTCTAATTTCTTTAAAGGACATAAGAATATCAAATATAAATAATATTATGAACCAAGTAAAATTTTTTGTTTCCTTCAGTTTTTATACATATTATAAACGACGTATATGTTAGATTTAAAATTATTAACTGAATTATTTAGTTGTTACAGCATATAGCTTCCACTATATATAAAGCTTGGAAAAATAACTCTTATTTTATTGCAAATCTGAATATTCAATTCTCTCATAAAAATTCTAGGTAAAAATATATGATATCTAAATTTAAGCTTGAGTCATCTCCAATTTTATACCATCTTTGGCCATTATCTACTTATTAATTAGATGACCCAATCATTTTGATTTGTATGATATCAGACAATTATTTTATTTCACACAGTTCTCCAACGCTTTTTTCTCATTCATCAAATCTTAAGGTACTGTTACCCGAAATTCAATTAATCTCCATCTTTTTCTTTTAAATTCACATAAAAAATCCTAAGAGTCTTTAATTGAATTACAAGCAATATATTGTATTGTATTTTTTATAATAATCCATACTTAAACTCTTTCTATATCAATCTTTCTTCATTTCTTTCAATTTTTCAACTTTTTAAATTTTTACAAATCATCTTGATAATTTTACCCAACTAAATCCTTATTTCTCTAATTGTATGAATTCTCGTTCTACTTTAAATAATCGAAATTAATGTATTTTCATATCAACATAATACAAATCTAATAAGCATTCTTAACATTGTCTAACTACATATTATGCCAAGATTAAATTTATCAAAGTAATAAAATCTTAAGTTGCTTTATAAGTCTATCTTATAATTATTGTTATTTGTTAAATTTTATTATATAAAATAATTGTTATGAACAAAGTAACTAATTCTTATTTGGATTTTACAAAGTAATATAGAAATTTAGGTTACAAACCAGTACAAGAAGCTTATGATAAAATAGACAATCCTGCCACTAAATTCGATAATTTCTTGAAAACATCAATTTTTTCTAAAAGACTTGAAAAATCATCATTAAATTAAACAGAATTATATCCAAAAATAAGGGGCCCTACTAAACCTGATTATATTTTTATTGAACATTATCCAAGATTTAAAGAAGATATTAATTGCAACTAAAAGATATTTGGATAAAAGTAAACTCAGTTTCATAGTGATATATTCGAAAATATCAGAAATGATTTTAAACAGAAAAACTATTCCTTTTAATACACTTCTGATAAGTTAGATTATTCTAAAGATTTAGGATTACCAATAGAACCAAAACAAAGATTAAAGGAATTATAATCTATTAAAAAGGAATAAGAGTTATTTAAGTCACTGAGGTAGGATGTAAATTTTCTAAATAGAAAAAAAAGAATTTTAGATAATCTTCATAAGTACGAAACCTCATCTTAAACTAGACAAAGAAATTTAAGTTTACTTTATTAACTATTTTTAGGTTATGATTAATATCGTAATTAGAATGAATGCCTTGAGTTTAATAATACAAATGGATTTATTGGAGATCAAATGAATTTATCCTTTCATCTATCTAAAGATTGGAATAGTAAAAAAAGGTGTGAGACTTAAAGATTAGATACTTTTGAAAGAGTCATAAGTCAAAAGCCAGCCAATCTTAATGTTAATACAGAGAGAATGAAATATTTAAAATTCAGAGAAAACTGTGGGAGGGATTACAAAATTGTAAATTTAACAAGGGATGAATGATGATTTTACTAATGCAAAATATATTCACTACATCGATGAATAAGATTAGTAAATCTTAGCAAAAAATTAAGTCAAAGTATCAATCTGCGTATTTAATTTCGATTCTTCAAAGTTCACTTGTTACCTAATTAATAACATTCTAATACAAGTAGTTCTCTGATTCCTGAATACTTCTCTACTTAAGAAGGTCAATTCTTTCTAAAGATTATAATTATGCATTTAATTATTATGCTAATTTCTTGTTCTCAGTATCCTTATTTGTTTTTTCCAATTTTTTTAAGAATTGCATCATTTTCTCTGTATCCCTTTATTCGCAATTCAATTCAGGAACAATCAACCCAGGTTTACTTAACAATGTATTCCACGAAATTCCTTTAAATAACTCATATAAAATACCTTTAAAGAATGAATGGTTCTTAATCTCTTCGATTGATCTATGTCCTAAGCGATTTTTAAAATCAGGTTCTAATAATTTATTCATTAAATCATAAGCCTATTCAGATATACAATCTTCTCCTACACCAATTTGAGGCCATTCTAATCTCATGTTAAGAATATTATCAAATATTTTATCTACTGTATCATCATTAAAAGGAGTAATTCCACACAGCAATTCATACATGATAACTCCTAAACTCCAATAATCACAACTGAAATTACTAGCAGAGGTCCCCAAAATTATTTCTGGAGCAATATAATCAGGAGTACCTACAATTCTAAAATTTGAAGAATAAGATACTTTTTAGTTTTACTTCCAGATTTATCCACTAAAATGGATTCTACTTTCCTCAGTTATTTGTATAATGTCTGATAACCTTGTTGATCAATCATTTATTCAACACAAGTTGGTATTTCAATTGTATTGAATGAATTTAAACTATCCCTTAATTTTAATCTGCTATTGACGCCTTATTCAGACAGCCCAAAATCTGCAAGTTTTGCATGTCCTTGACAATCCAATAAAATATTCTCTGGTTTTAAATCTCTATGAACTATATTTTACATCCTTAAATGATCCAATGCTAAGACTATTTCTGCCATGTAATGACGAACATAAAATTCATCCAAAGCCTAAATATATTAAAAAGTAATACTGTATATGTTTTCAAAATGGTTGCAAGGTCTCCACCCACCATGTATTCCTGAACAAAGCATAAATATTATTCGTGAACAAAAGAAAAGTAGGCCTTGACTACAAAATTGCTATTAAGGATTTCAAAGATATTTCTTTCTGCCTTGAGTTATTCAAGAAATGCTTCCAAATTCTAAATCATTTCAAAATATTACCCTTTAAGCACAATCAATTATTTTTAAAGCATACAAATCTCCAGATCCTTTCTTTTTAACAAGGAATACCCATCCATAAGCACCTTTTCCTAATGGTTTAATGAATTCAAAATCTTTAATTCCAACTTTTGATGCTTGACTTTATGAATGACTTGTTGTTTTGATTAAATTTGAATCTGAATGATACCCCTTATCAATTTGAATCTCAGATAATCTATAATAATCATGCAAAACTGTAGGAGACTTACACATCTAATTTTCATAAAATCTACTCTTTCTATGTTATATTTTATGGTTCTATTGCATTTTTTCAATATCTTAAGAATGAAAGTTTTACTTTTTCCTTTATCTTTGTTAGCACGATCTTTTTTGTAAAGCCAAGAAATTTAAATCATTGTTAGTTGCTGAATTAGATCTTCCAGAATCAATACTCGATAAATTGGATGAATCTTCTCTTTCTTTATTGGATAAATTTAAGAGTTCTATTTTAGGACTAATTTCTTATAACGATGGTTATTTTATTTCAACTGCTAATTTTTATAGTTGAGCTTTGAAGGATGAAAGCTTTTTTTATGTTGGAGAGAGTTAAGCTAATTCATTTTTTTATTCAGTATTTGAATTTTTATAACATGAATCAACCTTATTATTGGAATTATTAGAATTGATAGATTAATTAGTTTCATGATTATTTAAACTACTTGATTTTGATTGATTAATTGATTGCTGTATATTTTTAAGAGATTGGGGTGATTCAGAGCCATCACTTATCTTAAAAATGGAAGAGTTCATTCTAAATCTACTTCTTTAAGATATAATTTTTTAAGATGATTTAACCTAAAGATGAGTAGGGGAGTCCTCTTCCTCTTGTATTGGATCTGTTGATATTCTTTATAAAGAAGAGGATGATTTGTTTTTGAACTTTGGAAGCCTAAAAGAAATTGAATTTGATTTAGTAAATGCTCTTCTTATTTTATTAATTTTATCTTCAGTTTAATCTTAGTCTGATTGTTTTTTAACATTATTGCTATATCCTTCTTGTTTTTTATGATACTCAAGTCTCTCCAATAAACATTTGTGAGTGGAATTAATTATATTCAAAGCGTCTTGATTTTCAATATATTCAGTAGAACTTACTAAATCATTCAATAATAAAATAGTCGCTAATTAAAAATAAAGATTACATTTTGTGTCTTAAATTTCTATCTAACTGTTTAGTGTTTTTTCAGAAAAGTTAATGATTTATGCCATTATATTTGCAATGTAATTTTGTTCTTATTGGTATTCACATTCTCCAACATCTTCATCTTCTTCCTAATCATACAAAGACTATATTCTTCTAAATTATTTATTCGCATACTGTCTTTATTTATTTTTATCTTTCATTCTTTATATTTATAAATGTAGATACTTTTTGATCGCCAAACTAACTTAAACATTTCTTTTAGTGTTATATGCTTAGTCACATAAATTTGCCAATTCTAAATTCAACTCAATCAATCTTTTTTTGCTCTCAGCTTTTTTTTCACACTAAGTACAATGTTGAGTCATCTCAATGGCCTGCACTTATTACTCGCAAATTCTGCATATAAAAATTTTTTATTGTTTTCTTACTACTCTTTCAACATCTATTCTCAATTAACTTTATTTACTAAAAGGAGATGTACTTCTGTATGTTTTTAATACATAAACAAGACCATTTCAATTGAATAGCAGTACTTTATTTGTCAATCCAAATTTTACTGAATGTATCAATACTAATCCTTAATTTTTAAGATAGCATTTTAAAAGATCTATTCAAATTTGTAGAATAAAAAAATATACTTTGCTAATGATTTCCTAGAGACAGAACGTCGAAAGGATACTTTTTTCATAGAGTTTTCTTCAATTTTTAAAATTTTGTCAAGTAAAGTATTTATTTAATTATTGATCTCCAATTATCCTTGGAATTGATCTTGTCGGAAAAAGTCGTAAATGTTTTGCAGTGATTACTGGAAGAATCGAATGGATTCTCTCTATTAAATTTGATAATGTTATATCTTACCTATTACAATTAGTAGTAGTTTTGTAAACTATCGACACTTAATTTAATAGCTATAGGATGTGGTTTTAATATTTTTATTTATTTTTCGATATAAAAATTAGTCACATATGTTTCATCTGTCTGCATTTACTTAAATATTTTATATTAAAAAATAATTGTATTAAATTATTGGATATATTTTATATATTATGTACCATCAATATGGTTTAACAAACCCAGTTGGGAATTCGGTAGCAGTCTTGAATTCCAACATCTCTGGGAATCTATATCCTTTGTGATACAACTCTCTACTCAAAACTGACCACAACCCTGGTTTCATTACCGATAATTATGTTCTTAATTGATTAATAATTTTATACCTAATATACTATCCATCAACCGTTGGATCTGCAATGATTTTAGTAAACAATTTATTTGGAATTGGGGCAGTATATGCTCTCCATAACACCAACATATGAACAGATGCAAGGATTGGTCCATAAGCCTTATTGGCTCCTTTTCTGTTGGCTCCTGCAAACAACCATTATGTCCCAATAAGTGAAAATGGCAAAAAGGCCAAAGGTGCAGAGACAACGATATCATTCAATACTTGACTGCAGTTTTTGAAATTGAACAACATCTAGGGATTTTAGAAAGCCATTCATTACTTCTCTACTTAAATATTAATCCAAAAGGACCTCCATCACTTCAAAGTATGATTCAATGCTCATTGCAATGTCTGATCTTGTACCTCCAACATATGAATAGAAGTTGTTCTTGAACATCACTTTATTTTTATTTTATTAATCTCATTATTATGCACATTATAAATCTCTTTTGAGGGCTCAATTTAGTTTTATTCATATCATATTTGTTACTTCTCAAATCAAGGTATTTTAGTGTGCAACTCTAAGTTGTATATATAGATTCTTAAATAGAAAGTGTGGATTTAATGGTTTCAAAATACAATTTCATAGGGCCTTACAAAAAAATTCAAGATAGTTGTTTAAATTATAATGAATATTGTTTGGCTACTATTTGTTATAATATTTATTGTAAGAGGACTGATTAAAACATTATGATTTTATTTATATTAATGTAGATAGATACATCGTTTCAATATTTAACATTTTTAACTTGCTTTGTGATAATTTAAGACAATTTTACTAACTCTTAAACGTAATTAGCTGATAGTTGATGAACTTCTGATTAAGTACTATGATCAACTTTACTTCGTAGTTCTATCAATTCTTTTAAAGATAATTTATCCAAAAGTGTTTTCCCAGAGCCCTTATTAAAAACAGGGTTTTCAGAAATGCTGCTTGAGAATGTAGTTCTTTTAGGTTAAGCTTTAGTGGATTAGTAGAGTGGCTAATTGCTGATGAATCTAAAATTTATATATTGGGATTACGGCTGAGATAATTTGGTTAACTAGTTTATTTCATTGTTACCAAAGCATTCTATTTTGTGTTATAAGCCGCTCATCTTTCTAGATGAATCATTTATACTTTTTTTTTGATTTGATCCATTCTATAATTATGCAAACCCATTCCCATTATTCATTGATTTTAGTAATTCATCAAATGATGGAGCACTATTTATAGATATTTAACCCACCTTTTTCTATGTTGCTAATCAGTATAGAGAGTAGATTTGGAAGATTTCTTAACTGAATTATCCTCCTTCCGTGTGCTACTTACTTTTAAGGTACTAGGACTGGACATTCTAAGATACAAAGAATCGCGAAATTTATTCAAATTGAAATCTTCCTCCTTTCCTAATGAAACTTTCTAAGTCAACATTAACGATATAATAAAAATTTAATAATTTTATATTAAACTTTTAATCAATCTAAACTTTTTTATATCATATTAATAACTTATTGTCCAATATTTGTAGTGCGTCTATATTAATATGATATGTTACTTTAGATAGTATTCCCAATATGTTATTTTATTGGTGTTTAATAAATCCAATTCTGAGAAGTATTGTCTTGCAACGTTCTTATTTAACTTTTAGCTCAATTCTTATTCATCAAAATATCCTTTATTGCTTACATCAATTTGATTATACACCTATCTATCTTGTTGGGGACAAACAGTATCCAAAAACTGTCCCATCTCATTCACATCCACGAATCCATCTCTTTGAATATCAACCTACTAAAACAATTCATCCAATTCCTCTTATGAAGGATCACACTGTAATTGTTAAAATACAACTTCCATCTTAAACCTAAAAAAAGCCTTGCTAATTTTCTATAAGGAGCATTCAGGAAAAATCTCATCAAATATTTACTCAGCCGTTAATTAAGATAGCAATGAATATTTGCCCTTTTTAGTTGTTTCAACATCCTAACAGACCATACTTTAACAAGGAACAATGAAATTAAGACTTCGACTGTCAGCGAACGAATCAAGAGTTTTCTGAGTCTAGCAAGTAGCTCTGCATTGTTTCAAAAAATCAGGTGCTGTGAACAGATCTGCATATTTCTTCATTATTTCATCTTCGGTAATCACAGGTTTATATTGATCTTCATCATTCGTAGCTACAAATTATTATGTTTATTGTCTCTCATTTTGAGTATTTTAAAATTAAACATATTCATCCTCTTCATACTTGTCTAATAATTAAGATTGATAGATGTTCTCATTTTGATGTTCAAATTGCTATTGTTTATCAAGTTCAATTTATGCTTATTGCTACACTTAAATGCTTTTTAAAGTATCCTAATTATATTTTCCATTTCCATATCTCTGTTTATTCTGATACACTTAAGTATCACTTACAACATCCACTTAAGAGTTTTCAAATGATTGTGATGGCTCTTATTTTGATTAGGTTGATAACTTGATTTCTATAATTTCAGTATTATGATGTTGATGAGTTCCAATTTCTTTTGTCATTGACATATAAGAATGTTGTCTTCTATGAAGATTTTATGATGATAGTTCTTCCTCCTTGTCTTTATTCTAATCTTTATCAGGTTCTGAATGTTAAACTGTAAANCTAATCAGTATAGAGAGTAGATTTGGAAGATTTCTTAACTGAATTATCCTCCTTCCGTGTGCTACTTACTTTTAAGGTACTAGGACTGGACATTCTAAGATACAAAGAATCGCGAAATTTATTCAAATTGAAATCTTCCTCCTTTCCTAATGAAACTTTCTAAGTCAACATTAACGATATAATAAAAATTTAATAATTTTATATTAAACTTTTAATCAATCTAAACTTTTTTATATCATATTAATAACTTATTGTCCAATATTTGTAGTGCGTCTATATTAATATGATATGTTACTTTAGATAGTATTCCCAATATGTTATTTTATTGGTGTTTAATAAATCCAATTCTGAGAAGTATTGTCTTGCAACGTTCTTATTTAACTTTTAGCTCAATTCTTATTCATCAAAATATCCTTTATTGCTTACATCAATTTGATTATACACCTATCTATCTTGTTGGGGACAAACAGTATCCAAAAACTGTCCCATCTCATTCACATCCACGAATCCATCTCTTTGAATATCAACCTACTAAAACAATTCATCCAATTCCTCTTATGAAGGATCACACTGTAATTGTTAAAATACAACTTCCATCTTAAACCTAAAAAAAGCCTTGCTAATTTTCTATAAGGAGCATTCAGGAAAAATCTCATCAAATATTTACTCAGCCGTTAATTAAGATAGCAATGAATATTTGCCCTTTTTAGTTGTTTCAACATCCTAACAGACCATACTTTAACAAGGAACAATGAAATTAAGACTTCGACTGTCAGCGAACGAATCAAGAGTTTTCTGAGTCTAGCAAGTAGCTCTGCATTGTTTCAAAAAATCAGGTGCTGTGAACAGATCTGCATATTTCTTCATTATTTCATCTTCGGTAATCACAGGTTTATATTGATCTTCATCATTCGTAGCTACAAATTATTATGTTTATTGTCTCTCATTTTGAGTATTTTAAAATTAAACATATTCATCCTCTTCATACTTGTCTAATAATTAAGATTGATAGATGTTCTCATTTTGATGTTCAAATTGCTATTGTTTATCAAGTTCAATTTATGCTTATTGCTACACTTAAATGCTTTTTAAAGTATCCTAATTATATTTTCCATTTCCATATCTCTGTTTATTCTGATACACTTAAGTATCACTTACAACATCCACTTAAGAGTTTTCAAATGATTGTGATGGCTCTTATTTTGATTAGGTTGATAACTTGATTTCTATAATTTCAGTATTATGATGTTGATGAGTTCCAATTTCTTTTGTCATTGACATATAAGAATGTTGTCTTCTATGAAGATTTTATGATGATAGTTCTTCCTCCTTGTCTTTATTCTAATCTTTATCAGGTTCTGAATGTTAAACTGTAAACTAATAATTAAAAACAATTTAATACATTTTAAAAACTAGCTAGAACAATATCATCTCTCTTTTTCGCGTATTCTTATTGATCAAATAATTTTTAGAAGTTTTCACCTTAAGTATATTGCTTTAGTTTTTATTCAAATTATTCCAGTTGTTACCTTTGCTATTCAATTTTATTTGGGGAAACACTTAATAATTAATGTGAATTATATACAAATGAAATTCTGGAGAATTGGGACTATTCTATTTAATATCTTCATTGAATCTTGGAGAGTTTTCTTATTTAGGGATTATTGACTATTTAGTTTATCTGCTTAAAGATCTTTTAGGTGGACTTACAAAATTTCTATTTTTTTAAATACATGCAGTTTATCTTGAAGGAGTTCGCGAGGTTTTAGATTGAGAAATATTTAGTTAGTTTTCTTTTGTTGTTCTAGTATTATACTAAATCTGAGTTTATTATTATTATTATTATAATTATTATTTGCCTTTAACTTTATTCAACAACTTTCTTAATTCTTACTATAACAATCTTAGATCTACATTATTGAATGAATATTGATACCATTCTTCTTCTTATATGTTGTAACTAATGAAATTATTTCTGAATTATTGTCTTTTATCATTTGCCTTAGAGTCAACCTGTCTTCTTTCATAATTTCTAACTTCAAAAAATATCATACATGCACATCTATCTATAATAGCCAGCAATTCAGCATTATCATGTTTAATGCGATTTTGAATCCTGAGCATTCTAAATTAATCAATTTTTCTGTTATTAATTATAATATTAAATATATATGATTAATATTAATAATTATTGTGAATATTTTAAATTTACAATATTATAACTTTGCCATTTCATCCTTTGAACACTCCTCTATTGCGAAGACTTCTAAAATAAGGATATATTTGCAGTTTACTAGAATTATAGAGGAAAGATATATTTATAAGTGGAGATTTCCTTTTTTCGTTGTCAATATTTGAGTATATTATCAATTTTAATAAAAATTAACTTACTTAAATTTATTAAAACATGCGTAATCAATCATTTTAAATATTTTGGTAGTATTATAATTATTCTTATTAAAATGACTAGTATTTTGCATTTATTTCTCCAAGAATTTATACAAGGACGATTATCTAATACACTAAATTTTATAGTACTGAGAAGAAAATGATTCAGCTAAAGATCAAAATTATAATTTCTTAGGTGAATAATAATATAAAAAAAATGAATTAAAGTAATAACTCTTACTTCTATGAGATTCAAAATAGGAATGATGCTTTATGGAAAAGAGAGAATGCACTTCAAGCACTTCAAATTGTACGATCGTTAAATTAAGATCACCATCAAAATAAAATTTATTCCATCAATGGATAGGATGAATTAATCTAGAAACCTCATTATCATTTACAGAATTAGTATCTAATATCAAAAAATAAACACATAAATTTGGAAAACCTTATTCTTAAAAAAACAATGAGGGAACATGTATTAGAATCATATGAATTTAGTATTATGGATTAGAATTGAGTACGAATTACGAGACCTTGTATTTGTATGGATGTAAGGACATTATTGATGAATGGTATGGCTATATTAAGATATATACAATCTAAAATGATTTTCGAATGAATTACGATTTTATTAAATTAACTGGGAAAGGAGCCCATGCGAAAGTGTACAAAATTTTCAGTAAAAGAGACAACCAAGTCTATGCTGTTAAGGTGTTCAAAAAGAATAATATCAGTAACAAAGTAATTTATGATTGATATTCAAAGCTAGGTCTTTTTAAAGAAATTTAGATACTAAGATAATTATAACATAAAAATGTCATAAAATTAAACGAAGTTTACGAAAATGCCAAACATCTCTATTTAATACTAGACTATTTACCTGGAGGGGAGTTATTATAGGCAATTAGTTCTGCAGAGGTGTATAGTGAATCCGTTGTGCAAGAATTAATCAAAAATTTATTATAAGCCTTGGATTATATTCATCAAAATAAAATATTACACAGAGATATCAAACCTTAAAATTTATTATTAAGGTACTAAGGTAATATCACAGATCTTGTGATTGCTGACTTTGGATTATCAGATGAATATAACATTAGAGGTGAATATATCTTCTCAAGATGCGGAACAATAGGATATATAGCTCCAGAAATATTGAGAAATGAAATCTATGATTTTAAAGTTGATGTATTCTCTGTAGGAGTGATCATGTTTATGTTGCTGACTGATTCTAGTCCCTTTTTTGGTAAGGATACCAATGAGGTCATTAGGAGCAATTTGCAGTGCAATATTGACTTTGAATAATTAAAGAAGGCCAAAATCAGTACTCATGCATATGATTTTGTGAAGTGCCTTTTAGAATAAAATCAAAATCAAAGACCAACTGCTTAATAGGCTCTTTAACATGATTGGTTTTATTTACCTAAAATGGAAACTTTACAAAATTTTTCACTTTCATTAAAGAACATACCACTCTTAAACATCAAAAAAAGACCTGAATTGCAAAATATCATCATTTCTTAATCTCCCTTATGGAACAACCTTTGCTCTAAGATTACTCTCTCTGACAGTTCTAAATCTAAGAATGCTTCAGAATGTATAAGTATTCTTGACGACATTCAAGATTAAGTACAAGAGGAGGAAACCCAAGTAGATTATAAATATAAATTGAGATAAGGCAGCATAGAAGAGAATTTTGAGGAAATGAATGATGATGATTTCTATAAATATACTAAATCTCCAGCCAGTCTACTACAAATTTATCACTTAAGTATCAATGGAGGAAGAAAATGATAAGAATATTGATAATATTATCTTAAAATTATATTGTAACTAATATTTAAGGTTTCTCCTCTTTTCAATAATAATAATTTATTGGTTGTTATATTTTGGTAAGTAAATTTTAAATAATTTTACTATTTAAAATTTATCTATGTTATAAACAAATGATAATGTTAAGAATCAAGATGAAATATTTGAACCCTAACTAATCACAAAGGATTTTAGAATGTATCTTAACACCAAAAATGCAAAAATAACAAAAAGTGACGAACATCTCTATTTTTAAAACAAGAAGGATGAATTTTTAATTAAAAATCATTATTATTTGTTCAATCAATATCTTGTCAAGAAGAATAAATTTATTAATTTTGAAAATTGTTAGATAAGTTGTGATGAAACAAAATCATGCTAATTATATGATTCTTTCATTTTAATGTAAAAATAAGGAAAAAAGCTTCTAATTTATGGCAAAATAGAATCCTTGCTTAAGTGGTTTGATCATTTAAAACATTATGCTATTTAAAGAAATTTCAAAAAATAATTTAAAAAATGCGAATTATTCGGTAGAGGTTCATAAGCAAAGGTTTTTCGAATTTTAAATATAAAAACAGGGTAAACTTTTGCAACAAAGTAATTTGACAAAAATAAATTTTCGGAATCTTCCTTGGTATTATAAATATATCATTTTAGTCTCATTTGCTTAAGGAAATATCAATTCTTAGATAATTGAATCATGATGGTATTACAAGACTATTTGAAGTTTTTGAAAATAAAAAGAAAATTTATATTATATTAGAATGTTTGAATGGTGGTGAGTTGTTGGATTAAATTCAATCACCAACATACAAATATAATGAATAATTTGTCATGGATTTTGCATCTAATTTATTGAAAATCATAGATTATATTCATTAAGCAGGAATCATGCACAGAGATTTAAAACCAGAAAATTTAATTTTAAAAGATTCAAATAATTACACAGATTTTGCAATTGCTGATTTTGGATTGGCTGAATTTTACAAGAATGATGTTTAATACTTGGAAAAATGTGGTACAATAGGATATATAGCACCGGAAGTCTTAAGAAATTAGCCTTACAATTAAAAGATTGATATTTATTCAATAGGAGTTATTTTATATACATTATTTACAGGTTCTTTACCGTTTGCAGGCAATTCAACATTAGAAATTTATTAAAATAATTTGTAAGCAAACGTAAATACATCACAATTAGAATAAATCAATATTACTGAAAAGGCAAAGTAATTTGTCTTTAGTTTATTGAGTGAGAATCCTGACAAGAGACCCACAGCATAAGAGGCTTTAAGACATTAATGGTTTAGATTACCTCCTAGTTTAACAAATAATTTAATCCTTTCAACATAGACTAATCTATCTGGACATAAAAAACATCAAAAGTTTCTGAGCATAAAATGTACATCACCATTGTGGTATAAATCAAAGATGAAAGACTGCTTGTTTGAAGATAGTGATGACTCTATATATAATGAAAAAATTTAAGTTGTTAAGGACAGTATTGTTTTTAATGATGAAGATGATGCTGAATTAATGGATGAAGTAGAAAATTAAACTAATTAAATTCAGTTATCTGCAAGACAATGTGAAAAGTATTACTTTTCCAACACAAAAATTAGATTATTAAATGAAAAAAGGGATTAGGGATTATTTTGATTCGATTTGCATATTTTATAAGTTTATTACTTTAAAAGATGTATTAAAATGAAATCAATGCTCAAGTTATGTTAGATTTATATTTTCAGATATCAAATTTGTATATCAAATATATGAGGATGTATTTTTAAATATAGTTTGATGTGTAATTCGATTGTTTATTTGAGTTTATTTTATAAAATATATCAATGGAATTCATATCCAATTAATGTTAAGTTACTAATTATTTAATAAAATATCTAAAATGAGTTCAGATTCGTTAATTCAAGAAGCCCTATCTTAATTTATTATGCTAAGAAGCCCAAGGGAATTGCTGCATGAATTTAAGACCTAAGCTTTGAATTTAGAATAGATTAGGTAGCTAGTGTAAGTTTTCGATCCAAATATCCCTAATGAAGACATAAAGTACTTTTATTTAAAGGTGATTACCAAATTCAAAAGTCCTGCAGGAATAACAGAGGATATTTATCAACAAATAGTGGATGATGAAGAATTTACATTGAGAGGTGGATCATCAAATTCTTATGAATCTTTGCCCTTGTTAAAGAATATCATTAGAGGAGTGAGAGAAAAGAAGGTGCCCATATAGAGATTGTATAATTTCTATGACAAAAATAAGGATAAAGAACTATAAGACCCTGAATTTAGAAATTTATTAGAATTCTTTTACGTGGCAATTACAGATGCACAATTCAAAAAGCTCAGAGAGGAATTTCCTGATACTCCACTTAGTGAAAGTGCAATTGTTAGTCTGTTTGAAAAATGGTAAGAAATTGTTTTTGAAAATACTCAAGGTGATCCATAAATCATTTTGGAAGCCCCATCAAGTATGAATATTAATTGATTCTAGAAACATAAAATCTATTGACTATTCCGAAGCCATAGTAAACAATTAGTTTAGAATTGACTAGGGAAGAAGATGAAAGATTTAAGGATTTTATGGGAGTTGATTTTAAGATTCCAGGAGTTAAGGAATTGGCTGATCTTTAAAAAAGATGCTAATAAACCTAAGAGATATTTACAGATCCTGATTTCCCCCCAAATGCAGCAAGTTTAGGACCAAAATTCAGTGCCAATAATTGGAAACGTTTATAGGAACTCTTTTAAGGAGAGCAAAAAGTTTTTTCAATTGATACTCAACATGATAAAAGTGGTGCTGGTTTAAATAAATGGATATCACATAGAGATATTTGTCAAGGAGATTTAGGTGATTGCTATTTTATGTCAACTTTGAGTTCCATTGCATGCAAATGGTAAATAAATATTTAATTTATTATTTAGGCCTGATCAAATTAAAGACTTATTCCCTATTTAGAGAGCAAATAAATTTGGTGTTTATGGTGTTAAGATGTGTATAAATGGAGAGTGGAAGGTTATCCCTATTGATGATAATATACCAGTCAAAAACGGTAAAATTGCCTTTACAAAAAATGCTGATAAAGAGATTTGGGTGTCATTGCTAGAAAAAGCATGGGCAAAAGTAAATGGATCCTATACTAATATTGATGCTGGAGATCCCAGAGAAGTCATCAAAACCATTACAGGAGGTCCAGTTTGGCTATTATTAACAAACAAACCAAATTTCAAAGATAATTTCATTACTTGTGTTAAGCAAAAGTGTGTTATGGTAACTGGTACTTATAGTAAAAATGCTGATTACTCTGCTATTGGATTAGAACCAGGACATGCATACTCTATCTTAAATGTTAAGACTATAAATCATCCTTAAAGAGGACAAGTTCATTTACTTAAGATAAGAAATCCATGGGCTCGTAAAGAATGGAAAGGTGATTGGAGTGACGATTCAGATTTGTGGACACCTTAAATAAGAGAGTAGGCTGGAAATACAGGAACAGAAAATGATGGAATCTTTTTTATGTCGTTGGATGATTATACTAAATACTTCTTTTCAGTGTTCTGTGGATATTTCAAAACTGATTACATCTATAACTCTATGAGATTCAGTGTTAGAAGGAACAAGGGAGTGTATTTCGAATTCGAAATTAAAAAAGAAGGAGAATACTTCTTTGCCATTCATTAGGAATCTACAAGATAATATAGATCTCAACCTGAATTGAAATATGAATATTCTTATGTTAGACTCTTGTTAGCCAAGGAATTACAAAATGGATATGAATATATAGAAGGAAAATTCTATAAAGATATAGAAACACATGTTGGCAGAGTAGGTGAGAATTTCACTCCTGGCAAATACATTTTATACATCAAAATCAAATGGCATGTACCATCTTGGAATGAACATTCAGTTGTGTTGAGTACTTATGGAGAACAATATGTGTAATTGAAGGAAGTTCCCAGAGATCCAAATCTTGTTTCTTAAACCATGATGCATCAAGTCAGATACAACAATAAGGTGGAAGAAGTATTGCCAGGAATCACAATGAAAATGGATAACAATGGAAATCTAGGGTTATTTATTATTTACTATTTTTAGAATTGGTTACATCTATTATAAGAATGAATCCAATCAATAAGTGAACTTTGAGACCAACTTAGTGAATAAAGGAGGTTGTAAATTAACCAAACCTGAAAGAGGATACTATTTCAAGAGTTTTATACCTCCAAAAGGTGAAAGATTAGTTACTTTTACAATCACACCTCCAATAACTGAGTTGTCCATGCCTACATTAAGTCATAAATTATTATGATTATTATAATATCATCGAAATCAAAAATAAATGGCTCTTATTTCTTTTTCTAATACATCAACTTATCTGCTACAAATTGATATGATTAAGTAATATCCTATAATAATAAAATCTTTTCAAATTAATTTTGTAAAATTATATTAAATTACAATTTTTAAATAGTGATTTTATCAATTTGAAATTTAATAAATATATATTTTTATAGTTAGTCATCTTAATGGATAATCATAACCTTTTTCAATCAAAATAAAGCTTTACTCCTTCTTCACCATTAAAAACAAGGTATTCATTAAATATTATTCTAGACCTCTGCCAAGTCCCTCTTTAGATAGTCTTGAAGAATTCAATTTAAATGACGTAGAATCAGATTCATAAAGCTCAAGAAAATCATCTACTCAGAAATTCGATAAATAAGTTTTAGTCATAGATTATTTGATTGAAAAGCTAAGAGACTATGAATGAAAACCTCATTAAAACGCACTCACCAAAATTTAAAAAACGAAAGAAAAATAATAACTAAAATTTGTATTATAATCATTTTTTTCAATCGTTCTCATCATATAACAAATAAGTTAAGACTCCTCCTCCTTTTAGCAAGAGTTGGCTTGTCCTATTTCAATAACAAAGGTAATCTAAGTTATTTCTATTATTATTCTTTTTTCTATTATTTTATTTATAATGATGGTCTCAAATTCTTTAGTTAAATAAACTTAGAGAAATCTATTTCGATATTGTGACATTTCGGAAGTTCAAAATTTGAACGGTTACTTGGCGGATGCGAAGAGCATTAAGATTTTGTTTAATGTGACTACCTGAATTATCTCACCCTTAAATCATCTTGATAAATTGTCGAGCCTGGTATATATTTTATATTTAAATTCATTCAATATTCATTTTATTACAATATAAATTATATGTCTATTTAACATTTCCAACTAACTGTTACAGATTTGTAATATGATCACCCGTAATCCTTATTCCTATTTGCTCTAACTTACACATGCATATGTTCTACTTTGAATCTCGGAAATTTCAGGTATTTTAAATTATTATATATAAGTTTTTCCTTCTTTCTGTTATTTTGATGATTCAACTAATTTTGGAATTAGCTTTTACTTACTATTTCATAAAGCAGGCCAGATTCTTTCTAAAAAACACTCTTAAATTGAAATTTCAATGTTGATAAGTTGACAATATAATAATATCAATTTTCTAATTTTGAGTATCTATCTAAATTCCCAACTCTCAAACAGTATTTTTAATATTTCCATATGATTTGAATATATGTCATTCAAAGAATTAACTAAATTTCTTATTCAATAATACTTTCTAATATTGCTACATTCTAGAGTTTTAGTTTTTCAATTTACTTCTAAAATTTTCTAGAATCTTTCCAAAAATTCTATTCTGACTATGTTAACTTAATATTTTAAAATAATTGATGTTATTAAAGGTTTAATTTTACTATGATTTTCAACGTAAAGTCCTAAATTTTCCAGCTTCCATTTTCTTTTTTATTAAGATATCATCGATACAATAAAATCGTTCAGATATTTCTGATCCTTTTATTAATTCAAACCAGATTTTAGCTTATGTTTTATATACATTCCAAAGATTAATTAATATTAATTTATATATATGAACCCTCACTAGGAACTTTAATAATTCCAAACAAAGATAGATGAATCTCAAGTAATGGTTGAATACAAAATATAAAAACATCAGAATTAAATTGAATGTCATTGCTGTAAGAAGATAATCAGTTCTAAATTTAAAAAAGTTAACACTCTACATATATGCTTTAATTGCTTAGATTAAATCTCTGTTTTAAGAGTTAAATATGATTTATCTACCTAATACAAACTATTTCAAAGTCCTATTCATAATTATTATTGTAAATTGACCATGACTCCTACATCTTAATTTGACTTTACTTTTTCTCTATGCTAAATATGCTATTAAACTAAAATGCTGATCAAAGCTTGCAATCTGAATCACTTTTTTTGTGAAACTTGTATATCATCCTACATTTAAAATAATTTTGATATTACAGTAAAATGCCTCCAATATGATTGTAATGTAAATATCAATTATCAACTCATGTTTTTATATCTTGAGTCTCCTTAATTGATAAAATGGATACCAATAACTAAGTAAATTCATTGCATTGGATAGAGATGCTCTGGAGTTTGGTCTGTTTGGCCTAATTATATTTAAGGAAATGTGGAGATCATTTCTTTAAATTAATGCAAATGCTAATTGTGTCACATTCAATTCTGTTTTAAATGCAGAACAGTTCATACTGGGCTGGAATGCAGCAATGAAATTTTACAAAAGAACTATATATAAGAACACAAATGTTTTCGATGTTATTGTTGTAATAGTCTGTGCTAACCACATTTCTGTTATATAAATGAGGCTTCCAAGAAATTTAAGTATTGTATTAAATATCTATGTAGAGAATGGAAATCAAATATCTATGAATGTTATGTTTGTAAAAAACAATTTTGTTATGATTGCAAAGCTGAAACTAATATCACATTATTCTCAGAACACAAATGCGACAATTGCGTAATTAAATACAGAGAAATGAGAAAGAAATTAATGTAAGTTCCAAAATTTAAGAAAATCATTTAACTTCTATTTGCAACATTAATCTTGGTCTTATATTCAATTTATTCCATGATCTTTATTTAGATACCTCAAATACTTGATTATTTTGTAAATAAGATTGATCCAATCTGTGAAAGCTAAGATCCTCTCAAGATTATTTTGCTAATCGTTAATTTACCCCTTATAATTATTCTATTTTTTACGATTTACGCAGTTACACTCATACCTTTAGCAATATATAATAGTTTTCAAGCCTTTATTGCTAAATAAAAGATAATTGATAATGATATATGATTGTTCTTAACAGAAATTTAAATAAAAGCTATTGAGATATATTATAAATACCAATAATTATGAAAATTATTATTCTTTGCTTATTATTATTTGTTGTTCAATCTCAATTATCAAAACAAACAATAACACACAAAGTGAAGATTGGTGTTACAATTGATAGAAGAAAGTAAGGAGAAATCACTCTGGGTTTGTTTGGAAATGTAGTACCTAAAACAGTCGAAAATTTCAGAGCTTTATGTACTGGCGAGAAGGAAGGAAAAGGCTATGTGGGTTCAACATTTCATAGAATTATTCCTTATTTCATGATTTAGGGTGGTGATTTTACTAAAGGAAATGGTACTGGAGGAGAATCGATTTATGGATTAAAATTTGAAGATGAAAATTTTATCTTAAATCATGAAGTTGGATGTATTTCAATGGCAAACGCAGGGCCAAATACAAATGGAAGTCAATTCTTTATTACAACTGCTGAAACTAATTGGGTATTATTATATACTAGGAGTTATTAGTTAAATGGAAAACATGTAGTTTTTGGAAGAGTCATAGAAAATATGGAATTAGTAAAAAAGATTGAATCTAAAGGATAATAAAGTGGAAAACCAAAGGCTAATGTTGTATTTTCCAGTTGCAGTGTTGAGGTTGTTAAAGAAGATTTATGATGAGTTATAGTAGAGATTTACATTGCTATTTTAATGATTTAATAATAATCTATTTTCATTAGAAAATACTTAATAAACATATGATATAATCAAGATAAAGATCACTCAAATTAGTAACATAATTTATCATTAATATATTACTACTAACATTTTCTTTATCTTTTTTCAATAGAGATATTCTTTATGAAATAATCAGGTAATTAATACTTAATTGAGTAATTTATTTATTAAAAGCCAACAATAAGTTTTCTAAAAAACTCAATAATTTGTTAGATAGAATTCATTTGGTTATATGTATCTTGCTTTAGAAAAATATTTTATATTACTAATATATCTAATTACATCTATACTTAAATGCTAATGATTATAATTTTATCAACTTTCATTTCTCCATAATTAGATTATAATTGCTATTTATTTGCAATTTCTCATATCAAAAATGATTTATAAATATAAATTCAATGTTTTTTTAATCAATAAAAATAATCAGTTTCGGTGCTGATTACGATATCCTCCAAGAATTTAATGACTTTTCCAAATAAGATAAACCTTATAATAAATATTAGATAGTTGTAAAGAAAAATGATCAAGAGTCTAAATAGAAATATATCGCTGCCTACTACCCTTTTAATAAATAATAAAGGGATATCATCGATATGTTTTACTTAGTGAAATAAATAAAAATACTAAATATTATAAATAAAGAAGACTTTTATCATGAAGATGATTAATTCATTATAGTCTATCCATTTTTATAAAATTACTAGCTAAGTGTTGAATCAATTAAACATTTTGACAAAAATATGAAGACTTCTATCTTAGTTTAGCTAAGCATAAGTAAAACTATTATATTTAATAAACTTTAGCTCTTTTAGAAATGGCAAAGAGAAGAATTCCTTTTAATATTACAAATCTAAATCAATTAGTACTCATCGACGGAATAGTTTTTATCAACATGCAAGAGTTTCATTATTATGAAAAATCAACGGATACTTAATCCTTAAATTACTTCAAACAATTTAGTAACTTTTAAATATTAATATTGAGTTAGGAATAACTTTCGATTAAATGAAATTTAGGAAATTGATCAATTTCATTTTGAAGCCAACACAATAGAATCTTTCACTGAATCCATTTTGTCAACCTTTAATTTAATAGTTAAGGATTATGAAAATGCATAATATTTTAAAGTTTTCTAACACATTTTTAAAGTATCCAACTACACACAATTGGCTGACTTTTAAGCAAATTCTCATATTTACAAATTCTAAAAGTTGCCAGTTTTTGAAAAGATTTTCAGCTTCTCTTTGACTTAAGATATCATAGCTAAGTCCACAAAAATCTAAGGAGAAGAGGATCAAGATATTGAAGATGTTAAGGTCAATATCACAAGAGAAATATAATTGATGGAGTTATTTGAAGTTAATCATGAAATAGCTGCTTGTTTTAAATATATAAGAATCTTGGATCAATCTTACTTATTTATGCGATATTATTGTAAGAATTTGAGATAGTATTTCGAATTAATGAATTAAAATCAATCTGTTTATTTTACAAAAATAATTGTTTATGCAATTGCTTATTAATTCATTAAAGGATTAGCTCTATTACATTTTGCAGGCATTAAACACAGAGATTTGAAGCCAGAGAATTTGTTTTTGACCAATGAAAATATTTTATATGGCCAAATTCACATAGCTGATTTTGATAGATCCATTATCTAATAAAAAGATAATCAAGGCTTAGACATTGATTATTTCGATCAAACCAATACACCAGAATATAATCCTCCAGAATAAAGAAAATTAAGAGATCATTCTGTTGATATATGGCAATATGGATTAACAATATACGAAGTCGCCAATAAAGGTTAATATCCAGGGGCAAGAATCTGCCTTGATTTTAATCAATATTATTCCCCTTAAGTCATAGAGGGTAGGCTTTAATAATACAATTATGATAAAGAATTTCTGGATGTAATTAAGTCGTGTTTAAAAGAAGATCCATAATAACGACAATAAGCTCGAGAAATTGAAAGAATAATGTAAAAATTATACGAAAAAGAATAATCGAAACAGGCTAAAGGACCCAAACTTTTTTCAAGCTAAAGTTTTAAATGGCAAAAAAGTCATCAAATTGAGGAGCAAGTTGTCAATGATATATGAATTAAAATTATTTCCTATCACAGATATTAATATATATATTATGAAGATCATTGTTATAAAATAAAGGATTTAATTAAAATAAATTTTTAATAATGTAATTTTGGTCTACTAATTCATTATTATTTATTTATTATTTAATTAAAATAAAAAATAATAATTGCTAAAAATAAATACAATTGTTATTTAAAAACAAGTACTCTGAATATGATTGAGGAGGATAAAGTATTAATATCAAAATATTTTCATATAAAACATTCTAATTTTTCTAATTTTTTTCAGTATTAACCAGCTGTTTGATTATTATCAAATATATACGTAACTAAAATTGTCTTTAAGAAAATTAAGATGTTAATTCACAATTAAGAATGAGATTAAAAAGGATTATATTAAATTGATATATGAATTAAAATATATAATTAATACAACATTTTTCATGGGAATGGTTCGAATTTAGTTTAAGATTGTAATGGCGATAGTTAGGGAGATCTATGTGAAAATGTTTACATTTTTTAATATCCTCTTCTTATAGCCTCTTATTTCATATTATTTTAAGGTTTTGATGATAAATTTTATAATTTTGGGGATAACTATAAATATTTATCTAAATTATTATTTGTATTTATTATGACTCTTGGATTAGTGATTTTATCTATGCTTCTTGGAGTTTTCTTGATCATGATAGAGCACTTGCTGGTTCTTTTGTTTCGAAAAACCTAATGATTTAAAGCAGCTCTTGCTGATATCCGTTTGATATTATCAGGTTCAAGCATGCTTTATAATAGATTATAAGTTGCTTCAGAGATATTTGAAACCAAAGAATAATCTATAAGACTTTTGTAATTTTGGTACAATTTCTCTTCTGGATCAGTGCTATTGAATGGAGATTTGCCACCACTTAGCATCATAAAAAGAATGACGCCTGCGCTATAAATATCTATTTTATAATCATAAATTTTGTCTTGTAGTACCTCTGGAGCAACGTATCCAGGAGTCCCGCACCTTGTAAAAATATATTTTCCATCAACTCTATAGAATTCTGCCAATCCAAAGTCTGCAATTGCTATTGATAAGGTGTTTCTGTCTCTTAGCAGAAGGTTGGAAGGCTTTAAGTCTCTATGTAAAATTCCTTTGGAGTGAATATAAAGGAGAGACTATAATAATTGTTTGAGAATCAACAAAGCTTCTTCTTCTGAAAGATGCTTTTCTTTAATGAAGGTGTACAATTCTCCCTGTTCCACCATTTCATAAATTAAAAAAATGTGTTCATCATTTTCATAGGTTTCAAAAAATTTGGTGATTCCTGGATGATTTAAACTTCTAATTATTTGAAGCTCCTTTGTTATTAATAGATAATCTTAATAATTAGAAATAGCCTTTTTTTCGAATACTTTGACAGCAAAGTCTTATTGTGTAATTCTAGATTTTATTTTGAACACCTAAGATTTAAAAATAATTTCATACTTTTCCAAATGTGCCTTTACCAAGCAATCTGATGATGGAGTACTTGTTTGCAAAGTCTTACTGAATGCAATAAAACCTCAATTGTTGAAGCCAAGTTATTGTCATGCCATAAATTTCGATAATTTGGCCTGCCTTAATAATTCTTATTCCTGCTCCATAAAAGGGAAGCTCAATTTCACAAATAGTAGCATTGAGGATATCAGCAATTTGATTTTGACCCTTAGATTAGAATGAAATATTCTTACATTCTTTTTTTTTTTGAAAATGAAATGACCTTACAAGTACAATGTCTTTATTTTATAGATTTTTTGCTTTTCGGAATATATGTAAAAATTCTCTTAGATAGATTCATTGATATTGCGCGAGGCAGTAGTGTTTTACCACAATGGGCCTTTTGAAATATCGAAGAAAGAAGTTGAGGGCACTTATCTCTTTATATTCATATTATTAATCAAATTTACTCCAATAATTAATCTAAATTTATATTATCAGTTATTTTAATATCTTCAAGAAGATGTTTTATATATTATTAATTTTGTCGAATTATTTCTGCATTACTTTTAACTTAAATAATAATACTTAATTATTAATATTTCTAATTAAAAAACCAACGTGTATATTTATTTAAATTTTATTTAATCACATAATACATTGTGAATTTTGATACCCTAACAGAAGCCTATATTTTTTATTTATTTAATAACTCGATATATATAATTTATTCATATTTGTAAGGGTATTCTTTGTATATTTTGCGGCTTCCCAAAAGGAGCTGATAATGGAGAGAAGCTTGTCGTATTTAATCTAACTGGTAATTGTAATGGCGAAACACAAGAGTTGGCATATCTACTTTTTAAATCGCTGGGGGACTTCTTTGATTCTTGATTGGGACTTTGTTATGGAGAAATTGACGGTGAGTCCCTTTAGGAAGGTATGCTGGCCAGACTACTTTGACTTCCTAGTTGTTGGAAAATTGTTGAATGTTTTCTAAAGAATTAACTTTGTTGAATTTGATCTATCGAATATCTTCTGAGAGGGTTAGGGTCCAACATGCCTCTTAATAATTCAAGACATTCAATCGAAAATTAAAATTTGGTCAAGTCTACCCATCCATTAAAGTTGGCCATAACTGTCTGATCATAGTTGTTTGAATCGAAAGGCCCTTTGCCTACGAGCAAATAGTATAAAAGTATTCCGCAACTATATATATCGACTTTATAATCGTAAATTTTATCTTGCAATAATTCCGGTGCAACGAATCCAGGAGTACCACATCTAGTAAACATATATTTGCAATCCTTCCTGAAGTAATCAGCCAAACCAAAATCGGCTAACACCACCTATTCTATTACTCCTTGTTCTCTTAAAATGATGTTTTCGGGTTTTATGTCTCTGTGAATAATTCCATGGGAATGTATGTAATGTAAGGCCTCTATCACTTATTGAATGACAATGAAGGCTCCATATTCTGAAAAGGTTTGAGTTTTTTTCAATTCCTGGTGTAGTTCTCCGCCGTTGAATAATTCTTGTACTATAAATATATATTGCTCGTTTTCATAAGTTTCAAGAATTGTGACTACATTTTAATGGTTCATTATTCTCATTAATTCAATTTCTTTGAGCAAGGCAGGTCTATCTTGAGTTTTAAAAGTGGTTTTATCAAATAGCTTCACTGCAAATTCTTTTTTATCGCTCAGTCTCTAAATTTTATACACCTAATTGATCAATTTTTTATGTGTACCTTGGCAAAGCTTCCCTTTCCGATAAGTTTAATCATGCAGTACTCTTTCTAGAAGTTAGGTTATACACACCATTTTTTTAGGTTGGTGTACCATTTGTCCACTAGCCCATAGAATGTAAAATTTTCTCCGTTTTTACTTATTGAAATTCCGGTTCCCATTTGAGGGTGATTGACTAATTCAAGCAAAGCATTTGTTATGTTAAAGTACTTTTGGCTTGGTTTCTTTTATATAGGGCATATGAATGATACCTTAGAACTAAATTTGATCAAGTAATTACGTTGAAGCACTAAGGTCTTCAACTTGAACTTGTTATTTTTGAGAACATAAAATTGATCCTTTAAGGATTTTTAAAATATTTCAATCGGTCTTTTCAGTTCAAAAGGGGAAGTGAAGTCGAAGAAGGACTTTTTCTCTTAACTCATTTCTCAATTATTAATAATAAATCTTACCATTAACTTTGATTTAAATTTAAAGCAAGCGAATAAACGCAATAATCACTCGATACTCAAACAATATAATAATTATAATATATCTTTTAATACTAGACAAAGCTAGCATCAAATTAATGAGAAATCATCATAATTTAAGTTTTGGCTTATCCTTAAGTAATCAATAATATTTTTCAATATTTTTAAAGAGATTTTCGTCATTTACTAATAAGTTACATTTCAACTCAAGTCATTAAGATTTTAAAAATTGATCTTTTATTAAATTTATTGGATTTTTATAGAATCCTTACTTATTACTTTTTTTTGTTTAATAAATTATAAGTAACAACTATATTCAAATTATAATAAAAATTGATGTTAAAATCTTCCAAAAATTGTAGAAGTAAAAGCAATCTATTTTGATATGTATTTCCATTTTATTATAAGATCTGAATAATTCATTTATTTAACCATGTCCTACAATTTAAATAATTACATGCTTTGCTTAAAGTAGTAACGGCTAGTTTTTCAATCTTGAGTATTGCAAAAGTATTTTATAAGGATCATCTATTATTTTGCTTACAATACAGTAGTCAAGAAGTCCTAAGAGATTTAATGAAATCTAATAAACTCGCAATCGCAAATTGTATTTAGAATATAAAGTGCGAACTAATTAATCAAGAAAGAATGTAAAATTTTGTATAAAAAATAATGATTATATATCTTGAATGTCTAAACATGTTGGATATTTAATTTCTCATTGAAGGAACGATGATGATGATTCATCCAAGGAAGGCATCTCGATATCTGGGTTTTATTGGGGTTCTTCATCAGAGTTCTGAACCTCCTCTAATGTGCCATCTCCTTCAGTGACAACTGGAATATAATAGGATTCATTGACATCGTCTTGAGCTACATCTGGAGCTTAGTAGTTTGATTCAGCTTGCATCTCAATGTTGGGGACATTGTTAAAGTCTTCGGCTGTTAATAAAGCTTATTGGATTTGTTACTCAGTCATTAATTCGGAAGAGAGCTAAATTATGTGAATTTGTGGTACATCTTCATCTTGGTTCATGAGGATGAATTGATCTGTTTCTTATTAAACCTGAACAAATCCAGTGGTCTATTGGCTGTGTAGGATGGCTCTTTTTAAGCTGCTATCTTATCTTTTCTGAGCAGTCTTAAGTTACTGAGTTCTGGGACTAGTAAATGAATCAACATCATATTCAATTTTTGCATGTTATTTTTAATATGCCTTGTTGTCAATGTGAATTAAGTTTGGTGTGACTCTATTTTAGAAGTGGTTTGTAAATGTACTTCTTCTTTTTTTGGGCTGCCATCACTGTGAGGGCTAATACCACAATAACCAATATTCTCATTATCGTTTTTTAGAATAATATATTAATTAAATGGATTCTCATGCATATAACAATGAAAGAACAATTAAAAAATGGGGTTTGATAACAGTTAGACCACCTGCTCATTAAATGAATGGTACATGTGAAAAATGATTTCTAGACAGATCAATTGTATCTAATGTTCCAGATATGGCTGTACCTGACAATAAAATAACAACATCTAAATATTCATCGATTATTACATTCATTCCATTAAATTTGATAGAGCAATTCTCAAAATTGGCTAACGTCTACTTTTTGGTCATTGCAATAATGCAGATGATTTCAGCAATCAGCATAACGAATGGTTAACCTGTGATTATGGGACCATTATCAATAGTTGTGTGCATTTCGATGATCAAGGATTATATTGAAGATTACCAAAGACGCAATTCAGACAATGCTGAAAACACTCGCAAGACATATTTGATACGCACAAACAAAGCACCAAGAGAAGCTCGATGGAGTGAGTTAAGAATCGGAGATTTAATCAAGGTTTAGAAGGATGAACAAATACCAGCTGATATCTTATTGATGCAGACATCAGATAAGAAGGGAAATGCATTTATTGAGACCAAAAATTTAGATGGAGAAACCAATCTAAAATGTAAAAACATTCAAAAAAATCTAAAATAACTGTAAGAACAAAGTGAAGATTCTCTATTGGCATTAAGAATGACAATTAAATATTAAAGACCAAGTCCATATTTGTATCAATTTACAGGATCTGCTGAAATTAATAATCAACAAATCCCTCTTAGTGAGAAAAATTTCATATTGAGAGGTTGTGTTTTAAGAAATGTCAATTATATTTATGGAATTGTTTGTTATAACGGACATGACTCAAAGATCATGCTTAATTCAGTTAAAGCCTAACCTAAACGAAGTCATTTAGAAAGAACAATGAATTGGTTCGTTATTGTGATATTTCTATTATAAGTAAGAATGCAATATCATTAGTTTTCAGATGATCATGTGTGGCTTTGGAGGCTATTTGAATTCATCATGGCAACAGATTCATAATTCTCAATTATCCTATTTAGATATTTTAATTACAGATCCAGAACATAATTTTACTAAAAATCTATTTGTATCCTCCATAAATTTAATTTTAGATTAAATGGGGTAATTGGATTCTTATATTCACGAACTTTGTCCCAATCTCATTACTAGTCTCTTTGGAAATGGTTAAATATTTCTAAGGAATGTTGATAACAATGGATTAAGGAACTTATTCAGCTGAATATGATATAAAGACAGCAGTCTAGTCTTCAAATCTGAATGAGGAACTTGGCTAAGTGGATTACATATTTTCTGATAAAACAGGGACATTGACAAAGAACCAAATGGATTTCAAATGTCTCACAGTCAACAAAAAGTCATATGGAAAGGAAGCAACATTAACTAATGATGAAGTGTCAAAATTAGCTTAAGTCTCTAATGTTGATTTCAGAGATAAAGCTTTCTTTAATGATTTGAGTTAAACTCCAGGGAAGGGACCACTCCACGAGTTCTTACTTTGTTTATCATTATGTCATACTATTGTTACTGAAAATAAGAATGGGTAACTCATATATCAAGCATCGTCTCCTGATGAATTAGCCTTAGTTAATTTTGCGAGATACTGCGGATATACTTTTGAAGGATTAGATGCATCCAACAGTATGGTGGTCAATATAAAAGGTGACATAAAGAATTACCAACTGTTGCATGTACTTGAATTCAATAGTACAAGAAAGAGATTGTCTGTAATCGTTTAGGATCAAGCCAATCAAATTATATTGTTAACCAAGGGAGCGGATTCTGTTATTGAACCTTTAATGAAACCAGTCGTTCCTTAGTTGAAAGAGAAGACTTGGAAAGATCTTTAGGAGTTTGCATCGATTGGCTTAAGAACTCTGCTCTTAACTAAGAGAGTACTGCCTTTATCGATTTACAAAGAGTGGGAAACAGGCTATTTACAAGCATGTTCAGCCATATAAAATAGAGATAATTTGATGATGGAGTCATAAGCTAAAATTGAATAAGAATTAGAACTTATAGGGGGAACAGCTATTGAAGATAAATTACAAGAGGAAGTAGGGCCAACTATTTAGTATTTAAAAGAGGCTGGCATTAAAGTATGGGTATTGACTGGAGATAAAATGGAAACTGCTATCAATATTGGTTATTCTTGCTAATTATTGAATGATTCCTTATAGTAAATCATAGTTGATGGAAATGATGAATAGGCTATTAGAAATGAATTAGAAATGGGCATCCAAAAAAGCCAAAACAATAATAAAAATGCTCTGGTGATCTCTGGCAATGCTTTAATGAGAGCTATGAAACCAGAACTTTCATTAAAAGTAATGTAAATTGCCGAAAGATGTGAGGCTGTAGTAGCTTGTAGAGTTTCACCAAAATAAAAATAAGAGATTGTTTCCTTAGTTAGATAAAATAAACCTAATGCTACTACACTTGCCATTGGAGATGGTGCTAATGATGTCAACATGATTACAGCTGCTCATATTGGAATTGGAATTAAAGGAGTAGAAGGCTAGCAAGCAGCTAAAGCCTCTGATTATGCTGTTGGAGAATTCAGAATACTAAAAAGATTGACACTTTATCATGGAAGAGAGAGTTATAGGAAAAATTCAACTCTTGTAAATTACAATTTTTATAAAAATATGCTTCTAGTCCTACCTTAATATTGGTGGGCTGTCAATAATGGATTTTCTGCTGTTATGTTTTATGACTAGTTACTCTATTAAAGTTACAATCTATTTTTCACTAGTCTTCCTATTGTATTATATGCCATCTTCGATGAAGAGTTCTCGGGTGATGTTCTCACTTCAAGTAAATATATCTCTCTATAGTAGACCCTAGTTTTTATGATATCGGTATCAAACACAAACTATTCAACGTTAAAATATTCTTGTATTGGGTCATTAATGGCACTATCTAAGCTGGCATCCTATCGTACCTAACCTTCCAGACTTACGAAACCTCATCTATTTATAATGGCATGATGGCTGGCTTATGGACTACTGGTGCCATTGTATTAGGGTATTCAGTTTTGAATAGCAATATCAAAGTAATCAATTCCACTATCTCTATTAGATTATCCTATTTAGTAATACTTATTCTTTTGGAGTTATTGTTGGACTTTTCGGATCAGTTTTCATCTATCTCCTCCTATTTCTCATAGTTTCAGAGAAAATGCCGAAATCTGACATGTCTAATAGCCAAAGTGCTAGCTTTTCTCATCTGATATTTTACTTGACATCACTATTAGTGGTTGGAGCAACTTCAGTTTTTGATTTGGCTCTGACGAAATTAGCTTAGTGGTCTTAGTATGCTGAGGTTGGAATATAACATGATAAAGTTTATATGCTAATTTAAAAATAGCACATTGAATTACAAGATGAATAACAATTGCATTAACATTCCCCTAATACACAATTTTAGATCAACAACTCTTAGGTCCCCAAAAGTCCTATTAAAAGAGGATACACAGGATTTGCTTTTACTTAGGAAGAACATTGATATTGAAATTAATGTGTTAATTTATAACATTTAATTATTGTACACAATCATTTTTTTTTCATTGAGGAGTTTACTGATCTGGACTTTAATTATTCTAATCTTGGGTAGGAGAGTTACTAAAATATATTGAAAACTAATACATGGATATAACTTTTATTTTAGGATTTACATAAATTTGATTCTATTTTGGAGTAGAGGCTTGTTTTTAAGTAGGAGAAACTTAAGTCGGTGATTCTTAATTACTGAAATTTTAGAATTGATTGCCTTAGTTATTCTAATACGCATAATTACTTTGAAATTAATTATAGTTGTTTTAGTTGTTGTAGTTGTTGTTGTTGTTGTTATTGAATTAATTTCCATAGTTTTAAGGATTTTAAATATAATACATTTACTATTAATCCTAATTATTGTTATTAGGATGATTCTATTCTTATGAACTAAATTTAATAACTCTTCCTGTGCTTGCAGAAAAATCTTAAAATGGTGACTAAGTAAACTAATTATTAGGTTACTATTATTGATAATTATTCTATTATTGAAATATAATCTATTGTGGTAATGGAATCTATTGTTGGCCGAGAGACTGTTGATAATGTTGAAATGGCTGTTATTATTAAGGATCATCAAAATTAGACTAGTATATAAAATCTGAAGACATCTGTTGATTTGGTGTTGGAAAATTAGATTCAGTCATTGCATTACTTGAAGGGTTACTTTAGTATCTGACCGGTTATTAAATTTACTATGTTGAAGAATCATGAGGTAAAGTTTATCGTGTCTATATTTTTGTATCTAAATATAATGGATTAATAATTGAGTATATCTATTAGATATCAGGCCTCTATTTTGGTTCTCTCTGTAAACACTAAGAAATGATGTCAATAAACTATTCATTGTATTTTGTATGACTCAGAGCATTTTTGATGGCTTCTTTGCTATAATACTTATTGTGATCCTCTTAGGAGAAATATCTTGATCCTCCCAATTCATTTCCAATGTACTTGCCTTTGTTCATTATGGTTAAGATAATGAGACCGAATTAATAGACGTCATAATAAAAAGATTAGGTAGTTTCTGGAGGATCATACTTTGGAGTATTCTAAACATTTTAAGTAGTCATAATATCACCCAATTATCCTTGAAATTATTTGGAACGATCAAAATCAGCAATATATATGTAACTTTTATGAATCTCAAGGTGATCTAAAAACAAATTCTCTGGCTTAAGATCTCTGTGGAGAATATTGAATGATTTTAATGATTTAAGGGCTTTATAACATTTAATTAATACCCAATGCAAATCTATTTGCAATAAGGAGTACGTCTTTAATCGTCTATCTTTCCTCTCTATTTTGCTCATTTTTGCGCCAACCGACTAAAAACTCTGCTAAGGTTTGTACGAATTTCTTTTATAAGAGAAAAGAATATTCGTAAATTCTAATATAGGCAAAACATGTGACTGCATATTGCGAATCAAAAGCTTACTCCATTAACTCAATTTCTCTTTGAATGTTTTATGAGATTTATTCTTTAAACTCTTCTGATTGGAATCTGGTTGATTTGTAAACTATTTAATCTCCTAGTCTAGGATAAGTTATATTAAGGGATTCTGGTGTTTTGAAACTCTTTACAACTGAGTTACCCATTTCATATATAGGTTGGAGTTTAATTGGATTGTTCTGAGATAGAAGAAACATTAACACATTTTCATAAGGTGGATACATAAAATTAACTCTATGGAAGTTGCCACTCTTCTCTAATAGAAATTCAATCACTGGTTTGAACTAATTCTATTAAAAATAATGTTGTAAATTTGGTATGTATTAGGAAAAGTTTTTGAGAGTAAAGTCTTTAAAAATTAAAAAAGGACTTTGGTTGGGAATGGGCCTTATAAAATCTAAATCTAACAAAGAAATATATAGTATTCCCTATGCATAGTATAGCTATTTCAATTCGTTGAGAGGCCAATTAACTTATCGTTTCTCAAATTCAGCATATGCTATCTTTAGATTCAAAACTTACTTAGAGCCAACTAAAGCAAAATTCTATAATAATTTTGGGCCAATTATTCATTTGTTAACTTTAATTCTACACAGTCTGGGAATATTAAAATCCTCTCTTTTCCTTCTTCATAGTAATTCTGAGGCTGAATAATGTTTAGATATTTCAATTTCCTCATCTTAGTCAAATCTTAATCAGAAATATTGATATTGATTAAATGAAGGGATATGAAATATTCAGGCGTTTGGCTTTCTTTAAGCTTTACTTGTTATATCTTTAGTCTCCCTTCCTCTTTGTGAAGAGTCTTAATAAACTCGTAATCGTTCTTCAGCTTAATAAATAAATATATGAATTTAATATCTATTTATTACCTTTTTATATGAGAATTCTGGAGATTACTGTTTTAATTAGAATATCTAATACTTATACTAATATCCAAGATATCTTTCTTAAAAATAATGGATTAAGATTGCTGTAAATTTGTACTAAATTTTTTACACATTTAACAACTAATCTTTTACACAAAAAACCTATGAATTGCTCACTAATAGTGATGAGAGATTTATATCGTGATGATATGATCCCTCAAACTATACAAATACCAAATCAATCACAAAAATAAATTTTTGAAATTATCATAGATGCATTTAGTAATTAATATGAGTTTATATTAATTGAATCCTAATAGATGAACTCTAAAGTCACAGGCAAAAATAATTCAAACCACTAATACAAAATAATAAAGTAGGATTTAAATAAATACTAATTAAAAACAAATTACAATAATATGTATTAAGTTTATTAATAGAAATTAGCTCAATATTAAAAAAAATATATATATATTTGAATAATTTTCTTGAACTGTGCATTTATTATGAAAGAAGTATTGCTAACAAAAGATTTCATTGGATTTTTGATAGCTTATTTAAATTAAGATAAATATCTCATATTATTCAGGTTCCTTAGGCTGGCCTTCCATAAATCTTGTAAGTAATGGCAGAAATCATTTGGATGAGTATGAATCATTAAAATTAGGCTCCAATAATTGTTCTATTTAGAGAACCTTTAAGGTAGACCTAATTTAGTATATAAATCCAATTATTTTGTTTAATTATCGTATCCTTATATTACATTAGAGTTTAAATTAAAGAATAGTAGCTAATCTTCAGATTATCCAGCTTATTTATAATAATTTGATCTAAATTAGAAAAATGTTCTATTACTCTTTTTAAATATAAAAATATTTATATATATTATTATTTTTTGATACATTATATTTTAGAAAGAATAAGAAAAATATTATTCATATAAAAATAACGTAATGTATGAGTAGTCTTTAATAAACTAAATAAATTAGTTTGAAATACATATAAACATCATCCATGATATGTTTCTGTCATACTTACAGGTTGATTATTGATAATATCAATTATATGTTTAATTCTATCTTAGATCTTCTCTAAAGAATCATTCATGGTTTTCATCTTCATCTCAATAACCTCTTAGATTTGATTGCCTTTTTGTTAATCATCCATATCTTCCTCAGCAAACCTTGCTCTAAAAATATGGATATTTTGGTTACCTTTTGATTGGCATCCAACTTATATCTTTAATATCTATCTTTGATTTGATATAGGATTCGTTGCCATTATAATCATTTTCATCTTTATGCTTCAAATAAGCAATATAATAAATGTAATTCCACATGTAATGTTCTAATTCTATATGTTCCTGAAAACCCATACCTCCTCCTTCATCATTTTTTTCGAATTTTTCTCTTGTGATACCACATATGAAGCACTTCATAGTTTGATCCTTGATTCTTTCCTGAAGTTTTTCTCTCAAAGAACCAAATGTATCAACAATAATACCTTGTATCATATTGAGCATAATCATAACTAATACAATATTAACAGCATTGTCAAAAACAAAACGACTAAAGTAATTCGAAGTAAATCGATGATCGACTCCATCATATTCATTTTATGAGTAGATTACTCTATCCCAACCATTTACAATCATATCGTAATCTTATGATATATCTGTAATGGTATCATAATCCATTATTCCTTAACCTAATGCCCCTGTGAATTTGAATGTTAAATCAAAACTCATAAATATGCATTGCCACAATGTACTACATCCCCTCTCACATATAATATGATCATTGTCTTATAGTATTCTACAATTGGTTCCATCTACTATTGGATAATCATTAAAAAAAATGACAAACCCAAGAATTCCAACATAATATTCAATCACAGCCAATAATAGAAGTGCCAACCCTATCTCCTATCTTGGACCCCAGATTGCATCCAATACAGTTTTTAATTGCTCCAATTTTAAGAAATCCATCAAGTGAAATGCAAAAAAAAATGGATGAACAGTCAACCCAACAATTCCAGCGATGATATAGATACAATAATACAATATGTCTGAATCCTATAATAAAATAACTAAGCTTTTTATTCCCCTGATACTCACATCCCAAATCATTTTCATTACTGTTTTTGGTTTTTGATAATCTTCCCATATATGATCAACTTTGAGAGGTGCTCTTTTCACTAAAAAGAAGAAAACTATTAATGAACTAAACACTAACATTGTGATTCCCAATCCTTAAATTAATATTGGTGTCCATGTAAAATCTGTCTATTCTAATAGTCTTGGATCTGACAATCTTTCATAAATCAAATCCCCTGTGGGATCTGATTGACCTTCATTATAAAATGTTTATGAATAACTTAATAATACAATGAGATTGATGACTAATGTTGTTACAAATGCACAATTCTCCCAAAGTTTTCCAGATGTTGCGAAAAATGCGAAAATAGGATTTTTAGCAAATACTTAATTCAACTTCTCTTCGTATTCCATTACCTTTATAAGAAAATTAGCTCTTTCCATCAAGTATGTTAATTTTGTCTTACTGCTTGTTCGATCAACTTAATCATGAAATTCGAGTCTGGCACTTTTTGGCAATTTACAAATTGGTAATTTTGGAAAATAAATTGTGTAAAGTTTCTAATCTCTTATCATGTCAATCGAGCATGTATTTTATCTAAAAAACTTAATAGCATTCTTTGTTAACTCTTTCTGCTCTAATTTCTCTTACAATAATTTTTCCTCTTCTGATTTCTAAGGCAATCCTATCTATCCTATTAGATTGCCACCAATTTTTGCAATATTTTCTAAGCCTGAGAATATATTGGCTATTGCATTGTCCTCTTCCTTATTATTGTTTTCAGAAAACTCATTTAAAACATCATTCATCTCATTATCCTCATATAACATTTATTTAGCCTTTTAATTTCCAAGAAATTGTTACATCAGCAAAAATATGCAAAAACCATTTTCTATTATGAATTCCTAATTTACTGCTGGTTCATCATTTGTGATTTCATGTTCTGCTCTTTTAAACATTTCATCCTTATAAATAGCACCAAATTACTCTTTAAACAACTTATATACTCTTGTAAGATTGTTTGTTAACACGTTCAAAGGGATGACTCTTACCAATCTTGCAATATCAGAATTTTAAGGGTCACAACATTCTAATAATGATACCAAACAATTTAAACATTTAAATTTCAGCCTGGCTAATTATCCTGGATGAATAGCTAGTCTATATTATTTCTCGCCATCGTATTTGAAATACTCATTTGATTATTCAAATATTTTTTCATCCTCTGATAAAATCAATACTACATGCTCTAAAAGATTGCTTTTTAATAAAGTTTATTAATTTTATTTGCATGGTCCTTGAATTAATTCTGTCAGTGTTTCAAAACATTGCAAGACACTTTCAAAATTAGCTTTCGAAATTTAAAAAGTAGAAATTAGCAACACAATTTAAGAAACTAAATCAAAACTATTTTTCTAATTACTTTAAGATCTCATATAATTTTGAAGATCTTAATTGTGTCCTTCACAAAATAATTAAGTTAATTTCAAAGCCTTACAAACTAATTTATTTTCTTAATAATTTAATTTATGAGCTCTACTCATAGATAATATTTGAATATTGAATACATTTTTGAGTTACTTAAAAAACTTCTCACATTGTGTGTTTGATAAAAAATACTCATACGCAGTTTTTTACACATTTTGATTTCCATTCTTTAATAGTAGTATCATAAAGGACATTATGGTACCCATATAAACTGGTTCTAATTCAGACTCACATAATAAAACTATCAATATTTAAGTGACATTCATTCTATTAAATAACACTTGTCTCTCATATAATTCATTCTCAGTGTCTTTTAATATAGCAGATAATACTTTTAGAATAAAGATGATATTCTCTCTACTAGCTCCGTTTGTCTTCCAAAATTCCAAATAAGTTAGAATCTTAACAATAATATCTGAGTTTGTCAATAATAGATCCTTTACTTCTTGTTTTCTATCATCTTTAAACATATTTTAAATTGTCCAAATGGAATTTGATAACTTTAAGGATTCCTTTTTAACTAAAACTTTAACAAACTCTTAGCCAAAGTACTTCTTGCGAAATTGACTTATTTGAGTGTTTTCTTAAGATTATGCATAATGAGTTTACATGTCAGCTGTCTTTTCATCCTAAGAGATATTAGGGTCTGGCTAAAAAAATTTGATTGGAATTTGAATATTGAAACTTTACCCTAAATCTGATATGGTTTTTAATCTTTATTTATTATTGGTAAGTTCTGCTGGAGCCAAAAAGAACATTTTATCAAGATTTTCTAAAAAGAACGACACAAACTCACTAATTTAATGTTAATCTTTCTCAGAAGATAATAAGGCATTTTGTAACAATTCATTATATCTATTTACAACAGGTAATAAGGAATCGAACAAGTAGTTCAAGTTTTAAGGTATAAACTTATCCTTCTGTTTGATTGCTTTGTGTTCATCAGTAAGTATTTTATTTAAGATTTCAGAATTATATGGAAACATAAGTTCATCAAGTGTTTCTGGTTTATGAAATACCATAGTTTTAATAATGTTCCAATAGTCACTTTACAATTAGATGTCCTCATAATGAGGCTTCTCTTTTTATTTTATACATCCCAAGATTCTTTAGGTTACTAGAAGTGTGTGTTCAAGAAGATCTTGCAGTTTTAAAAATTCAATGGCTTGACTAATTAATGAGGCTCTAACTTTTTTGGAAAGACATTTCGATATTATATTAATGAAATAAAATTAGTATTTTTATTTGTTAGGAGTGTAATCAAAAAAGTCAGTGATTTTGTAAGAGTCTTAAAATGGATATAATGGATTTTAATTATCTTGATCAGGTTATAAGCCCATAGGATCAGTTAATTTTTCAATGATGATTTCAAACATGTCAACTGACTTTTTGGAATATATCTCTGTAACTTCTATAATTTCTAAATAAAATTATAGAAATTCTGGATATCTTCCATGTTATTTTATCAATTGTATAAAGTAATCATATTCCTATTATCCAAGCTGCCCATACAAAGTGGGTTTTTTCTCAAATAATGAGCATATTAAATTTATTTAACCAATATTTTAATTGCTATTCTAAATGATTTTCTTAACAACTTTCCTATAAACTGTTAAGGAATTCCTTTCATTATCTTTTGCAAAATAAGCCATTATATTCATGGTATGCTTAAGTAATAATATAAGATCAGGGGGGAAAGACTTTTAGTCGATGACAGTTAAAGCTTTGTTTATTAACTCTATTAAAACTTCATAACCGCCAATATGCTCAAATATTTATTATTTTAATTTTAATGAAACGCTCTCTGTTTATTAAAATATACTATCTATTTTCCATAAACATTAAAGTGTTTAATGCATAATTCTATTATTTTCTGCTATCCAAGTTTAACTCCTTTAAACATTATTTTTTAATATTGAGGTCATTTAAACCCACACATTAAACAATTATTGAGATTCATTAGTGTCTAATATCTAAATATTCTCAAAATGCTATAAGAATTCTTTTTTTTATCTTGCGAACCTTTGTATCAACTCCACAATCTAATTTTCTAATTATGGGTTTCTTGAGAAATACAATGCAATTAACAATACTTCTATGAATGGTCTTCTCAGGACTTCATCAAAGCTTTTTAAAACAGGGGCTGATGATCTGTTTGTTTTTTTGTCACTATCTTATTTATCAACCCATTATTCTCCTGACATCAATATTTCCTCAGGAAAGAGTTTAATTAAGTCCTCTTCCTTAACTTCGTCATTTAATTACTTATTTTATTAGAGAGATTTATAAAACTCTAAGGCATTATCTATCCAATAGTCTTATGAAACATCCATTAAATAGGAGAATATTTAACATATCTATATCTTGATCAATACCTGATAGTCTTCTTCTTTATTTTCTCTAAGAGTGAATGTTTTATTATTGTATCTTTAAAGTACTTTTCTGACATTTTTCATTTTCTTAAACAAGGAATCATTTACAACTTCTGTATCTTATTACTTAACCTACCTAAAATTATTATTAGTTTGTTATTATTCAACTTTTTCCTTGTTCTCTTTTTCAAATACTTGACTGATACCTGAGATATTGAATTTCATAAAGCCTTTGTCTTTTTCATTATCGGTTTACCAATTCCTCTTGATTTTTGCATTTGCTAAACACTTAAAGTACTGATGATCATATTCCAAAATCTTTGATAATGCTGTAATCAACCTATCGATTTCCTTTAATCCAACTCCATTTTCTGATATTTTATTAAAAATGGAGGCTCCTCTTTTATTTGAATTCTTCTTCTATATGGGACCTTCAACATCTCTTTTCCAAAACAACTCAAACTTTAACATTAATTCTAATATCTTAATGATTTCTAAAGTCTCTAAGTTATAAACAGTTTCTTCTTCTATATTATTCTCAAGTTTCACAGACTATTCATGCAAATATTAGAGCATCTTATATTTCAGTTTTTAAATATCAAACTCTCCTTTTTCACACTTTTAACTTGATGTTTCATCAAATAAAAACAAAGTCTTTTGAGTAGTCTTTTCCTCTTAAATTCTTACTAATTCTGGTTTAGGAGTTGTTGTATAAGGTTCCCTATCTATGTACAAGGTTCGAATCATTCTAAAGAAGTAGGCTCTTACTTATTCATCAACGAAATTCTGCTCTCCACTCATAAATCCTTATTAGTGATTGTTTTATTCAGCATAAGATAATAAAAAGGAGTAAGTAAATGTTTTGGAGATCAACTCTCTTGCTGCAGTATTTCGATGAAAACAAATATTTGAAAAAAAAGCCAATTATTCAATTAAATAGTTGTATTACACCACATAAAAATGATCAACATCTTTGAATTATCTATAATCGTTTAAAAAATCATGTAGCATTCTAGTGACATAGGTCTTGTTTGAAGTTCTGTATGTAATATAAAATTCTGTATAGTTTCCTTCCTTCTCTTGTATAGGCTCTAAATTCATATAAACCTTCTCTTCTCCTTTGTCATTCCTTACCTTTTGATTCAGTAATTAAATGCTATTTAATAAGTATTCTTAATTTGAAAACACTGGTTCTCCATTTGCCTCGCAAGTTTCTGATAGAAAATGCAACAATTCTGGTAGAAGTTGATCACTCTTAGAAATGATGTCCAAGAGTCTTGATAGAATTGTACTTTGACTTTTTTAATTCTTTTAATCTAAATTGTGGAAATTCATTGTAGACTTCATATCATATGGGATTTCCTATTTATTGAGCATACTCAGAATTTGATAATTATTAGAAATGGATTAACTAATTGTTGTACATACATAATCATGTGCTATATGCTTTTCAAAATGTTTAAAAAATTTCATTAAAATCTCTTGATTCTTTTGATTATTATGACATGCTATTTTGATGGTTTGAAATAATTTTAATTGCAATAATCGTTTCCTTTTCCTATGATTATCCTCTAATTATTCTTTCATTTTCTAAACTTTTCTCTCATATTCTATATCATTAGACTTGTCCATCTTTTGTTGAATCATAGTTTAGACTCTTAAAATAAATGAATTCTCACCAAACAAATCCTTAATTAGGTTTTGTTCAGTTCCTTCTATTTTTTCATCCGGATTAGGGAATGTCTTACATATCAACCATATTAGCAAAGGTAAGATATTTTCCTCTCTAATAATGTCCTATCTATTTTGAGAAACAAACGAGAAATCTTGCGTTGTTTATATGTTACTCACTAATTTGTTATACATAAACTGATTCAAGATTTCAAGTAGAGAATTTAGCTTTTCAAAAAGATAATAAAATTCAATTCTCTCTTAGACCTCGTTTTTCTTCATACAAGCAATACTTGTAAGAGGCTGAAGAATTTCAAAATATGAAATAGCCTCCTTTAAAATTGGTACTAAAAATACTAAGAATCTCTTTTCCCAGATATCTTCATAATCAGTTTTCCTGAACTTAATGCAATTAATTAAATTAACATCTTAGGTTGTACACACAGGATCATTCCTTATATTTAAATAAGTCCCAGTCAAAAAGTGCTTAATTAAGAAATAGGATTCTTTATCCACATATTTAGAACTCTTCTTAATGGCCACAAATTAGAATAAGGTATTCTTAGTCACCTTCTCTGTAAGTATTACTTATCTCATTACATCGACATCCAAGTATTATCCAGTTTAAAAATGTCTTATGCGATAACACTTATCCCATTTGACTTCTCCTCCAGTGAAATTATCTGATTCTATTCTCCAATAAGCACTAAAGGGAATAGTGATTTTATCCGATTTGTTACCAGTAAAGTTGCTAAAATATAACTTAATTTCTGAATAGAGAGCCTTATCTATTTCTTTAATATTTTTAGAGGCCTGAATAATTTGAGAGGAGCGAGATTGCTACTTTTCATAAATATGACTATTTTGAGAATCCGACTTATAGTTTTTTTGTTCACTTCTACCCACTTCTTCACTTACTTATCTGGATATCACAGCTTGCTATCCTGGAAAGAGAGTCTGCTATTTTGTGTAAACCACTTTGTCTTGAATGATATTGCTAATATCGACGACAGTGTTGCGGTCTAAAATTTCTTTGACTTTTTCTTGGATGTCTTAGGTTTTCTTTGCATTCAAATATAACTATCGATTATTAATTTGTTACATTCAGTTCTGGCAAATGAAATATGGCCACATCTCCTACAAATAAGGCCTCATCGTTTTCTTGTTGATTTTGAAATATTTTGATTCTCCATTAGGTTTACTCCTCAACAGATGCTATCACCTTAGCTTTGCAGACTTCATCTTCGTATTTCTATGGCTCGTCTTACAATTCATAATAATTTAATCCCCAATAATCAGTAAATAGATTTGCTGTTCTATTGCATACTTGCTTGTTTGCAGATATACAGACTACGTCTCCACTATACACTAAATTGGTCCTTAGTTTTTGGAAATTCAAGCAAGGATTGAATTTTAATAAGGTGTTACTATTTGGAAAGTCAATTAATTTAAATTATAATGCTTCCAGATTTTGATCATCTAAGGCTAAGAATTTCAATGAGGAAACATGAACTAAGTGAAATATTGATGAACTAAAAACCAAAGGGGTGCCTGCTAGTTTTTTTGTTAGAGAGATATTTGAGGTTAGTTCATTTTCTAAATTGAGCAATGTGGTTTAAATTTTATTTTTTCTTTGACCTTATTCATACATTTCTAAGTTCTTGAAATTAGAATCCTAGAATTATCGCAAAAGATCATCGTGAGCCTTGTAATTCAGAACTGGCAGTATTCTGAAAACGCAATTCTAATAATCTTAATCTAAGTCACCTTTCAATTGGTGAAATGATCTCAAATTAAAATTCTATGTGCTGAATCCATTTGAATATAGGGATAAATTCGGAAATGCACTCATATTAAGCACAATCAAAGATGAAAAAGTAATGGGTTCTGGATTCATAATTTTAATTATAATATAACCAAAGTAAATATATTATTAGAATCAATACTATAAGTTATTCTATAGGCTTTTAGACATTCGTTACTAGTATTCTTAAAACCATTATTTTTACTTGGAGGTTCCTTTTCAAATACTTAATAAAATGTATTTAAATTGTGAGTAATTCAAGAATGAAAATATATATATATTGATTGGATTTGATTTAATTAAATTAAATATACTATTACTTTCAGGGCTAGATTTGCATTTGCATGGTGAGTTGAATAATTAAGAAAATCTTTGATCGATTATGCAATTGAAATTTTTCTAGTTAACAAATCTAATCTGCAAAACAGGAGGGCAAAAGATGAAATCAAATAGAATTAAGAATATCATAATAATTTAGATAAAGTTTAATTAAAATTACTGTCTAATGAAATTAGAAATTTGCACCAAGTGTCAAAAATAGTATATATAAAAACATAGTTACTTTAACAATATGATGCAAAAAATTATAAATGATGTTTTACAATGTTAGTATAATCTAATATTGCATATGAAATTTGTCTATCGGAGTAACATTAAATTACTTATACTAAATTCTTATTCTTCATTGTTATATAAGAAAATAATTTGATTTTTGTAAAACAATAATTTTGTGTAAACAATGATATCAATCAGTCGATGAATTGACCTTCGTCAACTCAACTTATTATTATTCTTTATCTTCTTTTGGCTTGAGGGTGTGCTAAGAAAATAATCTTTTGTTTAAATAAACCAATCGATTGGGTATATGACTAAATAATACATTATAGATATTTTTTGAGAGTGAACCCCTAGGTTAATTATCAAATGTGCTTACTTGTAATATGGATTTCCGCTATCCAAAGTCCAAGTGTGTTTTAAATGTTCATTTGTAGTTTAGTTCTTGCAAATCAGAAATGTATGATAACAGAACAAAGCAAATGTTAGGACTGTGACCAACGCTAAGACCACGATCAGAACTATGCAATATATACAAATAGCCGATTATTAGATAGAGAGCTTGACTATTTCGAAAATGAGCTGTGTGTTTAGGACGAGCAAGAAAAAATAAAAAGATCTTACATTTCTCTTTCCTATACATGTACCAATCCAATTGCAATGATGATCAAATCTCAAGACGCAATTATTGCAAAATCCACAATGGGATAGTCTAGAGGGTCTGTAAATTTTGCAAGTGGGACAAAATTTTAATCTGATCGTGTGAGTCTCCAATCTGACGATAATGTGTTGTGTCTCTTTCTTCTTGGTGGATTAGGGTATCTAGAGTTTTTCTACGTCATCTTCATGTTTATAAAACTATCTACATATATGCTGATATGTTACAATTTTAGGCATAATTCCAGGATCTGTACAATAAGTAGCGATCAACAAATAGATGGATAGGAGTGATAGACCTAATTCGTAGTATTATATCTTCATCTAAGGACTAGGATTGATTTTACGTAAATCATCTAATATAGAATGGCTTCAAGAAACAACAGCATAAGAACTATGAGAAATTTAGCACTTTGGTTGGTATAAAATATTGTATCACCACAACAAGCCTTATTTCTGCCTGTCCATTTCAATCGAATGGGAGTTGAGTTCTCATCAATCGATATTTCTAATTACTAAATCCATATTTTAATACTTCTTGATGGTAATTCATAATTCTGCTGTAAAAAATAAAAGTATAAATTATAGAATAATAAAATTAAATTAACAAATTTCAGAATCGTTTGCTATTTTGAAAGGGCGTAATAATGTAAGTAAATTATTAATACGAAGATATAGATGACTCTGGTTCTATCATATCTTGTTCGATGTTGTCATCATCTTTGTCTCTAGGTTTCACCTTCTTGATGAATCTCATCTTCTGCAAGCATTCATAATTAACAACGTTTGGAATGTTTGACTTGATCAATAGTTTCTCGCCTCTCCCATGATTCGTATTCATCCAATAGTAGATTTAGTCATTCAGCTGATATATGGATTCAGCATAATTAGCAATATCATAAATAAGATTATTGCTCAATCTCTACCTCAACTCGTTGATAGCTGCCAAATCTTTCGCTAGTAAATCCTGATGCAGCAACGGATTCTAACATACAAGTTGCATCTTTTCTATATGAAATTAAATTTTTGAAGCCTCATTCCTAGATTGATCTTTTACTAAACTTACCAATTCCTTAATCAGTTTCGCTATATTATATATAATCACTTAATACATTTTTAATCCAACGGAATTCCTTTGAATTGAAATTCACTCAAAGTTAGATTTAGACTACTCCTTAAATATGATTGCATTTCCACTTTTGAATATTTCATTTTAAATTGAATCATCTATATGTAATCCTTATATTTTAATCTTTCAGACAATGGAAGCATGTCACTCAACAATGCATACTTCAGTTTTTGAAGTGCGACCTCATAATTATGATTTCTCAGGAGTTTCTATATTTCAGGCAGATGATCAGCAAAATCAGTAGTATCTAAAGTAGACATATTTTATTTTTCTAATTGCATTCTAGTGACTTCCTTGTTAGCTAATCTTTGGAATATAGGAGCTGATTCACTTGCTACTTCTTTAATAGAACTTTCACTCGCTATTCTAAAAGAGTTATCATCTATATCAATATCTATATCTATATTATCATCCTCATTCTCTATGAGTTTCTAAGCAATATTCTAATGTTTCTTATTCATATTTTTTTCAATTTGATTTTTCATTTGATAAACATTTTTCTCTGTTTATGATACTGATACTGAATCATGCAATACTCTTTTAATAATCCATCTTTTTTCCAATTTTCTCATGTTTTTCAACATCGTCAAACTTTGTATTGCCAAATGTCTTGGTAATCTATTGCATTTACTAACTTAAAATATATCTATGTTAATCTATCATATACAATATAAATACCTGACTGAGCAATTCCAATATATCGATATTGCCGACACTGGCAGCTACATGACCCAAAGACCATTCACTTTAACCTGACTTCTTTTGGAAATCAAATGATTGTTGATGTGATCTCAATTGAAATAATCGCTTATTGTATTCTACAGCATATTGAATTGAATTGATTTAGCCTTTTCTAACAGCCAAATCCAAAGGAGTCCATCCTTCATTGTTTTCACCATTAGGATCAGCCCCCAAAGACAATAGTACATCTGCCATTTCTTTGGCATCTGGACTCTTCGAATAATTCATGAACAATTGATGTAAAGGAGTGTTGCCGTCTACATTTCTGAAATTAATGAGATTCAAATCAGTATGTTGTGTAATTGAGTTGTCCTCTTCATTAAGATTGAGAAGTATTTTGAAAAAGGCTAAATCTACTCTTTAACAAATGACGTGGATTGATTAAGGAGCAAATTTTCCACCCAGACTTCTTAATACTTTGACTGATCTTTATTAAAGTATATTATTACCTCGTTTTACCTTCATTGTAACAAGCACTCAAAGGAGTATTTTGGTCAAAATCTAAATTGTTTATTTGATCAGGTATTATCTATATTAGACTATAGAGAATCCCTATTTCGTTTGATGACCCTGCTGAAAAAAACAAGTTCCGGTATCTATGGAGGATAGCCAATTAAATAAATACTTATAGTCTGTCTAATAGAAATTAGGCTCTGAGATACTCAACAGTTTAACGAAGGTTTCAAATGTGAGACTTGTGGACTACAACATGGATATCAACTTATCCTTTATATGCTGGTATTTCTCAAAATTAATCTTCATTGGCAAAGCAGGTTTGCAATACTTGAACCAATCGAATTCGAAGTACTGCATCCCATAGAGCACCTTATGAAACCCTTTGGGCACAACAGTGAAGCAATTCATTTGGATACACAAATGCTCAAGGTTGGGGAAATATAGTTATTCGATGTAATTGTTGGACAGGTTTAGATATTTGAGTTCTGGGGGATTAATGTTAAACACCTTGATTAGATTGTCTTGCATGTCTAAATATTCCAAGTATTTGAGGGTTTGCAAGAAGATTGGCAAAACATTAATTTGATTACTGCTCAAAATCAATTTGTGCAAGTTGGTCATACGCCTATTCAAATAGAAAGAGTAAACAATTACATTATTTGGGGAGGGACAGTTGTTAACTGGTTTTGGGATAAGTTCAATAACTTTATGTTAACAAAATTTTATTGTAATTTAGGAATTTGTTTAAGTTGTTGAGATGGCAATTCCAATTTCTCTTCAGTGCAGAGCAAATTCTGAATCTATTATATGTTTAGGAAGTACAGTTTCGTAAGGTTATTTTTGTTTGTGTTGGTTATTTTTACCATTAGTATTTAAGTTGGCTTCTGCATTTTGATCTTTAGCTTCTTAGAAACTGAAGAAAGGCTTTTCTTTTAATTGATGAATACTGAGATTTCCATCATGTTCATCTTGAATGACGTAAGAGTCGAATGAAGAATAACTTTGAACCGATGGTTTCTATTCGTATTACCTAGTATCCATTATATTAATATCACTAAATATTTTTAATAATATGTTTTCAATCCTAATATTGGTTCTAAACTCCCTCTCTGCCATAGGTGATGAGTATTTAGTGAGACTCTTCATAATCATTTTGATTTTGATGTTACACTTAATCTTGCTCCTCCTCAATAATCTGAGGCAAATGATATTACTACTGCATCGATTGAACTTCAATTCTCTCCTCTCTTTTCTACTTCTTCTTTTCCTATTTGTTATTTTTGATTGGACGACTGGAAATGAAATTGGGGGGATCTCTAGCACCTGCTAAATATTGTTCAATAAACTTGATATATTTCTCTGGATCATCTATCCTATTGGAGTTGACCAGATCCAAAAAGGAGAAGTTCTCAATGTAAAATTAAAACCAAGCATTTGATTGTTTATTATGAAAAAGTTCTCTGAAATCTTGGATCGTATAATCTGCTTATTTGCCAGTCTTTTTCTTATTCAGAAAATTATGCATCTCTTTAGGCAGAGGGTTCTTCTCGAAATGTTCTTTTCTTTGTTCTTGTTGATTATCCATAAACTTCTTGAAATTGTTTCCAAATGTTTTAGGAATGTTCTTGGTGTCCGCATCCTTTTCCATCAACGTATTGTATCTGTCTACCTGCACTTTCGTGTTCAACTTAGGTATCTCGGTGTGGGGACAATATTAATCTATTCCGAGATACTGATAACTTTCTTCGTACTCATCCCTTTGATGTTGTTAATCAACAAATCCTTGGTCCTCATAGTCTTATTCGAACATTATTAAATTATTTAAAATATTGAAATGATGAATTTCCTCTTGTAATTTATCAATACTAATTTAATAGGCATACAATTCGAATCATATATCCATTAATACAATCCTTCAAAGTACTCAAGAACAAGGATAAGGAGGGACAACAAACTTTGTTAAAATATTGGTGCATAAATTGGATGATATCCCTTTTAGATATTGTTCTTGAAATAGTTTTGAATGAGTATTTAAATATTTAAACCTAGTTTGTTGGTTGACATAGTCTTAGTTTCATTGGCAATAGGATTGATTTATAACAACTTTAAATTTTCAGCTGCAATATTCAATAACTCAATCTAGCCATTTATATATTAACATGAGAAGAAGATAGAGCAATTCTTTTCCTTCGTATTAATCACATTTATCATTTTTATAATAGATAGATGACAAAGTCAAAAGTGTATGGGATAAATCATCAAACTCCATTGAAAATGCAGCAAAGGAAAAAATCGGAGAGGTAGTTGCCGATCAATTTAAAAAAAAATGAATTCTGTTATATATAGAAATATCACAATTATCATTATCTAAGTATATTGAGCATCATCTAATATGTTTTCGCACTAATTGGCTTTGATTAGTAATTTGGAGGGACATTCTTTGGAAGAATAGTTTTGCAAAACTTCCTAAACTTCATTTCCGGAGTAGCCTTCGGTTATTAATAAAACAAATCAATTAAATTGAAGTCGCTTTGTTAAATCAATTGCTATTTTTAAACCTCTAGGTCCGGTTATGAAAGATCTGCCTTAACAGGAGTTTTATAAATGAATTGTTTAGATCTCACATTGGTGAATGAATTCTATGGTTTTGGGGAATTGTCAATTCTACGATATTTTTTGGGAGTGCTATAAAATGCCCTTTCCCTGTCCTTCAAAATTTAAGAGGGATGGAAGGGCTTAATGACATAGTTGAATTCCACAATGGATATTTTATTATCTTCATCCCTATCTGAAGCATGAAAGAATGCACTGATATCCTGCTTATCATATTGAATGTAATTGCTTTTAAAATAATTCTCTAAACTACGATTTAAATATAATATATATAAATACTGTTGAGCAGTGAAATACCCTAGTTAGTAATGATCTATCATTTAGAATGCCTACTAGACTGATTCCTTGCATAATTCTTTGACAATCTTCAGATGTTTGAAATTAGACAACTCCTAATGGAGTATTTTGAACAAACCCCATTCAACTTCGTTCGGTAGAGTTTTATTAGCCAATACAAAGTACGAATCTCTGGCAGCAGCGGTTTCTTTTAGAATAAGGTCAGTTTTTGGTAGTATCTGTTTAGCAAAGCTTTATGATAAGTACAAATATACTCTGTGTAGGTTACTCTTCCATCTCTGTTGAAATCCAAATATTATAGTAAATAGGATGCTTCTAAACTTGTGAGACTGCAATTATTATCAAGCATAAAATCAATGATATCTTGATAAGAGATTTCTCCACATCTACTTTTGTCCATTCTTTTGAATGCTCTAACTTGATAAAACAATTTACCAGCATAAGGTTCAAATTAAGGCAATTAGGAAAGTAATTTTCGGACAGTTTCTGTTCTTCTTTCACATTCACAGATTTCAATAATAAGTTCTGTTAACATTTATTAATAAAATAATAATACTTAATATTAATATATATTATTATTAAATCAGCAATCATTTGGTCTTTTATATTCAGGAGCTAAACTTGGACATCTCTCATTCATATGCTCGTATGGATCTATTGTATTATAACCTTCCAACTCCATTCTATGAGTTCCCATGATTTAACAATAAGGCAAAGTAGGATCATTGACTTTGCATTTTTCAGGAACAACATAATTTTTATCAAAGAAGTTCAATTAATACACATCTTTGGGTGTAAATCTATATAGATGTAATGAATAATTACTCCGTTGCTTCAACATGATATTCTCCAAATAAGCCAGCTGCCTTATACAACCCAATAACAAATGAAGAACATACTTAACTTGGTCCATCACTGTAAATCCATTCATCCTTCTCAACCATAGCATATAAATCGGCCTTAATTTAGATATAAGAGTATTACAATTTCAATTCCTCTCTTAGCTGCCTCAATTGTGATTTCTGGGATTGTCAAACCTTCAGTTCCTAATCTCTTATTTAATCCTTCACCAACCATTTTATTTGAAATACTAGGAGCAAACTTCTCAATGAATGAAAATATGTAAGTGGCTAATTCAGCACTCAACAAAGTTGGATAATTATCTTTTGGTGTATCTATCCATCCAAATATAAAATTGTGATAGCCATATGGATATCCCTCCATAAAATTCCAAAATTTAAGAGCACCCTCCTAATCCCATTAAGCTCTCTTCTCTGGACTTAATGGCAATATGGCAACGTTAAATCCTGCATTCTTAGCATAGACTTTCCAATCTTCCCATCTGGTCTTTTGAATATTCTTCTTAGGCCAATACCAAGCATCTTATGATTCTACGACCCATTTAACACCATCTATTTCAAAGATAACAGCACTATGTCCTGATCTACTTCCTGTTCCCCATTCTATAATTTAATCTAATCCATCAAATCTAGTAATAGCCAAGAAGTCTCCTTAATGAATCTCTGCTTCTAACCATTCTACATCAACGTTGGGTCTCTCTTTCCATCTAAATCCTGTTGCTCTCTCAACAAATTCTATATTTGATCTGATCATCCAATCTGGAGGATAACTACCGAAGACTCGACCTAAATATGGATTAGTTGAAAATCCTCCAAAAAATAATTCAATTGTAGTTAATAAATCTCCAATCCAATAATCAAAATGATCACATGTTCTAAAGATATATGCTCCAACCAATCCAAACGCTTCCTTTTGCTTTTCATTTCTTAAATGGAAGTACACCTTATAATCCTAATCTATATTAATTTTTTTATGATATGATACTTTTCTTAATTTTTACAATATTGTAATTCAAAGTTGTTCCAATCATGTAAAATTCCGAGCATTATTCTCCATTTTAATAATTTCCTGGACTGAAGGTCACTTAAACTTTGTTTTAAGCATCATCATACTCGTAACTAACTGTCATCTAACTAAAACAATCATCGTCAAATTATTTAAGTTGTATTGTTTTAATCTAATTGTTTATTCTTCCAACGTTTTGAAATGACATACCGAAAAATTCATGACTTTCACTCTTTCTACAAGTTAAAAGTTGGGTTTGGTCTTAATTAAATAAAAGATTACTTAAATTCAACAAGTTGCTCATCATTTGTTCATATTTTTCTTTTGGGTTCTCATCCTCAAAATAATGAATATCATATATTGTTTCTTTCTCTCCTTCCTCCACAATCTAAGTGCCCTGTAATCTATCAATTACTGTTCTTTCTTGACAGAGGCTTACACTAAGAATCAAACCAATTAGAAAGATTTTATTCATATTATTATTACGTCATTTGCTTCATTGTTAATCACTTAAGATTTAATAATTTCCGAATAAATCAACAATTATTATAATTAAAGAATTGATCGTTTTGTGTGGAATTTTAAAGAAAAACCACGTAATTGAAATGATGATGAAATATTCGGGAATTTGTAACCTCTCGATCCCATAATAGAAGAAAATTGATTATTAATAATTTTACTAATTTAAAAATTGGAATCAATGTTTGTGCAAGCCATTTCTATTACAGACTTGTTATTCTTTTGCAATCGAATTGATGATCATTTAATTTCCATTATCTAATAAGAAATTTCGAAACAATCTCTTTGGGATTAATTAAAATTCACAAATAATCTCTTAACAAAGATTACAGAGTTAATTGGGATTGTAATTTAGATATTTGAAAATAATAACAATTATTATGCCAAAGGGATTATAAATTAAGCCTGATTTTCCATAATGAATTGAATTATTCTGGGTTCTTGATAAAATTTATTTCAATTGATTTTAGTTTAGATCTAGTTGATATATTCATAACTATTACGTCACGGGATGAATAAGATCTTAAACATACATGCCAGATTTTAATTAGAAACATTATAATAAGGCGAGAGAATTAGTAAAAAGAACTTTAATTATATTATAGGTCTTCTCATAAAAAAAAGGAATGAGATAATAAAAATTTTGTGTAATAGTGTAATAGCTTATCATAAGTTTTAATTAAAAGAATCTAATTATTTTGATAAATTATTTATAAATAATCAATTTTCTTCATTCTAAATATTTTATAAGCTTTGTCTATGGAAAAATGCTCTTCTTAAGTCAATTTTCTAAAGTAATTATAAGCTTGTTTTCATTTAATCATCGACTGTTTACATTTGAATTCGTGATTCAATAGATGCTGCTTGTTACTGCTTGGACATTAATAACTTAGATTTATTTAATTGCTGACTTTTTTAAATGACAGTTGAAGCTATCCTTTTCAAATCCATTTTTGCTTTATTCCTTACAATCGAAGAATTTTATAATAGTTTTTAACACAATTTAATTTTTTCTAATTTGGGAAACGTTCTCTTAATAAATTCTTTAACTTCATCTAATTGTTCTGAATACTGCCTCATATAAGATTGAAGTATCAAATTCAATAAGTATAATGTAAAAGCTATATTAAGAAAAGCTAACAAAAAATAGATAATGTATGGGAAGATATGTAATTAAATTTCATAAGCTACACGGAGCAACATTCCAAATAAAATAGACACTAAACACACAAAGGATGCCAACTGATCAATATTATTGATATTTCTCAACTTATAAGGTTTGTACTTTGAAATACATGACTTATATAAGGCAAGTATCAAAAAGCAAATACATCCTTTAATGATAATTCTTTCTTGCAAAAGTGTTAAAACAACTACAATCAATATCTTAAGAATCAACTTAATGAATTCCCAGAAATACGAGCTTGTATTATACTCTAAATACAAGTATCCCAAATATAAGAGTGATCTAATTTTTTTTAAATTGTTTCTCTTTTTAAAAAGTAAGAAAAATAAACTGCTGATGGAGATTAACAAAAATATAAGCAAAGGAGTGCATAAAATGTAAATCCATTAAAAATGCTTATATGTATCATATTAAAAGGATACATCTGCTTATACCCAACTGATATTCGATATTACTCTATATGACATTAGGTTAATCAAACTACTTAGGATTTAGGGACTGTAATACAACACCAAATAGGAGATGGCTATATAGAAATAACTAAAATTAATTTTAATCTTGCTGTATAAAGCGTAAATTAAATAGGCCGTAGACATTATAAAGAGATAAATAAACGGGTATAAGATTTATTAAATCATCCTAAGATAAATGATATCTATAGCAATTTTATCTACTAAGGAGCAATCTAAAGAATAAGAGATGACTCTAACAGGATTTCCCATAAACCCTAACAATATTGTGATCTAATAAGGAATTGGCAATTGGAAGGTTGACACTACAAATAAGAGTTAGAAGTAGTTGATAAAGATCTTGAGAAATGTACTTACAGCAATTTAATTCTTTCTATTCACTTAATTAAGAATTGAAGTCTGTGAACTTTTGACGGAGAATATAATAGAAAATAAATTCCTTAAATATTTAAAGCTAAATACCAAAGATTCAATAGAATAGCATATAGAGCAGACTAATAATCTGGTTAGCATCCTCCACATTAATAAGATTCGGTATTTGAATATCTACCCTCTCCTCTCATATTATAGATGTCACATTATTCGCATAATGCTCCAAAGTATCCCTCTTCGCATGAATTATATCCTACATCCCAACCTCCCTTACAATTTTCTACCTTATTCGAACATTAAGTAATATATCTATTATCATATTGCGGTCTCCAATATCCCTATTTAATTAGATTCTATTTACATACCTACAGTAATTTAAGGGATGCCGGTTTAACTTCTGCAGTAGTTGTATCATCTTGAACATCGCATAAAGTTTAATTAAGTAAAACTGAATAAAATCCTTGAGAAGCATCACATTATTGGCATGCTCCTGTTAATTGATTATAAATTTCACCTAATTAGCAATCTAAGGTAACAATATTGATCTATAGATAATATTGATTATGAGTTGAAATAATATTATAAGGATACTCTGAATTCACTTTTTATGCTAAGAGATTATTTAAATATCTTACTTTGTATGCTTGGACAAAAGAAGATCAACTGTAAACAATAAGTTATATTATTAATTGCTTTGCTATTCAATACTACAGTATCTAAATTATAATCTTTTGTCTAGTTATTAAATTTAATAGATTTAACATTAACTGAAGTCTAAATAAGTTCAGACACTTAAAATAATGTATCTACCTTTTGTAAATCTACAATTCTGTCATAAATAACACATGATGAATCTTCAAGGTTTTTCATAATTTCATCGTTCTAATCGAATCCCATCAAACGAAAAGTTATATTGTTATTGATATATAGATTATCTTCAGTAACAGTTTAATATGAATTTAATACACACCCACTAGGAAGATTAAAATAATTTTATTAAGATCTTTTATTGAATTAAATTTGATCGATTTTAATATTCTATCCTTCATGTAATGTTATTGGATAATAGATAGTGTTGTAGTTATCAAAAGTAACTCCTAATTTCATTGGGGGATAAACAATTGTAGAACCAAATGATTTACACCGATTTTTATCCAAATAATTATATTCTTTAATCCATTTGCTATTAATAATATTATTTGAATAAATAGCACCGGCAACAAATGCTAAATTAGTATAAAACTAACAAAATTTAAACAACAATTACTATTCTGTTGAATTAGAATTAAAATAAATGCTACCTCCATATTCAGATGCAGTATTATTATGAAATTAGGAGAAGATTATGTATACAGATAAATTTTAAATGTTTAAGCAAACTCCATTCGATGCATTGTTATTATAACAATACAATTAATCAATTTTAATTTGAGAATTAAATGTTTCAAATTCTTGTGCACTCTATTCTGATAGTAATCTATTTAGGTAATTTCCTTTTGATTCCAATCTTATGCATCCATTCTATCCACATGTGTTATTTTAAAGATATATTTGTTTAAATTTAATAAAATTTGATGGAATTGTTTGAATGGCTAATCCAATAATAGCATTTGAAATTTAGATTGCTTCAAAGAAACAATTTTAAAATTTTAACTACTATTAAATTTTTGATTAAATTGATATATGTATCAATGATTATTCATTCTAGATTTATCTATAAATAATGTTGAAATTGCATCTCCCAAGCACTTGTAAATAAGTATTATCATAATAAAATATGATATTATTCTTCAAATTAACTTATTAATAATGATCTTAAGCATAACAACTTGATTCAAGATTCATAATTTCTTTTTTTTAATTACAATTTAAATCTGTAAAGAGTTCAATTTAATTTGATATATTGAGAATTTAGATGTTAGAAAAATAAATACTAATCTAATTTTAATCTGAAACAATTGAAAATAGTGCAAAAGTTTCTTTACCTTTGTAAATGAATAAATTTTTAATCAAAATTTTTTCGCATTAATTACATTCTAATATCATTTCTTAGAATATATTCATTACTGAAATATTTTATAAAGATACATTAGAATAGGTTGTATAAATTAAACTTCTATTCTCTTAAAATTGATTTAATTAATCATCTGGAATCGTCATGTATTCAGCTAAATAGGCAACAAAATTTTCCTCTTCCTAAACTATTACAACATTCTAAAATACTATTTGATTTATAGTATTCAAATCTACTTTATTTTACTTCAAATAGATGACTGAACCTTATAAACTAAATGTATTTGTAATGGAAACGTCCGCTATTTTGAGATTCATAAGATGATCAATAACAGATTCAACAAAAATAATGCTTCCATAGTTTTATGTCCAAATATTGGAAAAAGTGCATTAGTTAATAATAATATCTACATTAAATGAAGGCAATAATATATAGAAACATCCTCCTTTAGTATCAAAAAGTGAAAATTAGGATTTTATATTGATAAATTTTGACTGTGATACTTATATTATTCCTTGATTTTTTGGATATAATGAGAATGCTCCACCTTAATAACCCTATGTAGAGTTTATTTCGATGTTTTAGATGATGAGATTTCTAAATTGAAATTCACCAACTCCTGTTTAAGAAATAATTGGAAAATAATTTTACAGTTATTCAAAATACTTAACTTCCATGTCATTTAGAAATTATTTATTAAATATTACATCAATCATACTCTAATCCATCTGATTATGCTTTATAAAGGTTGAATTAATAATTTACAAAGTATCACAATAAATTTAAAGTTGAGTATTGCTCGAATTAATAACAGTATTGCTTGTAAAATATGAATTGATTATTGTAACATCACTTTATGGAGATTCTATTAGTAATACATTTGCAGATGATATGCTATAATCTTAAATATATTCATGTAGGATGTTGTATGATGATAAGAAATTTTCTATCTAAATATTTTGCTTCTATTAACTATATATATGTAGAATTGATTTTGAGTTAAAGTACTGTGTTGTTAATAGCAAATTGGATGTGAAATTAATATTTTGAATAAGTATCTACTCATCTAACTATTAAACATATGAATTTTATGATAAAATCTTGATAATTGGTGCATTGAAATTAATGATATTAAATATATCGATAAAATTCAATTTGAGATTCTGGAATGATTGAATCGTTAGTAGAGGTTTATTACTTGTAGATGATTATTATAATTTAGAACATTTATAAGATTGATAAAAATAGGAGGCACTTGGTTAATTTTAATTACTTATTTTAATAGATGTAATTTGAAGTGAGACTATATTATGTATATGAATTTAATTGATTGGCATTTATTTATCTAATTAAGACATAAAATCTCCTTTCAATTGTAAATCATCTATTATTATGGTTTTAAGAGATAAATAAATTAAAGTTTCGTATTCGTCTACATTTTCTACACCCCATTAAAATAACCTTGTATTAAAATGGATTTAGATTTATTTTAACAAAATTTGATTTATAGATGCTTCTTAATCTTAAACAGCATATATAAGACAATAATTATTATAACACTAATTCTCTAAAAATAATACATTACTAATAGTAAATTGATTTGTACTTTCTTCACTATACCCATTAAAAAAATAAAATAAAATTGAGTGCTAATATAATTAATTTTGAAATGCTTAGATATCAGAAACTTAGGTATTGTCTCTTAAAAAAAGTAATATAGTTTCAAGTAAGTATGATTACTAAATGATAAAATTTTATAATTTTATCATATTTTAATTCTAAAAATACAACCATGTGTAACAATATAATAATCTTGATTGAATCGATACCTAAGACATCTTAATATTATTTTATTTTGAATTAAGATATTGAAGCAATAATGAATTTTGAAATTCAGTTTCAATTTATAATCCGTCAATAATGATTTCTGAAAGTGTTACATTACTTAAATAGATGAAAATAGATTTTTATAATATGCAGTTTAATAGTTTTATATCTTTAAAATAGAGTTTTTTAGATTTGGCACTATTGATTAATATTAATCCATAAACCGAATCAGTATCTATATCGCTAAATCTTACGTTATGCCATTCAACATTATTGATATAATTAATATTTATTTAGAATTAATTCAATTGTTTTTAATTAGTAAAATTCAAATTCCTAAAGATTAATTATTGTTCTAATAAAGAATACATTAATAAACTAAATGAGCTCTGAAAGTATGGTTTAAATTATATATTTTCAAGCTGGATGTATTAGAAACTCTATATGTAAAGTTCATTAACTACAAATTCAGCTGTGTTTTAACTGTAAATAAATAATTTAACATTTTTTATTGAGAATATGTTTGTTAAAAATTAGTTACTCAATAATGAAAATTGAGGTAATAAACATTACTAAGAGTCTTAAACTTCAATATTTATGATAATATTTTCTATCATTTGAGCGTTGGCATATTCATAAAACCCTTAATTTTAGAAATCCTTAAATCTCTATTCATCACTACTAGAGAATAACTCTTATATTGTAATCAATATTACAGAATCTTCATTTTGATATGTCTGTTCATTTTGGCAAATTAGGAAATAGTTTATGGATATTTCCATCTAGCAATTCGAATGAGTTGAGCATTATTTATATTGTTGAAGATGTGGATCATAAACCAAGTTATTGAAATTTGAGTTTGGAATTAAGCATTTATTAGAATAGTAAGAATATACGGCATTCTAAAAGTATGGATTTATCTGATAAATTTCTTCTTAAAGTAATGGAAAACAAAATAAACAATAGGTTGAACAATCTATGATTTTACCCTCAATTATGGTTAGAGATTTGAAATCTTAAAAGTAAGGGCTGACTTCGCAAATGTTCTAATTATCTACTTTCACACAGGAAACACAATCACAGGCTTGAATGCACAACCCATTGTATAACTCATAGTCTTACCAACAATCATAACAAAATATTTCATACTCATCATCTGGTTTAGAATTTAGATATTTGAATAGCGATTAATCAACAAAATGGTCAATATAGAAATATTCAAATGTAACTCTAATATTTTTTTTCCAACCGTCTTTATATTTTTTTGACTGAATATAACAATTTTTACAATTTAAGCTTTTTGGACATTCTATGCAAACACCATCCCAATAAGCATAGTAACCAGTTTTACAAACAAGACAATATTGATTATTATATACACGTAAGCATTTGAGGCATTAGAGAATGTTTTTATCACACTCCAAATCATTAGCATATACTCTGGATGGATAATAGGGAAATATAACTAAGTAATTTGTAAAAACTAAGCACTGCTCTTGTCCATAATCTAGAATTAATTATTCGCAGTATTCCACATATTTAAATTTGCAAAGTTAATTTTGAATATCATATTCATAATACTGTTCACATTATGCACATCCAAAAACAGCGGTATCAAATTCAATAAAATCTTACTCTAATCTTAAAGTATTCAAAACTCGATTTTTTGATGAATAAATGAACCCATAGTTACAATTATTTATGCGATTTTCAATACAATTAAATTAATCATAACTTATCATGAATTTTTTATTATCTTCACAATTTAAACATCTTAAAAATACATTTTGATTCACGTTGTTTATGCTTTGTTCACAACTAAGACAATGGGATCCGCACTTTTAACAGGACCCCTAAAATAATCCATATCCTTCAATACAAGCTGTGCATATAATATTTTGTTAATCATTATATAAACATTATTTACATTCTTTTTGGCATTGAAAACAGTCTCCATCTTTTAGATAGCATCCATCCAAACAAGATTAACAATGATTTAGTGAAACACAAATCAAACATTATGGTTTGCATCTTTGACAACTGTTATCTTCAAAATAAAAGCCCTCCATTTTGCATTTTACCCAAACCTTTTCATTTAAATGAGTTCTTCCTTCTATATGATTACATCCTTCTTCGCCTTTCGCACATAGTTTTCCACAACCTTCACAAAGTTAAAATCCAAATTCAAGATCCAAGGTATAAACAGTATAGTCTTTTGAATCTCTATTTTTTATTAACATAGATGAACTTTTTAAACTAGAATATACAATATCCTTTGTACACAAAGGATTAGAAATCCAATTATTAGGATTCAAAATGCAATCATAGCATCTATAATTGATTTCAGGACTAACATATCTTATAAAATAGAATACCAACTTGAACATATTGAAAGACCATTAATTTCTCTATTGATTTAGCATTCTTCCGATTATTTCTCTACCTCTATTTCTTTTTTATACTCAGTATAAATTTTTGAACAAGCAAACAAATAGGGCATTTCAGTAAATCCAAACTTACAAATGCATAAATTTTTGCCCATGTAATATTCTCTGTTTTGATAATCATGACAACTTAAACAGTTATTTTAATTAGGCCCATTACACGTTTTACAAAATGGATGGCAATCTAATGATAAATTTAATATTTACAATCCTATTAAGGGTTATATTATTAATATAAGTCGAATTCGGATAAGCAGGTCAAAATTTATAAATTCTGCACGTATCCTTCATAATAAAATCGACTTGAAAACTTATCTCCTCCGATAAGGATGTAAAGGGGAACATCAGCTAATTAGTAGATAGAGTTAGGATAGTATTTATTTCCAAAGTCATATGACAGACTGAAAGAATCATATGTAAAGAATATTTTGAATAATTATTAGTATATGCCGCCTTATTCAAAACTAAAGTAGACCCAATTAGACAACCTCTTTAGCATTAGATCATCATAATAATAAAATCTGTCGAAATATGATTCATAGTAGAAGGATGAAAAGGGAAGAGTTAGTCTTTAAGCATTCACTTGAATACTAGATTGTTTATTTAAATCGGAATTTAGGATATAAATTAATTAAAATAGCTTATCTCCAATATTACTGTTTTCTGTATAGACTTTATTAGAAGTAATTCTCATCATTTATAAATGTGAATCTTAGTATTAATTCTAAAATTTATCAACTTATTACCTTATTAATGTTTAGCTTATTCCATCCTCTTATAATAAATTTCTTGCCTTTCAAAAACATAACTCTTTCTTAGTAATTTGTCCCATCCAGATATTAAATTCCATATAAAATTTCAAATATAATTCCAGAACAGATGTCAGGAAGTTAAATATATTATAGGGACCATTGTAATGCTTCTTTATTTAAAATTCCCTTGGTAAAAATTACTGAGGTGAATCTTCCTCTAATTTTTTGAAGATTGAGTTCATAATTTAAGTATTAAATTTTTCCACTTCCGCCAACTATATTTGTGATTTCTGTTAACTCTTACAATATCCCATCAATTTAATAATCCTATCCCCAAACCCATCTGTCTTCAGAAGAATACAAAAACCATTAAAATTTATTTGTGTACCTCTAGAAACCAAAATGAGTGTATACCCAACTTCCCTCTAAGTTTAAAAATCCAATATACTATGAGTAATAATTGTAATATTAATTCTAAAGATACAGTATAACAAAGAGAGTACAACATTGTGAGTATGTTTATTATAGGAAATAAAGAACAGTAAATTACTTAGAGTGAGAATCCCACTCAGAAAAAATTAAAAAAGTATTGCTATATTCTTAGTTGTTGTAACGAACTGTTAAGTATTCCTCTTCAAATACTTCTTAATAAGTCTGCTGAGGGATTAGGTTAAATTTGAACCAAAATTCATATCCATAGCTATAATTTTCATCTAATTCAATTTTATTTGTTGTCTTGTAAAATGACTATTCCTCATCAATAACCTCAAAATCACTAGTTGCTTGCTGTATAAAACTTAAATCTATGATAAATAAATACAAAGAAATTTGTAAAAATAATGAAATTTACTTGAGCATAGACACTGACTATTATTATATTAATTAATATTTGATAATTGGCTAATCTTTTGAGAAGCTCAATAATTAAATAAAAGTATTAATACTATATTTATTTCATTAGATAATCCTTTTCAAAGTTTTCAAATAATTATTTTTATTTAAATTTTTTTAGAACATTTAGCATTAATGAAATATTTCTCATACTTTAGAGCGTTAATCATCATTATAATTTCATTTTAATCGTTGGCCTAAAATATCAGATAAACTTTATAATTATTAGACGAATATGACCCTTATTAAAAATTAGAAACTCAAGTTTAAAATACAAGAACAGGGTATGGATTTTGGTTTAAATACATTGCCCTTAAAAAGATCTTCTCAACTCATTCACTAACTGAAGGCTTAGATTAAAATGATGTTGTTAAAGGGCAAATAATGTGTTTTTCTTAAGGGGATCAATTTGAAATTTTATTATACTTTATGGAAAATTTCGATAATTATTTGATCAACTTAAAATTCATAATAAATTCAAACCAGGAGTTTCTAGTTAATTATAAATATTATGATTTTGAAGGCATTTGGATCTTTGCAGCAGTTTCATTAGATCCTATTAAAAGCACTATAGAGGTTTATCTATATAATGAATAGGCTCTTAATAATTTTATATACAATAAGTTTCAATTAACTACTCAAATTCCCTAAATGGTCAACAGTTACTTGGGAGGATATGCAAGAGTAATTCTCATATCATTTAAAATAGGTATAAAACATGAATTTGCTACCCTTTACTGCAAAAATTTCTGAATTTCAAATTATTGAAGTGTTCGACTAGATTGGGAGCAATTTTTAATAGTTTAATCAGAAGATAATTGAGGCACAAATATTTGAAAGAATCAAACCCAAAGAATAAAGAATTCTATTAGTTGATGAACAACATTTTAATGGAAGTTAATATTTAGTAAAGACAATCTTTATGGATGGCTCTACATTTTTAATCCAAGGGTGGGTAAAATTAAATGAATAAGTCAAAGATTATGGATTTATACTTGTAGTTATAAGTTACTCAAATTTACAATACACTAATAGATACCCAGGAGATTAAATCTTGACGCTGCGCTATCAGATTTCAAGCAGCGGTCGATACGGCTCATAATTTTCCATAATTTAATAATTTAACTAAAATCCAAACGTTTACGAGCCTTATATTTATTGCGGATCTGAAATAACTCAATATATGGGATAGTCTTAAGTTTATCATCAATTAATATCTTGGCATTATATATAATATCAATTAGGAAATAAGGAGCAACCATCATCTATTTATCTCTACTTTTCTTATGATTAATCTGTTGTTTATGCGATCTATTAACTTAATTTTTCCCCTTATGAATTTTCTAATGTTAATGCGACCATCTTTATATCAGGAGCTACTGAAGAACAAACTTACATGAATGGCTAAATTACAAATTTAGAATTTATTCATAGTTATGAAGTTTCAAAACCATTTTTAACAAGTATAATTTGATTTTAGTAGAGATTGCCACACAACTTGTTTTAGTTGTCTAGGTCCTTATGAAAACTAATGTTTGAATTGCAATCCTATTTATAATAGGGTACACTTGCCCTTTAAAAACATTTGTGCTTGTGATATTGGATATATTGAATCATTTGACAGTCTGAATTGCATAACACTTCAACAAAGTTATGCAACAGCTATGATTGTAGTACAAAAAGAAGATGAAAATGAAGCAATAAAGTGCAAGTTAGGCTATTTTGAATTTCTTAATTCTTGTCTTCCATGGTATAATTGCAATCATTATTATTAGTCCATTTGGAAATAGAATGCTAAATTGTTTAGATTGTATTAATAATTAAAAGGAATGGTTCCTAAACCCTATTTGTAATTGGGATTTTAATTAGATATTCTTTTCTTTTAGATATGCTCAAAGAGAGCAAGAATTTAGGGATTTGTATCTAATCAATTAGCCATCTTCAATATAATTATGCGATGGATGTGCATCGTTTTGTAATCCAGTTGAATCTGATTGTAACAAGCTATTAGGAGCATTTCATTTAGGCGTATAAGCATTTGTAAAATGTAAACCAAATTTTAAATTTATAAATGGAGCTTGTAAACTTAATCCTCCTTTTTGTTTATTATAAAATTCAGAGGGAATATGCATTGAATGCCTCTCTTAATATTACTTTGATTTAGATTAATAAAATTGTGTTGAATGCCCACAAGAATGTCAAACTTGTCATTATGATGAAATAGTTAACAATGTAATGTGTGATAGCTGTTCGGATAAAAGTTCACTAATTCTCAATGGAGTTTGTGAAAGGTGCGGTTTGAATTGTAAAATTTGCTAGCTTGATTTCAACTTTAAAAAATAAGAGCCATACTTAAGATGTTTAGAATGCATAGATGTGAATAAATACTATATTATGTTCAATGCAATAGATTGTTTAGAAATAACAATTAATTATTGTTAATACGGCTTTTAGTACTTAGAGACTGATTATTCAATAACAACTTTGGATACATTTTTTGAACCTCGAGACTATGATGAAAATGTGAGGGTTGGATGTGCAAGATGTTATGATGACTCCTTTACATATGATCTCATTACTAATTAATGCGTTTATACTGCCTATCAATATGGTATGTGTAAGTAATCTGTTTTTGATTATAGTGGTACATATGTTTGCCTAACCATTTACGATAAAACTGCTGCTTAATAAAAAGTATACTCACGATTTAGCTACTGTCCGTTAATTGACAAATGTTTAGAATGTCTCAAAATAAATGAATATAATCAAATATGTTTGGATTGTGATTATGGATATTATTCATCCTATACTGGAGTCTGTATCAAATGTCCTGCTGAACTTAATTGTTTCAGGTGTTAATAGATTTTAATATAATTTAACGATAATTTCAGAAAAGAACTTAGAGCATTTTATAAATTTTTTGTTGAAGAAAGTAACCAAAGTCACTTTTATAATGATTATAATTAAAAATTTTAAAAAGAATAGTATATGGTTTAATGCATTTAGTGTTTTGAAAATTAGGAATTGTATAATGGAAAATGTATAAAAGCATGTCCTTAATATTGTTAATCATGTATAAAAAGTAATGATGAAAATGTATGTCAATCTTGCCCTTTTACTTATTTAGGCAAGATTCTTTCAGTGGTTGATAATAATTGTTTGGAATGTCCCACCTTTTGCTAAATTTGCATTAAAAGAACCTAATCAGAAGTAGCTGCTATAAATCCTTATTATTCAAGCTAATCTCAAATCTATTAGAATATTTGTATTAAAGGATTCTCAAACTTATATTTTTATGATGAAGATCTTTAGAGCTTTTAGGACTGTAGTTTCAACCCTGATCAATAACGATGTTTTATCTCAATTACAATTGATGTCAAAATATACTGTTAAGATGACTTTGTTTCTTATAAAAATTAAGTAAATATAAAAGATTTATTCTCTTCCTCTAGCAATATAGATCATTTACCATATTTTGAGAATGAAAAGCTTTATGCTTATGCTAATAAAAATACTGTTAAGGAAGTCATTTATAATTTTGAAATAGTTGATGGTCTTGAACATTCTTGTAGAATTCCTCGGGAAGGATACTTTTAATAAAATATGAGTAAGAATGTGTTTTCTGCAATGTAATATTATTATTAATTATAGCATAATTAAATTGAAATTCTACTCCTCATAATAGTCCGACCTATATTTTCTTGGGAATTTTGATTTGTTAGGCTTTACTGAAATTATCATTTCTAACCTATCCTTTATATCATCTTCGAATCTCATAGCTACTATAACTCTTGATTCCCTATTTAAATTAAGAACAACGTTTTAGAGTGTTAATTTTGGATCTCTTAACTTAAAGTAATAAATCAAAATCGTTGCTGGAAGTTAATAATCAATAGAATTTCGAGATATTTAATTTATAAATTTACTTTTAACTGAATTAAACTCTCAATTTATCTTGATTAAAACTAATTTATAACCTACTCTATTAATCTTGGATAATGTTAAATTTTTATATTGTGATTTTATGAATATAATCGTATTTAACTTATTAAATTAAAATTCAGTCAAAATATACACTTCAAACTTACAAATCACAAATATGGTTCTAAAAAACTCCACTTACATTAAACTACTTGATATTAATGATAATAATGAAATGATAATGGAACATTTGAACTTAAATTTACTTATTATTGATTCCTCAGCATTTTTTAATTTTATATATTTCTATTAAATCAAAGTGAAATAAACACTCTTATAAGATTCAACTTTAGTCAACACTGTTTTTTTTAGTTTAAATAATTTTATTGAAATGGAAGATTTTACTCTATCTGAAATAAGCCTCAAAACATAAAGTACTTTATTTTAAAGTGGATATTCTTATATTAAAGAGCCTCAATTCATTTTGAACAAGATAAGCTTTAATCTTATTAAATATGAAAAGGAAGTCCCTTTGATCAATGTTGGTTTAGATGATTAGATGGAAATTAAAATGTAACTCGTGGATATTTAAATTTAAAACTCCAAATTAAAATAAATAGAATTATTAAATGAAATTGATATATCCAAAAACAAAATAATATTGTCTTGTAAATCAATTGTAATCAAGAACTTTTTAATTATAAGAGAAGAAGACTTGCCAGAAATAGCTATAGTTAACTCAATGGAAGTAATTATTGATAATTTGTAAATAATCCAGAGAAAAAGAGAAAAATTTTTGAGTTTTACCTGTTTAGATTCTTCAAAATTTTAATAGGAATATTCTCTCATCTCGTTTTTTGAAGTGAGAAACATTAATATTTAAAATTCAATTTTCTCAAATAATACTCTATACAATTAAGGAATTCTACAAATTATATATGATTAAAAGATGAATTTAAATTAAGAGATTCAGTAAAAAGTAATTATATTTAATCAGGTAAAGTTTGAAAGTAATTTACTTTTAAAGAATCTTAATTAAAATGCTTTAGGACTTATTAATATTATTGATTAAAACTAAATTGTAATTCATTTCTCTGAATTAATTTTTTAAGGGAATTTGTTAAATGAATTCTTGGAAGAATCCTAAAGTGCATCATCTTTACTCATAGTTGCCATCGCTCCAAGAGGGTATTTTTCATTAATTACTTCCTCCTTAGAGTATAATTTAATATTGAATTCTACTGTTTCACTACTTTACATTAATACTAAATCATTAAATATTGCTTATACTCTATTTAACAATAATAATGTGATGAATTACACAACTTTAAATTATTTTATAAAGGATCTTGCTTATTCTATCACATCAATTTACTCTTAATCTGGTAATGGGTACCTAAAAACATCATCTCTTTTAGTAAATAATGTGCATTTGAATACTTCATAAGGATTTTACGGAGGAGGTTTCCAAATAAGCAGTTAGAATATTTCTACTCTAACATTCCAGAATTGTTAATTTAGTAATTTATCTAACTTGATTGGTAACTCTTTATCCTATGGAGCCGCCATATATCTAGAAATACAATCATAAGAAATTATAATGTAATTTATCAATATTTCAGTGAGCTAAGTTTTCACTTAAAATCTAGGGGGATTTCTGTTTATCAAATCTTCAATTTATCAAAAAATACAGATTGATTTTTAAAATTCATTTTTTTAAGATAATTATGCAGATTTAGGATCAATTCTATATTTTGATAATTCTATCAATTCAAATTAATAACTTTGTAAGTTAAGTCTAACAGAAATAATAGTTGAGTAATCAAATTATTAAACTTACTTTGAAAACTTAAAATTTGATAATTAAAATTAGATAGATAATGCTTTATCAAAATAAAGGCAATTAATAAATTTGAAAATGTGTTCTATAGAACTTAAAAATTCATTTTTTGTAAATTTGATTTAAGAGGGCATAATAAATGTTGAATAACCGTCTGAAATTATTCTAGCTAATCTATTAGTTGATAATGCAAACATAGTTAATCAATAATTAATTAATATTTTAAGCTATAGTGACATTCATTTAACAAATATATAGGTGCTTAATACATCAAACAGTTTTAACTATAAGAGTAACAAAGAGATCTGTAAAATTAACTCTTCTACATTTAATGATTGTGCTGCAATATCATAAATAACAGATTTAATGAGACAAATAGATTGTTCCTATAAATAATTAATTTTTTCATCCTAATTATCTGCATCTACCCTAATAAACATTGTGCACTAAATTACAACGTAATAAATCTTTTTTAAAAACATTACATTCATGAACAATCAAATAAATGAACTAGTTAATATCAATGCTTTAGTTAAATAATAAAATGCTACCTAAATAATTATGGATACACTCTTCAGTCATTAAAATTTGTGTTTAAACTCTTGTTTCACAATTTAACCATTAACATATGAGCCAAATGAGAAGATAGTATCAAAGGATGTCATAATATCAAACTATTATTGTATAGAAAATACAGCTTAATAAGGAGGTTGTTTGAATGTATATGAATTTTAAATAACTGTGTTAAGATCAAATTTTATTAATAACACAGCAAAATACAAAGGAGGAGCTATCTACTATGAAGGCAAATATTTGGTCTTTGAACAGTCATAAATTTATAATAATAAAGCTCAGCAAGGTGGAGGAGTCTTTACAAATATTTAGTTGCCTATATTCATAGAGCAACAAACCTTTAAGGCAAATCAAGCAAGCTATTTTGGAAACGACATTGTTGAAATTCCATCAAAATTAGGAATTACAATTGACAATTATAGGAATATCTTATTCCCTACAGAATTGGTGAATAATGAATTAATTTAATTAGATTAAATTAAGATTCAAAATTATATTTTGTTTGATGGAAGCATAACTAATTTCATTTACTTTCCATCAGGATAATAAATTGGCTAATATTAGTATTTTGATTATATATAGAATAAATATATAAATGCCAATTTAACACTGAGAGTTGTTGCTTTAAATAGATAATATGATATAATGAGAGATCTAAGTAATTCCTACTGCACAATATTCAATGACGATCCTTATTCTTAATTCCAAATCAAAGCCAAATTCAATTAAGCTTCTTAAGATTTTAATTTTGATGATCAAATTTTTACATTCACACCATACACTGAGCAACCTTTGTTGTTAAAAATTAAATGCAATTGTGTTAAAGTCTTAAATAACACCATAACTAATTTATAAAATTACTAAATTTAATTACAAGTTAAGACCTTCACTTGCAAAATCGGAGAAATCTTTGATCGTGATCAGTGTAAGGCTTGTGACTACACATAAGATTTATATTCTGTAACAATAAAATCTACTAAATGCTCAAAAAGAAACGAACTTACAACCTCTTAAGTAACATCAGGATAATTGAAACTTAGATAAGGTTTCTGGAGATATCATTAGAACTCAGATGATATTTTGTAATGCTCTTATTCATAGACTAAATGCAAAGGAGGTTGGGAAACAGCAGATGCTAGTTGCGAAATTGGATATGTAGGAGCATTGTGTGAACAGTGTGATATTTATGGCACTAGAGGCTCAGAAAAATTTTAGAATCTTTTTAAGTATTCTTGCCAATAATGCTCAAGCTAGAGATATACAATCTTCTATTATATAATCTTGAACATATGGTATTAATCATTTATAACATCTAGGAATATTTTAGCCATTGGAATAACAGCTTTTTGCATAAAGAATGATTTTAACAAGATGTTTAGGGTATTCTGGTTTTCAACTATTAGTTGCAATAAAATATTTCTTCATTATTTTTAGATAATATTCTATCTGACTATGTTGAAATTAAATATTCCTATACAATTATCTTCGATTATAAACTTTTTAGGAAATCCTACAGAGTCAATATCCTTTTCATTAGATTGTGTATGGTCTAATTACGAGACTACTTTCAATATCATTTACATTAGAGCCATCATCTAAATATTTTCACCAATCCTCTATTTAATAATTATTGGTGTTTTCATAGTATTCATATTTAGAAAAGAAAGTGAAACTCGCCAGCACTTGATTTTTAATTCTCTCTAATATTGTAAGCTCTATTATTCCCCAAGTATATTCTCCTGTTTGGTCTCTTTGGTCTCATATAGAGTAATAGGAGGGAAAAAGTGGATTCTTGCCGATGTCACATATATATTTGATTCACAAGAACATTATTTATGGATTTTGCAATTCATTATACCAATATTCATATTATTTCTTATCATATTGGCTTTGGACTTTGTTGCAATATTTTAGAGAAAATAACAACTAACACTTTTAAAAACCAAAATGATGTTTGGTTATTTATACTTAAATTATAAAAGTAAATATTATTATTGGGAGTATTGCAAATTGATATAAAAATTCTTATTGGTGATTGTGATATTGTAGTTTCAGGATCAAATAGTTTGGAAAGCAACCTTTGTAGTTTTAATAATAGTAGTCTATTAACAATTAGTAGAAAAGTATCAACCTTATAAAGCATCCTTATTTAACAATTTAGAAAGCCATATGCATATCGTTTGTCTTGCTACAATTATTTTTAGTATTTTAATTGTTTAAAGTGAACAATATAATTTGAAGTTTATAGAAATCTGCAGTTATATCTTTTTAATAGCAATAAATGCGCAATTTTTGTTGTACCTAACTAAGCTTGTGATAAAGCTAAATTCTTCATAAGCAGAGAAAATTATAGACAAGATAAATTCTAAATTAACATCAATATTCCCTATATTAAAATAGTAAAAGATTGTTTCGTGCTTTAATTATAAAAGAACTAAGAAAAGTGCTTAAGTTAGAAAGAGGTTCTAAAATCTTGCAAGATCAGTTATTGAATTTATAAAAAATAAGGGTCCAACAACAAAGAAATAGGAGAAGGGGAATAGAGTATCTATTCGATACTTCTAATAAGACTTTGATACTGGACAATAGTTGACAATCACAAATACAAATCTACCTCAAATTAGTGACAATTAAAAAATGTTAAAACCTCAAACTGAATTTATGTAAGATGATGAAGGATTAGAGTATATAACTATATTAAATATTTTAGAACTTTTACAATTAATAAATAGATTGCTAAACCAAGGTTATGAGTTGATTCTAAATAAAGTTGTTATATATTTTAAAATTTGTTAGTTTTTATACTATTAAGAATTTAATATTATATATATAAAAAACGGATGATCGATCGTCTAATTATAGGTTTGGCAATATTGTTAATGGTTGGAAATAACTATGCCTTTGACATACCCCAAGCACTTGAGATTCCGATTGAAAAAGAGTTTAAACTAACCTAAACATAATTCAATTTGTTGTACAGCATATTTGCAGTTCCAAATATTGGATTATCTATTGGAGGAGGTATCATGATAGACAGGATGGGAGGAAGATGGGGAGTACAAATTATACAATAAATAGGTTTTTACATTTTCATTAATGCTTGGACTGTCATAATTATTTATAGCATTTGGAGGATGCTATTAAAAATATTACATGATGTTAGTAGGGAGGGCAATATTTGGAATAGCAAGTGATTTATTACACATAGCAGTGTTTAAAGTGATTGCTAGAAGGATGCCACATTGTTTGGGAACAGCAATGGGGTTGATTTTAACAGTTCCAGAATTGGCAGCAGCATTGAATTCATTTTTATCACCATATCTATTTGAGAAAACTCATTCTTTAGAGTGGCCTTTACTTTTTGGATTGTCATTGTGCATTTTGGTATATTGAATAAACCTAAAATCATAGTCCTTCTTATCTGGATTACTAATGATATATTTAGACACAAAATATGATACTTGTTCAGCAGAAGAACCAGACGAAGAAGTTTCATTATCTAAATGTAATTGAACAAACTAAATTAGTTAAGCTTAGTAAACCGTTTGTCAGAATGAGTTTGATCACTACATTGATGTTAGCAGCTTATGTCCCCTTCTTAGACAATGCTAATAAGTTTTATCACGAGAGATTCGGATTTAGTATTATGCATGCTGGTAGAATCGTCACTGTTGGATATATTGTAGCAGGTATTGAATCTCCGTATTATATATAGCTCTTTCCTCTCCAATCATTGGAAAAATCAGTGACACATTTTCTCATAAACGTCAAGTCCTCATTGTTGCATCGACTCTAATGTTCTTTTTATCGCATTTACAACTCTATTATATGCCTCATTCTACACATCCCAACTATATGTCCGTTTTTGCGTAATTTATATTTTCTATCTATGTGAAGTTTGATAACTTTGGGATTGTCTTATGCTTGCTATTCAAGCATTCTGATGCCTGCATTGTAATCAACTGTTCCTGATAATATGTTAGGTATTTTGTTTGTATTATTAAGAGCTACTGCATTGGGAATATTGGGAATCATTGAAAATATCTGTATGGCAACAGTACCCATGCTATCAGGATTTGTTTATACTTTCTTAAAAGGAGAGAAAGACAGAATGAGAGATGTTGATATTATTTATTTAGTATTAGCAGGAATTGGGGTTTGCTTGTCTATAGGAGCATTACCAAATTAAGGAAAGCATATCAAACATTAAAAGGATGCAATTAAACAGTTGCATCAACAACCTGAAGAAAATAACAATTTAATTTGAATTTATAATAAATACAATTCATTTCTAATATATTTCTATTCCAGAACTCTACAAACTCCGAATTACTAAATCTTCAAATTCTTCTATACTTATTAATCCATCTCCATTTGTGTCTGTCATATTCATCCACTCTTTCAGATCTTCATCTGTTGGCTGATAGTTGTTTATCCCCACTTACTTATACGTTTCAATCAATAATCCTCTAACTTCATCCGAAGTGATAGTACCAGAGTTATCTGCATCAAATTTACGGAAAATTTTCCTTGCAATTTCTAATCTGTCATTAGCAATTTTTGAGTATTTTTGTTTCTTTTATTAATTCACTATCGGAATAGTGTTGCAGAAATATCTGATACATAATTATTCAAAATCCTTCTTTTAACCACTTCCAATAACTTATTTATATTCCTCAACATCTTCTTATTAGATCTGAAATTATTTACCCATCATCTTATAATTATTGGCCATCATTGATTAAACTAACAGTAATAAAGGTCAAACTTACTGTCTAAGCTTCCTTTTTTTGTGTAATAATTATATAACTATCCTGCAATCTAAACTGCCTATTCTCTTTACATTATTTTATTTTTATAATTAAATTATCATAAATATTTAGCGTTTCCTCGATATTATTTAATAAGCACTTTGATAGATTATAACATTGGATACTTTATAACTAATTCATTTTATAGAAGGCAATAAGATAATAATGAATAATTTAATAAAAGTGTCACAATTGCTTGAATTACTGTCTCTATTCTTAATCTATATATTCTTTATCAAATATATCTTATAATAATTCATCATTTTTATTTAGATAGATTGCACTGTAATTACTTAATGAGAATAGGCAATTCTCTCTTATAGTAAGAATTTTAAGAACCTTTAATAATATCGATGAATTGGCAAGAGATAAAATTGACATAGGATATTGCAAGGTTGAGTGTAATAAGGAATTCTAATTAAAATTGTTGGCTCATTTGCTATTGCTCATATTTTCTATTGGAGGAGTATTAGTTGTTTGGGTTGATTAATAATTAAATAATATGCATGTCTCATTAAAAGACATAATGCCTGCTCAGCATTCTTAACACAATCCACTGTCGAAGATCAAGTTTAAGATTAGTAAAAAGGTGGAATCTCTTTGTCAATGCAATCAAAAAAGTTGTTTAATCTGTGCTCGAAAAAGATCATCCTCAATGTTGAGTATCAAAAATTCGTTGGTGGTTGATGAAAGCTCACCTGTATCTAAAAGAACAGTTGATCAGAAAGCTATTTTAGTATAATAAGCTGTCGTCTCAAAATAAATATCAAGACAACAATCAAATCATGTCATTCATCACAGTTATTATAGTGGCAAATAAATCAATAATACTACTTCAACCACAATGGTTAATAATTCTCGGACCAGAAAGACATCTCTTGAATCCTCCCCTCCCAAGGAAAATGGTAAACTTATTAGAATCTATTATTATAGTAATCGGAAGACATTCCTTCAAATTTCTATATGTAATTGGAAAAGGTGGCTTTGGAAAGGTTTGGAGAGTTGAAATGAAAGCCAATCGCTAAGAATATGCACTTAAAGAAATGTTGAAATCCAAGTATCTTTTTATCTGAATCATTATTAGAATCATCTCCAAAAGGTCTGTTAATTCTGTGATGAATGAAAAGTATCTACTCGAACATCTCAAACATCCTTTTCTGGTCAATATGCATTATGCATATTAAGACAGAGAAAACTTATACTTGGTCCTGGATTTACTCAGAGGAGGAGACCTCAGATATCATATTGGTAGAAATACCAGATTCTCTGAAGATTAAACAAGTACCCCATTAATTTATATCTAAAGAGTTTTTTGTCTGTTGTATTTTATTGGCTCTCTAATATTTACATTAAAATGGCATAATCCATAGAGATGTAAAACCTGAAAATCTAGTTTTCGATAAAGATGGATTCTTAAGATTAACTGACTTGGGTGTAGCTAGATTAAATAAGGATTCTACAGCTAGTGATACCTCAGGAACTCCTGGTTACATGGCACCTGAAGTTATGTGTAGACTTGACCATTCATTTCCTGTCGATTATTATGCACTTGGAGTTATTGCTTACGAGTTACTCCTTGGAAAAAGACCATATAATGGCAAGAATAGATAAGAAATTAGAGATCAGATCCTAGCCAAATAAGTTTAAATTAAAGATGAAAGGTTCTCTCCGAAAGCACAGGACTTCATTAATAAAGTAATCTCTATAAGTTTAATCTATAGCTACTCATAAGAAAGCCTTAACAAAGGTTAGGCCACAATGGAATTGAGGAGATTTTTGAGCACCAATGGCTGAAAGGATATCCTTGGGGCAAGTTGATCAATAAAGAAATCAAATCCTAATATGTTCCTGGGGTATAGATTTTAATAAGTTCTTAGAGCATAGACGGAAATTTTGATTTTCAAAGTTAAATCTCTGCTGATAGCGAACCCTAAGAAGATGCCGCATCTCTCATCAGAAGAAAAAGTGTTTAATGTTTATTTGAAGGATACAAATTTCAATGAATTATTTTTTATATTACAATCAATCCTTCTTAGAGTCTCTTTTCAATCGGAATCACTAAATTTCATCTGATTTTACATCAGGTCTCTAATTATTAAACGATGAGGAATAAACTCTTCATTCTATGCTTCTGTTTATTAATGATGACGTTGATTCATTATTGTCTAATCATCTAGTCCTCATAATATCATTATTCAATACGATCAATGATTGATTGATAAGTATTCAGATTCAATCTTCCATTTCTATCACCATAGTTCATTATTACTAAATTCACTCTTGCCATTTATTAATTACTTTCCTTCAATAGAAATGTCTTTTAGATATGTATAATAGTTTAGAGGTTATTTAATTTAACAATATATTGCTTTATCTGTTTATTTTCAATTACTTGTCAATTGCAGTGATTTTAATTCCATACTCATTTTTTTTAATCCTTCTGTCCATATAGACCTTATATGTCAATACGTAACACCAGAATGATAAATTCTCAAAGTAATAATTCCAAATCTGAATTTTATTTAATTAGATGTCTCCATATGTGGAGTTATTGTAAAATTTCTGCTAAGTTTCTCAAATATATTACAAGATATATTTAGATAAAATAGAGTATTAAAGTTCATATTTTAGCTTGCTTCAATATTTCTCCATCCATAGCAATCTTTACTATAATTTTGAAAAAATGCAATTAATTGAATTCTGCTTTCCATATTTCGCGTTATTCATTAAAACCCTAATACATTCTGACGTTTTTACACTATAAATGCACGTATGAGTGAATGCATTTTTTATTATTTTTTCTAAATGGATAATTAATTTTAAGTTAAGAAATAATGTTCATAAAATAAAAGTGATAAAAAGAACATCAGAGGTTCTTATAATAAAATCAAAGCTTAAGTCAAGCTTGAGATTTTATAGAGGCTTAAGTCAAACTAAGAGACATTGAGCGAGATTGCAAAGGACTTAAGCATAAATAGAGAGACACTTAGATCGTTTTAGAAAAATATAGGATATAAAAATCTATATTAACAACTAGAAGTTTATATTGTAAGCAAATGCCTCTTCCGGCAAGAATAGGAGGCTAAATAATTTAAGAAAGCTGAAATTTCGAAATTTGTTAAGTAAGAAATCGATAATTACAAAAATGATTCTGAACTTCTTAAACTCATAAACGGTATCAATGACAAACGATTTTAGTCTAAAACAAGAGTAAAAAAACAGCCTATCTAATTTAATTCAAAAAATAGAAGAATAATTACCAAAATTGTATGTTTTATAATCCTAGCCGGGCAACAAGCGGCTATAAATAATACTGAAGATCAATAAATACCCAAAAAAATTTAAGACGATTATTACAATAATTTCATCATATCATTCACAGCCTAATTCCCAGTTTATTTAGACAACTTTGAATTTTCACAGCAATCCGCAGAATACGATTCCAGCATGAATTCTTTTTATCAGCAAACAGAGACCAGACCCTTTGGGGGAAATTATATTTGATTGAATATACATAAGAGCATCAAATATAAAAATCAATTTTTCACATTTTTTCATATTGTTTATATGAATTAATTATAATTAATCATTTTTAATAAATAATCTGCTTAAGCATTTTTATAAAAAATAAAGGCATTAAGTTTATTGAAATCAGAGAAAATTTTTCAATCGCTGGATATGCAATCAGGGATTAATGAGTTAATTAAATTGAAAAATAGCTACATAGATTTACAATTATTAATTTCTCTTTTAATAGGACTCTTAAAGTTATCTTTCATTCTGATTATAAGAATTCTAAAATGACTTCTCAAAAATATATTTAATAATTTATTAAACATCATTATAAATAGAACAATCTAATGAATAATTTATATATCATAAAATTGATTAAAATCCCAAAAAGTTATTAGAGATCTACTTGCTAACCAAGATTTTGAGGTAATGCTTATTTTCCAACTGGCAAACTTAAAAAATAAAAGAAGGAATTTTATATAATTATATAAAAAATTGATATGAATATTTAAAAGTTGTTTATTCTGAGAAATTCAGTTTATATTCCATAAAGTAATAAAGGATTAAACATGTTTGTATTACACAGTATTTATGGATTTTGCTCTGATAAGGTTGTCATTTTTTGATATCTCCTAATTTTTTCTACGTCATTTAATAGAAATTTAGGTTCGAGGGGCTTGAGTATTTTTTCATAAATATTTTGTATTTAAGTATGGATACTTAAGAGCCAATAAATCCTAATTATGATGTCGTTGTGTGCGGAACTGGTTTGATTGAGTGCATTCTTAGTGGATTACTAAGTATGGAAGGCAAGAGAGTGTTTCACATGGATCGTAACCCTTATTATGGAGGAGAGGGTGCATCACTAAATTTAACTAACCTTTGGAAATTATTTAAGGCTGAAACAAAATTTCCATAACAATTAGGTATGTATCAGTTATCAATTTGAAAAGGTTAGAATAGAGATTGGAATATCGATTTGATTCCCAAGTTTGTGATGGCAAATGGATAGCTTGTTAAGATTTTGCTTAAGACCAAAGTGGCTCGTTATTTGGAATGGAAGGCTATTGATGGCACATATGTATTCCAAATGAAGGAGCCAGGTTTGTTTAGCAAGGGAGGTGGCAAAATCGAGAAAGTAAATATTAATATAAGAAGATTAGGTTCCAGCAACAGCTTCAGAAGCCCTTAAATCTGACTTGATGGGAATGTTTGAAAAGAGAAGATGCTAGAAATTCTTGGCCTATGTGTCCAATTATGAACCAAGCAACCCCAAGACTCATGATGGTAAAATGAGATTAATATCATAGGTTTGAATCTCAATCAAATGTCATGTGCTCAATTGCTTAAGAAATTCGAATTAGAGCCAAATACAATTGACTTCATTGGTCATGCTGTTGCATTATACTCAAATGATCAATTCTTAGATAAGCCAGCAATTTAAACAATCGAAAAGATCAAATTGTATATGGATAGTATTGGCAGATATGGTGATAGTCCATTCATCTATCCAATTTACGGATTGGGAGGTATTCCAGAAGGATTCTCTAGAATGGCTGCTGTAAACGGTGGTACATTTATGTTGAATGCTGATTTGGATGAAGTGCTTTTGGATGGAGAAGGAAAAGTATAAAAAAATAGTTAATTTAGGTTTGTGGATTAAAATCAGAGAAAGTCAAGGAATTGATGGGATTAGAATAAATTAATTGCAAGATGATTATTGCTGATCCATCATATGCATTAAAAGCAAAATTATCAGATAAAGTGAAATCTATCGGAAAGATTGTCAGATGCATTTGCATTCTAAATCACCCAATTCCAAATACAAAGAATTTACCATCAGTTTAAGTTATCATTCCATAAAGATAAACAGGCAGAAAGAATGGTAGATATATTATTTTAATTAGATTAGATATTTATGTTATGATGGTTAGTGATGTTCATAATGTTTGCAAGAAAGGGTTCTTCATTGCCATTTTGAGTACCAATGTGGAAACCAATAATCCAGAAAAGGAATTAGAACCAGCATTTGAAATCGTCGGCCCAGTCTTGGAGAAATTCATCACTGTAATTTTAATAGTAAATATTATAAGGTTTCTGATGTTTATATTCCAACTGATGATGGATCCAAGGATAACATCTTCATTTCGAGCTCATTTGATCCATAATCCCATTTTGAAGGTGAAACTTAATAAGTGTTGAATGCTTACAGAAAAATAACAGGAAAAGACTTAGATTTAACCAATTTACCAATTGATTAGGATGATTAATGATATATAAATAAAAGTAAAGCAGATATATATATTTATTGATGGAATTCAAACTAATAAAATATCAACAAAAAACTTAGCTTATTTATATATATATAAACATCAAATGCTACCATATTTACTTTCTTAGTTATCAACTAATCTTCCTATTTTGAATTCCGATTCAATATCTTCATCCTTTCCAGTTGCTTTATAATTGAATCTCTATCGTTATTGAAAAGCTCTCAAAATATCACTTAAACTCATTTTATGTACTTCAAATGTATACAACATAAATCCTGCAACTGCGAAACAGATCATATAAAATAAAAATGATAAAATTGAACTAAGAATATATAAAGAACAATTACAATGAACTTTATGCAGAAACTACACATTGCTTTTAAAATACCATAGTAATATCTTAGAAATATTACAAAGGGATATTTAATTCTATAGTTGTATTCCCATTTTCAACACAATTGTATTCTACAATTAAGGTTGAGGGCTCATCTGTTACAATTCCACCTTTAAATAAATCGCCTCTAATAATTGGTTTAGTAATTGTATGATCTGCATCAACATATGGAGGAGAGATATGCACTTCTGGTATTAATTTTAGTATTGCTTCCAAGACTTGAAATTCTTCCTATGTAGTTTCTGCTTCTGATTTCGATTAATCAACTGCATTAAAGAAATCTTTTGTTTCCTCCTTATTCAAAATGTTTTCTTCATCGCTGTTCTTAGTTAGATTCATATAAATATAAAAGATGGAGTAATTCAGATTGGCTGGAACTGTGAAAACAAAATTATCAAAGTCCTTGTCCCAATAGGCTTTGTTTACCAATTCTCCATCCTTAACAACTGTCTAATTATATGATTTAATAAGTGCATCCACATTTAATCCATGGCGTTTTATCAAAGGACTTCCACATAATTTTTACCAATAAATTTTAGCAGATCCACAAGATGGTATATTAAATAACACTTCATACTGAATCAATCTGCCGCCGTATTATTTACATCTGTAATCAATTTTCAATGAATAGACATTGTTTTAATGATGCTCTATATTAAGTGTGCTGTTTGCAAAATAATGATCATCAAATTCCAACTGCACCATGTCTTATGTTAATTAGATCTTATTGTCCATAGAGACATATAAGTAGTCCATTTATACTGAGTTGTTCACCAATTGAAATGTGTCTATTTGTATGATAGAATTATTATACCTGCTTCCAATACCCACTATCTGGCTGGCACACCTGCTTTGATTATATCATCCTTGCTTTTATCAATGTCAGTTGAAACGTGTAAGTATTTGCATGTTGATTCAAAACATTTGACGAAAGAGATTAGAAACACGTATATTAATAAATTCATGATGTTTTATTATTTTAAATCAAATTCTTCTTTAGGCAACTAATTTATTAATAGTAAAAGCATCATTTTCTTTAAGAATAGCCTCGACTTGCATGAAAGATTCATTGGACTCGCCTATTAAATAATATACACTAATATTACTATCATCATATTGCAAACAGAAACAAACTCTTGATGGATTGATACCTAATTCTGGGACATGGCCAGATGCTAATTACGCCAAATACTCGGAAATAGCGCATAAAATATCTGCAGCATTTTCTTTAGTGACATCAATTGTTGCTTCACATCTAAAATTACATAGGCAATTATTTAATACTCTTTGACTGCTGGAACTTATGGTTCAGAAGTAGGAGCAGGTCCTGGGGCTGGTTTAGGTGCAGGTGCAGGTTCTGGTTGGGGCTCTGGTTAAGCTTCAGGCTCAGGCAATGGTTCTGGTTTAATTTCATCAGGGATAACAGGAGGTTATTCAGCTGGTGGAACAGGGACGAATTCTTATTCTTCCTCTCCCCAATATGGTTGTTCTTCCTCAGGGGATGCAAATGTTTAAGGAGGAACAAACTCTTCCTCTTCTTCTGGCCAAATTGATTCCTCTTCAGGGAAAACATTTGGAACAGCATCTGGTTCAACAGGAACTCTTTCTTATTCTTCTTCTCCCCAATATGGTTGTTCTTCTTCAGGAGATGCAAATGTTTCAATTTATGGAATCTGTCGACTTTCAGGAACTTCAGGGAGAGGATTATATCCAAAAGGTATATCATCTGGTGAATATACAACATCACGAGCAGGATAACCAATACAACGATTGACACGCCAATTATAGAATTGTCCACTGAAAGCAGGGTATAAACCATCATTACCAATGTAGAGTCTCCTCCAAGGTACAAGATAATGGCGAGCATCATGAATTTAATTTGCTCCAACCAATGGTTGCTCTATAGTCACGATATTAATAGAATAACTAGCGAATCTAAGTTTTCTGTTATATCCAAAGTAAACATGTTGCCATTGACCCAAGGTTACTCCATAACTGAGAGAGTCCCACAAATTAGGATTACCAGATCCTGAATATGTGTAAGTAGTAAATTAGAATACATTTCCAACCATATAATTACCAATATAAACAGCCAAATCTCTATCTCCTAATTTAATCTCTTCCAAATTAGCATCTGGATTTTCAGATAATCTGAAGACAGTGTGCCAAACATCTTAATCTTCTATTGGTTCCCATTTGATCCAACCAGAAACAGAGTAACCAGCATCCCAAGTTGAAAATTCAAATGTTTCATCAGATGTATCCTCAAATCCATAAAATTCATAATCTCCTAATTCATCAGTCTCTTATTCACAAACTTCTTCTTCAGGAGGACTATTGCAT